AATACCTCGTAATTGTAATGTTTGTCGCTCCCTGCCCCCTACCGACGCCCTGGAGTTTCTTACCCGCAACATGGTCACGTGCAGGTCTTTGTGCCGGTGTGGCTCAAGCGCCACACCATGATCCCTGCCTGCTGTGTCGACTTTCCTTGATCTTTTCAGTCTCTATGGACTGAACAAGTGATTTCGAGACAGTCTGCTATCATTGGGAATCATATGTATAGCAATGGATCCACATGAAAGTGGCAGCTGGTAGCATTGTGCAAAGAGCACATCCGAGGTGGCGCGCCGCGCGGCAGCGCTCGGTTTTTTTTTTGGGAGGAATTTGAGAGGAAAATGAGCGGTCACATGATATTTTAGTGCACGTGATGCGGTATCTTACCAGTAATTTACCACCCCCCTCCGGCGCCGGGTCGGTAAGTTACTGGTAAGGAACCCTCAAGCAGGTTTTTTCCGCAACCATAGCGATCTGTCATTATCTTCCTCGAATGTCACAACGAGTGGAGGATATCACGTGATGATGCTACGTCTTGCACGACTGCGATACTAGTTTTGTTTGCTCTGCTCAGCAGCCTTTCCTTACAATGTTGTCGGTTTCTAGATCAATGTCTGCGAGCAACTTGATCCCGAGGGCCGGATGGTTTATAGAAATACCTCCAGAAGTTCCGATCCCAGAACCGTCCCTGGCGAAAACAAAGCCCGCGACGGCCTCAAGCCCGACATTACGACCTACGACCGAAACTACCAACCCTCTAAGGACCACGATAATGTCCCCGACTTCACCATCGCCGACCGCGTCGATGAATTCAAGAATGACAAAACGTACGATGCATTCGACGACACACTCCAGCATGAATCGCGCGACCCCGAGTTCCCTTTCGAGATGCAGACAACTGATGGGCGGAAAACGCGCGGCCAGATATCCGCGTACGCGAGCGCCATCCTCCAACTGCAATTCCGCTTCTTCTGCTTCTCCATACTCCACATGAAGACTCGCGCCCGACTCATCCGCTGGGATCGCGCCGGCGCAATTGTCTCGGAGGCATTCGATCCGATACGCACGTCGTTTCTGACCGACTTCATTTGGCGGTACAGTCACATGAACCGCGCCCAGCGTGGCTTCGATGGTTCTGTCAGACTAGCTCAAGAGGTGATATCACCGGATGAAGCCCAAGAGCTGCGCAACAGGCTCATTGTCAAGGAAGAGGAGAGGATGCCCGATACGGTGGGAATGCACTCGGACCGTAAGCTGTATCAGCTCGTCACGGCACCCTTCCGCTCCGTCGATCCAATAACGGCCAACTATCCTGTCAATAAGCACGAACAACAGGATCTCGTTGTCTTCAAATCAGCCGAGGACGTGGACTCTGACGACGACCAAGAGGACCCCAAGGGCAAGGGCAAGATGAAGGACAAGCACAATGTCTTCTACCTCCTAAGCCCACGATTCGTTTTCGACCGGAGTCCATTCGGTAAATCGACGCGGTCCTTCGTCGTAATAAGCAGTGGACAGTACTTCCATCTCAAGGATACGTATCGCGTCCCTACAATCCACTATACGCCCGAGCACCAGGTTCTCGAAGAGCTCCGCGAGAACAAGGTGGTGCGTATCCCTACCGTATTGCGTGCGTGGGACGTCGCACCGCATGGGTGTTATGACACCGCGTTCGGCACCGTATTCGCAGAGTTCGAAGGTCGGTATAGTTTGAAGGACGGCAGAGTCGTACGTAGGGCGCAGCGGGTTCTGAGGCCGTACAGGTTAATCACGCGTGAGATCGCGCGAGATCTGGAGACCTTCGAGAGCTGGAATCAGGTATCCTTGATCATGCGCGATACGCTTGGAGGTACGTCGATCATCCAATTTGTTTGACACTTGACACTCGCGTTGGTTCTGAGGATTTTGAAGTATACTGACCATATCTACTATATTCCTTATTCATCTACGCAGTCCTGATGTACGCAGAGAGAGCTGGCTGGCGTCACCGCGACATCAGCCGCGGCAACATCATGATTTATGAAGGCCGTGGTTTCCTCATCGACTGGGACCTGGCACAGCGCTCCCACCTCCTCAACCAAGGAAAGCCCAGGATGCCGGATCACACGGGCACTTGGCAATTTATCTCGACAGCCAGACTGCTAGACCCTGCGAATACGCCGCACCTTGCGGTCGACGATATGGAGTCCGTATTTTGGGTCTTCCTGTACCTCGCACACAAGTGTGGCAACCACGGGCTGACCGGCCAAGCAGTGGGCATCTTTCTTACGGACACATTCGACCACAAACGATCCCAGGACGGTATATTGATTGGTGGTTCTATCAAGCAAGGTATCATAATGGCCAATAACCCCGATTATGCCATCAAAACGGTGTTCACTACTCCCCAAGCACTCAACGATATCCTCCAGCACATGCGGTTCGCCTTATCTGTGCGGTACGAGAAGCCGGTGCCACAGGTATTTTCCCTCAATACCTTTGACGAGGCCGGAAGAAAGGAGGCGGAAAAGGACCGTCAGAAGAGTGCACAAAAACATGCCGATGAAATGAAGAGACTCCAGGATCCCGTTTACCTTCGACAACTCCTCAAGTATTACACTTCCGACCCGGCGTTTGACTGGTCCGGCGATTGTCCAGCCATTTCTCGTGAAATTCCTCGCAAACTAGATCAGGCATCCGGACTCTCCGCTTCCAAGCGCTCTTACTCGAATCGGGGCCACAGGAGTACAGGTACGTCTTTCGAAGGTGCTAGGCCATCGGATTCAATCACTGTCTCGCGGGATGTCATCGATGACGATGACGACGACGACGACGACGACAAGCCCAAGAGGTCATACAAGAAGCAGCGGAGAGCGTACTCGGCCACCACGAGCGTCGCTGCTTCGCATGTCGGGGGCGGGCGCTTTCAGCTTGTGGGCGCCGACTCAGACGAGCTGGGTATTCGACCACGAGTCGATGATGAAGATTCCGATGCAGAAGATGTGGCGTGGCGTGAGGCGGTGGCAAATCTTCAGGCGGCGGCGAATGGCGCGGGCGACAACGACATTCAACTCCCCGATGTGGAGATGAGGGAATCAAGCTCGGAGGGTGTCAGCAGCGGGTTGGAGAGTTCTTACTCTAGGTCGCAGACTTCTAGTCCTCTACCGCCTTCGAGTCCGTCATCTGCAGGCAACGACTTTGGTGACAGACATCAGGACGAAGACGAAGACGAAGACGAGGACGAGGAGGACGAGGACGAGATTGAGATCGGACCATCTGGGCGGCATTCACAGTCGACTTAGGTTGCGGAAGCAAAGTCTTTGATTGCTCCGCTGCGAGTCTCTTCTCAGTACTATCACGGCCCCTTCGTCATGGCTCTCCTCTCATATATTCCAACGCGCAATCTGTCCATCCCCTGTCGTTTCCTTCAGCTACACCACCAGTACGTACTTTCATTGTTTATGTCGATCACGTTTTGCTATCTCGCATGCTTTGGTTTCCTTTGTTTTGTTCCATCATCCCCTTTCCAAATATATCGAGGTAACGGACCCTGAATTGTTTCTTGTCTCGCTCCTTCATTCGATGTCTACGTGTATACCTCACGTCAATCTTAGTAAATGTCGCGGGGGAGCATATCGGCTACTGTATACGATGTTGTTAGTATTCTGCGCGACTGTTGACCTCAATGTCACCAATATTTTGAGTTCTTTGTCTAACTTTCTGCAGGCAGAAAGTCCTTTTCAAACAACGAGGATCAGACCCCTTGTTGCGCTCTAGCTGTGCTACTTCAGTACGTCTCTGAGGGTCTCTTTCACAAGCGCGTGAAATAGAGGACCATGATCACACAACCACCTGAACCTTCAACTTATCTCCGCTCACAATCTCCTGTTTGCAAGCAATTCTTCCATATTCCAGGGAGCTCCATAAAAATCCCCAGCTTCGGCGAAAGGAAGTAATAAAACAGAAAACCTCACAACTAATGTACCAACCACCCAGCCATTCTCCTCTCACGAGTGAAGAAAGCGAGAATACTCCCCAACTACAAAACAGGTATCAGGCGTGGGAGGCTATCGGAGTTCCCCGAGAACGTGTCACCGCCAGTCAAATTTCCACATGTCTTTTGGTTGCCTTTTGTTGTCGCTCACGACACTCAGCGCTCTGACCGCTAAGTATATCTAGCGAAACTCTAGGATGCCCGATCACACGGGTACTTGGAAATTCATCTCGACAACTAGACTGCTGGACCCTGCGAATACGACGCACCTTCCACTGGACGACATGGAATCTGTTTTTTGGGTCTTTCTGTACCTCGCACTCAAGTATGGCAACCACGAGCTGACCGGCGAAGCAGTGGGCAACTTCCTCATGAACACATTCGACTACATGCAGTCTGAGAACGGCTTCTACATTGGTGGTAGACTTGGCAAAGGAAACGTCATAAAAGATCCCACCCTCAGGCTAGAGACAGAGTTCAGGCCCAAAATGCTCAACACCATCCTTCAGCTCATGCACGGTGCCTTTCATCTACGGTACGCCACCCCGGAATGGCAATCATCTGATGTCTTCGACGAGGCCGAAAGAGAGGACGAGGAAAAGGAGTTTCGGGCGAAAGCCAAAGAACATGCCGATAAAATGAAGCGACTCGAGGATTCCACCTACCTCCAAAAAGTGATCAAGCATTTCACTTCCGACGCGTACGACTGGTCCAACGACGGTATCGCCATTCACCATGAAATTACTCGTCTATCAGATCAGACATCCGGACTCACCGTTCTCAAACGCTCGCACACGGATCAGGCTAAGCGGTACAAACGGGTTATTCGAAGGCGCTTGGCCGCCGGGTCTCATCCCTCGGGAACGGGAGGGCAATGAAAGCGACAACGTCAACGGCAAGCGTAAGAGATTATCCACGAGCGTCGCTGCTCTGCATGTCGGGACCGGGTGGCTTCAGCTTATGTGGGCCGATTCAGGCGCGGTGGATGTTCGAGCACGAGTCGATGATGCAGATTCGGGTGCAAGAGATGGGGGAAATGTTGAGGCGGCGGCGAACGGGATGGGCGACGACGACAATCCAACTTTGCAATGTGGAGATGGGGGAATCAAGCTCGGAGGGCGTCAGCCTTAGCGGGTGTGAGACTTCTGGCTATAGGTCGCAAACTTCAAACCTCCTACCATGGTAATGTAGCGCAATGCTTTTTTGGTTCGCCACCTCACTTCCCAAACATCTCTGAGTACCTTGTTTGTCTCTTGCCTCACTTCTTCATCCGACGTCTATGTTTATATATTGCGTCCACCTCGGTGAATGTCCTGGTCCCATAATATACCATGTCCTGAGTACACTATCTGACTGTTCACAATCATCGATAAAGCTTGGGCTCTCACTCTAATCTCTTTGGGCAGGAATGTCTGTATCTCGTCTTCATCGTGCTGTAGCTGTGCTACTTTAGTAAGTTTCCGTCGTTCGTTCCATAGATACATGCGGCCGTTCTGGGACGAACATAATCACACAACCATCCGGACCTTCAGCTTATCCCCACTCACAATCTCCTCTTTCTTTGAAAAGAGCTCCTCCATATCCCAGGGACCTGCGTCGTAAAAATCCTCAGCTTGGGCGCAAGGAAGTGATCAAAGAAAGAAACTTACAACTGATGTAACGGCCAGCCAACCATTCTCTCCTCTCGCGAGTCAAGAAAGCGAGAGAGTCTCCGCATAGTTCAGGCGTGTCGGTCAGGCCACCTTGCAACTCTTTGGGCATGCGGGGCCCCATCGTGGTGAACACACCTCCGGGATGAACGGCATATGCTAAAAGGCCTTGGGCACCATAATCGGCCTGTGCAAGATATTATTCGGTGGGTAAGAGAAGAGATGTCAAGGAAGACGTACGTTCATGAACTCGGTCAGACGCAGGACGGTTAGCTTGCTCGACTGGTACGATGACGCCTTTCAAGGCAGCCCTCACAACATCAGTATCCTTCAAGAGACGAAATGACGGGGAGACTCACCCCCGGCATCACCACATGAGCCCCTATCGAACTCAGGTTGATAACTGTCTTCGCTTTACTCTTCAGAAGCAACGGCAAGAACGCGTGCGTCGCCAAAAACAGCCCCTTCACGTTAATCTCCCAAGTATACCACCAATCATCCACATCAACCTCGCCCATCGGTTTCCATATCTCCATCCACCCAGCATTGTTGATCAAAATATCCACTCCTCCTTCTCCGAATGCCTTGTCCACCTCCTGCGCAGCCTTCCTGACGCTCTCTTTATCGAGCACGTCGAGTTCTACCTTCACAACTTGTGGCGCAGGGTGTCCTGCTTTCGATGCAGCCTCGAGGATCTCGGACTCGAGAGAGTCAAGAGATGAACGAGCGCCGACTCCGATTTTAGAGGCACCAGATCGAGCAAACGAGATGGCGATACTCCGGCCTAGGCCTTTAGAGGCACCGGTAATGAAGACAGAGTTGGATTTGTGGGTAGAGTTGGATGAGTCGATGAAGGGATATGTGTCTCCGTGGAGGGTCTCAGTGAAGTTGTATCCTACATCGTAGAGTCGTGGTGATTGTCAGATCCGGGGGTATTGAGAGATATGCCATGATACGCACCTACGTAGGCCGGAAGTGACATGCTTGTTTTACTGCGGGTGGGTCAGGACAGGAATGCAGGTAACTTACACCTCTGATGTACTTATATATGTACGGTAGGATCCATAGCGGCGTCTGTGAGCGAATTTGGCGGTAAGTTATCCTAGTTCATGAAGTCGTGAGTAATTGACGGCTCGTCTGCCGGGTGCTGACAACAGCTTTATCCCCTGTGAACTGCCATATTGCGATTGGCCTTTACGCCGTAAGTAACCCACTCGTGTCCCCGTCGTGCATCCCAATGTGCACCAAGACTCCTCGGAGACCGACCGTAAGAAGCTGACAGGTTGAGTGGATTTGGACACCTTGATACAGTATGGGACTTGATGAGCAATACAGCACTCGGTATGATGGCGAGGTAAACGGGCATGGAATTCATAATAATCAGTGCTTGTAAGGAAGAGGCGAACTCCACTTGAACAATTCTCGAGCTCAAGACATACATAGTTCGGCGAGGGCCGAGCGGAGTTCGCCCCAACGTGTGGCGTAGGTGCGAAGTAGTAAGTTACTTATCGCAAGGGATGCGCAAGGAGCGTCAAAGCCAATGGTTTTTCAGCACACGTACATACACAGCCTCTCGAGAAAGATGTTATACATTACACAACCATCCGAACCTTCAGCTTATCCCCACTAATAATCTCGTCCTTCTTTGAAAGCAACTCTTCCATGTCCCAAGTACCTGCGCGGTGTGGCACGAAATTAGCTCGGACTAGAACTTGAAGGAAAGAAAAGCATTGGCAATCGAACACTCACAGCTAATATAACGGCCAGCTAGCCATTCTCTCCTCTCGCGGGTCAAGAACGCAATAGCATCACCGGACAGCTCAGGCGTGTCAGTCAGGACAAAGTGCGACTCCGACGGCATGCGCAAACCCATTTCGGTGGGTACTCCTCCGGGGTGAACGGCGTATGCGAGAAGTCCTTGAGACCCATAATCCACCTGAGCGTAGGTATGAAGAACTATGAGTACATTGATACTGAAGGTCGAACCAGGAAGCACGCACATTCATGAATTCTGTCAGCCGCAGAACAGCAAGCTTGCCCGACTGATATGCCGAGGCCTATGATCATTCCTGGGTAATCAGTACTCAGTCTTGTTCGAGAGAAATTTAAATCAGTACACTCACACCAGGTGCCAGCAGATGCGCCCCGATCGAACTCAAGTTCAGGATCGTCTTCTCCTTACTCCTTAACACCAAGGGCAAGAACGCGTGCGTGACGAGGAACAACCCCTTGATATTCACCTCCCAAGTGTACCACCAATCGTCGACGTCTATCTCCCCCATCGGCTTGAACGTCTCCAGCCAACCAGCATTGTTCACCAGTATATCCAACCCTTCCTCCCCGAAAGCCGTGTGCACCTCCTGCGCAGCGCGATTCACGCTCTCTTTATCGAGAACGTCCAGTTGGATCTTCAGAACTTGTGGTGCAGGGTGATCCGCCTTAATAGCGGCGTCGAGGATCTCGGACTCGAGGGAGTCGAGGGAGGAGCGCGCGCCGATCGCGATTTTTGAAGCACCGGATCGCGCGAACGCGAGCGCAGTGCGCCGACCGATGCCTTTGGAGGCGCCGGTGATGAAGACGGAGTGTGATTTGTGGGCGCCGGAGGATTTGAGAGGATCGATGAAGGGATAGGTATCTCTGTGGGAGGTCTTTGTGAAGGTAAAGCCTATTTCGTGAATTCATAGCGAAACGCCGCACGCGTGAGATAGAGGTACGGTATAGAAGGAGATATCGCTACGCACCTGCGTGAGCTGGGAGACCTGAGAGCTCTAGCATGATGACTGGGCAATGGACTACTTGAGATCAACGAGTAGAACCGTGGAAGCACTCACTGCCTACAGGCCAGAGCTACTTATATGATTAGCAATATTTGGTCGTATGCGATGGTGAATCATCCTAGGATATAAATATCGTCATTGATTAGCCACCCGCTCTTCCGACTGCCATTCCCTATGCAATGTGAAGTACGACAGCATCAGTTCCCATGAACCTTCATACTGTGGATGATGCAATCCGCTCACTTCCTAACGGCCTAGCAAAGAGACCCCCAGATGACGCCAAGACGAACAGTCATTCAGCGCTTGCAAGGATACATCGCCGTAAAATATCAAGGGATGAGAAAGCAAGACTACAATAGGAGATTATACAGACCAAAGCAGTAGATGTCTTGCAACAAACGAGGAAGAGTATTTCCTGGTGCGAAATCGGCCGATGGGAGACAAGTGGCGCGCAGCTCTCACGAACGGGGGAGACGTGGCTCCTGCAATCACCGATATCGGTCGCTCGTTGGGAAACTTGGCGTGCGTAGACCCATGCCGATAAATGGCTCCAGGGTGCATGGCGTATGCCAAAAAACATGGCGCCGCGTAAGTGGCCTGTAAAAGGGACGATGTGAGTCGGCAAGTGAGAGTGATAGAGGCTATAAAGACGTACGTCCATGAATTCCGTCGGACGCAGAACGGTCAACTTGCTGGACTGATTGCTGGCGCCCGTCATCGAATCAGCCAGCTGCAACACTGTCAGTTGCTTCGGTCGGAAGGGAAAAGACAATGGCGGAAAGACTCATTCACGCCAGGTCCTGTGAGATGTGACGCAACCGAGCTCATACTGACAATCGTCCTCTCTTTATTCTTCCACACCTCAACGGCCAAAAAGCGTGGGTGGCGAGGGATAGCCCCTTGACATTCACCCACCCCGTATACTTACCACCAGTCAATATCTATCTAGACCTCCCTCTCCGTATGCCTTCTCTGCCTCCAGCGCAGCCTTTCCGACGCTCTTGCCGAGCACGTCGACTTGGACATTCGTGATCTGGGGCACATGCTTTCGAAGCGTCGTCGAAGAATTCATGAAGATGGTCTAGAGAGGAGCGGGAACGAATCGCGGTCTTCAAGACGCATATTTGGCGGTTGAAAGGGCTAGGTACGCAACGACCTAACCCTTTGGAGACACAAGTGATAAAAATGGAAGGAATTCGTGGGCGATGGAGGATCGACTAATAGGATTGATGAAAGTTCATCAATAAACAAAAGGACTTTGCTACGCACCGGTGTGAGCTGGCGTATGTCGGAACTCCTACATATTTACTCGAGCGTCGGCGAGACGAGCAACGCTATGAGCATCCAATTACAATCTCGAAGTGTTTTGTGACGTGTGCAGCGACATTTGAAGCGCCATGAACTATTCCGGGTGGGTAATTCATGATGCATTGATGGACGAGAGCATTGTTTCGCCTGCATCATCATGCCGTAGACCTGGCAATCCAGTCCCATCGCGAAAGCTGGCATCCAGTCGTCGAAGTACTAGAGAGCCACAGCCAGTCGTATGCAGGGGCCATACGCTGCTACGCCTACACCCTGATGCTCAGAAATATTGTTAGATGGTCAAGCATTCAGCGGTCAGCGCTCATGGCACACTAGAAGCAGAACAGAAGTTGCAACAGGATCAGAGAAAGTAGATGAAGAGCGGATGGAGGACTCCGTAGGACTGCGGTGACAAGTCTAAGTGGCGCTTGTGATGTGTGGCCTTATTGTGTGGCCCAACGTCTTCGTCGACCCTCTTCCGTACTACGTCCTCTTCTGTTGCTTGCGATTCGTCACCACTCGCTCATTCATTACTATAAGATCTGGACGAATAATTTTGAAGATTACTACTCGCAATACTCTATCTGGTCGGTGTAGGTGATACTAACCCAAAGTTCAAGAAAACAACACCGACACCTTGCCGACACCGCTCACGGCCCTCACCCGTTAATCAAACAGACTGCTTCATGAGGAGAAAACAAAGTCTTCCCAGTGCTTGAACCGCCCCATTAACCGCTCTCCCCTTCGCCCTTCCCTTTGATCTTCGCTCCTGACGGGTTTCGCCATGTTTAACAAGGCCGCATACAGCTGAATACGGTACAAGGACACGTTCTCCGTATTCCGCACTTTGGCCGCGTAACGTCAGCTCCTTGACATGGCATACTAGTAACTCAATTAAACATCATCCGCGGCGCGAAGTCCAAGTGTTTTTCTCGCTCCTTATGGTCTTATGGTCTTATGGTCGTGATCATGATAACATGCCGGCCTCGATTTGCCTTACTCTCGCACTAGATGATTCCGTGTTTTGAGTACGTAGGGCGCGCCGGCTTCAGCGCTTACTTTCCTTCCTCCTCAACTGCCACATCGTGAGGGGACTTGTGAGGCGGGTAAAGGGCTTGACTTGGAGATTTATATGAAGTACGTCCTTGTGTTCTTGCAGCCTAGCTCATCACCCGACGACGCTCCTTCTTACACTCCTTCCCAACCCAGAATTGTTGCGAGCCCTCCGTTTGACCTATACATCCTTCTGAGTATCCATGTCTACTCTCCGTGTCAGACAGACCACCGCCGTCCGCTCCGATTCCTCGGTCTCTTTCCTTACACCTACGCCACCTCCCCGTCGACCTCGGAAACTCCCCTCAGAAACCACTCTTCACGCCGTCTACCACGATCACAATCGTATCTCGCTCCCTCCCACCTCCGCTCTCCCTCCACGACCCGACTCCAACCGCACTAGTAGTCTTGACCCAGAACCCATCCGTCGCCATCGAAGCCTCAATCCTAACTCCAACTCACCCTCTCATCGCACGAAAGAATCTCCTTCCCACATCGGGGGCAAATCATCGCATAGGCCCTTTCTTTCGCTAGAAGAGGCTGAAGAGAGCGAGATTCCGGTTTCGGCATGGACGTCGGATGCGTTTGACTTCGACCTCCCTACTACACCCGAAACTCCTAACGTCGCTGGTGGAGAAAGTGCAGGGCCCCGCCTCCAGATCTCTTCTGAAAAACCTATACTAGATCTTGAAGTCCAGAGCCCATTCACAGTTTCCGTTCCCATCCCTCTGCACGCAGGCACCATCTATCCTCAGTCTCAGTCTCAACCCCAATCACCCCAGCACCAATCTGAATCTCAATCCAGCGCCGACGTGGTCGACACGGGTGCACGGCTAGAAGTTCCACAAAACGGATATGTGCGGCGTCGACTAATCAGCGAGTCGAATATGTCCGGTAATGGACCAAGGCCTCTAGTCATCCAAGCCACGTTTCCCGAACCGACGACGACAGACGAAGAGTCCACCGCCGGATCCGTCTGGGACGATACCCAGCTCATTTCCCCGCGCGACCGTACCTCCCTCGATACCCTCGAAAGCCCTCAATCCAACGATCGCACCAAAACTCGTCCGCTCAGCACGGCGATCTCGGACGCACCTAGCGCTCGTAGTAACGGCAGTCGAAGCAGTTCCAAATCGTACAACGGCGTTCGCACGTCAACGCTCGTCAACCGTATTCCGTACAACCTCGAGGAAAACGATGGTCCACCCCTAGACGTACACGAAACCATTGGCTATATCCATATGCATCCATCCGCCAACGCTGATCATGACGGATTGGACGCACGGCTCAAGGCCGTCAGCCTGGGGTTTCCTATTTCTCTTCGTCCAAGAAATATACCCAACGCCAGGGGCATATTCTCTTCTGCGTCATCTACGAGCGTAGTCGATTATCGATTCGTCCGATTCTCGGGCCTAATTCCCTCTATGCGACCTCTCCGACCTTCTCTTGACCGCGTTTCCCTTGTCCAGCTCGGCGCTCGTTCTTCCAATAGCAGTCATTATCACATCTACGGTCGGGTCACAGTCCCTTTCGACGCCGGTCAATGGTCCTTCGAGCAAGAATGCTGGGTCGTCGATCTACCACCGGGACTTCCAGTGGATTTGATTTTGGGCATGGATTGGATGGAGAGGTATGATGCGAGGGTCGAGGTTAGTTTGGAAGGGATGAAGGTCTCTGGGGCGAATGGCAATGCGGTGATGCACGTGGATGCAGATTCATGCTCGGGTGGACAGGAACAGTGTGGATATAGGAAGACGAGGGTGGCGAGCGATACGTATAATTCGATGCCGCCGGGGGTGCCCGTGTAAGAGATGAATGGCGTGACGGTCTCGTTGTTGACTTTGGTTCTCTGCTTTGACGTGCCCTGACGGTTGCTGCTGATGGTTTCCCTTTATCTTCATATTTACGTCCCGTATCATATGCTGATTGCCCGTTTGACAGACAGTTCGTCACCATACCCGATTTTGCTAGCCCAGTCTCATTGCTGGTTTAATATCTCGATTCTCTAGTTTGTGTGTGTCCCAACTTACTGTATCTCGTTGCTCGATGTAGATTACGTGTCTTACATTATACCCATTTATTCGTTTTCGGTGTCGAACAGGACTTCATACTAGTACGTGGCAGGATGTCGAGATAATACACGCTCGGTTTCTCTCCGGATTTGTTTTGAAAGAACCTTACTTCGAAATCACGATTGCCTTCCAGAGTGGATATAGTGACGATCAATCGTACACCCAATCTTCGGAGAGACCGACATCGTACAACAAACGAGCAATCCGAGAACGTATTCGCTACCAGATTCGCCTACATTTTCTTTTTTTCCCGCATGCCCAACTGCATAGACTGGTGATCGAACGTCAATGAGGATCATATAGGAGTGCATCCGGACTGAAGTACTTACCACAAAAGCAACCTAAGAAAGCGTCGGCGTGGTCCAGTTGATCCAGTTGGTCTCTACCCACGGCACGCCGTTGAACACATTGTTCGTGCTGAAGAAACTCGTGCTGACGTTCTGGTCCTGCAAGAACCTCTGGAAGAACGCGTCGAGGGGGGCCGTCTGGTTAGCCGGGAACGCGCAATGAGCATGTCCTCCCTGCTGGATGAAACCATGGTTCGAAGTAACGCCGAGCGCCTGGAAGACCGTATGCGTAGCGACCATGCACCCGTAGTTGCTGAGCGGGCTGAGCCAGACGTAGTCGGTGTTCTCAAGGCCGAGGAGGCCACGAGGTGCGATGAGTGCGGCGAGGAGGTGGTGGTCGAATGGAAGGACGTTGAGCGTGTTGACGTAGTTGTTGAACAAGGACGAGAACCACACGTTCTCCGTCACAATCTCCGTCGCGGTCTGAACGACTGCGCCCGAATTCTGCTCAAATAGGGACAACCTCCAGCATGCGTCACCTCCAGATCCAGACTCCTGTGCGACTGTGAGAGCGACGCGAGGTTCGAAGGCACCGACGGTAAGTGCACCTTTTCCGTCGCGAGAGCAGCCTGTGACGGCGATTTTGGAGGGGTTGATGTTAGCGGAGGGAGTGACTTCGAGGACGTCGATGATGCGGGAGACGCCCCATGTCCAGGCTATCATGGAGGATGCGTTGTGGTTGGCGCCATAGAGGTTGTAGAAGAGGCCCTGGCCACGGCTGCTCGCATCGTTTTCCAGGGCGATGTTGTCGTTGTCGTAGTTCAGGAGAGCGACCTGTGACGGTAAAGGAAAATAAGCTTCAGCAAATTTAGATCAAAGTGTGATTCGGACTTACTCCGCTGGGGACGGGGATACTACCGCCAATGAGACCAATGAGCAATGGCCACCCACCCTCCGGCGGTGTACCGGACGGGAACGTAATAGGGGACGTGAATGTGATGGAGCTCGAGTTGCCGCCGCTGACGCCACCAGCGGTAACCGTGAGCGCGTTATTGGAGAATGACCCGTTAACCTGCGGTGGCTTGGGCGGGAGAGTACCTGTCTCGTAAGCTTGCAAGAACGCGATGATCTCATTGCGACGGCATTCCCAATCCTCGGCGGTGGTAACTTTGCTACCATTCCCGAACGTGAATGGGTCTGGGAGAGCACTGTCACTAAATCCGGGGAGCAGGCGCTCCGAAGTTGAGCAAGCTAGGAAGAAAGGTACGTTGGTGAGTCTATGCATAAATAACTGGATATGTGTAAAGTTGCTGACTGGATTGTCCGAGGGTTGGAGTCGAGGACGGGGCCGTCGCCGTTCCGCTTGCAGACGAGGAGCTACTGACTGGAGTGGAAGTTGGAGCCGGTGCTGAACCGGGCAGACACCTGGTCACGACTGTCAGCAGTCTGATCCTGTGTGCACTATGACGGACCGGCACTCACTGAGAATAATAACCTTCAGAAGTGCAAGTCGGTCAGAAGATTGTGACCATCAAAGAGGAGTGAGAAGAAATGCTTCACTATTTTGAGCGGTACTGAAACTATGGGTGAGCATCGTTATACATCAGAGGATCGTACGAGAGCTACCAACCATATAGAACCAGCGTCGCAGGTCGTGCCCCCTGAAAATCGACCAGATCAATACCAATCCGAAGCGTACTAGATGATTTTTTTTTTTTTACCTTGCCAGCTAATTCCTCCGCACTGACCTAAACGAAAGGAGATATGAGAGTCTGAGAATGTTGCGAACTGCTAGCGCCACATACCCCAGACAGAGACACCAGAGACGCGAACGACCGCAAGGGCAAGAGAGGTGCCGAGAATGAGTTTCATGGCCATGGTTGCGATCCTTCAGGCTGAAGAGCCAGATATCATCCGTAGCATATATACCACGGCATCCAAAGAATCAGGGGGCTCAAGTGGCTTGAGGAATATCTTCGCCGCATCACCACATCGCGGTAGAAAAGATGATGCATGTATAATCGTAGAAATTTCGGAGAGCAGATGTTAAGAGAGCAGCACGAAAGATACCTCGTGAGCTAAGACAGAGCTCTAAAGATATACGGATGACGGTCGCTTCTCCCCAGTGTTGTAGCCTCGTGAGGGCCAGGTGAGCAAGGGCGAGCCAAGTAAAGAAGTCTAGCACGTCAATCAACGACATCACGGTCAATTCTTGGGCTTGGGTCGGTTCAAACATTGGTAAAACATTTTGCTTTGAGGTTCGTTGCAAGGAAGTGAGTTGAATTGAAAGAAAGTGCGTTGGGAAGTTGCTATGACTCGGAAGAGCGTCCAATTATAATGTGGCCTCGGACACATCACGCGATCCCCACGCGAGATGGTCTCGGCCCGGAGGCTATAGCGTGGGATAATTCAACAGCAACACGCCTCGCGCGTTCAACTTGAAGTCGCGTACACGCCTGTACACAGCTGTACACACGTTGTTTCCTCGAACCTCTTCGTAGTGCGCTTCTCCTCAGGCAGCGCCATTACGGCTTCAAGGCGTTACCTGTCATATCGACAGCCAGAGATAATTTTTGCTATCGACACGCCGAAAACGATCTCTCTCAACTCCAATTTTGACGCGTCCCACTTAAGTGTCGCGATACCCGTCTGACACCTATATACTTGTGCTGCCATATACCTCCTTTGCTTTGCATGTGCGTTATTCAAGGGTGCGTCCTACGTCAACGTTTGTCATACGCTTGGGCTAATACGTTTTCGTGACCACGAAGAATCTCAACACCCTCACATTATGTTCAAGTTGAAGAAATCACCTCCAAACTCACCTTCGCCATCCATGGCCTCCTTCTACACGGCACCTCAGTCTTCGCCAGAGAATGCAGTATCAGTAGGCATTGCTAGTGCTGCACACGTTTCTCGTACCCTTGCCATGGCCGCTTCCGAAACACCACTACCCTCATCCTCTGCTTCAGCCTCTCGCACCTCACCATCCAAAGGGAGTGCTAACCTGCATCGAGGCTCTGTTTCTGCTCCACCTCTGAGAGATAGCTCGGATACAGTTTTTGGGCCTTCCATTACCGACGTGTCCCTATCCCCCAACAAACCACTGATCAAGTCCACGCGAACTGCTCCATGGAACTTCAACTATATGTCACCACCTTCATCCCCCTCCAAGTCGTCTTCGTCATCTCCCTACAAATCATCATCATCATCTCCCTCACGATCTTCGCCGCTCTCTTTGTCTCACTCTCCATCGCATGACGTGCACCATGTCAAATATGCCCACGGCGCTATCAGCACTGTGGCCGTGCGGGAGGAGTGGACGGTTCATGGAAAGGGGGGCATGACCGCCTCCGCAATATTAAACAAACCCTCGACGTCGGCGGAGCACTATTGGGCAGCGAGGGCCTTGACAGCGGAGTCGATTTTGGAGGCGAAGATGGATCATCAGCAGGAACTGAAGAGCATAAAATTATACGAGGACGAGAAGCGGACGGTGAGCTCCCATTCCTTCGCAATCAATCGTCCTCATTCTGAACAGATGGTGCATTGGGTGTTTGGCAGAGAGATCTAGCTGTTCTACAACAGGCGCACGACGCCCAGTACAAAGAGCTAAAAAGAACATTGGTGCGTGCAGCTGTCACTGTGTCTTGGTCCACAAACTCACAGCTTGAACTTCTTAGTTCTTCACCATCACTTGCATAGTGGTCCTGCTGGCCTTTATCATCTACATTCTCATGACAAACTCCCCAGCCTCAAAACAGTCGGCCTCTAGATGGGGCGCGCACTTCACGATTCCCATTCTCTCACCGTTCACTTCTGTAGTAAGTTTTTGCTCTTGCCCCTTGCTAAATCGACTATCTAGCCTTTTTTGTGGCGCCTAGTTGCTGACAAGGTTCATTGCGCAGATCGAACACGAAGTGTCGACTTTCGGGACCACTGCCCTTATAGGGTTCGCTTTTGTATTCGCGGGTCTGGCATATGCTGTATTTCGTTACTATGCTGGTCGGCGGAGTACATGACGATATACATGTCGCTTCAGGCAGCCGGTTTGGATTGTGGTACAGTCGGAAACCGGTTTGTATATTACGTGGATTGTTTTTGTGTTGGACCTGATGGTGTGGTATTTTGTACATTAAGACCAAAAAAAGTCTACGACATAAACCTGGATATTTCAGAATCTTTTATGGTGTATGAGAAAGTAGACTACCGGATGAGCAGACTGACCGACGCACAAGATGGCATCGTCGAGCAGCCCATAACGAATGCTGGGGGTGTGCGCGCCACAAGGTGCCACAACAGCAACAACTCCTGTGAAACAAGTTCCTGGAGTTTGGCATGTCAGATCTTTCCGTCACGTCGGAGCCCTTTTCAAATCCCATTCACCCCCATCGTCCATGCTCGTGTTCTCCTCCTGAGCTTTTTTGAACCAGAGAATCTGATACTTTGCCGTTTGGGTTACTCGCGGATAGTGAGTCATTGTATCCCGACTCAGCCTCGCAATTGTCTCTTGGGGATTCATCCTTGACTTGATAAGATAGGGCTCATCGACGGTCCGCCTACCTCCGGCGTGGCGTTGTTTTGGCCTATGTCCGTCAAAAGTTAATGCGACTCGCAAATACTATTTTCATGCTTAGCGACCTTATGTAGACTTTCTCGGCGCTGAATTTCGAGACTCGTGGCGCGAGTGGATTTTGGAAAAACATCTCCTATTATTTTGAGCACATATTTTTACATTGTGGCTCAGAGAGACCTTGGTGGCCCATTATTCAGACATGTAGACCAAAATCAAAAAATCTGTTCGCGCCAGGCACTCCGAAATCATGTTGTGAGCACTTTTACTTAAGCCTCAAATATCCAAAAATGTGATTTACGACTCGCATTAACTTAGGACTGCATTCCCCCGCCAACAGACGCCACACCGGAGGTAGGCGGACCGTTGATGAGCCCTATCTTATAAGTATATACAAGTCAGCATCTCGACCTCGAGCTCTCCATCACTTGCTATGCTCTTTGACTACGCGCTAGTCAACCAAGTGAGCATACCGAAGAATTGTTTAGTTGGTCAAGTACTTGTGCATACCTCTGCTGAACGAGCGGGTCCTGAGATTGAGTGGGACGCTGACAACTTGCTGACAACGCGACCTGCCGATGAGATGCGATCGCTCGATTACTTCCCCATCTACTCATTGAATTGTCGTATTTGTCTCTATGACGCCTTGGTTGACTTTCTTATAATCACCGCCGCCAAACCGCCGCCATCTCCGAAGGTGTGACGATACATATACGGCCAAGCTCGCCTACATCCGTAATCCCTATCCTCTCCCATCTAGTCTCTTTCTTCGTTGTCCTCACAGCCTGTCGTTGTCGACACCCGTACCTATACTTCTACTCCTTTGGTTATCTAGGCTCTGCATCATGTCGATTCAAGTCCCGTTGCCGATTTCCTCAGGATCGATACACACCACGGTATCTCATCCGAACATACTATTTCCTTCGCAGCCTCCCGCCACACACCCTTTCTATATGCTTGTACCCGTCCCAACTTCTGGAAGTACATGGGGCCGCCGACAACGCACGCAATATAATACACAAAGTGGCCCTCCGGCTGCGCTACCATTGAAGCTCTCCCTCTCTGCTTCTACTTCAATCATTCACTCGGGTATGTTGAATTGAACGTTTGACACACCACAAGAGCCTCATGGGCTCACCCTTACATGTCCTCACCAGCGTCCCTCACAGTACAGACGAATCAAACATATACCCTGTCACAACCAGCGAGCTCGGAGTCTACCCCCCCGGCTCATGGTTCCTTATCCGCGCGTAAGATCCTTCTTGATGATGCTAACGAAGAAGCAGTCACTGATATTTCCTCTCCGCTTTTGTGTATCACCTGAACCGGATTATTTGATGTCCTTGCATGTCATTGGCTTCCTATTCACGCTCGTTCCCGTAGTCCTTAGCCGTGCTGGGTGGACTGGGATCCTTGCACAAAATGGCGGTACGCACCTTTTCCCACGCTGACATCTCCGTATGCATCTTGACCGTAATGCCCTTCAGGATATCAAGAGCTTGATAGGAGTACTGAGATGATGATGTCGCGAGGGATCAGTATGTGGAACCCGGGTACGCTATTTCTCTCACATTTCATCCTTGACGTGGCGTTCTAAGGAATGATTCAGATCAGACATCCTTGTCGGATAATATGGATGTAGAAGATCTGGCCTTCCAAACGGGTTCGAAGACGGGACTAGACATGCATGGTTCTCAGGAGTCTTCTACACCTTCTCTGTCTCCGACAGCCATGGGTGCGTTTGGGCCACTACTACATCAACGAACTAGTTCACCTAATTTCTTTTCGTGTGTTCCGTCGGTAGCAGCGGAAACGACTAGTGCGTATTGTCTCCATTATCCCTTGCTTCGTGAATGATCCTTGAGCGGCTGAGCGACTTATACAGTCTCTAACGATGTGCTGTTGGTAGTTGGTGCTGAGGCGACCAGGACGATGTCAGAAGAACGCGCCGGCGAGCGAAGATACCTCGCGTCACCTCCAGATGACTGGGGTCTGTCTTCCAATGCGAACTCCTCTGCATACAGTATACTGCCAAGAGCTCCTGTGCCAGAGCCGGCACTATTACCAGCGTCGGAGGAGACTTCGTCATCAACGTCTGGATTGTCTTCGACTGATCCTATAGCAGCCCCGTCCATCTCCTCACCGCCAACAACCGCATCCAAAGGATTTATCCTTGGAACCCAAACCCCAGAATCTGAAGCGGCGGCTCCGATAGCGGTGGTGGCTGCAACCTTGGACCCAACTCCAGAAACTACAGGGGACACTGACGACGAGACTTCCGCTGTTCTCTCCGCATCTTTGAAGCGCGCAAGTACGTTCATGTCATCTTGCGCCCGAACTCCACCCCGACCTAAGATTCATTCCTATTTGCCGCAGGAAACTTTCTCGGACAATCAGGCAAGCTAGTTATTGTTGAACGAATATCTCACAATTTCGAGTTGACGCTTTATCCTCATTCAGATCTCAGTAACGACACGCCTTCAACGATTGTGCGGTTTGGGATGTCGATGTTCCAACATGAGCTCGACAACAATGTGGTCCTCGTGTCTACGAAGTCCGTCGAGGAAATTTGTGTACTTATGCTGGAGGCGTTCAAGTGGTATAACGCCCACATACTTCCTAATCGCACCCATCGGACGCATAGGCGAGTTGGAAACCCTTGTCTCGAGCATCTAGGCACAGAGGTACTTTATTTTGCATCTCTGTCCTCACTCTTGAACTTAACGATCAACGACCGTTACATAGGCACATGCGCCCCACTCGAAATCTAAGATACCTCCGTGTCCTAGCAAGTTCGTTTCCTTCGTACGATGGATCGTTCTCTGGCAGAAGAGTGGTCTTTGCTGTGTGCGTCTCCTTTCTTTCGCAGGTGTCACCGTACTCTGTACACATCAACTAACTTTTGAGACTTGCTTCATTCAGTCTTGTCTGCGTCACACCGTCCTCGAACCCGACTTTACCTACTTCGTCTGGATATGTGGACAGTGCAGGCCAGACCAGTATGTGTTCGTACCAACCTCGTTGTTCGTTTATCTGACGAGTTTTCATGTCGCTACCTCGTCTAGATTAATCACGAGGAATCGCGCAAAGACATTACTGTCATCGCTTGGACCGTCGCACGCTGTCAAGAGCATCCTTCGTCAAATCCCTCCTGTCCAGGGTGAGTGACATAACTCGAGATCATCTATCTCTCGAATTAACGAGCGCGATCACTTTGATATCAGGCTTGAGGAACGACGTCGTCCGGAAAGATGCCAGAAGGTTGTACTACAGATTCGCAATCGACGACGCGGTGAAGCACTTCTCTGAACCGAGGGATCCTCTCAACGCGGAAGGCGTAAAGCTTCGCACTCGTCAAGCACGCATCAGGACTGACGTGAGTATCCGATTTCTCATGTCCTTGGACTACTGTACCCTTTGCACTCACATTGGCTTCTCTGCAGCTCGCCTCTTTGTATGGCGCTCGGTGGCGACTTGTTACGTCCCAGTCGGAGAACGATCCCGCCATTGAACGTGCACTTCCCGACCCTGTCGTGGACAAGATACCTTAGGACTGTATTTGAATTGGGGGCGGATGGAACGTCGAAGGCGTGAGATGACCGTTCACGCACACACAGTAATTGTTTGGCATAATACCCTATTTTCTTTTCACCGTACTACTCCACCTTATTGCGACGTGTACTGCTGGCTTTCCATTCTCCGGATCGCCTTTGTATCTCTACACATCCCTTGTAGGAACTCGATTTGTATCACGTTGTCTTGTATCCACCATCTTTGGTCTGTTTGTTTCAAGCATCCTTGGCGGACTTCCAGGAGCGTGAAGGACTGAGCAAGCAGGTAAATCAAGAGGTATTACTAACGAAAGGACACATCATATACATATACAGACAGATCGGTCATGAAGTGGGAGACCCTGGTAGTGCAACTCTTATCCGACGACGTTGGCGTTTCTCTCAGGCTTAACACCTGTAGCTGATATTCCATTGTCCACATAACGTTCTATCTTCGTTCTCAACTCTTCACAGAGCCTCTTCACCGCAGCCCGCGCACGGAGCTGAGCATGTGTGTCGGGTACTGTGGCCCATAGACTGGCATACCGTAGCTCGATCTAAATTTCAAGCACATTGAGTATCGACCATGCGTCATCCAGAGATCAAAAGAATGACGAGAACGCACTGTCCAAGCTAGCTCTGCGAGTTTTCGTTCCAGAATGACGACCATCTGCTTCACGAGGGACATGGCCTTAAAGAGTACCTCCGCTGCCGTTTCCTTTATTATCTGCTCGTAATGCTCATCGAAATACTTCTTGAAGAACTCCTGCGAAGATTGTGAGTCGCAGTCAGTAACAGAAGTCACCGTGAGGTCGTCGAATATCATCAAGACCAGGACTCCATCTCGCTTCTCAGTCACAGACTCACCCGTCGTGAAGTCACACTTCCTTTACCATTGATAGCAGCCGCACCATTATACCCTTCCTCAAGCCCCCGCTTCACACTCCTCCCAATCAACGTATGCGATATATCGCGCTGACCATTGTACACAGCCATTCGGGCCTCAGTCTCCGCAGTGACCAGAGCCGTATGCACCAAATCCCGACAGACATCCTTCTTCTCCTTCAACAGTTTGCGAGTGTTCGAGCCGGCAGGGGAAGAATGCTCGACTGCGTTCAGTACGGTATCGATGTGTTCGGCGACGCTGGCTCGGAAGATGTCGAATATGGGTAGTTTTTTGTTGTGTTGGAAGGTTTTGCCCCAGGGGGTGGAAATTTGTTGCTTGAAGGGCTCCATGAGAGCGGTGTTGAAGTTCGTGGAGTTGATGACTCCATGTCGGCGAAAAGCTGTTTCCCATTCGGTCAGCCTCGAGTACATAGCACTTCCCAGCTCGAGAGTATAATCAGTATACTGCTTTTTGGCTTACCTGCACGGAGTGTCTGCCAAGGCAGAGTGAAGAATTTTTCCAGTTCCTCTGGTGCCTGCTTTATGGCCTTTGGAAACAGCGTTACCGCCGCTCTTAGCTTCAACGGAGATAGACTAGGCAAAAGGTCCGAGAACCTACCAGCTTTTCGCCAAGCTCGCAATCAGCGCCCAAGCAGTTCTCAAACCGCTCCCTGACACTCAGGTCCACCCAAAGCGTGATCTTCTCGAAGTTCTGGGATCAGAAAGCAAATTTAGTAGGTTCACAAGTCGAACTGCAAGGCCAGGCCTCAACGACCACGGAGACCGACAACTCACCTGCCTCAATAAACGCGCGATCCCACCGTTTACCTCGCTGACATCGAGATCAGCTTTGTTTTGACTCTGAGGGTCCAACTCAGGCCCCGAATCCCACCTCTCCTTCATCTCCACCAAACTCTTATCCGCGGTCCCCCCAGCCAATGCATGACGAAAATGGTCCTCAATTTCCTGTATCCACGTCGTAAAATCATGGATGTAGGTTTCGGCTTGGACTGTCCGAGAGGCGAGGGTGAGGTTGTGGCATGAGGCGAGGAGGGAGGGGATCCCTGTGTCGGCTGGGTTGGTGAAGCAGTTTGGGGGACGTGTCGGGTCTGGGCAGGGGTGAAATAGGGTGAGTAAGAGTGGAGATTGGATAGAATTGGATGTCAGTCGTCCGTATCAGATGGATGGTACGAAAGAAAGGAAAGAGGGACATTCACCTCCTTGGCGCAAAAGTAGATAGTCTGTGGAAGAACAAGTGAAGACGTCGAGTTCTTGGATATCCTCGTCGTCCTCTTCGTCCTGACCTTTCATCGACGTGCGAGACTTGAGGATGCCTTCGCGAAATTGTGCTTGAAGATCGGCGCAGGCGCTCTATAGTACACATGTCGTCGTCGTACCAACAATGAATAAGGGGTCAGAGCACATGAGATGGACAGTAGGTCTGAGGTCAAAGTATGAACGCACCTGCGAGCGCTTCTTCGAGCAAAGCGCACGCTCGTCGCGAAGAGCTCTCTGCTGCTCGTTTCTCACCTCCTCAATCCGTTCCATTATCTCCCCTTTCTCCGCACGCGAAGCTACACAGAGGAGAATCCTCGTCAGGAAATCGAACATGGTTTGATCTGTCCAGCCCACCTGTTAAGCGCTTCTCTTCAAGGTCCGCGAGAGTTTCCCTACACTCCTGCAATCGCTGGTCGATATCGTCGAATTCATCGTCATTATCGCAGTCGTGGGTACTTCGCATATTGTAGTTCGAAATATCATCACACTTGGTCGCTTTTGAGTGTGATATGAAAAAGTCGTGGTTGGGAGTAAGCTTCATACATAATAAAAGCTGTCATGATAGATGAAGGACGTACCGATAATGGCTAGTTTCTCGGGTTCATACCTAGGCGATTATAGGTAATGAGTATGATGAAGATACCGGCTCGATTCTTGGATCACGTACTTGCCATCTGAACGTCACGGCCCAGCGATGAGGCTCATCACAGTGAAATGCTACCGTTAAAACAAAAGTCCTTACCCACTATAGAATCGTATTAGTCCCCACGACACACGTCCAAGTTGAGAAAGCAAGACTAACTTTTCATCTGAGTCTTGAACGCATCACCCAGAAAGTCTGCCACGCGTACAGCAATTTATCAGCCCTGAAACACACCAGAATATCGAGTTGATTAATCGACGCACCCCTGGCCAATTTATCATCCACCGCTCTCTGCATCGGCGCCACGATCCACAAAACATCCGCCTTCGAGTACTCCCTCGCCACACTCTCCCTCGCCGCATTCGAGTCCCAAAATCCAGGCAGATCCACAAGTACGACACCAGACTGCAACGCCTCCGATTTACACTTCATTTGTACCCCAGAGACGAGGGGCCAGAAGGCTCGAGCTCCGTTGGTCGCGGTGGAAGAGGAGGGGTTGTGAGAGAGTTTTTGACGTTTGGGGGGTTTGCGGGTGTGTATTTCTTGGGAGTCGATGTAGGGGTTTATCTGGGCGGCTAGCGATTGGGGGTCCGGAGCGGTGAAATATTGGATTGTTCCGAGCAGAGATTGGACGGCTTAGAGGGAGGGTAGGAAGGAGTAATTGGGAGATAAGTTGAGCCACGGTTCATACGCAATAAAGGAGAATCGACTGACTGGGATCCGAGGCTATAACCTCCTCATCTGTCATTTTAAAGAACTCTTCCAGAGACATCTCGGGGTACACGGATTTGAACTACTCCCAAGCAATCAACTTCAATGTCGTACACATAGTTTCCAGTAAGATAAGACCTACCTTAGACAAAGCGACCGCCACGTCGCCTTTCGAGTCCAGGAGGACGTCCATGGTGCCATCAGTTGGGTTGGTTATATCACTTCGTACCTTGGAAAGTTCCTCTGTCCAGCGAGCGACGTCGACAATACTGACGTCCGCTTCGTAGGTCGCTTTGGAGTGATACGAGATTTCGGTGACAGTCGCGGTGCCGGCTGGGTAGAATCTCAGTGACCATATATATCCAGTCGGGGGATGATGAAGAACTGACCACGATTACCCTTGACCGGAAGGATATCACCTTGTAGAAGTAAAGATGGTTTAAGCCAGATGGTAATCATAGATAGGGAAGAGAGAACCCTGACAACCGAGTAAAGCGTTGATGAGAGTAGACTTCCCCGCGCCGGTTGCTGGGCGAACGTGAGCTACGATTGGGTCTTCAGCGTGAGGAGAATATGCTCATGTACCTCCATATAATCCAACATAAGTCTTCGGGGTCGTTATATCGCACAACCTGGCGAAAACCCCACAACCGATTCTGGTGAGAACTGAGCCACTCGCTCGTTCGAACGAATCATACCTATCCGCACTCTGGTCCCACAATTGCTTATACCTCTCCTCAACCTGCACCGTGCTCAAGGAGAGCTTCAACTGCTGAACTTGAGATCTGAAAACATCCCAGACTGGAGAATGATAATCCCATAGCTTTGAGTTCAGTTGGTCTACTGGGTGACCGTGCATCGCCTCGTGCGCAGACTGAAGTGAATGACATCGCATTGAGCATGAACATGAGTGCTGTGCCCGTGCATTGCTGGAATTGATCAAGTCGCATGAAAGACGAACCGAATCTGCTGCGAAAGATTGCATTGGCTATTACTCGATTTCGAATGAGAGGAACTTCAAGAACAAAGGGGGGGCCGGGAAGGTAGAGGAAAGAAAGGGGAGTCAGGGTTGCACTGAGCCACTCGCACGCATGACAGTCTGCATTCGCGCGAGATGCCGGGTCCGAGCAAGTCAGCAAATGCACATATGTCCCCACATATGTGCGTCGCTTATGTTCACAATATGTTCTGCATATGTGCGAGAAGCATATGTGAATTTGATTTGGTAGACATATGTGAGATCTCAGATAGGAGAGTCACGTGCGTTGATCAACAACGATCTCAGACGGGGAAGCCCGATTCGACCTGGGGTCCGGGGCTGGAGGCGCTCGAGAACTTTATTCCCGCTACTTTAGTAGTGGGTCTTACAGGAAGTATCGTTCGGTTTTTGGCTTGTAATGCGACGACCTTCCCTATATGGTAGATGCTGACCAATTTCTGACTCAGCTTTCCCGCGCAAGCCCTCGCCACACTTCGTGAACATCCGTTTTGTCAACGCACTGCTAGTCCAAGTCATGAATTGTTTCTAGAGTATTCATGTCTGTTCATGTTTTTAGATCGTAGCCTCGGCAGGGTGTGAAGTGGGTGACTCTCCGTAGGGGATTTCACAGATTCTAGAGGCCTACATGCACAGCAAGGACGCTGATATCAATTTTTGATTAGGTGAGACTCCTTTATTTGTGTTTCTGTGCATCAGGAAGCCTTCTACATTGCTACAGAAAGTCACCCAATGTGGCACTAATATTAATGTACTAGTACTATGTCTGGGTCGCGAAGCTGCTGGGCGAAGCCCTGCAGCGGCAGTGACCCTTTGCTGCATTGGCACGTCATGTATACTCTTCGGACGTCATTAGTCCTGCAATCACTGACTCTGAGTTTGCTCCGGGAAACAATTCGAAAATATGAGACCAATTGAACATTTTATGCTCGTGTCCAATATGTTAGACTGGTACATTTGGAGCAGTAACTCAAAGCAAGTAGCGGGACCTGCCGTTCACCGGCCTTACGCCTGCGTTATTTGAACGGGATGGCGTCATTCCTGCCCCCCGCAGTCGCTGAAGATAGCCACCACCAACACCGCATCCTCTGAGAAAAAACATAGGGCTGTGAGCCTGCGGACAAGCCAATAGTATGTTTTTGGTGTTCTGTTCTCAGAGAGGTTTCTGGCTCTTCAGAGCTGTATATCAACGGTTTTTTTTCGATGGCTGGGTCTTGCAGAAGATGCGATATACTCGTGGGTATTTATTGCGCATTTAGAGCAACGTGATGCTCAAACAAGGGCCCCACGAGTGCGGTATGCGGCTGCTGGCAGCTGCGAGGCACCGCTCTTCCCGAAAAGGAGAACCTTCGCGTCCGACGTCATTCCAAGAGAAAGCGATGACGACGAAGGCCTAGCGCAGATATAAAGACTCCCGTTCGCGCGTCAACTCCATTTTTCAACGTTCCCGCTCTCCACCACCCTCACCTTCCACCTGCACGAGAATTTCACGACATGGCTAGGACAGGAGCGTGCCACCACTTTGCGACCTTCTTACTCTTTGCGGCATGTATATTGTTGTTAATAACGTCAATATCTGCACCGGTCGTAAACAATATTGCGTTGATGAAAGTCAACCTTTCCAACTCGTCCACCATCTCCTTTGGGACGTTCGGCTACTGTATCCTCAAGTGCGTTCAATTCCCTGTTGCTTTTCAATTAAAATAATGGAACTGACTGATTTGTGTTCACAGTTCGGGATCAGACGATGTTTGCACAGGCAGCCACGTTGGCTACTCGCCAGCGGACGTCATGTCCACAGCTGACGGAACGGGCTTCAACACCGCTGCTGCAGACAGTGCTAATGCTCTCACGAATGTCATGATCCTCCACCCTATCGCCTGTGGCCTCGCCTTCATCGCCTTCCTCCTCGCTCTTGGCGCAGGAGTCATCGGCTCAGTCTTCGCGAGCATCTTTGCCTTCATCGCATGGGTTGTCACTCTCGTGGTCATGGCCATCGACTTTGCTCTGTTCGGAGTGCGTATTTCATCTCATGCTTGTTTCTACTTTTTTTTTCTCTCGCTATTATTATCCATCATAACTGACGTCAATTATCCTTGTGTTAATTTTAGATCATTAAAGACCACGTTAACGACGACGGTTCAGGCAGCCACGCCTTCTACAGTGTCGCAATGTGGACCTGTCTCGCCGCCATGGTCGCCCTCTTCCTCGGCATGTTCTTGGTCCTCTTCACATGCTGCAGCGCGCGGAGAAATCGTCGCATGTCCAAGACCGCGGATCCCGTTTACGGTAACGGGGCCGGCGCTACGACCACCCGTCGTCGTTTCTGGCAGAGGAGGACACGCTACTAAACGGATCGACTTGGCTCTTGTTCTGCATGAGCGAGTTGTTTTTCGGGGGTAGAGCGTGTGGGAGTGGTGAAATTTTTCTGGGTTCTTTTCGCTGGGTGTGATGGGAGTTGAGATGGTGTTCAAAAAATACTCACTTCCATTCGAACGCTACGGACTTTTCATGATATTTTAATGACTCGGATGCCCTTGACTGTTTTCTTCGTGTAGCTTACCTACCTCTATGCACCCTGCTCCGGACTCGACTTTCTTCGCCTTCGCCATCGTTTGTTTATTATCGCGCTCAGTGCTCAGTACTCAGTGCTCCCCCGCCCTCCTCATCCACCCCTTTTTGCTGTGTTATCCTACTACCAGCACCCCTTTATACCAGGATACTGTCGTCTCCGATTGTATACTTACCAGTACCTTATGGGTTGCCTTTCCGGGTACGACTGTATGATATGTAATGATTGCTTGACCGTTTCTTGCCAGACAATTGTGCTGCTTTCACAGAAAGGTTTTCTTGTGTGATGTGTGGCGTAAATTCGTGCCGAACGTCAGCCCTGCAGCTGGCAGGTCAATACCACACGGTCCACGAGGAATTGGCCCGTCAACCAAGGTGCGGCCTCCATATAGCATCACGAAAGTTGACCGCGGTGATCATCACCTTCAGCGAAAACGACGGTCTACTGGAAGGAGCCTTCAAGGTTGGGAGTGACCCAGTGTGGCGTTCATTACGTGTCGGGTGTGCCACCAGTCATTGGGAACAGCTCGATGAGTGTTGAGATCGCCCATTCGTGATACAATAAGTATCATTGAAAATGTCGCGATAAACTAGATGCATCGTAGTGTTCTACAATCCGCCATCTCCACTAGATATTATAACCAGTATACGAGATGAGACCAAGTTCGCACAGCTACCGACCGCCGCGCAACATCCGCAAAGCCAGCTCTTCTTCATCCTCCAGCGTGGATATATCTTCCCGTCTTGATGACTGTGGTGTTTGATGATGTTTGCTACGCTTCGGTGGTGGAGGAGCATCGTCTTCGTCCTCGGAAGACGCTGGTGGCAGGTCGAAATCTGGGGAGACGTATCCGTCGTCATCGTCCACCGGGGCGAGCACCGGGGCGTCCATGCCATCGCCTTCCGCCTACAGGAACACACGCAAACAAGAGACGTGAGTTGAAGAGTCGTGGAGAAGAATACAAGTAGGGAAAAACGTACCTCGCGTTCTCTCTCCTTCCTTTTCCTCTTCTTCTCCTTCTTCTTCTCCTTCGCCTCCTCCTTATCCCTCACATCCGCCTCCCTCAACCTCCCCCTCTCACTCTCCACGAACTTCTTCCCCGCCTCCTTCACGTCCCCATCCTGTTTCCCCTCCCCAAACACATCATCCACATCTTTCATCTCATAAACCTCATGCGGCTTCCCTTCATCATCAAACACCAACTTCGTAGGCGCCCCTTTATACTTCAACATCGCGCGCTTGCTCGTCCCGGCTTTCAGTTTCCGTTTCGAGATGTTTTCGGAGGAGGGGAGTGCGTCGTCCCCCGGCAGGGCGTGGTCCGCGCGGGCGAGGGTGATGAAGTCGTCGTCAGAGTCGGACGCGTCGCCGGAGCGGTTGAGGGTGGGGTCGAGGGAGTGGTCGACTAGTTTGGTGTAATGCGAGGAGAGGATGTTTTGGTTTTTCCGTTCAAACATGCGGTCGTACTTTGTGCGCACTTTGCTTGACTATGCGAATATGAAGGCGTGAGCGATAACAGAAAAGAATAGGAGAAACGGAAAGTAAGTTACCTTCGACTCCGTTGGTTGTTCTAGCTTCTCAGCCTCATTTTCCGACCCGTCTTCGCCCTCGTCGGATGAAGAGCCCTCCTCAGAACTCTCGGCCTTCGCTCCACCCTGCTCTTTCTCGATCTCGGCCTGTAGGGCAGCGACAGCCCGTGACGCATTCTTCTTTTCTTTTGCCTTCTCCTTGCTCAGGAACTTGATCTTGGGTGCTCCAGGAAGACCTAGTGAAGCGGCGAATTCTTCCGCCGGTAGTTCGGTGACCTTGAAGACCTCCTTGTCCTTCTGCAGATGCACAGACCGGAGGTATGAGACGAACGCCTAGAAAAGTCAAGACCCTTAGCAGTTAGATCGCGCGAGCACATCAAATGAAAGGAGAAGACTCACCCTCTGCGCAAGATACTTGATCTCCGGTTCCTGGAACGCCAAGTTCTGCAACATATTCTCAATGCTCTGCGTCTTACTCTCCCTGATCTTGATCTTCGCCACCTCCACCCCTTTCTCTTTCAAGCTCTTCATCATCCCTTCCTCCTCACTCGGACATAGCATCAGCATCGCCTTCCCATTACTCTCGTACCTCGCCGTCCTGCCCACCCTATGCACATACGTCTCCGCATCCTCGGGCGCATCCACCTGCACCACCCAATTCACGCTCGGGAAATCTAGACCTCTCGCTGCGATATCCGTAGCGAAGAGTACCGCGTGCTGCATGGTCGTGAATCGATTGAACGTCTGCAGGCGTGTCATTTGTTTTTGTTTGCCGTAGAGGTGGAGGAGCGGAACACCGGGGTGCATACGCTTGAAAGTCTCGAAAACGAAGCGGACTTGCTTGGACGAGGACATGAAGACGAGGATTTTGGATTGTAGATGCGTTTTTATGAAGGACCAGAGGATGGAGAGTTTTTTCGGGAGGGGAGATATGATGTAGTGCTGTTCGAGACCTTTGGGGATGGCAAGGTGCTTGTCGTTCGTGGCGGCATCGGTTTCCGGGGAGTCGGAGGGTTGGGAGTGGGCAGAGACGAAGACGGGGTCCTTGAGAGAAAGACGAGCGAGGTCGGCGACGGATTTGGTTTGGGTGGCGGAGAAGAGGAGGGTTTGACGGGATTTCGGGAGGTGGGAGAGGAGGGCGGTAAGGGTACGGGAGAAACCCATGTCAAGAATACGGTCTGCTTCATCGAGAACTGGAGTCAAGGGTATAAGTGATATGATGTGATCCGAACCAAAGGGGGGCACGCACCTAACAGCTGAAGGTTGTCACTCTCAAAGCCTACAGTCTGGTCCATATGCTGGAGCAACCGTCCAGGTGTTGCAACAAGGATGTTCATCCGTGATAGGCGATCTCGCTCATCCTTCAGGTTCTTTCCACCAATAACGAGACCGGCAGAGAAACTGTGATAGCCTCCTATCGAACGAAGTACTTCGAAAATTTGCACGGCCTGTCCAGAGACTGTCAAAAATCGGCCAGTGTGAGTAAGAAGTGGACAAGACGCACCAGTTCTCGGGTTGGGGATATGATCAAAGCTCCCAGACCATCCTGGGGACCCCACTTCCGTCGGTAGAGAATTTCGAGAACAGGTATGAGAAAAGCAAGCGTTTTGCCGCTTCCTGTACGAGCTGCCCCGAGTACGTCTTTGCCTTTCAGCGAGACAGGTAGACTTTTGGCTTGAATATCCGTCATGTCTACGAAGAATGCCTTTCTAAGTCCTGCATACAAGCGAAGGATGCTTAGTTTGAATATTCCCTCGAGACAGTACGTCGAGAAGTCTTACCCCGCTTCGTGGGCTCGGAAAGAGGTAAATCGGCAAAGGCCTTCAATTCATTTCCTGGAACCTGATCTCAGCGCTGTGTCAATGAGCTATGGATGAGGTACAAGACAAGAGCGTATACACACAAATTCCTGTGCGGCTCGCTCGAGGTTCTCGATTTGCTGCTTTTCAGAGAGTTTCTTGACCTTCGAGCCATGGACGGGCCGTTGTCCTTTTTTCTGGGGGTGTTTTTTGGGCTGAGATGGACCAGGTCGTGATGACATGGCGTACTAAGAGAGAAATGAGAGTTACAGACGCTCTAGTCTTAGTCTGCTGCAGGCTGAAGGACGTACTTATGGTGAAGAGGAAGTCTGTAATTTGTGGCGACTGAAATTTCACACAGATCCGGCAAATGCCATTCCAACTTTGTCTGCGCCACCCTCTGCCTTTCTGGGTCAATCCCTGAGCGCTTTGGCCCAGGAGGAACTCTACCTTCGGCAGCACCAACCTTGCTGGAAGGATAATTTCTTTGAAAGCTCTTTACTCTCGCCAGTACAGCGTACTGCTCACTGAAAGACCCCTGGCCCCTTGCGTCTGCCGTACTGGGGTGTTTCCTATTGCTTTGCAACGACACCTGCAGTGGTCTTTCGATTCGATCGTAAATAAGCAACTACTTGGCACCGACTACCGCTGACATTGCGGCACATACACGAAGCTCATATGATACATAATCCTATATCCATAGTACATCCGAGCAACATCTGAAACAGCTACTGACCGTGAGTAGAGGTCATCACAAGTGCGCTTTCGCGCCGGAAACCAATCCTCCTCCATCAACGACGATGTGGGCTCCGGTGACGTACGCAGCCGCCGGGCTTGTGAGGAAAAGGGCTGAGAGGAGTCATGCCTCAACAAGCATAAAAAAGGGCCAGAGCACAATTTCACGCACCTACACCCGCCATGTCGCGCGGCTCTCCCACTCGACCTATCATAAGTGATTGAGCTCTTGTTCGTGACCTTACATTGTTTGAATGGTCATACCGAACGGATGACCACTAGCCATCTTGTCAGATCCTCCGACCTTTTTGAAGCCGAATGCTGTCATCTTTGAGGGGAATACACTGAGGTGAGATAAGACTATGAGTGTCTCGTCGCAACGTCTTCAATAATCAAAATAACAATGCACCCAGGGAGGATGGCGTTCACTCTGTTGCCATCATTGTTTCAGCCGAATGGAATTGAGTAGTGCTGATCAGATGAACACGTACGTGATATACTTGGGAGCCAAAGTCACAGCGAGTTGCGACGTGAGGTGGTTCACTGGACTCCGGATCGAGATCAGCAATGTATTGGAGTATTCATCGAGAGCTTACCAGCGGCTTTGCTCGTATTGTCTGTTTTTTTGGACGAAAGCATCGTATTTTCGTGAGATTGAGACTATTAGAGATAATGTAAGCTTACAGCTCCATAGACCAGTCCCAGGGGCAGCCACACGCGATCCTTCGGCGACAGGAGAAAGGCCTGCGATCGAGGAAATGTTGATGACTCTTCTAGGATCAGCATTCGTGGAACCCTTCGCAAGGAGGTCTGTAAATCTAAGAGCGATTTTAGTAGCAGGACGATCGGCACACTAGGGGCGAGGAAACACACCCTGAAGTGACTGTACGCGGAGGCAAGAACATGAACTTCTTGGAATATTACCGGCTTATATTTCGAGTATCACCTACGGTAAAATATCGACTTGACATTCAACGCAAGAATTTTATCCCAGCCTTCTTTCTCGGGGAAACTAAACAAAATGTCGGATGAGTGCAGCTCTGGTCTACGCATGAGGATGTAATATTTACTTGTCGTATGGGGCGCCCCACGTTGCTCCTGAATTGTTGACTAGTATATGAATCTTGCTCTCTTTAGCCTTGATGGCGTCCACCAATTTCTGGCAGCCAGCTTGACTCTGAGCTGATTTTGTCAACTCCTGTTTCGTGTGAAGTTAGATACCAAAAGGAAGGACTTACACTGATATCTGCGACTAAATAGTCGCACGAGCCAGGTCCAGCCTTGTTCAGCTGATCTGAGACCTTACGACAGGTTTAGAGCCGTCCAATCAGTATAAAGTAATGTATGTACCTCTTTCAGCTGCTTTTCTTTCCGAGAGGCAATGTAGACCTTTGCGCCGTTCAGGACGAGAGCAGAAGCAATCATCGTGCCTATACCGCTACCACCACCGGTGACTACAGCTGTACAAACAGAGTACATGTTAAACATGATCCATTGAGTGGAATACTCAAGATACGCACCGATTTTGCCTTGTACATTGAAGAGACTGGGTATGCTCAGAGAAGGGTCTTATGCATGTGGCACAGACGGTAGAGCATGAGTATACGATCTGTTTTGCCAGGAAACCTGTCAGTTCGATGGATTGCACTCACAGTCAGACATTGAAAACCGAGGTTCGAAGTGGTGGTCTGCGTGGAAGTATAGGAAAGAGGTGATAGTGGTAAGGAAGGAGGGCCACCTTGAACTAAGGCTCGTGTGGGGAAGCGCGCACCGGGAACGGGCACATTTTAACCCGGCAAGGTCCTCGTGGTGTCGCGTTCGGGATGCCGCTTTCTTGCCGCTTTCAAACGCGTCGCCACACGTCGCGTCCGAGCTCTGATCTGTCTCTACACTTTCAAACTCGCCCTCTATTTTTTTGGAAACACGCATAGTCAGGTTTTCCGTCGTATTGTCGCGTCCAGCTGAGTTATCTGTCACCCGGACTGACCTCACATTTATGCGCGTGTCATAATCGTCCTATCTTTCTCTCGTCCTTGAAACAAACTTGGCTCGAAACATACAACTTGAGGTTGTAGCGCCACATTCCGACAAAGGGACTCGTAGCGAACACCCTGGCCACAAGTGGTTTGTTGCGGTTTACACGGAGACAGGTTCTGGCTAATCGGAACATTATAGATTCTTTGTAGCCCACGATGGTGACGCCGACAAAGAGTACACGCTCATCACTAGCTTTCCACAAGTTCCCCACTTTCTACTCCTGTTACCTCCTCAAGTCACATTGGATCCCGAGGTCCACCGTGTAATTCATCCACTCCGTAACACCATGTTCATGACTCACACTCATCTGCTCAGTACATATATAGGAAGCACCCCCAATCCGGTACGAGCTGTCCTTGATGTCCATAAGTAATCAGCATCGTTTGCTCACCACGTCTCGTACAGCCTCGTCGAATACGGTAATGTCTTGCAGCTCTCTTCATATATTTGGACCACTATTTCAGCTCCTAATACGACCCCTTCACAGTCAGCATAATGGCGAAATCACTCAAGGGGCTTGGAAAACGAAAAACAAGCGCCCTTGGGTGATGCAGATGGTCGTCTATGGTTTTCCCTCAAAGCTTGCTGCTCTACAATTCGAATGGGCCTGGCAGCATCCCCACGTCTCTCGAAACCTGCGTGATGATGCTGGGAGCGCTCTCTTCAAACGAGGAACCGGCATGAAACGGAACATCCTGTGGGTACTCTCTTCCTGCATCATCATGTTCCCAACAATGCCTCATTGCCGCTTCCTGTGGGAAATCCATCTAAAAGTGTTGCTCGTACGATGCTGTCGTATCATCCTTATAACGTGTGGCCACTTCATGTGAAGATCTTCACGGAGGAGGCGGAGAAAATATGGGAAGATGTGTCTAAGGCCGCAGACGTTAAGTTTCCTCTGCCTCGAGGCTTTACATACTGCATCGAATATGAAGGCGTGGATGGTAAGTCCGGGAAAACAAACACAGAACGCATTGGACCTGTTGATGTATCTGATGGTACGAAGCTTGTTATTTTTGGTGGCGATCCTTCCCTTTGCTGAAAGCTTCATCCTTCTAGACCAATTCACTACGGCGCATCTGACCAAGTGGCAGACTCTACTTCACAATGCGGGAAGTGGCCTGGAATGCTCGGTCTGCCATGAAAGGTTGGACATTTCCGCCAAGGTGAGTCATACGTATGGCGGATCCCGGGAAGCGCAGGAGTGATCCTCACATTTTGATTGAATGAACCGCCAGGAGTCTTTGACTACTTCACTATGTCCTACGAACGGCTGTCAGGCAGTCTCTCACCTTCGATGCCTCTCTCGGTTCTTTCTAGAGCGAGAAAAGCAAGGTACGACCATTATTCCCCGCGGCGGCAGTTGCCCGAACTGCCGGTCATATGTTCTCTGGGGAGACGTTGTCAAGGGTTGCTTTAGGAGGTATGCAGGGAAAGCGCTACAAGAGGACGAAGACGAAGACGACGAAGACACCGGTGAACTGTCCAGCGCAGGTGAGGAAAACGTTATGGCCGCGGTCGACGCTCTGGACCCTCTGCAGGCACAGGATAAAGTCGTCGAAGTAGCCACGAAGCAGAAGACGAGACGTACGGACGACAACGCCATGAGACCAACGAGTGAAGAAGTCATTCCAAGAAAAGGTAAACACGATAGTTCCCCTCGTTACACGCTAAGTCAGGACAAGATGGCTCACATGATATCTCTCTCTATCAGGTCGCCCTCTAAAAACGGTCCATCCCAGTGAAAAGGCCAAAAAGCGACCAAGGGCAACGGGCATGAGCACCAAGACCAAACGGGCATACTATACCACCGCGAACGTTGCGGATGCCGACGACGCCGAGGAGTTCTTCGACTTGAACGTGATCAGCGCAGACTCTGGCTCTGATGACAATGCACCGCCAGCCCCTGTTCGACCTCAATCCAAGGCGGTGAACAGGTCTGTCAAGTCCCGCAGCAAGCCTCCCTTACCACAGCCCAGCGCAGGCCCTTCCCGCACTGCTTCGACGAAGTTCAGGCATCTTTATGGTGGCGATTCAGACCAGATATCTGCCATCCATCTTCGAGACCCACCCTTGAGCAAGAAGTCATCGAGTCTTCCGAATCTTCCTTTCATCTCAAAAGCTGGCCCGCTACGATCCCAACGTGACGACATGATGGCCGATGAGCTAGCGACTGTAGAGGAAGATGATGCTTTCGCAATGGGCTTCGGCGGCGACCTTCTACAGGCTCGCGATTCTCAACAGCGCGCTCCCCCACGTGCCCGAGGACGAAACACAGCGTCTTCCAGCAACATCTCGGCAGCTCCGCGGGAAAAAGTTGGCAAGAACCGTCAGATGGTCAAGAATCGGTCTCATCCACATCTCTTCCTCGGCGGTGTGCACGCCACGGATGGAGAAAGTACTAGTAATATCGATATGCTGGACAGCCTCTTCGATCTGGACACTACACCTCATCAACTCCCAGGCTCTTCAGATTCGTCGAGGAGACAGCCAACCTTCCCTGTGGATCAATCTGGCGTGGCGTCGTGTTCGCCTGCTAAGCGGAGGCGCCTCGATCTTTTGGAAGGAGAGGAGGACTTCTTCGATTCTACGGGCGATGAGAACGTAGATATGAACAATAATGTGTTGAGGGCTTCTGAGGATCAGGATCGACCCGTCCCGCCTCTGCGTTCCCGACATCTATCCAGAGCTCCATCCGACGAGATCGACGGCCCTCATCGACACAATGGTGGAGGTGTCGCCTATTTGGAGAGGAGTATGTCAGCTTTGTCGGTTTCTTCTCCGGACCCTTCGCCGATGTTGGGATCCACACAACCTGCGAGTTCGCGAGGCGCCACACATACGAAAGGGGACGACGATGTCGAGATAATTGTCCTTTCTGACTAATATCACTGTAGACCTTCTCGAGAGGATCACCCTATTAGATATACGATCTTAGGCATGATCCAGACGGCGAACTCGGACGATACATCGACATCATCTGTTTCAGTGGCTGTAGAGTTAGAGTTCGTGATCATACGTCGAACTCTGCAATAATTCCAACCCCGATCCCCACACGGTACGAACCTAAATTCACACCGATGATACGGTGGACAATGCTTGCGCAAGTTCATTCTATACCATCGCGTCAGGGCGAGGCCGGCGACTGCATAGTTCACCGTATCGTGGTTCGTATTCGGTTGGTGCTCCAGGCGAAGACGAGCATCATGACCCTTGAGGGCTCGGTGTCTGATTGGAGGAACAGTCAGACCGCCCCCATCATCTGAGGTACTGCTCATCGGTCCTATGTTTGATCAGTACAAGGCAGTCGCGCCCCCAGTGAGAAGATACTTCGCTTTAAAGAGACCCCAAGAAAGTATGGTCTGATCATCCAATCAACATCACCAATAATGAAAGCTGAGTTGAGAGATGTGTTGGCTTCAACGGGGGACATAACGAAAGGGGTTGGGTGAGCCTTCTCTCTGGATACAGCATGCGAACGTATGGCAACTTGCTCACTGCGGATAGTAATCCTCCTGTGCCATCCGGGCACTATCTGTTCCGTAGACCAACGAGGTTGATCGTGCCCCAGGGACTAAGAGACCCAAATACAGGTTGACAACCAGGGCCAGCGAATGTACGAGTCTTGAAGGGACACGGTCAACGAGCAGCGGCGTGAGGCTTTGAGGACGTGAGATGAGCAAACCAAACAGCGCCGACCGAACCGTGTCCCCAGAGAGGGAACGGCAGTAACCACTGGCGTCCCACCGATTCTCGAGAAGCGGCCAGCAAGCAGGCGTGGATGGGATCTCTGCGACGTTCTGATGTAGGTGGGATAGAGTTTTGACCCATGGAGGACAATCGAGCCGATTCCGGTGGCGTATGGGCGTTCGTGTTCACACATGCACTCCGAGGAAGTCGTTCCGGAAGTACGCATGTTTGATGGTTGATGTACAGAAGATCTATCGTCGTCGAGGAAGAGGCAAAGCACGATTGCACCGTAACATAATTAAATCGCATGCAATTTGAGGTACAGCAATTGGTAATGCAACCGTATATATGGAAAGCCAACTATGGACGGCTATCCTGACAGGGCTGGATAACGCTCACTTGTCTCCCATTCCTCACGTCGGTTCTTGCCTCGAAGTGAGCGTCGCGACGCCCGCGCTCAATATCTTCACCCCTAGCGGATGCACAGGGGCCCATATCGGCAGTCGACGTACTATACCCACGATGGAGGGGAATTCATGACCGTGCTTCCAGTAAGTCCACCCAGAGCAGCGAAATAGCACTGTCGACTGACATGACCGCATAGCCCATGTCGACGCAGGAAGATCTTCTCCAACAGCGAACAATGACGAGCAGACATTCAAGACAGATCAATTTTGGATACCCACCGGAAAGACATCAAAGCTACTGGAATGATGAAGTAGAGGTTGAGACGCGTCGTAGTCGTCTTGGACGGAAGCTTTCAGTACGTAATTACCATAGCCCACAACGACCGTCCCTTGACTGTTCTAGGGAAGAACAGAAATTCGCGAAAACTGTACGACGCAAGCTGAAGAAGTTGGCAGAAAAGGTTACGGGCTGACCGTCAAGTTTGATGTCGCTAGGCAGTATGCAATGAACACGACCACCGATGACCGTTCCTACCTAGGTGATGTTTGTCAGTATGATCTTCGAAACAAGAGGGAGTGGAGGAGGACCCTCAGACACAAATATGTTGTCCTCAAGGCAAATAGGACATATGCTTGTATAATGAAAGAACATCGTAGGGAGGTGTTGAAAGAGAAAACTCGAGCTCACCTGTTGCTCACTCGGCAGCGCCCTATGCATAGATACGAACGACCTATATCGTAGGAAGACTGATTAGCATACGTCAATATCAAGACGAAGCGAACGAAGGGAGATGGTCAGAAATGGTATTTTTGGTAAGATGGGTATCCACAAAGAGATTGCTCTCTCTTCGGAAGCAGAACTGAATAGTTAAAATCATCACAAAAGACTGCCGGTAGGGGCATCAACGACATCAAAGACAGATCCTCACCTGAGTTCATCCGGCAACCATGCACCAACGACGTCGTTGTTGTTCGTGAAGACAACCGGAGAAGAGCAAGAGAAAAAAGACAGACGCGTCGGTGGCTGCGTGAACGTCTTTTTGAGCTGTACAGCTGAGCTCAAAAATAGAGCTCCGCCGCGGAGAGTGCCGTGTCCATTATTTTCTGGTCAACGTGGACTCAACTCCCAATTCCCGACTCCCATCTCCTCCGCTAGATTCTGCACCAGGTGTCTTTAATTGTGAGTATATTTCTCCCATTGGATCGTGTCTTTCAGTTGTGTACTTTCTGCGATGAAGAAAATTATCCATTTTTTCGAGTGGTGAGGTTTCCTGTGAACCATACTCTCAACATGCATCACCAACGGAGCAGTCTTTATCTTTCATTTTTCTATTCTTTTCTCCCACTTCCGTGCTCATACTCGATGCGATTCCAGCAGCTGACCACTGTCCAGTCTCTTTAGGGTTGCTATTCGTCTACACCTCCATACTACCTTTAGGTGAGCAATCTGCTTCCGTGCTCTCGTTGCCCAAAGGACGAAAATAAGTTCATCCATTCGTTGATTACTCGATATCGCTCTATCTCTGGGGCCGCTTCTGTCTCGCGATGGGAGTAGTGCTGGCTCTCTCCGTCTTGGAGAGGGTCGGTTGGTCTCGGGGACTGTTGTGGTTCGAGGGCTAAGAAAACACTGGCTTCTCTGATCACCCTCCTCCTTACCTCCTCGGGTTGTTTTCCATGCACTGACTCTTTCGTCTTTCAGGTGGAATTGCATGCTTGATGCAAGGTTTCTTCAGAGGCGGTGTTAGTAGAGTGAGGCAATATGTAAGTTAATGTATAATAAGTTGTAATTTTCCTGTCCGCTAGGGTATATTTCGAATCCGACATCACGAAGCGTGATTTTACCCCTTCTTGATTTGTGGTGGTTCAGGATCCCGATTTGCGCGTGATACATCGCCTCGATACATCGTCTTGAGCGAGGTAAGACATCGAAAGAACTCTGTGAAGTTGTGTGAAGTTGTAGTAAAGTTGTACGGTATTGACGTCCGACTATTCTTTTGAACACGAATGTCATTGCAGGTCCTGCCTGTTCGGTATGGTGATGTCTGGGCAACATCGTCAAGGGAATCTCTACTGTTGGTATGTCGTTACTAACTACGATTTGCTGCTACTTCTCTCACACTGAGTCCTATACACAGCAATCTACAAGTGCTTTGTCTCCTGTTGTTCAGTCCGTACATCTTTCAAGAAGTTGAGCGGGCTCAGGTTGCTCAAGTCTCCACATTTCATCTCACCCTCCATAATCAATTCGCTCAACGCCTTCGCCGTGCCCGGAGCGTTACTTACGCCCTACAGTAATATGGCCAAAATTTCAGTCACCCAGCATCTGGATAGCAGAGCACATACCCGTCGACGAAATGTACTTACCCAGAAATTATGACCAGCGGCGACGACAAGACCCTCGACGCCTGAAATGGTCCCAATGATAGGCCCTTCCGGATGAGCATCCCCCGAACTCGATCTTTTGACGAACGGAACATAACAACACTGCCTGGATATCACTTCACCGAGCACGTCGCTCCTGATGATTCCGCCATCTCGAGGTTCAGCCACCCACTTCCATATATCTTCACAGGCGGACTGGTCCACCAGTACCTCGTCGACGCTGGCGGGCAATGGTACGCGTGTGTCCCCGGGACCACAGACGTATATTGTCGAGTCGGGACGGGGGTAGATCTCTGGTGTTACTGTGGTTGTCTGTAGGCGTGCAGAATCAGAGGTGGGTGAAGGGAGTGCGATGGACGTGAAGAGCGCATGGGGGGAGTGTGTGATTTCGGCGGAGACCGGAGGTGATGGAGGGCTAATGATGATACTGTGTCCTCGCACGGCCGTGATGGGCAATGAAGGGAGGAGTGTTGGAGACCAAGGTCCTGCAGCCAGGATTATACAGTCTGCTTCGAGGGTCTTCACCTCGACCTCCATAGAAGCATCACCGTCCACAGATACTGGGATATACTGCACCCCGGTCACCCGATCGGACGTCATCTCCAGCGATGTCACCCGTCCTCGGATGAACTCAACCCCGTTCTGGATGGCTAGTTCAAGCATACTAGTGGTGAACAAGTACGGGTGAACTTGTGCGGAGTCCCCTCTCGCAGCTATCGGTGTATACGAGTCCGTCAACTGCTCGTTCACCCACGTCAAATCTGACGGGAGACCCTTCCGGACCTTCTCTTTTGATGCCTCTTCACCCGACCCATGCTCTAGTATACCGTTCTTTCCACCCACACGGCCCTTCCACTCTCCAACCTCTATCAACCTCCACCCCCACCTCTCCGCGCCACCAAACTCCTCCGCCAACCGAACATGTTCCTCAAAGCTCAAACGAGCGAGCTCCTCCGGTTTTGCCCACCTCGCGACCAAACCTCCAGCTTTTCCAGAGGCACCCTGCGCTGGCCCCACTTTGGATGCCTCGACGATGGTGATCCGTGTGGGTCCTACCGACGACGGGGAGGTGCTGTCCGAAGGCTGAGATTTTGTGGCTACTGCCGGGTGGCGGGAGAGGTAGTACGCCGTGGTGCATCCGATGATCCCTGCGCCGACGATAACTATGTGTTTTGGAGCCATCGAAAGGCTGGATGGATGGGATGACAGTCCTTAGTTACATGACTTGGCAGTCGGACCCACAGTTTGCGTACATCTTGGGAGGCAGGCGCGCTGTAAGTCCATTCGGACGATCACTTGACTTCAGTATAAATAGAGAGGACAATTTGACTTTGTGAAGTTTTTTGTTTCTCGCTCAAAGCGAACACGACAAGCATCTCTCTCGGACAGGATTGATTGACAATGCCTTCATGAAAGATCACGATGGGCAAGCCAACTATCACGATAGCAGACGATAGCGCGCCGTTCGACAACGTCGACAGCAACAACTACTTACTACTGCGCACCCGAAGTACTATACGCCCAGAACGAGGAGAAATCATGACCAGCGTTAACCCCTAGTACCACCGTAGCGTCCATCTATCCATCGAACGGCCAACCAGACCAGGAGAGAAAGTCCGCACGGTGACCGAGGGTATAGTACTTTAACTTGAATTGAATATGGATAACGAGGCAGTAAAAAGTAGAGTAAGTAATAGTGACACGACGGGCGAACGGTTCTCCTCCTCTTCATCTGTAGGCGAGGAGATGAGATTGATATATGTAGGTAGGCAAGTAGGTAGGTAATGAAATAAACGGAATAAAAGAAGACGAACGAGAGCCCAAAGATCCGAGGTCATGAGAGCGACGACGTGATGTGACGACATGGAAGTATCGTATAAAGTTCGTGAGGTCGAACACGGAGCAGAAGCAAGGCAAGGGGGTAAGGGGAAGCAGTCGAAGGTAATGTATGCAATAAAAAGGATCAAAAAAACCCGTGGTACGGAGGAGGATGCCAAGAACAACGAATCCATGTGAATGAGTGAGGATGAGACCGGAGGAGATAGATGAGACGAGACCGGCGAGGATTGTATGCGGGCGAGTGATCATAAGGACTACAACGTGGAGAGTCTGATGCGATACTGGCTATAGCTCTACGAAACAGCAATGAAGAGAGATGATGCATGGGAACGACGAAAACAAGAGACGGCAAGCAGAAACCAAAACAGAGGAGGAAAAACGTCCGAACACAGCCCTAGTTCTTACTGAGAGCTTGAAGCTGGACGTATTCGTAGTAACCTCCACGCTTGGAAAGTAGTTGGTCGTGCGTCCCCGACTCGCTGACCGCACCGTCCTTGATGAAGTAGATGCAGTCGGCATTCTGAATCGTCGACAACCGATGCGCGATGGCGATCGTCGTCCGGCCCTTCGCAGCAACGTCCAATGCCGTTTGCACGATCTTCTCCGAGTTGGAGTCGAGAGCGGAGGTGGCCTCATCGAGCAGGAGAACCTTCGGGTTACGGAGCAGTGCACGGGCGATAGCGATACGTTCTATCGGATCCTATCCATCAGTACACGAACCTTGACGGACGATGAGACGAGTGAACTTACGCTTCTGACCACCAGACAGTTGAGAGCCTTTGCCACCGACATCGGTGTCGAAGCCACTGTGGAAAAGACAAAATCAGCCACCGACACGAAGATATAGAACGGGGTAATGCACGTACTCAGGCAAGCTCTCGATGAACGACAGGATGTTTGCATTTCTGCAAGCCTGCTCGAGCTCTTCCTGTGTGACCTCTTCCCTTGGCTTCGTGGCACCAAGCAAAATGTTGAAGCGAATAGTACCAGCGTAAAGTGTCTGCGAACATGATCCATATCAGTACACCAGGACGGGAAGGAATGAACAGGAAGGTAACACGTACCGGCTCCTGTGAGACCAAAGCGATGTTCTTCCGGTACTCCTGGACGTTCATCTCGTTGATCGGCTGGCCATCGAGATACACACCACCGTGCAAAGGATCATAGAATCGCTCCATAAGTTGAATACTATGAGAACCACCGCCCGATTAGCATCGAATAAAGTCGAGAAACAAAAATCGGGACTTACACCGTACTCTTCCCGCAACCACTAGCACCAACGAGCGCGACATAGGTCCCAGGCTTCACATCGAGGTTCAAATCCCTCAACACTCTCACACCCGGCCTCGTCGGATATCTGAAGTGCACATTCTCAAACTTGATATGTCCCTGCACGTCCTTCGGGACGTTGCCCTCCGTTGACTCCGCGTCGATCTCGGGCACCGACTCGAGCAAGTGCGTGATGTGCGACGCCGATCCCTTCGCGGACGAGATGTCGGGCACGAACGAGAACACGTTCCCGGCCTGGATCGCGCCGAACACGGTGGACATGAGGCCGATGAAAAAGTCGAAGGTGGAGAACTCGAGGAAGGAGACGAGCCGGGAGCCGTACCAGAAGACAAGGGAGATGACGAAGAAGGCGAAGCACTGCGAGAGCGAATACAGCCCGTTGGACCAGATGGCCGTCCTGTTCGATTTCCGGAGCGGTTCCTCGAGGGACTCGCTGTAGATGGCCAGGCAGTCTTCTTCACGGGTGAGCGAAGCGACGGTGCGGATGGCCGCCGCCGCCTCACAGGCGAGTTGTGCCGAATGCTCGTGAGCCTTCTTGTTCTGCTGATCCTTCAGGACAACGACGCGCTGGAAGAGAAGTATCGAGGTAAGTCTACGCGCGAACGAGGGAAAGAAACTTTGCGGCTCACCAGACGGATGTAACCAGTGGAGACCAAGAGAGGAACGCAGGCTGTTTCCTTGGTTAGCACATCGACGCGCACAGTGTAGGGATGATGTCAACTTACCGAAACCAACAAGGCCGAGTTTCCAGATGAAGACAAGACCAAGGATCGTACCGAGGACCAAAGTCGCGATACTCTGGACAATAGCTCCAAGGGTGATGCCGGCCAAACCGTTGATCTTCTGGGGACCATCACTGAGGTTGGAGACGAGGGAACCGGTCTAAAAACCAGCATGTCAGCATCGCTCGTTCGATCAACGATAGAACGGAATGAAAGGAACGTACGCTGTTCTCGTCACGGTCAAAGTACTCAACTACAGGGGCACACAAAATATACCGTCAGACAGACGGCTAGGATGAGAAGAAAAGAAAAAAGAAAACGCACTATCTTGCCTCAAGATCGCGCGGAAGCTCAGCGAGCGGAGCTTGCCAGTGAGAGAAGCAGCCGAGGCGGCGAAGTAGTAGTTTTGGCAACCGATGGAAATAGCGGAGAGGATGGAGATGATGAACAGCCTGTTCGAAAGAGTAAACAAAATCAATATCTTGGAACGATGGACCCATGGAAAATAGACATACCAAAGAGCGTTACGGTCACCGGTGTGACGACGTGCGGCGGGATCCGTGAGCGAGAAGCCATTGACGGCGTTCGCCCAAACGATACCGAAACAAGGATAGACAGCACCGGTACCTATCCACGCCAACATCAGCAATCCACACAACTTCGTAGAAACTGCAAAAAGTACTCACAAACCGCAAAACAGAACCCAAGCACGTATCTCTTCCACTCATTCCTATTAATGCTCGCCATCTTCCTCATCAAATAAGCCGACGAATACTCCGGCTCCTCCTTCTTCAACTCTCCATTCTTCCCCTTCTGCTCCAGAATCTGGCTCGCTAGCGACCTCTGCGTGTTGCTACGCCCAAGCGGGATCTCCTCAAGCGCCTGCTTCTCGATCTCAGCGGCCGTCGGCTCGCCGTCCTCGGTGTCGCTCTCGGTGACGCCTTCCGCGGCCTGTTCCTCGCGGGACTCGCGCAACTTCTGGGCGGCGACGAGTTGTGCGTACGGTCCGGTTTCGTCTTGTAGGAGCTCGTGGTGGCGGCCTTTGGCGAGGATGAGACCGTCGCCCATGACGTAGATGCAGTCGGCGTCCTTGATAGTCGAGAGACGGTGAGCGATAGTGATCGTAGTACGTCCTACAGAAGATATCATCAGTCAGACGACTCAGAGAAGGCGTGTGAGAAGCGTAGTGAAGAACATACCAGCCGAAGCCTTGTCAAGCGCATTCTGCACGACACCTTCAGACTGAGTATCCAAAGCCGACGTCGCCTCATCCAAAAGCAAAACCTTCGGGTCCGAAACAATAGCCCTAGCGATCGCGATACGCTGCTTCTGACCACCAGAGAGCAAGAACCCACGTTCACCGACCATGGTATCATACCCGAGCGGAAGCTTCGAGATGAAACCGTCCGCATTAGCCTTGACACACGCCTCCTTCACCAGCGCGAACTTCTCATCCGGCGAGGCATGCTCGTGAACCGTGTTGATCAAACCATGCTCGACGTTACCGCGAATGGTGGTCGCGAAAAGGGTAGGCTCCTGCGACACGAGACCGATCTGGGAACGCAGCCACCTGACGTTGAGCTCCTTCAAGTCGATACCGTCGAACCGAACGACACCGGACAGAGGGTCGTAGAAACGCTCGACGAGCTGGATGATAGTTGACTTTCCAGAACCGGAAGCACCGACGAGTGCGGCGGTCCGTCCGGCGGGGAAGTTGATACTGAGGTTCTTCACGATACGGACGTCGGGCCTGCTCGGGTAGTTGAACTCGATGTTCTCGAGGGTGATCTCGCCGGTGACCTGCTGGGGCTTGAGACCCTCGTCGCTTGCGGAGTCGATGGTGGGCACACGGTCGATGGTGGCGTACAACTTGGCTGCGGCGCCACGACCCTGGGTGATCGCTGAAAAGACGGAAGGGAGTCAGCTTCGGGGAAGACGCTGAGTAACGAGTTGTGTGCGTGTGTAAGTCTTACCTTGCATTTCAGGCGCCATGAGGGCAAGCGAGAAGGAACCGATGAGAATGGCCATGAATACGTTGATAACCTGACCGGAGTTGGCGTGGCCTTCGTTGATGAGTGTGGTACCGAACGAAAAGGCTAAAAATACGGAGAGTGAGCGGGAGTAGTCGACGACATGTGAGAGTATTTATGAATGCTTACCAAGGCCATAGGAGGCGTAAATGATGAAGAAGAACACGGCGAGACCTCCACCGTGGACAATAGCAGCCTTGCCGTCGACCTTCGTCGCCTTGTCCATGGGGACATCGTACAAGGACGAAAGGATGCTCTGTGTGCCGAATGCCTGGGCCGTGCGAATCGTGGAGATGACCTCCTCGGCAAGCGAACCACCCTCGGCGACATGAGCAAGCCCCAATCTGGAAAAGCCAAGGGTGAGCCACGAGGTAGCATGGGAATTTGGACATATGGGACATACTGCATGTATTTGGAGATGAAATGGTTCATGACACCACCTGCAATGGCGATGCATGGAATGATGGAGGTCATTGCGAGAGCGAGACGCCAGTTACGAATGTAGGCCAGAATGAAACCGGTGAAGAAGGCCGAAAGGAATTGGACGACGAGCGCGACCTTTTCTGAGATACCCTGCTGAACCAAGTCTAAATGGGGCTGTCAGTACAACGTAAGCAAATAGTCACAGAGAAATACTGACGGGTATCGGTTTGAATCCTAGTAGCGACTTCACCAGCACCGACACTATCGAAGAATGCGATATCCTGACGGAGGACGGCCTGGAGATATCTCTCTCGAACACGCTTCGCGTTGACCTCACCGGTGTAAACCCAAACATACATGTAGGTATATGTGCAGACGAACATGCCGATACCTAAAATACTGAATGGTGAGAACAGGAATTGTATCATCCGTTGCTAAGGACATACCGATGTAAGTAAGGTAGGATGCATCGAGGGCAGCGGTGTGGCGGAAATTGGCAGCAGCTACGGGAATGGCAGCAGCATCTCCTGTGCCGTCTTGTACTTCCTGGACGGCAGTACCGAAATCGACGAAGGCTTGGGTAAGGTTTCCGAACATAAGACTCATGAGGGGCTACATGGAGAAGACAGTATGATCAGGCCGAGGACTCGAAAGATACAAACGAGAGTATTGACCTGAGCAGCACCAGCTCCGGCAGCAGCAACGAGACCAATGAAGTCAAGCACGAGCTCTGTCTTCGTAGAAAACCTTGACGGAGTGTGAGTGGGCCTGAGGAATAAGTACGAGGACAGTGAAGACATACCGGAAAAGCTGGCGGAAAGAAATTGGGGGCACATTCTCCTCCTCCTTCTTCTTGGGCTCTACGACAGCATCGTTCGCGGTCGTGGCCGAGTCTGTATGGTGTTTCTCTTCGTCTATACTTTGCTTCTTGTTCCTAGAGAAGAAGCCGTTCTTGCGCTTTGTCTGTGGCTGGGCAGCGGCTGGGGACTTTTCTGAATAGTCCTCCTCGGAAGACATGGTGGGCTCGGTGTGGCGCACGAGCTGTCGTGTGGAAGATGAAAGGAGATGGAGAGAAGCAACGGTCGGGGAGCAGACGAAGGGAAAGGTCCGCCGGCATGCTCGCTCTATATGTACTTTCTGAACTCGGTGCGACAGCGGAGCGGCCCTTGTCCCCGCTCGCCCCGCCCTCAAATTCGGATTACGTGTTCTCTTTTCGCTCTCTTCGCCACTCGACGCGCCTGTTGAATAAATGAACTAATTCCAAGCTCAATATTTCCTTCGTGACCTGAATATTCCGTCGCTCTCTGCTGCTCATCCCTCGACTGGCATTTATTTTTGCTTTGGCATAATGCTTCTGATCGGCAGTGACGACGTCCATCGGCCATACCGACGTCAAGTGCTCGCCGATCCTACTCCTCATCGCAATCGCTTGCCTGCATTCGAGTACATTCTGTGCCGATGTCACCGTTGGGTGTCCTTCTCCTTGTGCTTAAGGTTATGCTCGTGTACGCTCTCACCGGGACTTGTCATGCCGTTTCGTCACACTCTGCATTCTTCTTTCTCAAGCTCAGTCCATATCTGGCGTTACACCTCTCACACAAAGCATACCTTCACCCTGACGCCACTTCCTCACCACTCCGTCTGGTATTCGCGTACTGTCGGCACAGCTCGTTTAACGACAATCATATCATATATTTTGCCGACAATCTATCTGGTCCATGCGAAGTTCAGTGCACGGCTGCCGCGATCTCAAGTACGCGCGTCTGCACCCCTCGACAACGCTAACCCCATGCCGCCCGTATCTCAGTCCTCGATCTGGAATAATCGATGTGTTACGATTTGTAGTGACTAGCTGTTTCCCATTTCGTATGCCGGGCTTTCTCAGTCGACCCTCCGTGCACAACGCGTCTCCGGGGTGAGTCGAAGGCTTACGACTCACTTCGGCGCTACATGTGGTCAAGTTGGCTCTCGACGCCACCGTCTGCGTTCCAGTCCAAACGTTTCGATGGTCTATCTAGCCGCTAGACGGCTCCGCGTACATCGACGATGACTCCGAGTGTTGACCTGTTCGCGTCTGTGATGCAAGGTTTTCTAAATTTGTGAACGTCCACTCGAACTCGCGCCGAAGTGCACACCGTTCACCATCCTTTTCATGCTCGATGGACCTTAATCCGTCGAATTTGTCTGATCTGTGCTCCGTCGGGTGTGGCGCGTCTGCGCAATTCTCCACAATCCAATGCGGTTTGCCTTTTTAGCGTCCTGACTCGCTTCGGATGCAATCAATTAACGACGGAGACGGTGCAGCTGTGCATGTTTCACTACAGTACTCATACTGAGTACCATTCCTATACCTTTGTGGCACTCCCGATGCAGAACGGACAGTAAGGACTTCAGTCTGCACAGCCACCTGTGCATCGGGGCGCCTGGGTCTTGGCAAGGTCCCCGGTCCCTAACTCAAGCCGGATTTCATATTAACGCTCCGGTGTGGCGGCCAATTGCAATAGACTGTCTGCCCGTAGTCAAGCGCTCACTTCCGTCCGATTCAAGAGGCGTGCGGAATTGCAATCGGGCACACTGCTCGGAGTTCGCTTAGCTCTCGGCTAAGAGGTGGGTAGGGGGGAGTGTTGCACCCGGGGTCCTCTCATGAAGTGATTAGATAATGATGGTGTCCTGTGGCGGAGACTGGCAAGTATTGTGGCTCGGACGCCGTCGACGTTCAAGGAGCGTCCCATGCGTACTGTGACAGATGTAAAGTTATAATATCGGTAGATCAAGTATTAAAAATCATGCATAGCCTGTCAAGTTCTCTCTGTGTCGAGAGATTGATCCTCACACAGGTAATTGTATTGAGCGAGGAATACTTATGGAATACATAATAAGTAACAATTCCAGTCAGTTACAGAAGCGTAGTCGCACCCGTTTTTTTTTTGGTAGAGCAGTCGGGCCTTCTTGACGCGACTGATTCCCATTCGGACGTGAGCGCCGAGTTCAGCTCCAGCGGCGGCGCCACAATATACAACAGAGGTGCATTCCACGCAGTACTATCCCTCAAATATTGGGTGATTCGACACGGAAACACTCTCGACCTCGTAGGAGACCCAGTAGTATCATATTAAGTGACAATTTTGATGATAGACCACTTGAAGGGCTGCAACCCTGGTGTGGCCCAATCATCGGGATTCGGAAGGGTCAAGCGCGGCTTCGTGCAGAGCAGAGCTTCTCTGCGAGAGATTGAACAGCGACTACGATTCCGCAAACTGCTGTCGTGTAAGTACTGTGCACAGGGAATTAGTTCAGGTAAGTGATTTTAACAACGCTACCCGTCTTTCATAACCTACTGAGGTGTGGCGCGCCATGTAAATGTATCCAGATGAGTACATAAGCTGTAAAATTAATCAGCTTTTATCCTCCTCGAGTTTATTCAGCCTGCCAATATACCATCTGGTGGTTCTAAGTTACTGAGATGCTCCCGAGCATGCACGATGCAATTGACACCATTTACCCTCGATCCTCTTGGGTATACGCATGATTCTTAATATTTGATCTACCGATATTATCAACTTTCTGTCCGTCACAATACGCACGCATGAGACGCTCTTTAAACGTCGACGGCGTCCGAGCCACAATACTTGCCAGTCTCCGCCACAGGACACCATCATTATCTAATCACTTCATGAGAGGACCCCGGGTGCAACACTCCCCCCTACCCACCTCTTAGCCGAGAGCTAAGCGAACTCCGAGCAGTGTGCCCGATTGCAATTCCGCACGCCTCTTGGTCCGATTTGTACGGAAGTATTTGGCCCCTTTCAACATACGCTGGTTCGGAAGATTCAAAATAAAATAGGATAAAAAATATCACAGCATCTGCCTCCCCCAGCTTTGCCATGCTTCCAGCAAACTCGAAGTCTTATTTCTCAGATGAATCGCTCAAAAGCAAAGCGCGTGGTCCCGCAGAGTGGATACGAACCTAGAACTTCCCCGCATTTTCATTACGTACACATCAAACACCTCAGAAGCCGCCTTGGAGACGCGTGAAATACGAATTTCTCGCGTGCCCTGTCAAGCTGCCATCGTCGACGAAGAGCCATTCCTCACATGGACGAGTCTGCTATAATAAGACGGATCCGGGCAGGGCGAGTTGGGTCAGGTATATATAAAGTACAGCGTGCATGATCCACGGATGCGGGGAACTCTTCGCCCCTCAACTTGTTTAATTCAACCCACATGTTTTTTGGTGTTTCTTCTTCACGACCGTTCGACGTTTCATCATGCTTGAGTCCGTGTCCACAGGCATCGGGTTCCCAGTGCTCACCACTGTGCTCAGCTCCATGGGATGGTATACGTGTGCTAGCGGCACAGTTTTCCCAACTTATACTAATCCGTGCAAATGGGGCCCGGCCGTAGTTCGCATACGTTAGATCTATTGCGCTCGCGTGGTGGATCTTTATTAGCGTGTAAGTACCACCCAAACGTATCGATGCGGCTGACGAGCTAGGAGGTTTTAGCCCTGGATCCGCGGACAAAATAAGTAGACGGGTTCGGTGCAGGGTCGTCGGTGTGTATCGCTCCGTGAGTTCGCTCTTCCTTGCTCTTTTCTCTTTCTTTCTTTCTTTTTCACAGTCACCGTTCTTGGTGAGCGAAGCGAGGGACTGTATCGCATAGCGGGAGGTGCTAGTAAGGGTGAGTTTTTATCTGTTCTGTTTCTTCGGACTTTATCGCGTTCTCTTCTATTGTCATCGAACTTGCAGGGATTGATTGCAGAAATTGTCTGAGATCGAATGCTGACGCGTCGGTCGTCGTACGCGATTTTCTCTCTCACAGAGCTCTCGACGAAACGACGCGTCTTTCACGTTCCCTACTCCCTATCCGCCCTGTCCAGATACCCCGCCCCTACGTAGGACACAGGCCAAGCCATAACGCGCACGAACAACAATCAACATACTTCATACCGACCCATCTCATTAATTTCCGAGCACTCCGACCGAACCTCCGACCATGAACAACTCATCCCATTCTCAATGGCCCGACGAACTTCCTTCCCCTCCTTTTGTACCCGCTTCGCTCCCTACGCGGCGTCCTTCACGCCGGCCCACGCACAGGGCGCACCCTTCGTTTAGTGAACCTCCAGAGCTGGTCCTGCAATTGCCAGTGGAAGAGCCGCAGCCTAATGATGTAGGAACGACAGAGACGCCGCAGCAGACGGTTGATCATGATCCATTGTTGTACGTCCCTCCGTCATTGCTCATCTATCTCGCTCTATAGCGAGCCAAGATATTGACATTCCCCACGGGTTGGTTCAATCTCGGACCTGTCTTTGAACACCCACTCTATGTATGAAGGGCACTCTGTCATTCCTACAACGTCGTCAAAACGTACCCCATCCGACCTCATAAGTTAACGATAACTTACGATCTCATCACGCTCCCGAACATGAACCCTCAACCCACCCACGTCCTCGCGGTCCACGACACTCCCCTCTCAGACCCTAATACCCAAATCCACCTCGTCCCCGTCGATCTGAACCTCATGTCCCAAAAGTTTCGCCTCGGCGATTACCTCAATTTCCCTCCGTCCTCTAGTTCCTCGACCGCATCGCCCCACTCACCCACATTCTCGAGCTCGACCCCAGGCCCATCATCACTTAGTCCCCTCGGACACACATACGACTCCTCATTTTCATCCACGTCAAGACCTTCAACACCCACATCCCCATCTTCCAGTGCCACCCCTTCTTCCGCGTCCTTCCCATCGCCTCTAACACTCCCACTCCCCCCATCTCCCTCGTCCACCGGCGCGACCACCCCCCGCCGCAGCTCCGCCTACATCCTCACTCTCCCCGTCCTAACCCTCTCAGTCCCACACGCCCCCTCCCTACCCCTCCTCCTCCTCTTCGCCCTCGGCTTCCGAAACGACCCCTCCCTCCTCGCCGCCCACCTCGTCCCTCTCGCCGCCATCGAAGAGTTTCCGTCCGCTGTCGCGATGGCGCAGGTTATGGCTTCGTGCTGCGATAGTGCGCGGTTGGGGCGGTATACAAGGCATAATCAGGGGGCGTGGAAGAATGTGCTGGCGTTGGGGATGGGGGACGAGAGGTTGTGTAGGGTGGTGCAGACTGTGTGGAATGTGACGGCGGAGGCGAGGAGGATTTGGGGGATGGAGAGGATGGGGCGGAGGATGGATTTGACGCCGTAACAAAAAAAATTCGCAGACCATCGCTATGTGGATTGGATGATTTTTTTTTTGACTGATTGTTGGACATTCACCTTGACTACGCCATTGACACGCTATTCACTCTACTCTATCCTGCTTTCGAGCTATTAATCGCTCCCATTCGAATATTGCACGTATTTTATTTTTCTGCTCTCTGTCGACATTTACACTCATCGCATCGCATCACATCACTCTACTTACATTTGTATAATGACCAATACCAATGCACCCAGTTTACGATACCACACATACCTCATACTAATCCTCCAGTCAACTCTGAACACTCGCATCAACCACTTTTTTTGCTCATTGCTCATTGCTATATTAACTTACATCCTGCTTAGGTTAACCTACTCTACTACTATTAGTTTGTCGACTCGCTGCTTTACTGACCGCTCGTACTCAGGCTTCGCTCGCTCGAGTCGGACTCGGACACTTCACGCTCATTGCATTGTTGAATCTTATTGCTGTCTTTTCTCTGAGATATTCATTGGCTGTGGGGCTCTTGTGTGGTCTACCTGTCCAAGCTGGCGTTGAAGGGATCTGAATATCTCTGCGTTCGTGGGGGCCCGCTGTGAATACTCTGCATAGATACTTACGCCACCGATATGCAGCAACAATGACATCATCGATGTGGCACTTCGGTGCCACTCAATACTTGTTATCAACTCAGTCCAAAAGTCAATATTCGTGCTGCTATTCAAGCTAGATATCTCCCTGTCTCCCACCATCGTCAGTTCTACTAGTGAGGACAATATGGCCCCGAAGAACATCGTCGTAGTCGGCGCCGGCATCATCGGGTCAACAACCGCCTACTACCTGTCCCGCCACCCCGCCTTCTACTCAACCACCACCACCATCACCCTCCTCGAAGCCTCCAAAGTCGGTGCCGCACAAGGCGCGTCCGGAAAGGCCGGAGGTCTAGTCGCTCGATGGGCATACCCGAAAGATCTGACCAGGATCAGCTTCAAGGAACATGTGAAGCTTGCGAAGGAGCATGATGGGGAGAAGCGGTGGGGATGGCGGTGGACGGGGGTGGGGCAGTGGGATGGGAGAGGTGGGGAAGGAAGTGAGGAGAAAGTTGGAGGTGGAGCTGGGGAGGTTAGGAGTTTGGAGAAGAGGAAAGGGTTGGTTGAGGGGGAGAAGGAGAGGGTGAAGAAGGGGTTGCCGAAGGATTTGACGTGGGTGGATGAGGACTTGACGGATTCGTATATGGCTATGGCTCCTGCGGGTGATACAGCACAGGTGAGTGCGGTCTGAAGTTGTTATTACTGGTTCTGAATTTATATTTTGCGCATTAGGTTCATCCATATCTTTTCACTACCAGCATGCTGTCTCTCGCCGTCGAAAACGGCGTCAAGTTCGTCCAAGGACGAGTGACCAGGAGGGTGGCGTATTGGTAAAGAGGTCCGATCCAAAAGTTCGAATTTTTTGCGGATCTGTACTCTACTTTTTGGGAGAAATGAGTACTCATACGGATCGGGTATACCATAAATGGGTGGTCTCAGTACTCATACGAGATCGGACCTCATTTCAGGTGCTCTTTGTACGCACGTTCTGATGAGACCTTCTGCCTTGATGTTTCTGTACACATAAATGGATCGGACCTCATACAATAGACTTCCTGTACGCACAGACATAATTGGGTAACAACAAGTAAAGAAGTAACAGATAGTAATGACTCCAAGCACCGATTCAGAGGGCTACGACTCAGCATCGTGATCCTCCCCCTCCCCCTCGCTCTCCTCAGCGCTAGGGACCTTCTTCTTTGCTTTACTGATCAGTGCCAGAACCTCCTGCACAGCTGACCGGAACTGTAATCGCCGAATCTGGACGAGCTCGAGTAAAGCACCAGAGATCGGACAAAGTGTGACGAGGGTGATCGGGGTGATCCCGACAACCTCTTGACGCACAAAGTTTGGGGTATACGCCCCCAGAGAGAGGATGACATGTGATGGAGGAACACGAAGAAAAGTCGCGCTCCGAAGGGAAGGGCAGGACACGGAGGATAGCAGGTGAGCGCCGGGGTATAGAGGAGCGTACACCTGAATATTGATATAAGACGCCACTCCGATATTGTTAAGACGGGCCACCCAATCGTGATTCGCCGCACGCGCCGAGCTCTTGCTGTACATAGTGATCACTGTAGCAAAGAAGGACACGATGAATCAGGTTCTCAAATAATACATATAGCCAGTGAATGACCTTACCTTCACCGATGACGATACTCGGCTGCGTTGGGTGTGCGCAGATGATGAACTGACCGGGGGAGAGGATATTGAGGTCCGATACCTGCGCAGTGTGCAAGTAATCGTTGACGAGCTTGAGGTGAGCAAATGCGGATTCGCGGTGACGAATGAGCTCCTAGAAGCAGAGATACAAATTAGCCAGGAGTCATGACAAAGAAGTAGCGGAATTGGCAGCTTACCATAGCCTTGACTTCACGAAGAGCGGTCTTGTTTCGATTACGAACCACTGAGTCGCCGATCGAATCGCGCGTGAAAGTCCCGGTGTGCCTAACACGGCGCTCGACACCAGAGACTGATGTCGACGAGTCCTTAGGGAGATAGGCCGCCAGTTTCTTAATAAGAGCTTCCCGCAGAGTGGTCTCCTGAGAAGCCCCAGTAACGGAACTATCTTTGGCGGCGAGGACATTGGAGAGGCGGCCAATTTTCCGTATAGCCTGTGTAGTGAACTTTGGCTGATGGCGTTTTCGGAGCGCAACGGCTACATCCTTGCAGAGAAGATGGCTATCGTCGAGGAGTACGAGAGGTCCCTCCAGAGTTGACTAGAAGATTATGGAAGATGAGCTGGTATATAAGATTGATATAAGTCGCGCAGAACGACGTACAGATGAAGATGTGGGGATAGCGGCAGATAGGACTTCGTCTATCCCGCTGGATACCTGGAACAGGTCCAACTCTGAGGAGTCGGGAAGGGAAATGCTGTTGGAATAGAGCGTCAAACTCGAAAATTGAGGCCCAGGTGTATGATGAGTACTCACATAGCATTGGTAGAGTTTACAGCTTCGGCTGCGATGGCGAATTCACAGACTTCCATAGCCTTTTCGTCACGGGCAGGAACGGAGGAGCCTTTGTAGAGATAGAGGAGCTCGGCGAGGGTACTGGGAGCGCGTAGACCGGGAACAGATGGCGGAGCATTGTATGGGACGGGCTCAGGCAGGTAGGACGGTGGTGGCCGGTACTGAGAAAGCATGCTGCCTGCATCGACACCCACGGCCTTGAGAAGTTGTTCGACATCTTCAACAGCGAGGCGGGAGGCTGTGTGAATCTTCTCGTCGTCGGGAAATTCCATGAGCGCGCTGATATTGATGTCGTCGGCCTTGAAGTAAGTGTGATTATAGCCGGCTGATGTGTGCTGAGCCTTCTGTTCGGGGGTGAGATTATTGAAAGCTCCCATGAGCAGTACCGTGAGTTTCGGATAGAGATACAGAAAGTCGGTGTAGGTGAAGTCAGCCTTGAGCTGTCTGAGAACACCAAAAAGGTGCTCACAGGGCTCTGTCGAATGGAGCCATGGAAGAAGTGGGTACGTTGAATAGAATTTCCGGTACACAAGGATAAGGGAAAGAAGAGAGTCACAGATGGTAAGAAAGATGTCGAACGATCCTCGAGAGATGAAGTGAACATGGACGTCGTAGTCAGGGTGACGAACAATATGTGTACGCCACGCCATTAGAAAAAAACGTGCACGTAAGACCATCCTAATGCGCTCGATGTGTGGGAGGCTCCGATTCTGCCACGCATCGATCATATCGCCAAGGACGAAGAGGTATGTGGCCAGGCCACGGTACCTAGGGAAATCGGAGATGAGGAACTCGAGAGTCTCTCCAGAAAGGAGACGCGCCGCCGCACCGTCATGTTGTTTATCGACGTTGATGACATCGCGAGTCTGGAGGGGAGACCTGGGGTTCATCGCGATGTCACGAAGCTGAGCGAAATGCAGAGGGTAATCTCCCATTACAAGTAGTCGAGCACCGGAAAGGAGTTGATTACGAGCCGTCTTCATCGCGTGTTTGGAGTCTTGTACGACAACAGCAGGATATTCGTGGAAGAGGGGGATGCGGAGGTGGATGTCGCAATTCTTCTCGGTGTTGGTGATAGTGTAGGTCCACTCGGCCGTCGCTGACTGTGCAATGAGACGTTGCGTCGCCCGCTCGATCTCGGAGCCATCAGAAGCGAGAGAGACAGGGTGAAGATTGACGTTATGAAGGAGGGTGGTTATCTCAAAATGCATAGACTTCAGGGCTTGTGCGCGGTCGGTCCCTGCGCGGCACACAGCGGCGATCGGTATCTGTGGAACCTTCTGGAGAGGAACGACTATGCAATAAACTCGAAGCTGATGTGTAGAGAAGTCAGTATATGTAGGGTATGAAAGGTGGTTCAGCTACGAACCAGCTTTCCCGGTTTTATCTTCGCGTCCTTGAAAACCTCTTCGAGAGCTTCATGAGATGAGACACGGACTATGTCCCCCGTGCCACCGACAACCAGCCATGCATCCCCGGACTCCTTATATGCTTGGAGCGCGGCCTCCATAGCCGTATCGTCCCAAGCAAGACTTATAGGCCCGGAATAGCCATACGACTCTAGAACGGCCTTGGCAAGCTCGATGTTGACGGCGGAGATGCCAGGCGAGAATCGCGGCAACTTGGAACGATGTTCACTAGAACGCAAAATATTAGAGATTTTATCAGGCGAAGCTAAAGAGTAATGCTCACCGAATATTGCGCAATCCACGGCCTCCAAAATGGTGACGAAAAGTATTGTATGCGCGAGGGGATGTGGAGGCGAGAATATTACAAAAATCATTGAAAGCCCCGTCGTACGACATATTCTTCAAGCTCTTCCCTCTCCTCAACCGCTCACTTCGCTTCACCAGTGCCTCTACCATCCCTAACACAACCCCTTGTGAATCGTACTCTCCACTGACTGCACCCTGGGCGAACTTCAACCACGGCGATCGACCATCGTCGACCTCCACAAGTGTTCGAAGCCCGCGATGCTTGAGATATAGTTCGCCAAGATCGTCGTTGCGATGCGCATGCGGAACGAACTTCATATTATCCTCCTCTGGAACAGGCCGATTGAGTGCGTTCTGGAAGCTATGGATGGAGAGGAGAGCGGAGCAGTTGGCACAGGGCAAGGGATCACCATTGGGGCGTGCGGTCTTCACATCCTTGAGGCACTTGGTCGAATAGACAGCCTGCAGGTTATGGAGATTACGCCACACGAGAAGCATGGACTCCTTCTGGAGAACCATCTTCTTCTGCTTCGCGTTCAGGTCGGAGTAGCTGGACCCGTTGAACATGTCCATGGCGAGACGAGGACGAGAAGGAGCGCCACCCCCAGCGGCTGAAGAGCGACTGAGATATTGTTGGACCCGTGTATTGGACTGGCTAGTGAGGCCAGGACAAGGAGCTGGCACGACGAGCGTCATCAACGCGGATTGTATCTTCTGTGGTTGGACGACTGGGCGGCCCGTTCGTCCTGACTTAGATGATTCACCGGCGGAGGATTGCGAGAAGGTAGAAGGAGTCGGTGGTGGTTTCGGGCTGTCTCGAGTGAAACCGAGTGCGAACAGCGACGAAGAACGAATACTGCTTTGCTGGTGGCGCTGACACTTGCGAGTCTTGCGATGGTTCTTCCAATGGAGAACGTCGTAAAGCAAGCGCATGACTACGGGGGATCCACATGCAGAACACCTAACCCACCGCGCATTCCGGTTATCGAACTCAGCGAGGGGATCATCCTCGAGGATCTTCTGCCGAAAGTTGCGAAGCTTTGGATTAGATAGATCGAGCGAAGTGTTCCGGGTGCTGGCGAGATTGCGAAGAGCCTTCTGCTTGTCCCATGAAGAGCCAATCTTGCGTGAGCCTGGAGGCCGCTTTGAAGAAGCATCGTGTGAGTCGGAAAACTCTTCGTCTGAACTGGAGACCCGTGGTGAGGATCGACGAGAGCGTTTGGAATTTAATATCGGGGCTTGGGACGTTGCTTCCTCGTCTGATGAGTGGAGAGCGGCTGTAGCGAACGTGCGCTTCGAGCCGGAAACTGTGTATGGTTTGTCAGGGGAATCGGAGTCTGGCCAGGAGAAATCAGACGAAGAGTGGCTTCCGAAAGCGGATGCGAGATCGTCGCCATCAGATGAGGGTGGGGGCGCATTGTCACCGGGTGCCACAGACTCGAACTCGTCGGGGATAAAGTCGTCAAATGCTGAGTCTGCTGAAGGCGCATCTGAGACCGAACTATGAGATGGTAACGCGGCGCCGACGTCTGTCCAGGTATCCGAGGGCACGTCATTGATAGAGGACGGAGCTTCGAAGATAGACGTAGAATGGGACGGAATGACCATATCATCATCAAAGTCAACGTCGTCGATCTAGATGCCATGATTAATTAACGGAGAACACTTGACGTTGGTAAGAAGACTACTGACATCATACCCATCGTCTATAAATGGCTTGATTAAATTCAGATAAAGCTCCATCCTCATCGTAGCGTGAGTATCCTGTGACCACGGTGGAAGTCCGAGAAGGCTTGACGATAGCGTCGAGAGTACGACCACACCGCAGGAATGCGAGTCTTTCTGCTCCGGGACATGGAAAGAGGGTGGCCGTTCCTGGAATGACGAGACACCGGTGGGAAGAACTTCTTCCAACCACCAAAGGATGTTCGACTTCATGGGATCCGGAATAGCTGCCTGCGGTGAGAGGGAATCTCCGTACTCCAAGGTTCGAGAGATGAAGTCGATCTTTAGGAGGGTCCAGTGAGAGTTGCGTACATTTACGGGGATCCAAAGCTGTTCGAGTGACCCACTGGCGATGCGAGACTCGAGGGCGGAGTTGACAGAACGATCAAGGCGGTGGACCTGAGTTGAACGCACATTGGCGATGGTGGATGGGAGAAGGCAGCTGGCAATACCGATGCGCGAGCTTGGTGCTAAGCAGTGACGGACATACTGAGCGCCGGCATCAATGAGTTCATCATTCAACCAGTCGGAGCCGAGAAGGATTGCGAGGTCACGTGTTTGAAGAGTGAGCCCTTCCGAAAGAGAAGGAACGACCGAGTTATAGGGAACACGGCTCCACGACAGGCGGCATTCTTGGATGATTTCGAGGACTTCGGCTGGGAGATCAGAATCGATCTCGAGGCGGTCGAGCCATACACCACAGCGAAGCCATGCCCCACGCTTCTGGACGAAAATATCGAGGTCCTCAAGGAGCCGCACGACCCACAGCGGGTAGAGTCGACCGAGAATTGAGATGGATTGCGAACCAGACAACCATGTAGTTTGGACGGTGTCACGGAGAAGGCACCGGTAGGGAAGAGCCGCGAGGACGAATTCAAGGTGTTCGTCGATTGTGTGAGCGGTGATATCGAGAGGATCGGGAGGGAGAGGGGAGTAGGTAGGTGCAGGGAATGCGTCCGTTCGAACTGTGGGCATGCTGTCGAAAATGCCGCGCGATAGGATTGCGGAGACGGAGGTCGATAGCGCGGGTACGAACAGGACGTTCATTTCGGTAGGAACTCGAAGCGTAAGCCGGCACGCGGTCTTGACAACGGTGGGCAGGCTATCGTTCCATACTAACCCACGACCAATCCACTCCTCTGACTTGAAGCCGATGTCCCCGATGTCCATCTCCTGCTCTGATCCAGAGTCTGATATATCGATAGGCGGCGATGGGACACAGGCACTTGGGACGATATTAGTGGCGGGTAAGGGACCACCGCCAACAAACATTGGAAATGGCCGTGACAGATGCTGGTAATGCAGGCGGGTTTGGAGGTAGGGCCCGGATTCGGGATCGTTTGGAATGGAGGGGCGATGATAATTGTAGTAGATAGCGTAGATGTCGTCGATGATGGTCGCGCGATCTGGTTCGGAATGTGACCAGAATACGTCGAGGACGTCGCGTGCGAGGGCGTCCTGATTGATGTCCGGGCAAACGTGGGCTATGTCGATGATATCGGGGGCTTCATCCCAGGCAAAATTCAGATACTTCGAGAAGATGTCCTCCGTCGGAGATGACGGCGTAGAAGTGATGGGCGGCGAGAAGTACAACAACCAGAACGGGTCGTCGTATACCAGCCCGCAGAACTTAGTGCGCTTCATCTGAGTCCAATGACCGCGTCCATGCCGTTTTGGTGGTCGAAATACTTGCTCGATCTTGAGTCCGAGAGGTAGAACTGTATGGACTGAGCGGCCAGTCAGTTTCCTAGAAATATGTGCAATGTTTGTGAAAACTTACGCCAGCAGATACTGAGTGCCATGATGTAAAACAGGAAGAAGGTAGAAACGACTGCCGCATCCTCATTGCTCCAGTTATTGACGGCTGCTACTGCACGTAGACCGCTGAGCGTAGGGGATGCGGAGGCGAAGAGGATGAGGGCTAAAAAGATGCGAATGAGGTAGTTGTAGAGCTCCTTGTAGTACCAAAGAATGGACTGAGAGGGGAGCCAGTAGCGTCGAAGCTCGGGTCGACGATATGAACGCTGAGCTGGAGTATGTGATCAGCATCAACGTTGGGAAAACATGTCCGAGCGTCACTTACTCTTCTTCCGACCCATTCTGAGTCGGGTGGGGTTGGTTGTTTCTGTTGAGGTTGAATAAAGAGTTGAGGAGTGGGCAAGAATGTGATAGTGGTTGAGAGTGTTGGGTTCGTTATGGGGGGGAAGATGAAGAACCTTGGACGATAGGAGTCGGCCAACTACGGTCCGAAAAAAGAGCATCAATAAATCTGAGACCCAGTAAGATCGAGCGAGACCGTTCATTGGATCAGAACAAACGCAGGACCATGTAGTGCGGAGTTATTCTGGCCGGAAATATCAAAAACACACCTTTCGAAGCACTGTGCATATCTCAGCATAACGACGTGTCCCTGGTTCGCCCGGTTAATGAGCGACCATTGTGGCCTTGAATTTTCAAGCAAAGCAGGGTCCAGAGGCTAGCCATGTCTGCACGAACAGACATCGATCCCGAGTGGTGACTGGAAGAAAAGATTGAACCTCCAGCTCACTGAGCAGGGCATTAAACAGTCTTAGAACACGGTCAGAACTGACAATGCCGAGGGCCACAGTCACGAAAAGGGCAGATAAGAAGATTCAACATTCCAAGTTCACCGCCGCCGGGAGAACATCATGGCCGACGACGCGACGCATCGTCGGCCTTGATGATGGTGAGCGACGTTGGGGAAGCGACGCGGCCCTGAGAAGAAGCGGTACACATGGGGATCGGACCTCGAATATCATGCCGAGCTTCCGTACGCACACAAGATCGGACCAGACAGCGAATACGGGCCATTTGTGTACACATAGGATCAGACCTCGCTTCGTATTTGCAGCAAAATCTGTACACATGAGGATCGGACCTCACTACCAATACGCCACCCTCCTGAGTGACCTCTCTAGAAAGTACATCTGGCCAAGTCACCGGAGTACGCTACATCCCAGTCTCAGACGATATCATATCAACGGAGCAGACCCTCGAAGCAGACTGCATCATCCTCGCCGCGGGAGCCTGGTCTCCGACCCTACTCTCCTCCCTCCCCATTTCCGCCACTCGCGCCCACAGCATCGTAATCAAACCTCCACCTAGCCTCCCAACAGACGCAATTTCACCTTACGTCCTCTTCACATCTATCGCCCTTCCAACATCAGGACGTTCCCGTGAAGTGACACCCGAAATATATCCTCGACCAGATCCTGCTATATACGTATGTGGCCCAGGCGATACTCGCGTTGCGCTTCCTCCGAATGTCGACGACGTTGAGGTGGACGAACGCGCTTGCGAGGAGATCTGGGAGTGGGTCGCTCAGACGGGTGTTATCAAGAGTGAGGTGATTGGCGAGGTGGAGAAGAGGCAGGCTTGTTATTTGCCGATTGTTGAGTCGGGAGGAGGACCTATCATTGGAAACGTGCCAGGCGTGAAAGGTCTGGTCGTTGCCGCTGGACATACCTGCTGGGTAGGTCCTTTCGCATTCGTATTGTGATACTTATGCAGGAGCCATGGTCCTTTCTTTGTTGATTTTTCTTCTTCTTTTAGGGCATCTGTAACGCACCTGGGACGGCGAAGGCCGTTAGCGAGCTGGTCATGGAGGGCGAGATCAAGTGTGCGAACTTGGCCGCCTTGGACCCGAAGTATTTTCTCTGAGGAGCGGATCGAAGTGAATAAAGGACATGTATTTCGACTTGCTGGATATTATCGTGGTACGAGGTGTATTCCTATATGTTGTATCAATCACACCATTCTAGACATCTTTCGAGCGTGACACCCCACTCAGGACGACTCAGGACGACTCGGACGCAACAATTCCCCTGACTCTGAGGTCAGAACAGCTCGGTCAGCGAACGACCTGGGTGGCTTTGGCTCGATATTTCTGTCGATCCTTATGTGGTGATGCTCCATGACTTTTGAATCATTCTTACAACCACGATCAGGACTTACAGGTGCCGAAGACAGAACGGACGGACATCGACCGGTTCATTCGGACTTACCTGCGCACTTATCATTGTTCTTCTACATTTCGTATGGGTAGGACCAGCGCAGGGAGCTGGAGGCTTGGTCGCGAGGTGGGCAAAACCGGAGGAGCTCGCGCTTTTGAGCTTTGAGGAACATGTTCTGTTGGCGGTAGAGTTTAGTGGCGCGAAGAGGTGCCAGGGGTGGTGGTTGATGGAGGTTGGAGAGTGAAGGAGCCGTGTCAATGTGGGTGAGCTGAAACGGGAAGTAGTGTCGGGTGAAGGTGAACAGGGTGAGACATCGATAGGGAAAGTTCAAAAGGGTCTCCTGTCAGACTTGACGTAGGTGAACGAGAAGTTGACGGACTCCGAGTAAACACCGATGCGGCTGCGAGGGGAGACTCTGCACAAGTCTGACCATATTTGTTCACTACTACAGTACAGTTTATTTGTAACGACGCTTTCGGAGTAAGAGAGGGCCGTTCTTGCCGTCGCCACACGGCTAAGTAGTCCCCCTCCTCGCATGGACACACCATCTCCTTTGAAACTGCTAGACATGAGATCTGATGTTCACCAAGAGCGCGCATATGGAAGCGCGAAACGAAGAAATATGGATGGAGTGATGGTACACGATCAGTACGGAGGTGCTCAAGAGATACTTTCTCTCATTTTACGACGAGCGCCGTCTAGCGAGCCATTTGTTAGAAACGTAGAACACCTAGCAATATCGTAGATCAAGGTGTTAGACGGTATATCGCGAACGAATAGAAGTGATAACATACTAGGAGCGACCTTGGGTTCAAGTACCTTCTTCGCTGCATCTAGGGTTCACGTTTGGTTGCCTTCTCCATCGTCCAGCGGCGAGGGCGGCGAACTGCGACCGTCTCGAGCTTGACAATAATACGGCTTTGGGGTAGGCTTCAATTCCGAGTTAGGGTCACCCTGAGGATGTACACCATAGAACCACGCATAGGCTTCCTGGTCGTCCCTCGAATACTCATTCCTCGGTATCCTCCCCCTCGTCGAATTGAAGATAGATATCTTGATCTTCTTCATAACCTCCTCTCTGTCTTGATCCGGAAAATCGAGTCTTACGGGTAAATCAGACCCACACCCCGGACACTCCGGCATCTGCCCATCCCTACATTCAGGACAGATCAGATAGTCACGTAAGGCTTGGGGGAATTCCCGATCTATGTCTTCTCGGAGGGCGGAGATGGCGAGGTAATGTTCGGTGTGGATGCCACGCTCTTCGGCTTCGAACGAAGATATCGGGACAGATGCAAGGCATAGGGTAGCATAGGCTGGTACGAGCCAATCTTCGACGCCATGGGTTTCCGCGAGGGTGATCAGGTCCAATGGGGATGACTCGGATAAGGAGGCGACTTGGGAGATGCAGAGACGACGGATTGTGGGGAAATTCCACGAGCTGGCGAGGTGAAATACTATCATCCATTTTTCGATGGAATTGATATTCCACTGCTCGAAAGGTCTGTGGCGAAGTTTATCAGACGATTATGCGAGCAAAATTCCGAAGAAATGAAGCAAATCGGGCATCCTTACGAGTGGTACAATACTTCGAGAAAGAGATCGAAAGACGGTCGTTCAACCTCAAGCTCAGTCGACTCTTGGATACTTGAACAATGTTTCTCTAGAAATGATGGAGAGTGTGCAGTAAATAGGAACGAGTGAAGGCGGTAGAGCCGATCGCCAATCTGTAAGCATCCAACAAAGGGTCAGGATCAAAAGAGTTCTTTATAGCGGAGACCGTCACTGTAGCTCACCAAGAAGACCAGGTTCCCGTCATCAAAGTAGAAACGCGAGTGCTCCTGGGGTGTAGTTGGGACAGTTCGGTCCTTTTCAATGGGTCCAATGGCGGACTCAGAACCAGAGCGTTCCTGGTGGGCCTGTACTTGGCTCGTCATACTAGTATATACCAAAGCTTTGGCTCTCGAGACGCGGCGTAGATCTTCGTAGAAGTAAGTCCTGTTCGTTCAGGTTGGGTGCAACAAGAACGATGTGAACAAAGGATTCGAGAGCACGATGGGTTGGGGAGACAAAGTTCAACTTCGCCGTGCGACACCTGGGCGATGACTGACTTGTACACTCCGCTCCGGCAACTACCGCCCTATTGTTGCAAACTTCGAGGTGCAACGACTCTCACAGCTGCAATCACTCAGGCCAATGGGTCCCTCAGACAGATATTATCAAGGGTGAGGTGATTGGCGAGGCATAGGAGAGGCGAACCTGTTATTTGTTGAGTCGGGAGGAGGACCTATTACTTATTGGGAATGACTCGTGAGTTGGTTGTAATGTTAGTAGGCTTGCCGCTGGACAAACATGTTGGGCAGGTCCTTTCGCATTTGTGATGTAATACTTATACAGAACTCGTGGCCTTTCTTTCTTTTTAGGGCATCTGTAACGCGCCTGGGATGGCAAAGGCCCATGGAGGGCGAGATCAAGTGTACGAACTTGGCCGCCTTGGACCCGAAGTATTTCCTCTGAGGAGCGCATTGAATTGAATGAAGGGCATGTGTTTCTGTTTTTTGGATATTATTGTGGTATGAGCTGTACTCCTCTATATTGTATCAATCACACCATTCTAAACATATTTCGAGCATAAGACCCCGCTCAAGACGACTCGGACCCAACAACTCCTCTGGCTTCGAGGTCAGAACAGCTCGGTCAAGCGGTGTCGGTTCAATCTTTCTATCGATTCTTATGTGGCGATGCTCCATAACTTTCGAATCATTCTTATGGCCGCGATACCCCTCGCCAAACAAGCTAATTCTTAAGACACGCTGCTTCTCACAGGAGTCCGCGGATCGATGTTGCATCAGGAAGCGTTGGCCCTGGCTATCGAGAGATTCAAATAGAGTTCAACACCAATATCCATGCGTCCCATAATCTCTGATAGACACCTCACCCTCGACGCATGATGTGGCCTTTCGCAGATGTCGTCCCTGAGCTCACAGCTGAAGATGCAGGTCATAAACACGAGTACGATTACATCGTCGTCGGAGGTGTGCAACATTTCATCATGTTATTATCTTTCCGAGCTTCCGCTGACGCGCCTCAGGTGGCACCGCTGGATGCTGCCTAGCAGCGCGCCTGAGCGAGGATCCTTCCGCCACCGTGCTTTTGCTAGAGCATGGCAATGTTGCCGACTCGTGGGTATCCAAGGTGCCTCTCATGTCTTCGAATCTCTTTAGAGAGGGCACACAGGCTGCTCGATGGGATGCCTTTCCCATGCCGGACGTCGACAACAGGGTCCTCGAAGTGGTTCGTGGCGAGGCTTTGGGCGGAAGCTCGAGAGTGAACGGGATGGTCTATACTCGCGGTGCTCCAGGGGACTATAATCGCTGGAAGGAGATGGGTCATTCGAGCTGGGGATATGATGACCTCGAGCCTTATTTCGTCAAGTCGGAGACTGCGCTGAGCCAACCTCCCTCCAGCTTTCGTGGCCGTGAAGGTTGGAGTCTAAACTTTTGCTCGTTCATCGGCACGCTCTTACTCTTGTCTTCAGGTCCTTGGCAAAACCGGACATTTAAAAATGTACCGTTCCAGATTCTGCATCAGTAAGACTTCATTTCGTTCGTGTGCACCCAGCTAGACTGATCGATTATGCACGCCAGCGTCAGCAGTGCTTGCAGAAGCGCTGGTATACCCCTCGTCTCAGAGATTAATTCCCCCCACGCACCTGCGGCTGGCTATGCCACTCTTGACATCACAATGGATCGCGAAATGTATCGGGCTTCTACCTATCGCGCATTTCTTCCCCCGACGTCGACGCAAGCTCGCAAGTCTCGATTGTTCATCTGCACCAATACTCATGCCACTCGCATCGAATTGTCTACGTTGCCGAACGGCAGTGTTAGAGCACTTGGAGTTCACTTCCAGGCCATCACACCTACGGCAGCCGCTCAAAGCTTCTACGTCAAGGCGAAGAGGGAAATCATTCTTTGTTGTGGAGCCCTTGGATCCCCGCACATCATGCAGCTTAGGTGGGTTTAAGTATGTGCTGTCAAGATTTTTGAGTGGACTAATCGGTCGTCGGTAGTGGACTGGGGCCCAAGGCCCATCTTTCCTCCATGGGAATCGATGTAGTCCGAGACATGCCAGGTGTCGGTGGTAATTTAGTCAGTTTTTAGTCCCCCGAGACACGCTGTAATACTGACGGCATACCGTTGATAGCAAGACCACATTGGTCTCCCGGTCATGTACGAAATACCCATGAACGATTCTCTCCACAAACTACAATCAAGTGCATGGCTTGCCATCGTGGAATTACTTAAATACATCACGACCGGCCGCGGCATGTTCGCTTCGCCTTTCATGCAGACCTCCCTCTTCGTTCCCTCTCGACTCCTCGGCACCGACGCACGCCTCATCGAGACCGACCCCAAGGACCTGGACTCGACGTTACCGGAAAGCATCCCCGACATCGAGATCATGCCCATCGCCCATAACTGCTCCGATGTACCTATCGACAAGAAGGGTATTTTCTCTTTCCTGACCGCCCTCGTCAAGCCTAAATCCGTCGGAAGCGTTCGCCTGGCTTCCAGCGACCCGCTTGCTCGTCCAAAAGTCGAGCTCGGCTACCTTTCAAATCCAGAGGACTATGTTGTTCTCAGAAAGTGCGTTCGCCTCGCTCTGCGCTTAGCGGAGCAAGTCCGAAGCCAGGGGTATCCGCTCAAGAACTTACAGGTCCCGGAGACGGAGAACGAGGTAGACGTTGACCGGTTTATTCGGACGTACCTGCGTACTTCTTATCATTATTCTTCGACGTGTCGTATGGGCGCAGAGGATGAGGTCGGCCGTCCTGGAGTTGTAGACGATGAGTTGAGGGTGCATGGCGTGGATGGTTTGAGAGTGTGCGATGCGTCTATATTTCCGGAGGGTATCGCTACGCATACGATGGCGCCTGTCGTTGCTGTAGCGGAGAAGTGCGCAGACATGATCAAAGCTGCTGCTAGGAGCAGGACTTAGCTCTGCTTTGTGCTTCGTACGAATTCTTCGGTTCCTCTTGGTAGAGTCCAATGCAACTGAGTTCCTATACATACATTTCAAGTGTACCGATGACGATGACTTTTTGCTGAAAGGAAAGAGCAACTCGGCTTCAACGCAAAACGTGGAGGATGACAATTCTGCTATATATTCGTGTACAACAATAACGATACCTGAACCAACAGGCCACTATGTAACAGACCATACAGGTACTTATATACAGACTGTAACTCAAACGCGGCATAGCTGGTACGATAACGAGACGAAATGAGACGAGACGTGACGGAGATTTGGGAGGCATAGAGGGTGGACATAAGCCAACGCAGACGGATACGGACGGGACTGACGACTATGAAACAGAGTTGGACCATTGGAAGGTAATGGGGGGGGGGATAGATACAGTACATACGTACAGACAGAGATCGGACGGAACATCGGACTTCATGCATGCATGAGAGGATTCGGTAGAACGAGCACGGAGACAGGAGACCTAGAGCCGAACACCAGATGGTAAGTAGATTCAATAGAAGCTTCAAAGTCTATCATGAGAAACAACCGCAAAGCCCGCGAGCCCAAGACGATCAGTAGAAAGATGAAGAAAGGAAGTTCAAAGAGAAAAAAAAAGAAAGGAAAAGGGGGGAAAAAGTCATCACAGAATCGCACGTCGCTCAAGCATCGGAGTCATCGACATCCATAGCGGCAGCACTCAAATTCTCCGCCACAGTACTGCTCGCCGTACTCCTCGAGCTCTTCCTCTTCGCGTACTCCGTCGCCATCACCCTCTTCTTCGCGCTCATCGTCACCTTATCGGCACCCGTCCTCCCCGCAGAACTCTTCCTCAAATTCATACCCGTGCTCGACCTCGTCTTTCCGGCCATTGCACCAGCACCGGCACCACCGACGATACTCGTCCTCTTCGTCGCCTTGGGTACGCCCACGCTACGTCTCGAAGCCGACGCAGCGACCCCGCTAGCACCACTTCCACTTCCACTGCCACTGCCACTAGGCGCAGCACCAGCAGGTCCGGTGGCACGCTGTTCCGCCACTTTTGCCAAGACGCGAGATCGAGAGATACGTGGTCTTCTGGCCGAACCAAGGGCTCTGGTCTTGGGAGACGAAGACATCGGTCCCTTCATCGCGGAAGTCCTGGACCCGAACGCGATGGAGGATGCGGCCGTGGTCAACGAAGTAGGTCTGGTCGACTGGGAGGAGGGGATCATCGACTTCAATGGTCTGGGGAATATGGCGCCTTCCCTGTTCGCGGTCGAGGGAGATTTAGCAGGCGAGAGGCGTCGAGCCGTGTACCGGCTTCGAGCTGGTGGACTGTTCGTGATCTGGTTCAGGACGTCGTCATTCTCCGAGACTTTGGTGAGTGAGGCGCTGGGACGTGTGGCGGGCTTGCTCTTAGCAAGGGAACTGGCAGTGGGAGCGAAGAGAGTTGAAGATGCCCTAGGAAGGCTTCCCGTCGTCGTCGTCGTCGTAGCAGTAGTAGTGGTACGCCCACTACCGATGGTGCCACCGTTGCTCTCCGTAGGACTCACCCTGCCCGGTTTATTGACGCCACTCGTACCTCCAATCGGACGACGCGTTCCCATAGACCCTACAGTGGACGATCCAGCGCCACCAGGTCCAGAGGGCGTCTCTTTCTGACCGAGACTACCACTACGAGAGGCAATGGAAGTCATGCGCGAGCTAGCCGTGCCCGTACGGAATGTGGACCCTGTCACGGTAGAAGCCTTCGAAGACGTCGAGTTGGCGTTGAATGTTGGTATCGGGGAGCGAACGCGGCCACCATTCCTTGCTGAAAGACCTCCGACCGTGGCTGCGCCCGATGGGGGCCTCACAGCGTCCCGCTTGCTCGCCACTCCCAAGCTTGAACTGGTTCGCTTGGCGGGTTCGATGTTGGCCGTCGTCGTGGCAGGTTCACTGATGGATGTGGGAAGTGGGTTCTCCTCCCTGCTGACGGTTCGTCTGTGCGTGGCCTCGGAAGACGGTGCGCCTTTCGAGACGGGAATGGAGGATGACGCCACAGCAGGAGCGGTGGGCTTGGAGGTCGATTTCCCTAAGCCCCAGACATTCTTCACCATAGTCCTGGCCGAGTTTATAAAACCGAAGCGGGAGTTGGTGTTCTTGATCTTCTCTGAAAGTGCGTGACAAGAACATCAGAGATACGAAGAGAAGAAACCGAAACAGTGGGAAGAGAAACACTCACGAGCGCAACCCCCAATGCTACCCCTGCTCCTCCTCTGCTCCCTCCTCCTCTCCAACATCCTCTTCGTGGCCGCTTTCCCTTTCTCATCCCTCGCGCGCTCTGTCGCAGACTTAGACGGTGTAGCCAACGAGACCCTGATTCCTTTATCCATCCCTCCATCACCCGACACTACCCTCGCCCGCTTCCCAATCCTCCCATCTTCATCCGCCTCAACTTCTCCTCTCCCTTCCTCGGTCAGACCGTGTTTAGCTGCAGCAGCCATGACCGAGCTCCTCGTCCCCCGACTGACGACCCTCGCCGTACTCGCCTGTCCAGTAGTAGCCTTCTGCTGCCCTCCCGTTCCAGCTCCAATGGGCCGAGCAACACCACGTCCACCAGGTTTATCATTCAACAACACCTCCGACTTCCTCTTCTTATTCACCGGGCCCGCACCCGTCGCCCCACCATTGCCATTGACAACCCTCCTCGCCGCATAATGATTCGCGATCGAATCCATCTTTCCAAACATCCCCTCATGCTGATCCTTAAACCTATCCCCACTCCCACTCCTCGCCATACCACTCCCCGCAGCATAGTCCGCGAGTGAGAACGCAGCAGGGTCAGAGAGGAGTTCGGACGAGACGGCTTTGGTCCCGTTCGCGGCGAGGCGTTTGTTCATCTCGTCGAGGACGGACTGTGCGGCGCCGCTGAAGGCTTTGTTCGAGACTGCATTGGCGGGGGAGCCGAATACGAAAGGTTGGGGGGCGGGGACGGTCAAGTGGTTGTTGCTGTTGTCGTTGGTGGTGGACGGTTTGGAGGGGGAGGCGAGGTGGCGCATGCCTGGGCTGCGGGGAACAATGGAGGACTTGGACGCGGTGAGCGACAGTGTTGCGGGACTGCGCGGGATGGCGATGGGCGTGCTCTCCTTCTCTTGCGCCATATCCTTCTCCTCATCCTCGCGTTTCTTCTCATTGATCGTGGTATTGTGGTCAGACGCGTCGTCCGAAGACGTAGCAAGCGCAGGAGAGAACATATCGTCGCCGAGCTTCGGTCGCGCAAACACCTTCCCCGGCGTCTGTATCTTCTGCAACTTCAACCTCAACGCAGGCGTTGGCGTGGGCACAGCAATGGGCACAGGCACGGTCGACGATGAGCCCGAATGAAACACGCCAGGCATGCCCATGCCCATCTCGTCATCCTCCGCCTCCGCCTCCGCGTTTGCCGTTCCAGGGTTCGAAGAAGCAGCGGTGGCTGTAGTCGTCGTCACGTTTACGTACGCGGCATCCCGTTCGAATTCCTTCATCAAAACGTCGCCTGCCGCCACCTCCTGCGCCTTCCCATTCCCGTATGCATGAGCAGGAAGAGCTCGAGGGGGAAAGTCATCGAGCGGAAGGACGGGGTACAACCGCTCGTACTCGAGTGGCTTTTCGGGTGAGAGCGGCCAGACGGGGACACCTGCGATCCGCGAGCCCGCTCGGGGAGTCTTGTCGTGCGTGGTGAGATCGACGGAGGGACTGCCGAAGGTGATGTCGAAGCTCGTCTTGAAAGGCTTTAAGTTGGGTGTCGCGTGTCCCAGTGCGGCAGAATACGAAGACGAGGAAAGACCGTGAGACTCATCCGTTGATGTTGTTGAAAATTCGTGGGCATCTTGGGCACTGGTACCAGACGCGTCAAAGTCGTCGGTGGACATCGACCACGGGAGACTAGTGATAGAAGAGCTAGAAGAGATAAGTCGGATCGTCGTCGTTGGTCCGTTGTCGTCGGGTGCGAGCTGTGTACTGGGGCGTCGGGAGGAGGAGGGCGTGCTGCCGTGGCCTAGCATTCCGAGGCTGAGACGTGCGTCTTGGGGGGCTGGGATGCCGGGTCGCGAGGGTTGGCCTGGGACGGGTTCGGGTGATGGTTCGGAGAAGTCCCAGAATTCTTGTACGGGCTGCTCCGTCGCTGGAATAGGAACAGGAGGAGTGGATGTGGATGTGGATGTGGTAGAAGCTTTGAGGAGGTTCTCGACGGACTTTGTCGATTTGATAGATTTGCGCGGCAGAGCGCGTTTGAGGCCCAAAGACGACGCGAGGGCTTTGAAGGAGGAGCTGACACTCAGCGAGGCTATTGAAGAGCGGGAGGGAGAACAAAAAGAAAAACGGTGGGTTGGCTTTCAATTAATATCAACAACGAACAAAGAGGGTTTCGATAATATTGGGTGGCGTGATGATATAATAAGACTGACATTTGGAGTTTGAGGTCCCAAACTCCCCTGGAGTACCACCACCACCACCACCGCGACCACCTCTACTGGTCGTGGATCCTAATGTTCGTGATCTGAGAGATGATAGCGTCCCTCCGCCCGTCGACGAATCTGTCTCCGTCTCCGCCATCACCACCTGAACGTCGTCCATAATCACGTCCCACCGCTCATTCGGCTTCACCGTCTCATCTCCTTCCTCATTCTCCTCCCGCCCGCTATCACCGTCGACATCCCGCCCATCCTCATCGTCCCACAACGCCGTGTCGGACGACGAACCAGCAGGTAACGAACGCGCATGCTCTTTCAGCCGTTCGATAAGATCGACGGACTTGCCTGACGCTTTGATGGAGTGGGCTTTACATAGCTTGATGAGCTGGTCGCGTTTGAGCGCGTGCAGTGCGGGGGAGTTGAATAGGATTTGAGTCTTCTCTTGGGAGGGCATCGTTTGTTGGTGTTCGTTGGTGAGTGTTGATATTTCGGGTTCGTGTGTTCGTGGGCTCGTGGGTGAGTAGGTTTAGCTGTGGAATTGGATCGTGATAGATGTGTGTGGATGAATGATTCGCGTGATTGGAATGGGAATACAACAAAGTTGAACGCAGTTCGGATTCGGTGAAGTTCAGATCTGGAATCTTTGAAGTTGAAACAGCGAGATGAGTTGATTGAGATGAGTTGATGAAGAGCGTGCCAGTTCGTAATCGTCGGTGTCGTCAAAGAAAAGATGAATATTGCATAGATGAGAACCTCAGAAAAACAACACCAGGAGGATCCGATCGCCGTGAACGTCGTGTTGAATGTTGCTCGACGCTCCCAAGCGCCCGCCACCCACGGTCCCATCATGACAGGCCTCAACACGTCCACGTGATCGTGATCGTGTCTCTGCAACTCTTTGACAGGTGCGGCGTTCGCCGTTTCAAAGCGCGTCGAGTTTGTGTCCCAGTAGAGTACAAGGAACAAGGAACCCTTATTGGTCTGTCGGAATGACTCGGGGGTGCTGTGTAGATAGTACAGCATGTGTGACTTCGAAAGGTCAAAGCGCAGGGCCCCCATGGCCACATATAAAGACGCTCGGACCGTCTGCCCTCCTTTATTGTCATCTTCTGTTCAAAGCTTTGAAGTGGGACTCCCTTGCTTTCTGACCGTCAGCTCCGTGCGTTTCACTGGTCTTGGATCTGGGTGCTTGTGATATATCTGTGGCGCTCGATGTTCAGCAGCATAAAAACTATAACGATGAGCCACCAATTCCTACGAGTCACACGCCACCCGAGATGACACCAGCTGAAGGTGAGACACTCACCTTCCAAAAGTCCATGAACAAACATCCCATCCAGCCTCTCTTGTTCATGAGCACTGAAATTGCATGCCCATGGTTCTGCTTGGGTCCACATAACGTCTCGAGAGCAGTAGCGAGTCGCACGCCACCCGAGGTGCCACCAGCTGAAGGTAAGAGACACTCCTTCCAAGCCCCATCAGCAAACATACATTGCAACATCTACTGTGAATGAGCACTAACAGTGCATATTGTGCTTGGGATATACCCGCGACACTCCGAGTCGATGCTAAGGTGAGCCACAATTTTCTGCGAGTCGCACGCCACCCGAGGCGACACAAGCTTGAGGTGGAGATTCCATGAACAAACATCCCAGGAAGCTTCTCCATGCACGAGCGTGCGCTCGTAACACCATCGTAATGCCTGATACCCGGCAGCACAAATGATAAAACGGTGTATACCGCAGCTTTCTGCGTGTCGCACGCCACCCGAGATGACACAAGCTAGGGACAAGACTCTATCTCTCCTTCCGAAATCCCATGAACAAACATCCCGTGCAGCTTCTCTTGTGCATATATCTGATCCCACACCTACATAAGAGTATAAAGGTGAGCCATGACTTTCTGCTAGTCGCACGCCACCCAAGATGACACCAGCTGAAGGTAAGTATCTCTCTTGCGAGGTTCCATGAGGAAACTTCACAGGCAGCCCCTCCTGTGCATGGACACTAGCCGTGCATAACCATGATCCTGCTTGGACCCATATGGCGTCTCGAGTACGGTGCCACAGACCATCTCTTCCGCGCGCCGCATCGCCACACTGGGAATCACTGGGCACTCTACACACTGGGAGCGAAACCTGCAATGTCGTGGCCTTCGTGATCTTGTGCTAATGCCAATAATCAAAGGGAGTCACTATAGTGGCGGAGAGAGACTCGTAGTCGTTATGCATGTGCATACTGAGGCAGGCAGAAGGTAGGTCAGCGCAAAGCCCGGGGTATAACTACTCTGGGGTTCGGAGCACACGATGGTGCATCTCTCAGCACGGTGTCAAATCGACGAGCCTGAGAGATATGGTCCTTGATATACCTCCACGAAATGTTTCGCGACGTGGACGAATAAAAGGGGAGAATGTCTGACCTTTATTGTTTGAAGTGCCACAGTACCTGTCTCAGGATGTCGAGGACAAAACACAATAGATCTGCACAGATAAAGTGCGTCATTTCATTGTGTCTCTAGAGCACTGACAAGCAGAAGGAATCGAACGCCATGGCACGTCGCGGACAAGAGGTAACTTAGGTGAGTTCCTTGGGCCACAATCGGGCTCTTCGGGCACCGGCCCCCAGCATGTCAGCTGCCAGGAAAACAAGAGCGTTTTGGGGCTCGCATTTGGCTCGCTATCTGAGACAGGGCCGGGAGAGATGTAGGTGAAACATGACAAGGCCCATGGCCAACCTTGACGTAAGGCCCACCGCATAGCAATGGGCGCAGGCAATGGGCGCAATAATTTGGGGTCGCGATAAGGACGACGGGCGCCGACGGCAGATGTGGGTGCCGAAGCCGAGGTCATGCGCTGAACCTTAAGGTGGCCGAACCCTTTTGTTCTCGAGGGGACAATGCCGAGGCATGGCGCCGCGTGGGACAGCGGTCGCGACCCGCGGCCATCGCGACCGTAACCGGCTGTGGGCGTTTGTGGGTCCACGCTTTGTGGGTCCGTGTTTACGCAGAACAAACACCTACACCTGCCCGCCCAGGCAGGTTCTCACGCCCGTCGTCGTGCTAGAGACTCCGCCAGGCGAGCCCTATTAAAGCCCGTCCGCCCGCGAGCGACTCTCCCCCCATTCTTGCGCAGCTACCACCATCATCCCCCCGCTCCCAGCTACCCAGCCCGCATCCCCCGTGCCCACTACTGCCCAAATGTCCCCTAAGGTCACTCGCTCCCGTCGCCACGCCTCTGGCGTCGAGAACGCCAACCCCTACAGCGCTTCTTTCTCTGCCGCTTCTCCCTACAAGATGCGTCCCACCCCGGGCTCGCCTCGCTTCATCGAGAACAAGAACAAGCTTCGTCGCCGTCAAGAGAGCATCAAGCTCGCCAAAGACAAGTCCGCTCGTGGTCGTCCCCAGTCCTCTGCCGGCGGCCTCACCAACAACTCCAATGCGTCCACGTCGACGACCTCGCTGTCGTCGCACCCGACGTCGCCCATCGCTTCATCGTCATCAGCCTGTCAGTCCTCCTCTTCCACCACTACCTTCGAGGATGCGGAGATGGAGGACTTCGCCGCCGAGGCTCCCAAGAAGCTCGGCGACCTCAACCTTCCTCGCTACCTCGAGCGCCCCGTTCTCAAGCCCGTCAAGCAGAAGATCTTGGAGCGCATCGACCCCGACTTCAAGGATATGTCCCTCCAGTATTTCCTTGATGGTCTTCCTCAATACACTGAAAGGTATGTCTGCTTTCGTCGTCGTCGTTGTCGTTGTCGTCGTTGTCGTCGTCGTTCACCACCTCCATTGCTGACCTATACTTACCTTCAGGATGCTCAAAGTCCTCCAGAGCGTCGACGCCGTCCCCAACCCCGAAGTGATCGACGACCAGATTGACATCATCGTCGACGCCGACAACGGTGGCCTTCCCTCACACATGCTCGCCATCCACGACCCCAGCGAAGTCGGCACTGAAGACCAACCCAAGAAGGTCACCCTGTACCCCGTCCACAACGTCATCCTCGCCTCTCAATGCTCCAACCTCCCCGCCCTTCCTCTCTATCCTAAGAAGGGCATGATGTTGTCCAAGACCCAATGCCACCAACAACTCCCCGTCGTTCACCTCGGTGTACCCCACCCTGAGTCCTTCCCTCTCGTCAAAGACTTCCTCTATACCCACGACACCTCTGCACTTGTCTCGTACATGCTCCCCCTCGTCCCCTCTACCACTTCTACGTCCGACGCCGCCAAGACCGCGTTGAACCCCGACACTGATTTCGAGACGAAGGCAGCTGCATACCGGGAGTGGAAGACGGACATGTCTGATCGTTATGCGGACGCGATCGCCAAGCACCTCGAGCCCTCCGTCATCCTCCAGCACCTCGCTCGCGTGTACTCTCTATACCGCAACGTCGTCGCCCTCGGCATCTGCGACGAGCGTATCTGGGAGTACATCGACATGTGCTGGGAGATCTTGATCGTCGCCATTGCGCGCGCGAACGGGAGGGAGATGGAGGTCGAGTTTGGATACCAGGACTGAAGGAGGTCGGCGCATTGATCATTGATCATCATGTACTTCTTCTTCTTCTCACTCTTGTATGCCGGCCTCTCTTCTTTCTCGTCTTCGTCGTCTCTGCTTGCTCGTCTTCGTCTTCGGCATCGCTGCATCGTCTCGGTTCGTCATCTGCACTTCCCAGTCGTGGTTCCACCTTTCCCCACCTTTACCCCATTCGCACCTGCCATTCTTCGCATTGTCTATGGATGTTTGCTACGTATACTCTTTCGCTTTCGTTCAACGTACCATACCCTAAGCTATGCTACTCCTCTTCCTTCTTCTTACTCTTTCCCATTCTATCCCTCGTGCTACATCTTCTTCTTCTTCTTCATCAACACTCTCGTCTCGGGTCTCTCCTAGTCGTGGTATACCGTTATTTTTTTTCTCCTCTTTGCCTCTCTTCTATCTCTTCTTTCTCTTTTCTCTTCTCAAACCCCTCTTACATCTTCACCTTCTCTCCAACTGTCACGGGTCTGTCGTGCATTATCCTTATTCAAACCTCATGTAACTCACCCATCCATCTGGGTGTGCAAGAACTACTAGTTCTTCTTCTTCATCTTCATCTTCATCTTCATCTTCATCTTCATCTTCATCTTCATCTTCATCTTCATCTTCATCTTCTCCTTCTCCTCTCTGCCTTCTTAACCTCCTTCTCCTTTCTCAGTCTTAATCCGCTTTGCTTTCGTCGGATGTTTTGTTCTGGATGTATTTTCTCCAGTGTAGTCCTAATGCCTGCTCTTCAATTTCTCGTACATACTTACTTGTGTTTGCTCTCTGTTCTTTCTGTTTCTTCGATGTTCTCGTACATACATACTTGCGTTTGCTCTTTGTTCTTTCGATGTTCTCGTACATACTTTGCGTCTGCTGTCTCTTACTCTTTGATGAACTGAATTGTAATCGGAACTTCCACTCCTCTTTCACAAAAGTTCCCTGTGTGAAGTGTGATGCGTGAAATGTTTGCGTGAGCTGTCAACGTTTGCGTCAAAGTCGTGAAGAGTCCTCATGAACTCGGGTCATGTCGAGTGTACGTTCGCTGTGAAGCACAGTCGGACCGTGTTGAGCGTATACGTATACACAACTGAAGTACAGTAATGTCTACCCATGCAATTCTGTTGTACATAGATTCCTCGAGAGGAAAAGTCGTCGTCGTCGTCCGAGGGGCGGGACCGTCGTTCGAACAGCGCCCTCCAAACGTCCCCTCCCCATTTGACTTAACCTAGCATCGTACTCCAACGAGTTCTCAAACTAAATGTCTTCTACTATAGCTACATGTCCATGCAATTTCGTAGGAGATTCCTCGGGAGGAAAGGTCGTCGAGCGATAGGTGGGACCGTCGTTCGAACAGCCCCCCCAAACTCCCCTCCCCATTCGACCTCCCGCTGCCATTACTTACTTATTGTACTATAGCGACTTCATAAATAGTCCAGGGGCGATTCGAGTAACATGATTCATATCGATGAGAGCTTGGATGGGATTAGGAGAGATGATGAGGCCTAGGGGTTGGTCCAGGGCGTGCTCAGGCTCTCGCTGTCCAAAGTTCGAACGACGGTGTTGAGCCTGTCCGAACGAGGAGCTGCCAATGATAGTACTAGTACTAGTAGTGCGAAATGAAGCTTCCAATGAATTATAATTATCATCATTGCAGGGCTACTTATCCCCATCACGCTTCGCGGTCCACGCTCGTCGTCGTCGGCGTTCCAAAGCGTTGGAAGTTTGAAGTTTCAGCCTCTCCCACATAACGCAGCGCCCATCGACAGACAGCGCCTGCCACATTCTAATGAAGCATTCCAGTTATTATCCTTATTGCAACTCGCAGCCCGATGTTATCCCCATCACGTCGTCCGTCGTCCGTCGTCGTCCGAGGCGTTCCAGGGCGTTGCCAGTTTCAAGTTTAGCAAGCGCTGAAACGGCGCCTGTCTTCGTCCTCGTCTCCTCAACACTAATCACTCCGTCTTTTAGCTTTCGAGCTAACTAACAGTTCCTCGGGTAGCAGCCTGGCAGCAGCGGACTCGAGCTCGCTGTCGACGACGACGACGATGCTTCAAGCCACGTCATGGCGTTATCTAATCTCGGCAAGGTCCACGGTCATGGTCATTGGTCATATCGTGCTCAAATCCAATTATGGCTCTATCCGCGAATTGACCCATAGACTCGCTCTCCGTCGCGACTTCACCATTCTCGTTCTCCGTGCTTTGGCCTCTTAGTCGGTTTGGCCTCTACCTCTACATCGCTAGGTTCTGCTTATTCTGCTTCCGTTTTATTTTTTTGAGACCTCTTCATAGTTGGTGAAGGGAGGATAGTAGAAGCTGCAGATGCAGCCGTTTCAAGTTCCCGAAGTCGAAATCCCTGGACTGGTAAGTCTGTTTCCCTTTCAGTTTTACTTATGTCTTGAGTACCGTACGGGGTACAATGTCCCATGAAGTCCTTTGTACTTTTATCTCTATAAAAAGAGCGTCTGAACGACATTGACTGACGAGTTCATTGCCGTTCTCACCATCCATGTCTCGTTCCTCCGTTCCCTATCGTTTGGTGCCACCCGACCTACCATACATGCAGTCCGCGCACTCTCAAGCCTCAGGCTCGAATATGAGACCGAAGAACTATCCTTCCGCCTCAGGTTCAAGCTCGCATCTCCATCCTCCGCCTCATAATGCCGCTCCCTCATTCGCCTCGACCTCGACCTCGACCTCCACACCCGCCTCGACCTCCACATCCATCCCCACTTCCGCCTCGACCTCCACGCCCGAACTAACCGACTGGAAAACCCCAGTATGGGAAAGAGCCAGGCCGACGGTGCGCAGGCTCGAGGATGCGTTGAGGCAGGTGGAGTTGAAGGGGAAGAGGAGGGAGGGGATGAAGGCGAAGATTAAGGGGTGAGTCTCTTTCTTGATCTTGTGGTTCTGCGTTTTTTTTTTGTCTGTTATCATTTGGGTCAGAGAGTCTTTGAGGAGAAATGTGGTTTGGGAGTGTGGTTCGTTTTCGGGAGAGGGGAGGTTGTGGCTTTTGGCCTTTGAGACGAGACGGGCTCCGGTTTTGAACCTTTCATGGAAGAACATACCCTCTGTTTTGATTGACCTCTGGTCTACTAGAATGACGGTGTAATATTGGTCTTTTCGCACCCCCTGATACTGGCTTCATGGTATCCAAGGACGAGAAGAGGTGGTCTTGAACATCCGTCCGTGGTGGGGTGGCGCGATTCAGGCAACTCTACCGACTGCTCAATATACCACTTACTTGGCCCTTTATTATCGACATATCTTTCATATTGAACCTGATGCGAATTGTCCAATCGACTGACTCACTTTCCTCTCTGTTCCAGTTTATTGGACACAAGATTGCCCAAAGTCTACATCGCCATCTACGGAGGTCAGTCTAATTTTATCTCGTGCCACCGAATCACAATGTTGTGTTCACACCTCTGACGAGGTCCCTCTATGAATAGCCACCGGGATCGGAAAATCTTCGCTCATCAATGCGCTTCTTGATTGTGGGTGGCACCTTCCCTCTGTCTCAGTCTTGACCCACTAAATTTGATACTGATTCATGTATAATAATACAGCACATCTCGTCCCCGTAAACGGCACACGCGGTAAGCTTTCACTCGCAGAATACACCACCTCCACCTGACAAGATACTGACCCCGTTTCGACTACCTACCATGTGTCTATATGTTCCGACCACTGTGATCAGCCTGCACCGCGACGGCCACCGAGATCTCATACCACGACAAGGACACGTTCGAAGCCGACGTGAGCATCGTAACCGAGGACGAATGGAAGGGCGAGCTCCGGCAGTTGCAGTGGGAGCTGTGGAATCCGGAGACGGGGACTATTAGGCCTGTGGGGGAGTTGAGTGAGGATTCGGAGGTCACGCTGTCGAAGGTGTGTGTTTGTGTCGTCTTCTATTTTCATTACATGTGTTTTGTTGGTGCGAAAAAGTTGCGCGAGGGTATATGGAAGGCTGACGGTCGGGTTATCTGCAGTTCAAAGCCATATATCCGAATCTTGACGCAGAGCAGTTGTATAACATGTCGGACGAAGAAGTCCTCGCTTCTGATCCCGGTAAGTCTCCTTTTCCTCTGCCACCAACCTTCACGACCAACAAACATCATCCTTTTATTCACCGCACACTAGGCATCCGCGCCCTCTTCGGCACAACCCAACACTTCTCCGCCTCCGAACCCTCCACGCTCACCCGTCACATCAAGCCCTACGTCGACTCCCAAGAAGTCCTCAAAACGAAGAAAAAGAAGAAGCCCGCGAAGCGCCGCAAGACTGACTCCGACACGAATCCAAACGCAGAGGACGACCAGCGCGCGCTGTGGCCGCTCGTGAAGGGGCTGGCGATGCGCTGCAATGCGGACGTGTTGGCTTCGGGAGCGGTATTAGTGGATTTGCCGGGCGTGGGGGACGCGAATGCGGCGAGGGAGAGTGTGGCGAAGGAGTATGGGAAGGCGGCGCATATGGTTTTTGCGGCGCCGATTGGGAGGGCGGTGAGTGATAAGCTTGCGAAGAGTACGTTCTCTTTTTTTTTCTCTGTTCTGTTCTGTTGTTTGTGTTGGTTGGAGTTTGGCCCTGAGTGTATTGGATGTATGGGGCTGGGCTGGGTTTGGTGTGTGGCGTGTGGCGCTGATGGAGATCGTGGTTCTTTTTCGTGGTGTAGACTTTTGCGATGATCAGTTGAAGACGAATATGAAGAGTGAGTCTCTCTCCGTCTTGTATCACCCTCAAATGCTCACAACTCGTTCTATGCAGTGGGTAAGCCCGCGTGACGATCTATGAAACTTGCTGCAATTCAATCCACACTTCCTTCGTGTGTTGTTACTTGTAGGCGGCCAGTGAGTGATCTCCTTCCTTCCTCTTATTAACGGCAAGATCTGATGGAACTGCTTAGATATGATCCGCGCAAGATCACCATCGTCAGTGAGTGGTTTGAGCGGTGTGTTAGCATGAAGTGGGGGTCGGATGCTCACAAATTGCCGCCTTGCAGCCACGAAGTGTGACTTTATAGATCGGAAGGAGTACCGAGCCTCGGACGAATGCGACGACGATTTTTTCACGGAATTGGATGATCAGATGGAAGCATATGAAGGGATGATTGAGACGTTGATGGCGGAGAGGGCGAAAGGTAAGTCTCACCATTCTACACTACTTTTTGAGAGAGACGGTGGTTAATTACTATCATCATTTGTCGTGGATTGTCACAGTGACCGGCCCTGCCCAAGACGAGTTCGACCAGAAGATCAAACAGATCCGAGCGAAAATTGACGGGTTATTAGCCGAAGAGACGATCTTGTGTTCGAAGCAGAGGTCGGAGGTGGCTCGTGTGGCATTGCAGTCCCAGTTCAAGATCGACGCGCGCAAACATTTTGGTTCGTACCATACTTCGTAGTGTACATCCCATAGCTTGCTGACAGGCCGACTTCACTGTTCCGTCGGTTTTGTTTCTAGAATCTCTCAGGGCGTCTGCGAGTCAGTGTGTAGGCAAAGATGGGACCCAGGTTAAAGTTGAAATGGAGGAGGATTACGACCTTCCCGTTTTTACTTGTGCCTCGGTGGACTACCAACGTCTCCGTTCTAACGGTAAAACATCCCTAACTTCTCACTGCATTCTCGACGATACTCATCACGCCTCACAATGAACAGATCCAAACGACCGCCCATTATGTTTCACTAACCTAGCCGACACCCAGATCCCTGCCCTTCGCGATTGGATCCACGAGCTCACCGCTCGCGCTCGGCTCGATGCCACCAAGACTTACATCGCCGACCTCGATGCGTTCGTGAATACCGTGACAGCTGTAATCATGAAGAACTCGTCGGACGTGCCGCTCGGTGTGCTGGACCTGAAGGAGAAGTGGGATACAGGAGAAAGGGTGCCGGGCACCGATGCTCGCGGGGTGCCGAATTCGAATTCGACGGAGAGGAAACCGGGAAAGATCGCGAGGGCGTTGATTACGGTTCGTTTTCGAGTTTTTAGTTCTGGAGTCATTCTCTTTGTGTTGTGCTGACTGAGTGATACTTCAATAGAAATTCGAGCAGGCTTCGGAGGCTATGAGAGAGGATTTGGATAAGCTGTTCGAGCAGTACCTCGTCAATGCGTTTCAGACCGGGGCGGATAAGGTGTGTTACCGTGTTCGTTCTCTGGCTCTATTGATTTTATTCTGATACTGCTGCTCGTCCTTTTGTCGTAGGCGATCGAACAAGCACCCGCACTGCTGAATGAATGCCTCGACGTCCCATGGCAAACACTTCGTGCCTGTGAGTTGCTGTTATTGACCTACTCCTAGCAGTGCACCTCCTAACAATCTATCAACATAGGGATCCGTCGGAAGGGAATCATCCGCCGAAAAGACTACGATAAGGAAACCAAGGAACTAAAGGGAAAGCTCCGCCTGCGAGACTTCAACAAAGAACTCATGGAGCCATTCAAGAAAAGCGTCCAAGACCCGTGGATCCTCGTCTTCAAACAGGCACGAGACGAGAATGGCAACGTCTTCAATCAGGTCCGAATGGAGGTCGAGTTCCGGATCCGGATCATCATCAACGACGTCTGCAACTCGACTAAAGACCCGGAAGTCAAACAACAGGTGGTGGGCAAGGGTCTCGAAGAGGCGTGGATGAAAGAGATGCGTGCCGCGCTGACGTCGATCGAGTCGAATGCGAGGGTGAAGTTGATGAAGAAACAGAAGGAGTATTCGCAGGATATGTCGGCGAGGAAGTGGTTGCTGCCTGGGTATGAAGGGGCTATGGCGAAGACGGGCCCGGGTTGTATGAATATGCAGAAGGTGCGTACGGCCGGCCATTCCATCTTTTTGTAAGGGCTACGACCTAATTGGTCACCACGCCACCCTCGCCCCGTCGATAGACCTTTTTCAGGGAGTACTTCCATTCGCATTACAAGGAAGGATTTGATGACACCGCAGTCGACATCATGACGGTCCTGCAGAAGACTGCATCTGAGGTTGCCTCTCAGACAGACGCCACACTCGTGGAACTAGCCTGCAAGGTGCGCCATCCTATTTCTCACATTCCCTTCCAGCTCTGGAACTTACTCTTGTCCAGGTTGAAGACACCATCGCCCTCCTGTGGGAAAAGGTCCCCAGTAATCCGGCTCAGCTTCAAGCTCGTCGCGCAGCGAAGAATGTGTGCGATGAGCTACGGGGCATGATTCAGACCTGGGAGCGCCCCGCGGTTGTTGCGATGGACGTGGACTGATACTTTATTGCGTGTTATTTTTTTGTATATCTTCTTGCATGTATTTTTAGATCCCTGTGCTTATTGCTCGTTCACTGACAGTCGAGATGTATTCCCGCTACTTTAGTAGTGGGTCTTACAGGAAGTATCGTTCGGTTTTTGGCTTGTAATGCGACGACCTTCCCTATATGGTAGATGCTGACCAATTTCTGACTCAGCTATCCCGCCTGAGTTCGCCACACTTCGTGAACGTCCAAGTCATGACAGAATTGTTTCTAGAGTATTCATTTCTGTTCATCTTTTTAGATCGTAACCTCGGCAAGGTGTGAAGTGTGACACACATGTACCATGTTAGGGTCACGAAGCTGCTGGGCGAAGCCCTGCAGCGGCAGTGACCCCTCACTTGCTCGAGCAGTAGCACGTCCGAGTCATGCATACTCTTCGGACGTTGCTAGTTCTTCAATCGCTGACTCTCAATTCGAAATTATGAGATCAATTGAACATCTTATGCTGCTCGTGGCCAATATGTTAGACTGGTACTTACATTTGGAGCAAAGATAAGTAGCGGGACCTGCCGTTCACCGGCCTTACGCCTGCGTTATACATTTTATGAGAGCTCAATGACCACACTCTAGGATTACTTCTCAATTTATCGTACTCTGTGCATTGGTAGTTTCAATTCGATTTCATGGTCAAGTTTGCTCCGGCGGGCCACATCAAAGCGCGAGTGTGGCACCAAGGCAATGTTCTCTGTCGCGCGTCTGGTTCGCGCGAGGCAAATTCCACTTCACCCCCAACCACCATGTCTGACATCGTCTTGAAACTCAAAGAACAAGCCAACGCGGAATTCCGCAAGGGAAATTATAGACCAGCGATCAATGTGAGGAATATATAGCTCGGCCATCATTTTTCATGCTCAACAATAGTACAACAAGTTCGTGTTGGACTAAACTCTTTTCCCTTACAGCTGTATGCAAAAGCTCTCGATGCTGCATCGGAGAGTACTCCCATCGAGACAAAGCGCCAGGTTCTCAGTAATCGGGCGCAAACTTACCGTCTCTGGGGAGAGATCTACTCTGCTCTCCAAGATGCCGACCTCGCTCTCTCGCCCGAATATACTACAGCCGACTCGCCCAAGGCCATGACGGCAAAATGCTACTATCGTCGCTCGAGGCTGCGCTACCAGCATGCCATGTACGATGAAGCTCTGGAGGACTATAAGCGCTTCGAAGAACTGCAGACTGAGCTGGGCGAACCTATCGATAGCGTGGCGCACCAGCTACATACACAGGTTCAGAAGGCGATGAACGAGCCGGAGGATAGTGAAGCTCGACAAGTGGCAGAACTCATTCGAGCGTGTAACGTGAGTCTTTTTTTGCTAGCTCATGCGTGTATACATTAGGTGGCTCAGCCTGACATGCCTATTCGTCGGAAGTATCGCGGTATCCAGATCTCAGAGGACGACCGACCATACTTTCCAACACCGCAGCCCGAGAGCGAGGACGACTTGTCTACCCGTTTTGACTACCCATCAGGACGCCCGAACCCTCGTCTCTCGAATCCCTCTGCCACGCCCCTCGCTTTCCCCTTCAAATTCGGGTTTGTGGGACTCAAAGACCCCGTTGACCCCTCCATGGGCTTCAGTGGAACCATCGAGATTGCGGAACAAGGGGATCCATACGAGCCAGACTCAGACACCATCAGTGTCCATGTGCAGAATCTTCTGCCCTCTTATGCTATGTATTACGGACCAAAGAGCTTCAGTCCATCTGTCATGGCGAAGTACTCAAAAAAGAACGCCGAGCTGGCCTTGATCACGGCCAAAGGTCGTCTCCTTCTCATTCCCTGGGAGACAAAGACTAGGGATATCTGGGAGGGTGCTCGCTGGCCTAGGACTACACCATGTCCTTTCAAGGATGCCCGTAAGACGCCGAGGGTGAGACCATACGAGCCAGATGGGGCTGCGTTGGTAAAGGGCTTTATGTTATTCTACGTCGTTCCTAAGGCAGAGTTGGATTCCTAGTGAGCTGTCGTGTTTTCTTCGTCCGAGGCAAACATATAGTCTAACATTTCTTCATCAGTGTCAACGTAATGCAGACACATCTCGGAGGAATGGAGTACTAGCAACCCGGTGCTTAAAGTTCTTCGCGATTGTAAAAGAGGCGAAATTTCTGTTCTCGATGTTTACTGGTGGCATGTATCAGGCATACAATTAGGCGAACAGCATCACGATGGAAATCGCGCTATCCTTCCATCTCCAACAGCCCATGCAAGGCTTGTGCTCGCAATCAGCATATCGACGAGAAATAAGACTGAACTGGGTTTATTCTCGCAACCGTCAACAGCGACATAGGACATTGTATATCACAAGACAGCCATAACCACGCCCCGTTAAACTAAACGCTCAACGGCCCTCTTCGTATCCGGCACTGCATTCGGATCGACGATGAACCTGTACTCCGGAGGAAACAACGTTCCTTTGCTCGCTAACTCAGGCTTCACCCAGTCGAAACTCCCATCATTCTCCCACCCGTTTGCCGCCAACTGATCTTCGAGCAGAGCGAGAAGGTAGCGATAATCCGGCTTCTGCTCGAACTCCAACCCATACGCGTGAGCCATCCACTTTTCAAGCGCGCGAGGGGACTGAGCGAGGAGATCCGAAAAGGCTGGGTACCCAGGTGTCTTCATAAGGCCCATTCTCTCGACTTTGGCCTCGACGCTGGGAGCAGAGATGCCTTGCCAGGGCAGCTGTCCGTGCAGCAGCTCGAGGAGAGTGTGCCCTAGAGCAACAATGTCATCGCGGCGACTGGGCTCTGCGGCGGCACATGAGCGTTCGTGACGAGATTGGGCAGAGGAAGAGGGGAAAATTGATCATACCAATGCCTTTGTGCGTCCAATGGCTACAGTATCTCCATGTTCCGCGAAGATCACGCCCTGTGCGAAGGGGTATGTGTTGTCCGCTCACAGGATTGACATACATGGTGGCCAAGCCGAAGTCGAATGCGTAGATGCGGGATGCTTCCTTCGGAACGCCACCGACCGCAAAATTATGTGGCTTGATATCGCGTAGGATAACACCGCGCGAATGAGCGAATTCGACGAAGTGCAACTAAGGATAGTCACACAATGAGTTTGAATTTAGCTCACGCGGTTGAAAACATAATGAAGATGAACGTCACAAGTGAAATACCGGTCATGAGCACAGACCGAAGAGACAACTTTCCTCGGCATGCACGGCGGAGATCGTCAAGATTTGGTCCGATGCAGTCCATAACAAGAACGTCGGTGTTCCCTGTCTTCCCGCTCCAGCGGACTGGAACAAGGTTTGGCCAGCTTGAGAGTTGCTTGTATACCGCCGCCTCGTAGGTTACGATACTCCTCACTGCCCCGCACGGTATGGAGGCCTTCACTACGACATCCTCACCTGTGAGCCAGTTGATGCAACGAGCGGTCACCACTGGGTTTCCGGCGGTGGGTGCGACAAGAGATCGAGTGAGTACATGGCGTACAAGACAGAGTATGACTAAGAAGAAGACGAAAGGGAGGACTCACCGTGATCACTGTCTTGGAAAACCCGAAAGAATTGATACATACCAGCTACCCTTACATTTTGGACCTTGATTCCGCTGTGGGGATCACTGCTTCTCCAGAGCGTTGGAGAGGAGACCGTGGTCGCTAGATCCGTCAGGGATGCCACCATCGTTGACCTCACTGTATATGTTCTCTTGAGCGCCTTCACTTCGAGTTCATCGGCCTCGGCGACCAGCGCTGTCGCTATCCCCATGGTAGTGGCTGGCTCTAAGCTGCGCACGGACGACGAGGAGACGACAAGTATTTTATCGGGACCAAGAGGAGAGGGTCGAGCCGACGCGTACTCCAAAACGCTCTGAAGTTGCTCCACACACGTTGCGAATAGACCTCGTGCATCGCTCGGTAAAGGGGACACCATGGGCAAAGGAAGGTCGTGTATGGCAGGCTCCAGGTATGCTTGAAACGTCGTAGCGTCCATAGCAGAATATCCGACAACATGGAAGCCCGAATCGAGGAGCTGCTGTACTGACTCGCGCACCGCGGATCTGAGTGGCGGACGAAGCACCGTCATGGCAAGAGCTTCTACGTTCAGGTGGGGACGCTTCATCTCTATTGCGAAGGTACGAAGAGCGCGCCTAACAACGTCCTGGTACGTGCCACCTCCCGCAGCATACTCGAGAGCCTCCAGCTCGCGAAGCCGCCGGATGGCCTTGTTCCTCTGGGGTGTATCGAGGCGAAATTCGGCGAGGGCAACGACGGCGGCAGCATGATGGTCCTGAGTACATGTCAGTGAAATCATAATGCGGGTGGCGGTAGATAACTCACGAAGAAGATACTGCACATATCAAGTACGATCATATTGGGTGGGGATTTAGGGATAATAGTCTCGGCAGCATGCACGACTACAAATGAATCGAATGGAGATGGATCGTCATCCTCGTCGTCGTCCTCATTTGACGATTGCTCCATCATTGTCTTATGACGTTCCGATTCTTCGTCAATGGCAACTGTCATGTGGAACAGTGTGGAAGAGTACGCGTCGGGGAGAATGGGAACAATTCCGTCGTAGTTCCTCACTGGAAATTGCAGATCCATAGTCTCGACGTGCGCGTTACGAAGCCTTTTGAGCCAAGTGACAGTTTTGGTGACTCCAAACCAGGAATAATCCTTGATGAGTTGGTCACAACGCAGCAATTCGTTCCAGACGGTGTCCGTGTGCGTAATTGTGTCGTTAGATATAGGGGTTGTCTCGAAAATATAGCCTCTGCTAGGTCTCGAAAACTCAGCTCGAGGTTGGTGGCTGAAGGTTGACCACCTCGACTGAACTACGTCTGACCCACCAGAACGAGGCGGTGACATGACGCGAGGGGGTCTCGCGTTGCGGAAGAATGAGATAAAACGTTCGATGCTAGCAGGATCGAGCTGATGAAAACTTGGGTCTATAGGATCTGTGGCGAAAAAATCGAAGCGCTCCGATATTGCGGGGAAAATGTGTAGGTAAAGAGGACCTTCAATTGGTAATGGGGAATTGAGATGCAAGGGTGGCCTCTCATCGCCAGCAGTAAGCGGAATATAAAAGTCACGAAACGGAGGACGAGGCTTCTCTTGCGAGATGATAAAGAGTCCTCTGCCTCCATAGGGGCGGGTCGCCTCGTAATTGCGCATTCCAGGTGGCCAATGAATTCGAAGAGCAGCAAAAGGGCGCGTGTGGAGTAGGTCCGCGGTTACGTTACCCCAGTAAGAAGTTCCAGCCATGGAGAGAGGAGGAAGAAGCCGGGCTTGAACAAAGGCATGAGGGAACATGGAGGTTGGACGTTAACGTTGAACGTTGAACGTTGAACGGTGAACGCACAGACCACAGAAATCCGTTGCCTGATGCATGCCACAGTTAGACGGTCCCTCGCTCTCAGCGTTGTCGAAGGCTCGCGGTGCTCGCAGACGACAGATCGTCGTGCTCAGACGCTCACCACAGTCGAAAACTTCGCTCACAGACCAAAGACATCCGTTGGGCTTGCGGTCCATCCACCCCTTTGCGGCATTGTCAGACACTGGTTTGTATACCATGTCACAACAGAGTATTGACTTTGGCTCTAGAGAAAAACTAGCTTGCCAGAGGTGCCCTTGGGCAATTAATAGCTCATTGTTAAGATTTTTCTGTCATCCTTGCGAGTGTTGTTGGCGTCGTCCGACGTTGCCCGAGACATCCCGAGACACTCCGGTCCTCACCGTACTCACCGGCCGCCACACAGTTCTTTCAAGGTGGCGCAATTGTGTTGTCATCCTCCAAGACACACGATTATGGGTGTACAAACCATTGAAAATATATCGTTCTCAGCGTCCTCCGAATACAAGGTACGCTTGCAAGTATTGCGAGACCCACAACATATTACCATGAGAGATCCACCAATTTTTCCCAGTGGGTTTTTATACGGTCATTGCTCTCTCCGGATAAGTCATGTTGTATGATCTTGTAGTGCTTACAGTAGGTTCTGGAACCCGTGAGAGGCCCGATGTTATCTAGTAGATACAATGATATCACAGTTCATTGTGGGTATCACAGCGGTAAAGGATACCGCGCTGTTTCCGTAGTGTATATTTGTACATGTATTCCTGCGGATAAGGGTATTGGTCCTTAAGGGCCCATTTTGTACCCCGAATAAACTTACCTTACCTTACCTTACCTTACCTCGAACTCACCTTACCTTATACGTGTATTCGGCAAATTCCTGCATTCCCACGGATAGTGAACTGTCGCTGGCTCGCGCCACACTGGCACTTACCCCATCATCCGTCTCCAGTCAATTTCTGAGCCTTCGGTTGGTTTCGAAACATCGACTCTCTTTGATCCACTTTGTGCTCTCTTGCTTTCTTCATGTCCCAATCTTGTAATCATACCTTCACGCGCAACCTAGGACGTCTAGCTATGTAGAGTTGAGTTTGTGGTTCTCGTACTACATGCTTGGCAATGAGCCTACCAGTCCATCCTCCAGCCTGATCATGAGATACTCGTTGTTAGACCACTCATTGTTGGTCTCTCCCACATTCGAAAACACTGTGACTGGACGATACCGGTCCTCTTGTGGCTCTTTGCTTGGTGTTTCCCGAAAAAGCTGATGGCATTCCCACCAGCCGGTGAACCATCGGGATGCGAGTGGGTTGCATGACTGTGACCTTGTGGCTGAAGACAAACAAGGTAGAACGTTCGGAAGACAAGTGGCTAATTGGCAGTGATATCGCCGGTTGTTCTCGTGTCTAACCATGGCACACTCTACTCCGATGCTCGTATATAAGCCCTCTGTAAAAGAACTTTTTGCCATTGAACTCCACCCGTCTATCATCAAATAAGCATGTCGCGAATCGGTTTAACTCTCCCACCTCATACCGGTACGTTTACATTTTGGATTCTTTCTACCTTAGAATCATCATCCTGTCTCATGTGTATCACCCCGACTTCAAAATATAGGTGTCAGCTTCACGAAGACAATTCATCATGACACCTACCCCTTCATCGACCCTCTCAAATCTTCCGGTTTCCACAAATCACACTCCGTTTTCATCACCGGTGCATCCAAGGGCATAGGCCGCCAAACCGCTATCTCGTTCGCTCAGTCTGGTGCTTCGAAAATTGCAATCGGCGCCCGTTCATCCCTCGACTCTGTTGAATCTGAGATCCTCGACGCTGCCTCAAAGGCAGGGCACCCAGCGCCACAGGTCATGAAGATCCAACTCGACGTACTCGACAAGGAGAGCGTGAAACGTGCGGCACAACAGGTGGACAAGGCATTTGGTGAAGGAGGGCTGGACATATTGGTCAACAATGCTGCGTGGCTGGAGACGTTCAAACCGATGGGTGATGCTGACGTGGATGATTGGTGGTATACATGGGAGATGAACGTCAGAGGGGTGTTCTTGATGACACATGCATTCCTCCCGTTGTTGCTCAAGAGCAAGGAGAAGACGATATTGAACTTGACTTCAATCGGGGCGCATTTGACAGCCCCAGGGGTGAGGAGATCGCTTTACAATGTGGTGATGCGACAGGACGAGCACTGATATCGTGGTTGGTATTATTACAGGCGTCGGCATATCAATCTAGCAAGCTTGCCGTCATACGTTTGACTGAGTTCATGATGGTACGTATTTTCTTCATCCATGTGGACAACCCTTCTCATACATTCTTCGTCCTTTTTCAGGTGGATTATGGAGCCCAAGGCCTTCTGGTATACACTATCCATCCTGGTGGCGTGCCCACCGATATGGGGCTCCGCATGCCCGAAGAGGCCCACGTCGTCTTGATCGATACGGCTGCACTCTCTGGGGATTCAATTGCTTTCTTGACTCGAGACAGAAGACAATGGTTGGCTGGCCGTTACATTAGTTGTAAGTCCCTATCTACATGCTTAACATATCTGCAAGGTGGCCTCGGTCGCGACTATCAGGTACTGAGTTCTTCGAACGTAGGTACCTGGGATATGGAGGAACTCTTGGAGATGAAAGACGAGATCGTGGCGGGAGACAAGTTGAAGGTTCGGATGGTAGTATAATTCCGTCGTACACTCTAAACACGATCTTTGCCCGGGTTAGCGCGCTTTGGACAACAGAGATATTCCTCCTCCTCATTTTAAGTGATTCCTGCCTCTGACTTGGTCTATCTTACGCCGTGATATATGACCTTCTCTTCCCTCGTGGACAGTGTCGTCAGTGGGCTTGTCAATGGGGAAAGATTCAGGAGACTACATCGACGTTACCGAAGGACGTCTATTCCTGTCTATCTCCACGCTGGGCCGCTGCACAACTTCCCTGACCGGAGTCCTTCGTCATTGCTGAGGCTTGGGTTGTCTGTCTTGGTTACATGCCGCTCGCTTCCTCACCCATTTGGGAACGATGCAGACTTTTCTTGTCGTCCATTCTTAATTTCACTTGTCTTGAGTTGGCAATAATTGTCCGCTCCACCACTATTTGGCCACGACTACCAGCTAGTTCTAGTTAATGAAAGTGTCAGCGGCCATTCGGTGACGACATCTGCTTGCCTCCATAACACACTGTGGCATACTCTTGCGCCGTTCCCTTAGGGATACCGCCATACTCATATTGATGCAAGAGTATATATACCTAGATTGCTGCACCAAGACTTTCGCATCGACAATAGTTACAACTCCAATAGCCCCCACCACGTACCATATGACGCTCCGACCAGTTGAAGCACATTCAGGTTCGTACGTCTTATCACACACATTGCTCTTCGCGCATCTGAAATATTCCACCGTATTGTCATCGCAGGCGCCGTCTTCACGAAGACTATTCATAATGATACATATCCGTTCATTGATCCTACCAAGTCTTCCTCCGCCCATAAATCTCACTCTGTCTTCATCACGGGCGCCTCTAAGGGCATAGGACGACGGATCGCCCTCGCATTCGCTCAATCTGGGGCCTCCAAGATCGCACTCGGAGCCCGCTCCTCACTCGACTCTCTGGAGTCTGAGATCCTCGATGCTACCGCAAAGGCACGTCTTCCTGCCCCCCAAGTACTGAAGTTACGCCTCGACGTCTCCGACAAGGAAAGCGTAACAGGGGCTGCGCTGGAGATAGAGAAGGCTTTCGGGGAGGGCGGATTGGATATACTAGTGAATAATGCAGGGTACCTAGAGACGAACAAGCCGATCGGGGAAGCCGATGTAGACGAGTGGTGGTATGGGTGGGAGGTGAATATCAAGGGACTGTTCCTTGTGACTCACGCGTTGTTGCCTTTCGTGCTGAAGAGCAAGGAGAAGACGGTCGTTAATGTCAGTTCGAATGGGGCGCATTGGATGGTACCTGGGGTGAGTATCCTCCCATCTATTTTAGTTCGCATTCGTACAGAGCTCATAGTAGATTGTCGGGTCTTCTAGTGCTCGGGATACCAGACCGCCAAACTGGCTATTCTGCGGTTGACTGAATTCATGACCGTGCGTTTTATTGGCAAATTTACTCTACGCCTTAACTTATGCCGAATACTTATAGTTGGATCACGGGGCCCAAGGCTTGTTGACGTACGCCGTTCACCCTGGCGTTGTACCGACCGAGATGGGTGGTCATTTACCTCCAGCTGCGCTGCCCTTTCTTATCGATACACCTGAGCTGGGGGGAGATACCATCGCCTTTCTCACCCGCGAGAGGAGGGAATGGTTGGCTGATCGTTATGTTAGTTGTGAGTGCCCTATACTTCTACGAATTGTCTTTCCACAGCTTAAGTGCTCATCCCATAGGTACCTGGGATATGGAGGAGTTCTTATCGAAGAAAGACGAGATCGTGAACGGTGATAAGTTGAAGGTTCGAATGGTCGTCTGATCCTAGCATTACCGCCATGCTTTTCTCCTATACGTGTCGACTATGCCATGTACGTTTATCACATCATTGCCATTCGGTGATACTATTGTTGTCGATTCTCGCGCAGACATTGGAGCTAGGGTGCTTTGCCGTCAATCATCACCCGACATAAACTCTCGCTTGAAAGCTTGATTGGAAAACTGGGCATTCTCAGCCTCGTGCTTCCCGGTCAGGGCATGAGGCAGGTCGACGTTGAGCGTGGATGCCTACCAGGCTATAAATAAACCTGGGATCGCGCCGCCACCGACACAGCGACTCATGCTATGATAAGACAAGGGCCCTGCCTTACTGCCAATATCAGTTAACATGTACTGAACCCACGGTCGCCGAGTTACCGAGTCTTCTAGTCGGGGAGTGACCATTTGATGGCTAGAATTGAGCTGGAACTTCATCTGGCTATCATTCAACTCTATCGGCTCACTTGTGGGTCCATGACGACTTGCAGTTCTCACGTACCTCAGGCTGTGGGGCTCCTGTGGCTGGTTGTGGCCACCGTTCTACTTGAAGTTATATATAAACCTGGAATGTCTCGTTGCGGATTTAGATGCACACCTTGACCTCACTGCAATAGTCTTGATAGCCTCAACCTTCGAAGATCGAGCTCAAGTTATAGCCATGTCTCAAACGGAGCTCCCACCGCTCGAAGCCCACACAGGTCCGTACGACTTCACCTCCCAACTTACTACTAGTCTAGCTGACACGTCCTGCCCCATCATAATCATAGGGACGTACTTCACCAATACGATCCACAACGATACCTACCCCTTCATCGATCCTCTCAAGTCTAACAAAGCCCATACGTCTCACTCTGTCTTTATCACCGGTGCCTCCAAAGGCATGGGCCGCTGCATCGCACTCGCGTTCGCTCAATCCGGCGCCCCGAAAATTGCCCTCGGCGCCCGCTCGTCCCTCGACACTCTCGAGTCCGAGATCCTCAACGCGTCCGCAAAGGCGGGGCATCCTGCTCCCCAAGTCGTGAAGATCCAGCTTGATGTAATCGACAAGGAGAGCGTCAAACGCGCCGCGCAGGATGTAGAGAAGGCTTTCGGGGAAGGTGGGGTGGATATATTGGTAAACAATGCTGGGTTTATAGAGACGGGAAAGCCGATGGGCGACATTGACGTGGATGATTGGTGGTATACTTGGGAGGTCAATGTAAGGGGAATGTTCCTCGTGACGCATGCGTTTTTGCCGTTGGTGTTGAAGAGCAAGGAGAAGACGATCGTGAACGTAAGTTCGAACGGGGCACATTGGATCCTTGCTGGGGTGAGCGTCTTCATATTTCGTTTGCTAGTGAATGGGTTGTAGCTGATAGAGGAGATAGTACTCAGCGTACCAGACCGGTAAACTCGCCATTCTGCGTTTGACTGAGTTTATGAACGTACGTTTTGTGTAGATCCGTCCCATACTTCAATCGACTCACGCCGTGTACTATAGGTGGATCATGGAGCTCAAGGCCTGCTGGCCTACGCCGTTCACCCTGGAAGTGTGCTCACAGAGATGGGATACCGTCTGTCCCCAGAGATACAAGCAGTTTTGAACGATAAACCCGAGATGGCTGGGGATACCATTGCATTTCTCACTAGAGAGAGGAGAGACTGGTTAGCTGGTCGATATATTAGTTGTGAGTTCTCATGCTGCCTCAGCTTGAAAATGCCCTCGTCTCTGAAAACCTGACCTTCGGCAATGTAGGCACTTGGGATATGGAAGAATTTATGTCGAAGAAAGATGAGGTTGTGAACGGAGACAAGCTGAAGGTTCGGATGGTCGTGTAATTATAGCGTTCTGCCATGCATGTTATTAGCAGCATGGTGTCAACGACGCCACATATACGTAGTAATATCACACACTGTATCTTTACGTCCACCACACGGACCACCTCTGAACTGCACCCAGCGAAACGCGTCGAGTAGGCTGTTTATGGGTACCCTTCCTCGTTCCCCACGTCGCCCATGTTGTTTCTGGGGTCAGCAGGCTGATTAGAAGAGGAAAGAGCGGGATACCGTGCCACGGCCGACGACCCGACGATACACCGGCCAGCACGTTAGTTCCTTGGGGACTACTCAAGTCGGGTGGCAAGGATAAAACCCAGGAAATTCATCTTCCGCTTCTTTTGAATCAACCATCACGAACACCCCCTGACCTGGCGCTGGACCCGTCCGCCAACCACCCTCCACTCAACCGCGTCCATAGCTAGTCAAGTTCCCCGACAAAGTCGCCCACGCTCGACCTGTCTTGTCAAGTTTGAATCCTATCTCGTCTTGGAGTAACCCAAACATTCATAGGATAAACCCACAAGATGATGGTCCTACCTCGAACGATTGGACGCCTCCCTCGAGGGAGAACGGCCTTCGTTCCCATATATTCGCATTCGTTGAAGAGCCCCTCGAGTTCTCTCTTCGTTGCTAGAGGATTCGCGAGCTCGATGTCGAATATGTGTGAGTCTTTAGGCGTCTTTCCCGGTCATGTCGGAGGTTCATAGTGGGCTGACTTCATTTTTCTCCTTCGGGTTGGCATCCTTGGATTTGCTTTGATATGCGCGCTGGCGGCTGCATTTAGATGACAAAATTGCGGTGAAGAACCCGGTGGTCGAGCTCGATGGAGACGAGATGACCCGTATCATCTGGAAGAAGATTCGTGAAGAGGTGCGTGCTACTGCCCTGCTATGAGTGTTCTTCTGACTGACATTTTCCGTTGGTAACATCGTCTGTTGAATTTGTGTGGCGTACGGTAGCTCGTCCTGCCGTACTTGGACCTGGACATCAAGTACTACGACCTTGGCGTGGAGAGCCGTGATGCTGTGAGTAGTCCTCCCATCCTTTTGTCTATACCCTTGGATCCTTCCATTTCCATCCGCTTAACACGCTGAAGACGAGCCGCCCCTGTCACATTATCCGGCGCCACACTGGTCTTATATTGACTGACCACCGCGTTCTACCGCTCTTGACAGACCAACGACCAAGTCACCGTAGACTCCGCCAATGCCATTCTCGAATACGGTGTTGGTATCAAGTGCGCGACCATCACTCCTGACGAGGCTCGCGTCCAGGAATTCAACCTCAAACAAATGTGGCGCTCGCCCAACGGAACCGTACGTCAGACTCCACCTACCACTTATTCTACCACCTGGACCATAACTTCAATTTGACCTTATATACCTGCTGCACCAGATCCGTAACATCCTCGGCGGCACCGTCTTCCGTGAACCCATCATCCTCGACCGTATCCCCCGCCCCGTCCCAGGTTGGACAAACCCCATCGTCATCGGCCGTCACGCCTTCGGCGACCAATACCGCTCGACAGACTTCGTAGCACCAGGACCCGGGAAGATTCAGTTGGTGTATACGCCAGAGGGAGGAGGAAAGCCGACTGTCATGGATATATATGATTTCAAGGGCAAGGGTGTGGCGATGGCGATGTATAACACTGATGACGTGCGTCTCCCCTTGTTACTTGGTCAAGTCGACGTGTGGGGCGCGATGCTGACAGTTTTTTTTTTGAGTAGTCGATATCAGGATTTGCCCACTCTTCGTTCAAGATGGCGTTGGCCAAGAAGATGCCGCTCGTACGTCCATTTCATAACTTCATTACTGTCACTGTTGTCTTAAGCTGATAATGTGCTCGCTTTTAGTTCATGTCGACGAAGAACACCATCCTCAAGAAGTACGACGGCCGCTTCAAGGACATCTTCCAGGAGATCTACGAATCGTACGTACTTCCTCCCCTCCCCTTCCCCCTCTCTCCCTCCTTCTCCCCTTACTCAGCGTACCTTTGCCCAACCATACAGCCAATACAAGCCCGAATTCGAAAAAGCCGGGATCTACTACGAACATCGTCTGATCGATGACATGGTCGCGCAGGCCATCAAGTCCTCCGGAGGATTCGTCTGGGCGTGCAAGAACTACGACGGAGACGTGCAGTCTGATATCCTCGCACAGGGCTTCGGAAGTTTGGGAATGATGACGAGCGAGTTGATCACGCCCGACGGGAAGGTGATCGAGAGTGAGGCGGCGCACGGTACGTTTCTACTCCCTCCCCCGGCTATCCTCTGATACGACTTTTCTGTTTTTGGGTGCGATAAAATAGGAACTGTCACCCGGCACTACCGCGAATACCAAAAAGGCAACGAAACGTCCACGAACCCCGTCGCGTCCATCTTCGCATGGACCCGTGGGCTCATCCACCGCGCGAAACTCGATTCGAACACCCTGTTGAAGGAGTGGGCGGAAGAGCTGGAGAAGTCGTGTGTGGAGGTGATTGATGAGGACGGGGTGATGACGAAGGATTTGGCGTTGGCGATCCATGGGAAGGGGATGAAGAGGGAGCATTGGGTCGTTACGGATGTTTATATGGATGCTGTCAAGGTGCGTTTCTTTCGTATTTTGTTCGATTGGGTTGTGGTAGGGAGAGGGATGGAGGGGAGGGGAGCAGAGAAGATAGGTTTGCTGACCTTGGTTTTTTGTGTTGTTTTGTTTCTGCAGAGCAAGCTCGACAAGAAGCTCGCGGCCAAGGCGAAGAAGTCCACCTCGTGAACGCAGCGTCCAGGATGGTGACGTAACGGATTTCTATCTTGTTTAGGACGCTTATACATCTACATTGTTGTTTTACTGCTCTATGACGCTGTGCTGACATCTTCAATTCCTTGCGCCCTGGTGTGTTCCTCCCCAAATAAGTTAACACGCACTGCAGGTCAACGTAAATTCATCTCGAGACTTCCATACTGCTCTCTGCTCCGGTGCAAGCAAGGTTGCGTCCAAGACTTGTCCCGAGAAGAGCTTTCGCCTCAGCCAGAGCACCCCATGTATTGTCATAGTTCCACCTTCTTCTGCTCGGAGGTCGGAAAACGCTGTCATAGATGCCTAGCATGGACTGCACCTGAATATCGTCCGTGGTCACACACCACATCTTCCAAGCATCATGCTTCAAGCGAGCGGCCTGGCGTGTGGATATAAGTTTGGCAAGGGGTGAGGTACCCTGAGTATCTCCCATCCACGTCGACTTTCATCGAGATGTCTCAAGCTCAAGACGTTCAACCTCTCGCCGAAGAGGTCAAGAAATTCCCCTCCTACGAGGCCGCCGCCAAAGCGGCCTGCGCTTGGGTAGAGCAAGGCAAGGTCAAAGTGGATCGTACCAAACTGCGAATATATCCAAGGTCGGTCCATATTTTGAACGATTAAGCTGGTCCGTTAATACTTACTGTACGGAACCCTCACGCAGCAAAGCTGGTCCGGTCAAAGGACGTATTGTTGGCAAGTGGACTTTCATTGTAGCAGTAGTACGTGTTGAGCATTGAACGTTGAACGCTGAGCTGCTGTTACGCCTGCAGGCGTCGCGCTCCTACGCGACAGCGGCATACTCGAAGATATCGTCCGCCTCGACAATGACGACACAGGCAAAGGCATCCACTGGAACGCGAAGAACCTCTCCGATACTTTGAAGAAGTTCGCCGCCTGCGAAGAGCGCACGATCAAGATGAAGGAGAACGAGCGTTTGAGCCTGTTCTATGATTATCTGCAGGCTCTCGAGAATTTGTCCGCTGAGACTATCTGGGATTGGTGGAGGACGGGGAAGAAGCCGACACATGTCGCCGAGGTGGACGCGGGGGTGGAGGCAGAGGCGCAAGAGTAGGGTTGGGGACATGGGTGCATTTGGTGGCAGTTCAAATTAGTGGATTAAGTATGAGAGGGTTAAGATTTGAGTGGCGGAGGAGGACTTAATGAAAAGACATTGTATGCATCTATCTCGAGTTTGTTGCCGCAGAGATGAAGACAGACATGCACGCAGAAGGGAATATGTAATGTGCACATCTATGGACTGTTGCCCGACGAATTCTCTATGCTTTCGGAATGGTCTCAATGATCTTGGCCACGAGCGCCTTCATAACCTCTGCCTTCTGCCTTCCGACTTCGAGCACTTCTTCGTGCGACACCTCCGGAGTGGTGGGGCGTTGAATGGGACGACCGGCAAGCTGTACGAGAAAAAAACACCAATCCATCAGTCGGCGCTCTGATGGGCCACACACCAGATGCAGAACACTCACCTCTGCCTCGACCTCCTCCCTCGCGCTCGCATACCCCTCAGGGATCACCACCTTATTAGTAACCAAACTAAGCACCAACACCCCCATCCCCTCGTCCCTCGCCGCCACCACCTCCGGCACCGTACTCATCCCCACCACATCCGCGCCCGCCGCCCTCAAGAATCGCCCTTCGGCGGGGGTCTCATACGTAGGACCGCTGACCCAGGCGTAGGTGCCTTCGGCGAGGGAGGAGAACGGGAGGGAGAGGGAGTGCGCGGCGCGGAAGGCGAGGAGGCGGAGGGGGCGGGAGTAGGCGGAGGAGAGGGGGACGAAGCGGGCGTGTGTGGGGGAGGTGGGGGGTCCGAGGAGGGGGTTGAGGCCTGTGAGAAGGGGGAGGGACATGTGGTCGTGGATTACGACGACTGGGTGGGGTTTGGAGGTGAGTGGCGAGGAGTCGTAGTTATTGGGGGAGAAGACGTACTAGTTCCGACTTCGAGGGAGGGATTCAGAGCTCCTGCAGCATTGGTGACTAAATATAGGACAATGAATCAGCTTGAATGGTTCTGCAAAAATCGCAGCCGACGTGGCGTACTGATGACATTCTTGACGCCGAGAGCTGCCATGAATCGGATCGGGTACGCAACGGTGGCCAGTCCGTGGCCCTCATATGGATGGAACTAGCTGGCGAGGAAACGGATTAGAATATACACGCCGTAGATCTAGCAGAGGTGCCATCGGTGGACAGAGACTGAGGGGATTGTTTGAGATGACTCACCCGACCTAGCATCGCCACTACAGGGACGCCCTCACCTTCACCAACAAATCCGAACGCGAGCTCGCTCTTATGTCCTAGAACTATTGGTTCACACAACCCCGTCAGGTGAGCCTCCAAATAAAAGTTTGATACAAGATAGATCGCACCAGTGCTCGTTCCGAATCCTTCAAGATCAGCATAAGGAACAATCACAACATCGCGGAGACTGTTCGCAAGCGTGCTCAACCCCGAGCCACAGACGATACCGACAGTGGGCTTGAGCAGACGAGGGGGAAGACGTTGGCGGAGGGTGGCAAGGTTGGATTCTAAGCGGTTGGCCATAGTTAGTTTTAAGGATTAGAGGTTGAGGAAGGAAGCTGGTGTGATGAAAGCTTGTCGCGTCCGACGTCCCGGGACAGAGATCACATGTTTGCGGCGCCACTTCACTCTTCGGCTCTTGGCCGGGTGGCACAGTCGCTTTATTCTCCTCTCCCACTCGTTGCTTTGTGCTCTTAAGACTTCTTGTGCGACACTATACCTAAGTATCTCCAATGTATAGCAAGCTCGGTAGCGTAACTGGTAACGCGTCTGTTCATAGTGTTGCACTGATCTCTTGCTACACGGTAGAAGAATTCCAGTTCAAGTCTGGGTCGAGCTATACTCCTGAGCTTCCACTCGTTTTACTCAAAATCACGGAGATATACAAGTACTCCTCTCGTGTCATGATCTGCTTTATGGAGTCAATATTGAGGGTGAAGTCTTTTCAAGTTGTGGAGTAATCAGCGTCGCTGGCCCTCCTGTTTGTGTAGGTCTGTTATGAACTTTTTGTAGTACTATAAAATATATTAGTATTCTTACCTACGAATGCATGAGCGAAATAAAAACAAAAACACCCTCGCCACAAAGACTGCAGACGAGTCAAATCAGCGATGATTTGAATCGGCTGCCGGCCCGGCGATCTTACTTACGCCACCCAGCTCGGGCCACCTCACTGATCTCTATCGAGATCATCTCCCCGTCGTTCCTTATCGTCCTCTTCGAGCGTTCTCTGATCTTGTGCTGCTCTGTAATGCTCACATTATTATTACTGTACTCGATTACTGAGCCATTTTCTTATCCTTGTCTCTCTATTTGTTACTCTTGAATATTGCTTAGAAAGCTCTTGATTTTATTGGCTAGCTTTCTATATCGCGCAATTATTCTCTCATTGTTCTCATTCATTCGAGTCATTCATGCTTAGGTATTTTTATTAAGTCTGAATGTATAAAAACTCGTAGATACATTGAATAAAAGCTCCAGACTTGTTCTGGTCTGTTTCCTCCCTTAGCCACCTCTTCAGCTTCGTCTCAACAAGTCAAGCGCGACCTAGAGAACCCTAATCGAGTCGTTGACAAGGTCAGAAGATGATCACATGCGTCTGACTACCCGGTATTTCGATAGTTCGAGGAATGACAGAACAAATAGATAATATGATTAGCTACGTTAATACGATATGTTACCAACGAACCCACTATCCTACCTCCTACCACACGCGTCCCTTCCACTTACTCACTCTCCCCCGCCCACCCTTCCATCCCTCCTCCGAATCCTCAAAGCTGCCTACAAAGCTCCTTCCCCCTCCCGACCTGCACTCTACAAAGCTCTACCTCCGTCGGCACCGCCACCAACGCCGCCACCAATATCCCCATCGAATCCGCCAACCCAATGGACCCAATCTTGAACTCCTTCTCCTGTTTCGCGCGTTCGGGGTCCGAGGCGGAGGACGGGTCGGGTTGTTCTTGGTTGAGGCGGTAGAAGCAGTTCACGCTGTTGGAGGGAGAACGATTAGAAGTCGAAATGTGAAGTTATGAGAGTGTGGACGTACTAGGCTAGCCCGCCACATATACCTTCCAGGCTGATGAGCAGGAACACCATGATGATATTGATCTCCTCCGCACTCGCGCTGAAGAATCCCACTGCGCTCTCGAAGAGGAGAGTCAAGAGGATGAAAGCTTGAATGATCGCTGGGAGGGAGAGTAGGCGAGCTGGCAGAGGTGGAAGGCCGAGAGAAATGGAGGAGCGGGAGAGGAAGACAGTCGTCTGATAGACGAGCTGTGGATGATGAAAGAAGGGTCCGAAGGTTGAGTAGTGAGACGACGAAAGAAAGGCTTTAGGGTAGACTTACCTGCCAGAGTGGGTAGTAGTCACGGATGGACTTTATTATAGTGCTCAAGATAGGATATTCTTCATGAGACGGGACAGGATATACTAGTGTGGGCGCGATACCCTGATGAAAGTGTGTTATGGGTGTGCCATACAAATATTACAAGATGACGACTGACCTGGTTGATAGTATACTCGAACTGGAGATCAATCCTCGGTCAATAGACGCTCAGAATGAAAAACGGCCAGCGACATCAACTCACTAGATAGACACAGACTTCGTTTCCATAATCCAAGTCAGCTCAAAGGTCGCACAAACTGTCCATACAAGGGCCACGGATGACAAAGGCGGCTCACACAAAGGTAACATATACCTAGCCAACAACGGCTTCGCCAAAACCCATTTATCACTCGCACTCAACGACACCCTCTTCTCCGGGCGGTCAGAAAGCTCACCCTGCCCCTCCTCCGCCGTATCATCCGACGTCGATAGTGGAGTGTATGGAGTGGCCCGAGGTTGTGCATCTTCGAGGACGTCGGGGTCGCTGTCTACTAGGGATGTGAAGGCAGAGGGGCGGGGGATGAGGAAGAAGAAGGTGAGTGGGATGATGAGGGGAAGGACCTTGGTATCAAAACGCAATGAGAGGTTCAGTCGTACGAACTGGACAGTGAGCCCGAAGGAGAAAAGATGGGACGTACCGCTGAGATGCCAACACCGATTCTGACGCCCAGGCCGCGTACCTCCCACCAAAGAAAAGCGCCGACGAGTCCAGCAGCACCCGTCCCAGATGCAAAGTATCTATAAGTGATATACTCAGAGAGAAACGCCGAAGACAGAGAGTGGTGCCACATACCCAACGCTGTGTCCACCGATGGAAGGTGGATGATAAGTCGTCGAAAGCTGGAGGAACGTGAGTTCTCCGAGTCCGGAAGAGAACGAGGCCAAACAGATTCCGAGCAATCGCATAGCAAGACCATCGAATCCAGCTACGACCTGTGTATTCCCCCCGTTTCCTCAGCTGCGGAAGTTGGTAGAAGAGAAGGTGGCACTCACGATCATCCCCGCCACACTGAGCACACAGCACCCTATGAGTCGCTTCGCATAGCGTATCCGTCCCTTCAGAAAATATGGCCATCCAATCTTGGCTACCAAGGCGGGTGCGATGTTGCAGAATGCGATGATTCCTTTCGGTGTAGATGGAGGGACGAGGTCCAAAGCGGCGGATAGGATGATGACATAGAGGACTGGGGAGAAATCCTTTATTTAGAGCTGAGTTGAAGTGAGGTTACTTCGAAACGTACCATTATTAATGAGGCCAAAGAGGAAGAATGAGGCTCCAAGCTTGAGTATCAACCGACGCAACGCTGGATGAGGTAAAGGGGGTATTAGATCGCAAACGAAATAGGCGAAGGTAGGAGACATTGGACATGGGATGCCGACGGAGATGAACAGTCGGGGTTAACGCACTCCCGCATTCAGATTATAATCTTAGTTATGTTGTAGCAGATACATTATGGTCATGCCTGGAGAATGGGAAATCGTAGAACGTCAACGGGGTGATAGACATGAATCTCACCTTTCTTCTCGTCTGTCGCTACGGTAGGACTAGCCTCGCCCAGAAGATGTTCTCGTTGGTCGCTATAACCACCAGACAGCTCTGTGTGATGCTCCATGATGTTCTCTGAGGGAAAGGTGGACGTCGAAGTGTTCAGAGGTTCGAGTTCGTAAGGACTTTCGAGATGGGAGCGTGGCATGCACGCGTTTACTACGTGCTGTCCGTGTTAACGCCGTGTTCAGGTGCTCGGCGCCACGCACGATGATATGTCTGGGTACTAGGTTTGGTCGAGCAGGGGATGGAGAATATCTCGAGCTGACAAGACAAGGTCGACGTTACGGTTGAAGCTTCAACCGTAACGTCCAACGCGGAAGACGGAACATTCACCGCACGTGGCTCCCCATATGCGATCGAGATTGCTGCTGTGTGCTTCGCTGCTTCTGTGAATCTCCCAAAAGATCTCTGCGAGTCGTCTGCGAGCGAATGATCACAATGGTTGGATTTCTGTCAAGACAACTCAGATGATGTACGGCTGGGAGATATAGACGTTTTATGGAGTAAATACTACTCAGGTAAGTAATCATTGGTCTCAAAAACAGAACATGAAAACGGTGGGAGAATGGCGAAAGGCGTAAGTACGATAGGTTGGTCGAAAGCGAGAAAACATAACGCAAGCTAGCAAAAGCGAATACAGGTACAGCATAAAATTAGATCGGCTCATGAGGACTACCACCAATCTCGTCCACGCTGATGCCACACAAAGAGGGACGACATGACAGCTCACGAGGAAAAATTGCACACCCATTCATCGTCTATCCAACCACCAGTTCGAAACTGGCCGCCAAAGAGTTCCATATCAGCCTCTGCTGTTCTTCCACATACTTCACTACCACATCCTTACACCCAGCACACATCCCTTGCTGCTCCGGGATGGCCCTCACGAACAGCTTCGCAGCCTCCCAATCCTCCACGGGCTCAGACATCAGGTTACTATCCCTGATCAATATCCGGTTCAACGCAGGAATATATGCTGAGGCCCATCTCGTACCGCAGGTGGGCTGATGCTCTCGACTGGGCAGCATGGCCAGCGTAGTCGCAGATGCTTTGAGCATGTGCGAGGTGCGTAGTCGAACGACGCCGATGAGAAGACGCTCGACATCAGAGGCGCCGAGAGGGCCAAGATGATGGCCACTCGTCGTCCCCGCCAACTGCCACACCCTCCGACTTAAGTCGTAGAATAGAGGCGTCAATAACACCGCGTCCGTGCACTTCACCTCTCTCAGCACAGCAATCACTGCTGCGGGGTGCACGATAAGGTCCTGGTCTACGTCGAAGACTGGGAGAGCGGGTGGCGCTTGGCCTGGGACTGGTTGGGCGGGAGCCAATTTCTGAGTGAAGGCTCGATTTTTGTCGAGGTGGGAGATGAGTGAAGCAGGCCATTCTTTTTTGAGACGAGCGAGGATATCTGATTTGAGGCGGTCGAGGGCATATTTGTTGCTGAGGCGGAGCATGCCTGCGATGGTGGGGAAATTCAAAATGGTGATTTCGGGGAAGTCGACGCGTCTGGTTAGAGGAAAATTGCGTCAGTATTATGCAGAGTAAGTGACGGTGTGCCAGGATGAGATAGAGGACACGCACAAGCCATCATATATGGTCCCCAATAATGCCTCCATGTCATCCCTGTCATCCGGCAGCTTCAGCAACATTTTCCCCCTGAGCTCCAATAACTGAAGCCCCGGGGCTAGTATATCCCGAAACACAGGAGAATGTTTCGATAACAGCGACTTATGCACGCAAAATAGTGTTTTGTGGCATTGCAGGATGAGATTTCCGTCGTCGAAGTAAAGGGTGGGGTGGTTCGTGAGGAGCTCGGCGTCCATCTCGTGGCGGGGACGTTTGCGGTCGGGTTCCTGATTTGAGCCGGCTGGTCCTGCTTGAGAGGAAGCCATACTAGACTGCCTGCTGTATGTTTGGGACATTCGCTGTTCGAGATGTCACGACGGGTCTCTGAACAGACGGAACGGTATACTGAACGGGAGCAGCAGAGGCCTGGGGGCTCTCGGTCGGAGTGTCGTGAAAGTAAGCAAGAGATTCAAAATGAAAGCTGATAGAGAATAATAAAACTATACGGACTCGGCGCAGCGATAACTAGTATGCGACTAGGCCGTCCTGTGGAATTGTTTGTACTCGCCGTCGCGGTCAAGATGTGGCGATGGCGTGTGAAGATTTTCTAAGGTCCGCGAAGGTGGCGCCGCCGGTTCGACGACTCGACTTGCCAGCTACCGCCACGGTCTTGAGTCTTTCTCAGTTCTCATCTAATCGCCGTCCGTACAGATGCCGCGCCAGGTAAAGAAGAAAGGACGTAGCGCCTCGTTTACTTGGGACTACCGTAGTCTGAATAACACTGAGTCTAATCATGAGTCCACGGATGACACAGAGTCTGATTCCGGAACGTCGTTACTCGACGAGAAGGAATGGACGTCCTTGCACCATGTTGTACGGTGTGATGGTGCGTGTCCAGTCATTTACTCCGTTTCTTTGGGGAGAACTTTACTTTGAGATGATAATGCACTGGAGCTCTGACCATGATGACAAACAGAGTATGAGGCCGGGGAAGAGTAAGTCCATTCTGAACAGAACTAACTGGACTCGACAGGTGACCTCGTAATGTTGTGCCACAATTGCAGTGTTCTTGTCTGGGGTCAGGGAATGAACCCAAACATTGACTATGATATCCACAAATACTGGGTCGGGCGAATTATCGAGTTTGCCACAAAAGTCGAGGAAGATGACAAGGATGAGGTCTGTACTTTGTTTCTCAGGCTCTTGGTTCTCTGAGTGTGCTGGATATGAATGCTTGCTATCGGCTTTTGCTACCTTAGAAGAAGGACTGGGCTCGAGTGCAGTGGTACTACTCTCGACGTGATATCGCACACGTCAATCCATTGCTGTATGTTTTATTTGAGCTTGTCGCCTTCCAAGGCTGACCTATAGCACTGCATGAATGAACTGTAGTGACGCAAAGGGTGCTGATCCCTGGGAACGACTGTTATCGGATCATTTCGACTCAATCCCTGTTTCTACGATCAAAGGTGAGTCCTGAGAAACTTACACTTGCCCTTGAGGAATGTCCTTACTGAGTGTCATACCGCATAACCAGAGCCTGTCATTGTCCGTAGATATGACGAGTCAGCTCTCATACCCTGGGAGAAACACGAAGGTCAATTCTATTGCTGCTACAATTATGACTTCAACAAGTTTAAAGTGACCGTGAGTGCCCAATGTGAACGCCTTTGGCTATGTTCTTCTGTAATAAATGATTTTCATGCATTCCATTTACCATAGCCTCAGGCAAAAAAGCAGCTCTCATTTGATGAGACTCCATCACCTGCAGAGTGGCAGATGTTGGATCGTTTCGATTCCATTGGTAGGTTTCCGTGCCATGGTACTCAGATTCTATGATCTGCGCCTGTACCTGAATTGCTTTCATCTTTTCAGTTGAGGAAACACGTGAAGAGGGATCCAGGTCTGAATATCGAGCAGGGCAAGAGTGAGATGCACTGTTGTCCTAGACTTCAAGCATAACAAGCCACTAACATTATTTCACTATTTCAGCATCCTGGTCATGAACTCGGCTGGAGAGAAAGTGGACTATCCCCTGCACCAATGTTTCGTAGCAAAGATAGTGGAATTTGGTCTGCGGAAGATAGAAGGAAAGGTAATTGATTTGATTCACCCCTTCTCTATGCTATTGCACTATCTGAAGGCCGGACTATCTGAACATGTTCGTATTAGGAAATGTGGTGGGTGAGAGTACAATGGTACTACTCCAAGGCAGAGCTGTCTCAGCAACTAAGAGGCTTGTGGGTATCAGTCCCGCTCTTCCACGATGATACACTCACTGTTTTCATTTCAGCGAGCACAGAACATGGGGACGTTACGAGCGCATTCTCACTACTCATTTTGATCATATTGCATTCGCCCGTGTCATAGGTAAAATATTCTTAGGCTTTCCTAATGGTTAACGTGTTCCTCATCTTTGGATTGACTCCAGGGCACACTGTCGTCAAGAGATATTCCGAGACAAGCCTCTACCAAGAACAAATCAACGATGGTGAATTTTATTGTCGACGTCTACGATATGATCCAGAGAGAAATGAATTTTCGGTAGGAGTTTTCAGCGTCCTTCTACTAGCAGATTTACTAACTAAACTATGTACCTTCCCGAACATGTGATGGCCAACAGCCTCCGAATCTCCCTCTGTGCCACGGCACGTTCGGATGCAACCAACCTTACAGCCCGGATCATGACACAGTCATGCATTTCTGTCCGCGTCCGAATTGCCAGAGGTGGTACCATCAACCATGTCTACTGTATGACCGACACTTCGACACTCGTATGGGGAGAGCTGAACGCGACGGACGTATGCTATCTTCGGTTCCTGATGACGATGAAGGACCTTTTGCTCTGCGTTCCGCTCTCACTATCAGAATATCAACCAGATCTCACCCCACGGCGACAACACCTCAAATATGGGCATATCAAGAACCAAATTTGCAAGGTGCTAGTGGTATTATGTTAGAGGAGCTACCAAGGGAGTTGGTGAAGGTAGCACAGTCACCGATTATCAAAGGAGTGGGGATAGGAATTGCGGGGAATATAAAGGAGGTGATTGAGGCGCGGAGATTGGTCCTGGATTGTCTTGAGCTGAAGGATGGCCATGATGTGAAGGCCAGGTGCTATAAGTGGATGGAACGTATGTGTGCTTTCGTGGATAATGATGTTGATGAGCAGGACGACTTGGCTATAGAAAGATCGAAAAGGAAGAGGCCAAGGATGCGGTGGGAGAAGGCGTGCGTGAAGGCTAGTATTGATCTTCCCTTGTTATGTCCCTCATGCCGCAGTCCTGTGTAGTTATAGTGTTTATCTTCATATGCGACCTTACCTTCTTGCTACATCTTTTTGTCTGATGAACGGTTGAACTCACCAGCAATGGAAGTGTGGCCCAGAAAGTGCCACTGACTTGGTCTCTCATCAGCAGCACCACGTCAGACAGCGATCTTCTTCGTGCCACACCTTCGACCAGATCTCACCTTCGAGCGTACGTCTCTGACCATACTTTTCTTTTCCTCTAAACGGCTGCTTTGCAACATCTCCGCCTCTACGTTACACAAAATTGTTACGGTTTGACGTTTTGCAGGCCCATCCGCCATGGTTGTAAGTTTTTGTACATTTTGCATCCCATACTGTCATTCATGACTTCCGTCCACTACCCAATTTCTAGAAAATTTCCGTCCTCCAGCATAACCCCTCATCGCATCTCCCAGCTCGCCCAGGAGATCCAACACCAACTCAACGTAATCTCGATCCACTTATGCACCCTTTCTCTCGAGCAAGAGAACGCACTCGCGCTTTGAACGCCGCAAAAATGGAACGTATGTTTGCAAAGCCTTTCGTGGCGAGTCTGGAGGGACATGTGGATGCGGTGTCGGTTATGAAGAGGAAGCCTGGGAGTGTAACGGATATTGCGAGTGGCAGTTGGGATGGAGGTGAGTGCGTGTGGCTTTTATGAACAGTTTGAGTCAATTTGCTGACTTTTATGTGGCGGCGTATGGTTGGGATTTGACTTGCTCTATCTGGTCTGGTGGTATGACGGGTTTTAGAAATCATCGTTCATGATGTTGGAAGGAGAGCCCACGTTGCGAGGGCGCCGAACGCGCACAAGGGGAAGGTCTCAGGTCTATGCTGGGCGGACCAAACAAGGGTATTGAGTTGTGGTGTCGATAACAACGTGAAGATGTGGGATATGCGGCCATTAGTGGACGATGTTGACGGGACAGGTGCTGGCCCATCAGAAGTATGTCCATCTCCACTGTCTTGCTTTCGCACGAATCTTATATCACCACAGCGGAAACCGATGCGAGTATTCCCCGGGAAGACCGCCTTTCAGTGAGTTTGCCGTCTTGGCTGGTATCATCTACGGCAAGCTGACCGAGAACTGTATCAGATCCATAGACCACCACCGTCATGACCCCGTATTCGCCACGGCATCAAATATTGTGCAAGTCTGGGACGAGACAAAGTACGATCACGACTGAACTTAGCCCCTTGTCATGTTGTTTACCCGCTATTGCAATGTAGGAGCACCCCGATAACCAACCTAACATTCCCTACTTCAGTGGAGACCATCACCGACGTTCGCTTTAACGCTTCAGAACCTTCTGTCCTTGCCAGCATAGGCACAGATCGAACCTTCACGCTTTATGACATACGAACAGGGAAGGCTGAGAGGAGAGTAGTCATGCAGGTATGTTCCTCCCTTTCGATCACCGATCCTTTGTAGCAAACATCATCATATCTTTCAGATGCAAAACAACTCGCTAGCATGGTCCCCTACGTTCCCGACAAGTATCCTGCTCGCCTCAGAGGACCACAATCTCTACACATTCGACATTCGGAAACTCGAGACGCCATCACAGATCTATAAGGCGCACGTCGCTGCGGTCATCTCATGTGATTGGAGTCCTACGGGGACTGAGTTTGTGAGCGGAGGCTGGGACAGGACGGTGAGGATATGGCAGGAAGGACGAGGGACAGCGCCAGAGGTTTATCACACGAAACGGATGCAGAGGTATGGTATTCTTACGCAAGTCGTACGGGGTATGTAAGTATACTGACGTCTTGGTTGACAGAGTTTTGTCCACGATGTTTACGGCGGACGCGAGATTCGTGCTATCTGGTTCGGACGATGGGAATGTTAGGATATGGAAGGCAAAGGCACATGAGAAGCTTGGCATTGTCACTGCGAGAGAGAGGGCAGCTATCGAGTACCGTGACAGCCTCAAGGACAAGTGGAAAATGGACACGCAAGTCAACAAGGTCTCGAGGTACGCATTGATTTACTCTGGATTTTCTGACAGTTTACTCAACGCTAGAGACTGTACCCAGGACCCGCCATATACCGAGACCAGTATACAAGGCTGCAGAACTCAAGAGGACCATGTTGGACGCTCAACGTGTCAAGGAGGAGAGAAGAAGAAAACACACGAGGGCGGGCGAGAGCAAACCCAAGGCAGAGAGAAAGAAAATCGTTGTGGCAGAGCAGACCTGAGTGGAACCGCCTTGTTCCTATCATTTTCACGCCACGCCATCCTGATGGTTGTCTTCGCGTATGGTTGCACCATTCTATGCAACTCCTACTTTCCAGTTGCATTATCTGAATTTTCACCCAAAGTTTGAGGTGCTGGCGTGGCGAGTGTGGCAATAACCTGTCTGGCAACTTCCGAGTCATGTGACTGTTTCTCGTCTTCTCGAGACCCGCGTCGCAGGTCTCTTTTGGTCTATCAGTGCCTTCTACCTCTCGCATTTCTTCTTCGACTATTATCTTATAGACATGTCTGACTCTGATGAAGCATTCTCTGATGAGCTTCTCGAGCTCGCAGGAGCAACGGACAAGAAGCGCAAAAGACGTCAGAACGGCGCGAAGGGTTCAAAGCGGCGAAAGGCAGAGTGCGTCCCTCATCATTCCATAGTTCACTCAGTACCATTCTGACCCATCCATTTTACTACTTTAGAGCAGCAGAACAGACTGAATCTGAAGGAGATGGACCCGAGAGTGAGGAGGAAGAGAATGATCTGAATCCCTACCCCCTGGAAAACAAGTACACGGACGAGTATGACAGGGAACAGTGCGTCGATTCTAAGGCTTTACCTCTGAAGACGAAGCTCACGGGGAATTAGATTGCTACAGATGCCGGAGATGGAGCGTGAAGAGGTTCTAGCGCAGCGGCAAGAAGAGCTACAGAGAATACAGGACAAACGGAATCTGGACCAAATGTTCAAGGCTATGAAGGAAGGTGGAGTGGACGACGATAGCGTGTCAAAGGCTGCGAAACGTACGCACTTCTTAATCTGGGTTTTTCGCAATGATGCTGTCTCACTCGTCCTCATCTCGCAGGTGCGCATGCTGTTCGTGGTGCGACAAAGGAAAAGAGTCGGAAGCTCGACGAGTTGAAGGCCCGGAGAAAGGCGAAGGATGTGAAGAAGAAGGTCCGTCTCCCATACCCCTAAATCGACTCTGCTCTCTGAATTTCATCGTCTACTATCAGTCTCGTTCATCCCCAGAAAAACGCGATCGTTCATCTTCCCCCATGGACATGGAAACCTCTGACGAAGACGACGAAGACGGGCAAATCACGAGAGAAGAACAGGAAGAAGAGCGAGAACGACGGATTCTTGGGAAGCACAACCCTGAGGAGGAAAAGATCACAGTACTGGACTTGGAGAAGATTCGACTTACGCGGGATGCTTTGGCGAAACACTGCCTATCACCATGGTTTGAGGACTATGTGAAAGGTGGGCCATGAACTCACTACGCTAGGCGCCTTTCGCTACAACCTTTTTTTTGTGCTGTTAGGCGCTTGGGTCCGATATCTCATCGGTCAAGAAGGCAACCAACCTGTCTACCGCATCTGCGAGATATCGAGTACGTGGTTTCTCGGAGTGACCTACAGTTTGCATCAAAATCTGAAGCCTGTTCGTTCACAGATCTGGCTGTTGATTTGGCAAAGCCGTACAAGATCAACGACCAGCTCATTGATCAGAATCTCGAACTGAAGCATGGTACGGCAGTGAAGGCGTTCCCCATGGACAAGGTCTCAAACGCAGTATTCACCGCGGTATGCCTATATCCCAAGATATCACCATTGCCCCTTCATTGACCACGCTCCCCCAACAGCGCGAGTTTGAACGACTTCTTAAAACATGCGAAGGCGAAAACGTCAAACTTCCCCTCAAGCGCCAGGTTGAGAAGAAGGCCATGCAGATCCAGAAACTAACGTCGCAACCCCTAACAGAAGTTCGTTTTTATCCTATAGAAGTTGCTTTGGGTTATTGGCTGAGACCATATCACCGGCTGCACAGAGCGACGTATCCGCCGTACTCCTGCGCAAAAGCCAGATTCAAGAGCGCGCGAACCCCTCCTCAAAGACAAACGCTGCCCGCCTACTAGAGAAAACACGAATCATACAGATGCGCAACCTCGCCATGAAGCGCAATGACCGCGCAGAAGTTGCCGTTCTCGACAAGCAGCTCGAGGAGATTCTCGCTACCATAGCTGCTGATCCCAATTTCAAAGAGCGGGAACCAGAAGTGGCGGATATCATGGCGAAAGTGAACGAGCGAAATCGGAAGGCAAACCAAGAGGCGATGCGTCTGGCCGCTCAAGCTGATGCAGAGCGAAGACGAAAGGAACGGCAGGCTGCTTTGACTGGGGCAGGGAATGTGCCCATCGACCCTAGTGCGCGACTGAAGACGGTTCCGAGAATGTTCGCTTCGAGGTTGGTCCTTTTACGCCGTCTTCATGTGTCCGATCAAACTCACCTCTTCCTTCTCATGGTCGTTCTACGTGCCCTAAAGGCAAGGGACACCAGGCAATGCTACTCCACTTCCCACTACCCCAGGCTCTGCCTCCCCTCTTCCGGGCGCAGCGTCACCTGCAAGTCCGTCGACCAAGCCCGTAGCCAAGGACGACTTTACGTCGAAGGTTCTCGAGAGTATAGAGGTTGATCTAGGCGATTTTTGAATGCTATTACATGGTCTCGTTCGTCTCATCCCTTCGTTCGTCATCCGTCTCTGTATATCAATGTTTCGTCACGCTATTCTCGCTTTCTCCATGGAATCACCTCATCACTTCTCTGGAATCTTGGAGTGTACAGAGCCCCATCCTTGTGCTGTATTTATCTGTCCAACCGTATTCACGTCATCCTCACAGGCAGCACTCGCTCTTTCCTGTCGCCCGACCGTGTTAGGCGCATCTCCCTGCTGTGTTGGGTTTGGCTGACCTGACACCGCAGTCTCGATTCTGGTTGGCTCATAGTATTTCCCAGGCACGAAAATATAACGACATTGGTGTTTTGTACTTTGCTACCATAGCGGGACATCAATGGCTATTTGGCCTTGTTCTTGCCTCGTGCAATTAATGTCGCGATGTCAACGTTGCCTGGGCCACGACAAGTGCATTGTACTTCAGCTATGGCACTGACGACAGATAAATTGCAGCCATATTTTAGCGTGCCCACTTTGCCGTCCAAGTCATATATAACACATGTTGTCTAATTCGATGAACACCCCATACGCCTCACATATCGCTCCTACGGCCAAAATCTTATATACACTGCCTGTCCGGCTGCCTACGAACGCCCTCACCGCTGACCCGCATAATGGCGTCCTATCAGTATGAACGCCCTGACCTTAACTGGCCACATAGACAAAACTTCATCCAGGACGCCGATCTTCCCGATCCGGACAAGCTCGAATTCCAATATAGTCCAAGCTATCCATGCCCAGCGGAGATGGTGCAGAACATCCATCTGGCAATTGAGCTTCGTAAGCCGACCCTTTATCCCTTATGTCGTCATCCTACCTAAAATAATGTTACTGATACGTTGATGTGACCGGCATTTTGGTAGTGTATCTCAGGAACGACTTTTGGAACGACTTGCAGCTCGTTGTCTATAACGTGTGTTCCAAGTTTCCCATTCAGGGAGACGCTTAGAGTGACGTTGACGACGTGTTTTGTCGTCAGTTGGGCCAAATCGTCAAAGTTAGAAGGGTGTTCTATGATCAAAATTCCTCCCAGAATGTTTTCGGACCGTGGGTTGTGGGACAAGTTACGCGGTCGGGCCTACAGGACTCAATCGTAGGTATATGTACGTTCGTTGTTCTTTCGCGCACGCAACTGACGAACATATCTGTGCCGACGTTGTGCATAGCTTGGGCTCAGCGCGGCCTGGTACGAAGTCCAGTGGCAGCCGGCGCCCAATACATTCGACAGCATGATCGTGTTTCCTGGCTTAGGGGAGACTTGGGACAATAGCCCGTATACAGTTCCTCGCATAACTGCAGACCAGGCGATGGATATGATGAAGGCCTTGGTCGGTCGCTTACTGGGCTGTGGTCCTCGATGCTCTTCTGCTTACGCTAGTATTTGTAGACCGAAGTGATTGTGCCAGAGTTGGTCAGAGATCGCACAAGAGATGAATGGCATTGGGAGTGGACGCCCGCAACTGTCGTTGTACGTTCTATCCATCAACTCTGCCCCAGGCTCTATCCATATCCTGCGGGTGTTGACCTTCATCTTCAGTCTAGCCTCGAGGACCCAAACATTCAAGTCTTTTTCCAAGGAGACACCGCGGCAGCCAAGAGACACAACCATACCGTCCGGGAAACTCCTCTCACCTCTACCGCAGACGCCCATGTTATATCCAGAGTTCCTCTCGGGAACGAAGTATATCTCCGTCATGTGCAAGAACAAGGACAGTTCCGACCCCCAACACGAGAATCACAACCCCTACTACCTCAATCTCCGGCGATTCATGTGATTTGGGTAGCTCCCATGACCCGGGAATCCTGTCTGATTTTACAGAATCATCGACAGGTTCTGGCGCGACAGGTATCCACCAAATGGGCTCCAGCGTTGAAGCCATAGTGAAGGAGTTATGCATGGGTCGGCTGCGTGAGGTTTCAGAAGTTGGGACGGGGCTGGGCCCGGTGTTATATGGGTTGCTCTTCTAACGAAACTTGATGCGATTGCGTGCTTTGATTTTCTAGACTAAAATACGGGTGATATAATGTCTCTAATCTGGTCGTCATTTTTTGTTTAAGCGTTGGACGAAGTAACGTACCGTGATCTCCGGAATACGCGAATTCGTGGGCCACACCACTGTATGACGGTGGCACAACTTATTCGTGGTAGGCAATTGCCGGCACATACGCAAGCGGCGACCGGAGTCACTTTCCCAGACTGAGCTTTGTACCTCCCTCAAATTTCTGATCACTTTGTCGCACGATGGTACCACAAAGCCTCGCTAGAAGAGATCGGAGGTGGTTTGGACGTATCTAGATGGGTTTACTTGCTAGTGATTGGAGATTTGATCGCTTTCGAAAACTCTAGTCAAGCCCTTAAGGCTTACAAAACGCCACCTCCAAGTCGTCGGCGGCATCATATGCAAGTCTGAGTACCTCTTTCTACTCAACTTAGAGTCATATTGATATTGGTATGCCGGTCGTAGCGAGGTTGAGTTGACACGGCCAATACTTCGAGTTGCCCCTGGCATCGCCAGATCTCCCGGTCGATTCTTGTCTAGATGCGGCAACGCACCATCCTCACCGATGGTCAAAGCGAGGACGAATACAGCACATTTTTTCTTTGTCACAACCTTTTGCAGCGTCGCCTAGTTATGGTATTACCTCGTGCGCTATTTTAACACCATGAGGCTACGCTGGCATCGACAAAGCTCTGATGCCACAAAGATGCTCGCCATATCCTAACCTTTTATCTTTGTCGTCGTCCCAGCTCTATATATAATGCTCGTCAACTCCAATGGATACCTCAATATTCTCCCATCTCACCCACGACAGATATTCACTGCATAATCCCTTCGTCAACGCTAGCTGGTCTTTCAACAATCGATCCGTACGATGTCTCGGTATCCTCAGCCAAACTACCAACTCGTCGAACCCACACAGAACTTTATTCCGCGGAACTCTATTCCCCATGATATATGTTCTTTTCATGACAATACACTGTTCCCTTGTAAATCATCGACAATGACCGCCATCAATCAAGACATTGAACGAGGTGAGTTTTCTTTTGGACTTTCTGTGGGCCACCGTCTAAGCATGCTAGCTGACAAACTTCTTTCTCTCCTAGATTTCATCAGAGCGGGATATTGGGCGGACTTGGAGCCAACCGACCATTCGGTTTGTTGCATATGTTTCGCTGTATATTTGCTTTCGACTGACGGGGCGACATCAGATAGGCGAGTTCGTCCTGGTACGAAAGCCATTCCGTGACACAACCACAAAGGGACCACTTTGGGGGCCTTGGGTTCGCGCACAAGTCATGGGACGCGGCGCTCAGACCTCAATCGTAAGTGCGCTTTTTGATACACCTCCAACTCCTCAAAGTCGTACGGCAGGTCTCACGTAGTCCAATTGTTCACTCCAGCTTGGACTGAGTGTGGCCTGGTACCATGTTCGTCTTGGGGGTCCTACGACGTCTGGCGAGAGCCTTGTCGTCTTTCCTGGTCTTGAAGAGATCAAAAAGTCTTCCTCAACAAGGGAGCCTCAAAGGCCGACTGCGGACGAGGCTCTCCAGGCCATAAATGAGTTGGTTCGTTATCCATGGCTTCATTCCCCCGTGTGATACTCACTATTTGTGTCGAATGTGTTATTCTTGACAGACTACTGTGCTCGTACCAGAGTATGTATTAAATCCCACAAGGAATGTTTGGTACTGGGAGTGGACCCCTGCCACGATCATTGTATGTCTTGCTCTCTATCTCTGCACCTGTTATACTACCTTCGAGAGAGGCTGACCACCTATTACCAGTCATATCCCGATGACCCTGTTATCAGGGTCTTCTTCCAAGGATCGTCACAAGCCGCCAAAAGACACTGGCACCACGTTCCAGACGGACCACTTAATTCTGTTGTCAACGGACATACTCTGCCCAGAACACTGCATCGGGATTGGGCGTATCTAGATGAAGTACGATCAACACGATATCGTACTCCCGAGTTCGAATCTTATCCTGTGCACCCTGGAACTTTCCCTATTCATGCAATCTGGGTAGCTCCCATGACGAGGGGTACTTGTATTATATTAGAGAGGCATAAGCAGGCCTTGGCACGTCAGGTACCACGTTTTTGAGCTCTCCGTTAAGTAGTAGAATTATGGGCGAGCGTGACTCAAGGGGCTCGGGAGGCGGCTGGTATGGGCTTGCTCATTTGATCTGTTGTCGGTGTCTTTGAGCAATACACTAGATTATATGGTTTATATGATAATAACGTTATTAGTAGTCCGTATTTCCAAGCATGCAATATGGGGACCCTGTATTTTCGGAAGAGTCGTCAAACAATAACTACAGAGCACATTCTTATGCTCAATATATTGTGTTAGCAGCGACTGGACTGACACTGGTAGGCTTCCTAAATCGGCATCGACGTGCCAGTGGCTTGTACGAAGTGTCTTGGAGCTCGACACCAGGAAACAATTGCGTTCCTCAACATCGAGGAGATTCGCGCACCTGGATCTGCGGAACCTGTGTGGCCAAATCCTGCTGAAGCAATAGAGGAAATGATAGGTGTTCTCAACTTGAAGGTGTTCTGGTGAGCTGTCTGCTACCACGCTTTATCTTCTCTATTTGATGGCGGCATTCCTGTTACCTCTGGTTTATTCGCAGACCACCATGCTGGTATAACAGTATGAGGGGTTGATCATTGTATGTGAAGTTTATGGTGTACAGCCTAGGTAAACGAATTTCAAGTATCAAGATTTCAGTCAGGTCTCAGCCGTGAAAGCCAAAAGGAACTCCCCGATCCATGGGATCATCGCCCTGAGGCGCCTTGTTGCCGTGCAACAGGCGATGTACACGAACAAGCTCCTCCCCAAATGTGCACCGTGCCACAGTTGAGCCGGTCTCTCAATGCCTCCAAATACGTCTCTTCTTCACGGCCCACAAAAAGACGGAGTACCAGTCCCCTCGCCATCGGAGCGCACTCTGAAGCTGACTTTCCTTCAAGCCAAGTCAACGGTCCTTCCTCCTTGGAAATGAAGGACTGTTGAGCGACTATGGATAGGAAAGGTTGGATGGCATCTCTGAGTGTGGCAGGACGTTATTCGCGCAGAAACGCAGGACACGCTCCTGCGCTTATATCGTTAACAAACTGTGTGAGTAATGAGTATATCAAAGAAAGTAAAGAATATATGATGCTAATGAAACGAGAGCGAAACAACTACGGTCAGGTGCTCCAAGACCGGAGCACTCGTCAGAACCGTAGACTGAGAGGTGGGAGCTACGAGGGGCCCCACTGCGTCCGCAGTCAGCGAATAAGATGTCAGTAATCAGTGATCAACACGAAAAGGGATTGAAGCCCATACTTTGACCATGAGGTAGACATCGAACCCAGTCGCTTTCTCACCCTTCGCCTTATACCCAAGACTATCTGCCCTGCCTTTCCCGATCCTCGCAGGTGTCTCGAGCTAGATCGTGGCGGAATAAAGACCGTGATCGCCTTCAGATAGGGACTCGTAGGAGTAATCAAAAGAGTATATTAAAAATCACCTGGAACCCGAGATGCGCATAACGATCTCTAGCTTTCGGGGTCGAAGCCTCGAGGTATAAATTCGCGTTAGGTGCATGGGCGAAACCTTCGCGGATCAGCATCGACAGAAATCCTAGAAAATTAGATGTATGTCAGGTTCTCGTTCTTCCAGGTTCTGCCATATGAGCTTTGAAGAAAGTAGATGGCATGGACAAGTCGAACCTTTCCCCTGTTCATCTGGGTCCGTACAAACGACCTGCAGATACCACGCATCATCCGGCTTCTGCCCATTCCCCTTTTCCTTAAAGATGCTCCCAAACTTCGTATTCGCGATATCCTCGAACTCAAACGCCAATCTCTATTTGCAATCACGAGGGGGAAAAAGTGATCAGTATCGATATCCGCCTCACAGTGCGCCACTCAGTCCTGACCTTAATCATTCTAGGGCCCCAAGCCTTCAACGGTCGCCAGATCCCACTCTTGAACAGTTTCACGGTACTCCAGGGATTAGCTCGACACTTCGGTGGCATCCAAAGGCACATTGCGGCGATTTTCTCTGTAGCTGCACCGTCGGTCGCCGAGGGGTTTGCAGTCGGGATAGCGACGACAGTCGTCCGTCCACCGAAATATCGGCCGATACCGATGAGGAAGTGGAACAGTGACTCAACGTCGTCTGCTTTACGGTCTTCAGCGGTGATTGGCTGTGAAGTAAGTAAGCAAATCGAGAGAATAGTCGTCAGATGCCAGTGAAATGCGCGAGCAAGACGAGAGTAGAGTTTAAAACTGCTGGGATTCGACTTACGGATGGATTCGCGGCGAGATACATGGGCATGGGATCATTGATAAAAGCTCGTCGAGCCATTTTTTCGATCTGTGGATAGTCTTCTGGACGAGCGAGACGCACGTAGGGCTTTCCTGGTTCAGAGGAAGCGCCGGCAGCTGCAGAAGTAGAGGGCTTTTCCGAGGTCTGTATCATGGCGAGGTCGAAATCCGTGGATAGTTTGTGGTCAATGTTTATGGGATGATCCCAAAGAAAAGAGTGTCTACAAAATGTGCGGACGTGAAGACGTCAGATAGAGCAGGGAAAGTATATAATTCAATCAATGGACGACCACCGTACTCACCAGTAGTTGTGCGTATGTCGCAGTTCAAGTCGTTTCGTCACGGACTTCAGCCCCCGAAGTCCTTTATATATTCGCCGCCCCGCACAGTCCAGGAAGTCATGAGTTTGCATATACAACGACCACAAGGTTGATGGCGAGTCATTCTCGAGCTCGTCCTGAAGTAGGAAACCCTGGAGTGCCACAGTGAGTGTCCTGTCTTCGACACTACAATGCCTGCCTGTGGGTCCCCCATTTTTGCAATGGATCGTAATGGGTGAGGTCCAGTTCGATCACGAGGCCGTCGGAGAGTTTAAGTCTTCGTGCGTCAACTGAGTCGCGTTGCCCTTCGAGGAAAGTTATGCAGTTCATGCTGCTGCGGGTTCATGTATGTTATGACATGACGAAGGACTATAGGAAGGCTTTGACTCGTTATGCGCAGTTCGACTGTATGATAGAAGGGTTGAGGTGCCCGGACGCAGGCATGGAGAAGGAGATGATGGCCGTCGGGTGTGGTCATTGAGAACCGAATTGGCGCCGAGGAGGCTCGTCAAGTGGCGCGCCACAATATGATGGCGTCCTCCTGGCTATGATCGTATACATCAGCGAAGTATTGAGAAGAACAGGCATGACGAGAGCGAGGTAGGGAATCGATACATATGGAGACCAAGTAACTAGACAGCGATGCGAAACGACAAGAATAAACAGCACACTAAAAATACTCGTATAACTCCCCAAATACCAGTAGCGTAGGATCAGGACCATGATGACTCAGAATCAAGTCCAAGAATATAAATCAAAAAATAGAAACAGCAGAATACAGGGAAAGATCAATCCTCGAGAAGGGCTACGATACCGTAAGCGGCACCAGCAGCACATCCACCGACGAGCATCGTGCTAACTGCTCCCCAGAGATATCCGCTGAAGCCCTTGCCAGCAGCACCGGTGACGCGGGCTTTGACCGCTCCGAAGACCAGTAGCACGAATCCGGTGAAGAGGCAGGAGTAGATGAGGGCGATCTTTGCACGGGCGATGAAGAAATAGGGGAAGAGAGGGATCAGGCCTCCGATGAGGTATCCCATGCCGATGGTAATTGCGGAGACGTAGAGACGCCGTGTTGGTACTTCCTCTGCGTAGTCCCAAAAGATGAAAGGGGTTAGGAGAAAAATGAAGATGTGTGCGAGGAGATAGAGAACGCACCAAGCCCCTCGCCAAACTTCAACAAAAATGCGGTGACCCCCATATCGCCGCTCCACCTCAAGCCATTGCTCTCCTCATCTGATGTCAAGCTATCCCTGCTCCCACTCGCTGCCCTTCCGTCTGAGCCGATCTCAGCCTCCAAAAGATTCCGAGCCACCATTCTTGAGACCTTCTCATCCACACCGACCTCGGCCAAAACCGCGTGCACCTCCCTCTCCATCTCGCCGTCGCAACTTCGGAGCACCCGTGCGTTGGTCTGCTTTCGCAGGTACCGGTAGTGGTCACGTTCGGCTTGCGAGGCGAGGAAACCTCCGATGCCCATTGAGATGGCACCGGCTATGAGTTCAGCGATTCCACCGAGGACGACTAGTTTTGATTCGCCGAGGGAAGAGAGACCGGCGGTAAGGGCGAAGGGGACTGTGAGACCATCTGAGAGGCCGATAACACTAGATACCAAAGAAATACATAGTCAATGGAATTGTTCCATGTGAGGATGATCAGACAAAGTAGATAGAGTGTGGGTATGTTTCAGTAGCCAACGAAACATAATGCATAGCAGCGCAATAAGCCAGCCAATACACCGAAAGTAAGGAGAAATCAATGACTGATAAGAATAGCAAACGACCGGCGTGTGACTAGGCTAGTGCACGGGAGCCACAGTCGTATGGAGAACCGGCCGGAGCAATGTCCATGGCGCATGGAACGTGTGTCGAACGCACCCAGTCCGTGCTGGAAGATGGAAGAGCAATCGGGTGCGCCGAAAGGACGCGTGGATGCGATGCCGCGTAACATCTCTCCATAGCAAAACAGAAAGAGGGCACTCACACATCCCGCACGACATCTGGGTCAATCAATGTACGCTCATCGTCTCCCTTGAGCTCCTTGCAGCAAACACCTGCCCTCTCATTCTGATGTCTTGCACACTTCGCGGTCAAAGGCTCAGGCACAGAAGGCGTGGTGGTATTTTCGACGGCCCACACGGGTGGCTTATTGCCCTTTGGTGCGGATGCCTCACGGCGATGTGGAAGGGGGAGAGCAGCAGCGCCGTTGTTGTTCGTCGTGGGGGATGACATCGCAGAGTTCAGGTCGTCGGCGGTGATGATGATGGAAGATGGGAGGAGAGAAGGGGAGAGAACGGCGGGAGAATGAGCGGTGGAGACAACATCTGGCTAACGCCACTGAACGCCTTTAAGAAGAATTGAATTGCAAATTCGGCGAACGCTGACGATCTTTCTCGGATTATGAAATTCGACCCAACGGCGAATGCGAGCACTGTCATTGGTCGCCTCTCGTTTGCTCCGAGACCAATCGCACTCGCGATATCTTCTTTGAACTGCATTGCTTACATTGATCGTCTAGGAAGGTTGAAAAGCCAGCCGTATTATTGGTTGGGAGGATAAAGTACGGGTCTAGAGACACGTCCGGAGCAGGATGGACGCTCAAAGCTTCGACACCTCCACTGTGGCACCGTACTCGAACCAGATAAACTCGTAACAACGTGGCGAAATAGAGTGAAATAGAGTAGCATGAGTGCGCTATATACAGATGCTGTGTTGTAGGAGACCGCTATGAAGGATGCTGATACAAAATGTGTGGGACGAATTGTAGGCCAAGGATATCCAAAATATAAAAGAAGACGAATCGGAAACGGGACGAAAGTGCACAGAACAGAACACGAAATAAAATATATACAAGATTCCGAATTGCAAGTAATCAAGCCTCTTTCCTGAACCATCCACCTCTCCTCCAAGAATCTCCCTCATCCTCAATGATCCCTCTCCTTGTCCTTCGACGACTTGATGGTTACCATCGTCACCCCTCCATTGGCCGCTACAGGCACAGCAGGTGGCTTCCTCCTCTTCTGTGGCGGCGCTGGTGCACTCCTCCTGGCTGGCTTCTGAGTCGTGGTTGACTTTGTCGTGGCATCTGAAGCTACCGAGCTCCTCGATGTGATAGACGTCGGTGAAAGAGGTGGCGAAATGGGCGAAGACGCCGACTCGGGGATACGAAGGTGCTGATGTGCGTGTTCGTGGTCGTAGGAAGGCGAAGTGATGGAATCAATGACGTCGCCGAGAGAGTTGGACCGCATAGGCGAGACGATAATGTTATTGACATAGCTGTCCTTCTTCGAGTTCGAGTGATGGTGGTGGTGGGTCTTGCCACTCTCCGATGCAACGCTCCCAAACCTCTCTCGTCCCGATTTCGAAGAGGACGTCGCGGCCCCCGCCACTCCAGGCAAACTCGAAGCGCTCTCGTTACTCGGTCCTGCCTTATTTTTCAGCGCCTCCAAGCCTCTGCTCTTGGGCGGCGAAGCTGCGTTCAGTGTCCGAATATTCTCGACACTCTTGCTCCCCTTAAGTGACCGCTGCCGATGCAGCGTCCCACCTCCCAATTTATCCCGATCCCCAGACCGGTTTGAAGACGAGGCATAAGAACCGGCCGAACCTGTAGTCGTGAGATCCGGAGAATACATCCCCTTCGCTACCTGCTCCGTACTCGGACTCGTCGTTCTCTCGATACCGCCATCGAGAGCAGGAGAGAGGAGTGCTGCAGAGGCTGGTTTCGGTGCGGTTTTGCGCAGCTGAACGCACCAGTCTCCGGAGAGACAGCGCTCGACGAGACGGCGGGTCGTTGGGCTGACTTCGCGGATTTCGGGATGTTCGATGAGGGATTCGAGGGTGCGGACGATCTGGGGGCGTTTGTAGGGCGTCGTGCGGAGCTGGGTTTTCGTCAGGAGGGGATGGAGAACGCGAAGGTATGTGTGACGTAGCTGTTCGAGGGAACATTTAGATTGATCAACACGATTCCTGTGGACAGGAGAATGACATAAACGAAGACTCACGGACTCCTGGTCTTCGTCAAGGTCAACCAACTCGCGCAGAAAGACGTCGACAAGGACACATAGGTCGTTCGTATAGAAATATTCGGACGTTCCAGGGGTCGAGAATAACAGATACAAAATCTTGAGCACGAGAAGTTGCATTACTCGATCTTCAGGAGTTTGGTCTGAGGTAATCGTTAATGAAGGTTTGTTCGACGAAAGGCTGCGGGCGGCTGTATAACACCAAAGAGTAAAGGACGCACCAGCTCGGTTGAGCATGAAGATCATATTGCCACCAAACGTCTGACTGAGACCTAATCGTCGGATAAGAACACGTAACACTCTGTTGTCGTCCGATGCGTCTGCATGGGCACCATTTACTGGTTTATGATGATGGAGTTTATGCCCATGCGGATTGGGCGAGTTGGGACGATTTTCTGGCTGAAGGGATGCGACCATGAACTGTTCATTCAGAGCGACCTAGTACCGCAGGGTGGCGAGTAAAAGGATTTAAGAATTCAAGCACGGAACTGCGGTGTGGATGCCGTAAACTCACAATTAATTTGATGACGGAGTAATTGAAGGTCTCGTCCTGCATATCCCTTGTCTGTTCCACAATGTCGAACAACCGGTCTATGAAGTCGTCGGTGAACACGCCTATTCCCGTCAAGTAGCATTCCACGCCACCCTCATCAGCCATAGCAACAGCGTTCACGAGAACAGCAAAAGAACGCACCTAGCTCCTGCTTGTTCAGCTTACTCGCCCTACAGACCTCATATAACAATCTAACAGCCAGGCTCCTCATCTTAACTTCTATCGGAACAACAAGCGCTCTTCCGCTCCCACTCGCACTATTCCAGCCAACACTGGGCCCAGTCGCTCCAAAATATGTGTCTTCAATGTCAGGGTCTATGTCAATGAGAATGTGGTCCATAAGAATGGGGATAAGCGGTTGCCATCGCTTGTAATTGCGGAGGAAGTTGCTATTTCGGCGGCCGTATGAGAGAAGGACGTTGAAGAGGATGAATTGAATATGAGGATCTGTGGACTACACTGCTTCGTGAATATGCTGTGCATACAGCAGTAGAGTACAGGGAAGGCGTACGGAGCTAGCGTCGTCGGTCAGGATCTCACACATGCGCTCCGAGTGGAATGTGAAGAGTTCCGAGTCGACGATGAGTTCGCAAGCGTGTTCGAGTTGTAATGGACTTTGAAGGTATGTTTCTTGGGTTTCCGAGGGTGTAGTTTGTCATGAAGTCGATACCAATTATAAGGTTAGCTGTCAGGCCTTCAGGGATGAAGGCGCGACTCACCATGGTAGGACGCAGCAAATGATATAAATCTCTTCAGGGTCGCATCCAGCCTCGAGAGCGTCGGACTGCTCTGTATGTGCACTATATCTTCCAGCTCTGCGAGACGGCCAAGAGTTCACCATCACCAATCGGATTGAACGTCAAAGACATGGGAGCGTGCGCGCCAACGGAACGGAAACGGTTTCAGGCAATATAGCGGCGGCAGCGGGAGAGAGCACGTACCGGACCAGAATTGTTGAGCATTCTCAATGAGGTAGACGATGCCTAGCTCATCCATCCAATACAAAAATGAGGTATAGCGGCACTCAGGGCTGAGATAGCACTGTGTAGGGCTGATGAGTTGTTGTAGGTGGTAGTTGGCGCTAGGAATGATGACGGTCAGGAGTTAGAGCAGGTCCGGGATATAACAGATTTTCCCACGGGTGATTTTGGCGACAGGCGCTCCACAAATTACAACGCTAGAAGTTCTCTCAGAAGGAAGTTGATCGCGGAAAGGGGCAGATCGCTGTAGAAGGAAACTACAGGTTACGGTAATAGCCTCCTACTGTTTTACTCAACAGCTTTCTTCAAGCTGCAGGCTCACAGTAGGCTTGATGAGGCTTGCGGAGGTATTCGTTGAAAATGATGACGATATTGTGGCACTAGACTTGTGACCCTTCCTTCGGTTGGGCCACACAACGTTCCACTGTATGTGTCACTTGTATCCACCGAGAGCTCAATTTTCACATCACCTTACGGAGAAAATACTTGCAAGCATACACTACGACTCTTCTCAGTCCTATATAGGGATGCACTGGGAGCCTCCGACCCGCCGCGCCACACGGTACACCTCGATTCATTCATACTTACCGGATTGGGACGCGTCTCGATCCTCCAGTGTGGCGGAACCAGTAATTTCTTCCTGCTCAGTTGAACGTCGGTGGAGGATTGATAGGGGAGGTGGACAGGATGAAGCAGTATAAATCAATTCAGAAGGCTGTAGAATGTAGAGGAAGTTTTTTGTTTGTTTGTACTATTTGCGCAGTGTGCTCCTGCCATCCATGTCCGCGTGAGCCTCGATGGCTCTGTTTCCTTGTTTCGTGTAGCGCTCTCAGCCTCGTTGGCCACATAATTTGTATGGAAATTTGTTGCTAACATCCTCCAGTATATCACACGCAAGAGCTATAAAATCAACCAGTGAACCGAGCGAAACAGAAACGAAAGGAGAGTTCAACTCGGACGCTCAGAAACTGCCACCGGTGATCTGTGAGAGAACCCAGAGCTATTAGGTTCAATCGGTATGCAGATAGTCAAAATAAATCGTACCGAAGCATCATCGGCAGAAACGGAGTTTCCTTCACCGCCAGTGACCGTGAGCTCGCTGAAGTCCCAAGTACCACTGCAAGCGCCACAGTCAACCACTAAACCGTGAGCGGAGCTTTCAACTGAGACAGAGGTCTTGCTACCCGTGAAGTTGATGTCGCTGATTGGTGCACCAGTCCCTGGAGTGCCAGAATCATCTATTTATGCAATAAAATCAGAAAAAGAGACATAAATATACAGCGAAACGGAGGAAAAGCAGACGTACCCTCCGGGTATGTTTGAGAAATTAACATCCCAAATTTCGTCGCTCCAGAGATTGTGTTGCTAGATATCCAAGCATGGAAGTCAGGAACGGGATACAGTTTGAGTTGCGTAGTTTTTATACCCGGAGTAGGTCACATCCGAAACAGATGCGTCCGTGGCATCGGCGTCCACCTAACAAAGGTAAGCCTTTCATGACGCTCTCGAGTCATCTTGTGTAAGTAACTTGCCTTGATTCTCATTCCGTACATGCTGTTCGTGACCGTGTTTCCACTGATGGTGACCCCAGAAACCGTCTTGTCAGACGCGATGCTTCCGATTGAGATACCTGGTTGACCGTGAGGAATAGACACACAAGTGGATGTAATTGAACGTTACTGACCATGCCCGTTGGAGCACACGTTGTTGGAGAACGTGATGCTCGACCCGGAGTTGATAGCGACACCTAAAACTTATATCAATAAATGGGGATATTTCTATTAATTGAAACTCCCCACAATCGTCCTGATTCTTGACCGTTGAGCCTGTGATCGTCAAGTCAGAGGCCGAGACGTCGAAGCCGTCTGTGTTATGACCGAGTGCTCCCGAGTCCCCTGCAGAGTTATCGACGGTGACAGACGATATAGTGCTCTTGGCTAAAGCGAAAGGGAAAGCTATTAGTCACTTACACTGCGATTTTGCGGATGGGACGAACCTGTGGTGCCTACGCTTATGGCCTGAGCGGGACTGTTCAATATCTCAAAGTTTTCAAACGTGCCAGAGCCTTTGATTTTGAAGAATGGATGAGGCTGGGAACCATGAGCAAAAGATATCAGCAAGAATGACCTCGAAGTCAAAGTTTATGGGAGGCCGGGAGATGCCGGTCCAAGAATGAAAGGTCGACCCATACCTTTGCCTTGCCGCCGTTCGTGCCTTCGCCATCCCAATACAACGGGCCGTTACCTAGAGGATAACAATGTTCAGATTGAGGATAGGGACACGTTCGTCAGCGTGAGTGCAGAGTGGAGGAAAAGTCCGGGACTTACCGTCGAAGGTGTGCCCGCCGCCGTTGAAACTGACTAGAAGACAACAACAGCATGACCAAAATGCTTCAAAAAGTTGATAGAAGGGAGCTTACCATCATCGGTCTGAAGAGTGAAAAGTGGTCCCTCGGCTTACGAGGCCCCAGACATTTAAGCATGCGCACCGGTCTTATCCAGCTGATGGACTTACAAGTAGTCGAAGCGAAAGTCACGTCGCCTGCATCCAAAGATCAGTATACTTCCAAATTAAACAACACAGCAAACAATTTACCCGTCATGGTAACTGTCGCGCCAGAGGCTGCCTCAATCGTCACAGTACCTGAGAATGATTCAGCGCAGATCAGCCTCCTTATAGCACTCTGGCAACAGATGAAAATGCCTACTTCCGCCTGGGACAGTGAATGCTGCGATGACGACGTCTGAACAGTCGCTCAACTCAGCAGCACTGGAGACACTGTTCACAGTGCAAGTGGCCCTCTTGGCGGTGCCGGTGCGAGAGGGAACGGCAACAGCGGTGCCAGCGAGCGCAAACACAGACAACAAGGTAGCTGTAGAGATCATGACGTCGACTGAGAGATTGGTCTGAACAAGCTCGAGCGCGTCTTGACGCGTTTTATACACGACGGGAGGACACGAGCGGCCCGTGCGGATGTCACCACTACATCAGCCAAAGCACCCGGTGTGTTGTGGAACAATTCCGGCACATGAAGGAAGGAAGGTAGAAGTCATACCACCAACGGATGTTATAAGGTTGTGTGCTATAGCTATTCAGGTGCAAGAACACCATGAGTCCGGTTTTGAGTCCGCCTAGACATAGGATCTACACCAGGGTAGATAAAAATATAATACTGTACGCGAGAAGCGCAAGTACTTACTCAACAGTACTAATGGTACTGCCTTGCAGTCGAAAATAGTCCGCGTCCTAATAATACACCCATTTATACCTTACATGATGTAATTCAAAATGAAAATGTTCACATGAGACGCCTCTCATGGGCAACGTTCGGGTTATCATCAGGACACGGAAGAACAGATGTCTACCGCCATGAGGAAGGTGATTCTCGAGCTTGATGGCTGACCTACGGCGAAGAGCAGATGAATGAATTAAAACAACCCACCGTACCGTTCTAAGCCATAGCCAACTTGCGAGTATTTCCCGAGAGTGGTCAACGTAGCGAGACAACTCTCAAAGACTAGCTAACCTAGGAGGAGGTGCTCACAGGAAAGCCTGCCAGGGGCGGGCCGCCGGAGCAGGAGAGCGTCCACGTAGTATTCTTCGCTGTCACTCGCGGTAAAGCCTATGAGAAAGAGAGTCGTGGACTCCTTTGGGATGCCTGGTCCTGTGCAGAACTGACCAATACGGAAAAGAACAGCCACGATATTTTACGGCGGGTTGGTGCTAGGGGCCCAACGGTGAGAAAGCACCATCCTGTTGGTCGGATGAATGACCATGCTTGTTACACGGAAAGCGCCCAGCACAATTAAGAATGTTGAACCTAGCACAAAAATGGACCTGGAACTCTCCGATGATGGAAGAGGTTTAACCAGTACTTACTTGGAGGTTGAGTGGAGGTCCAAGAATGGCACAGTTCGGAAACGCTTTGTGTGGCCAACTCTCTGGACCCATCCACGTGAAAATAGACGGTTCCGCAAATAACCGGGACGCGTTCAGCGTCTACAAGTGCCACTTTGAAACGATTAGCACGATGGAATTGCAGCGCTCTGTGCAGGGCTAAATCTTCCCTATACTTTTCCCTTGCAAAAGTCAACAAGCGAAGAACCTGTTGCAGCGACGTGTCCAAGAGTTACGACAGACCACAATTATTTCTAGACCTCGTATCACTGACTTTGTCAAACCGCTGCTGCTCACTGGAAGTGTTCCTGCTTTGGAATACGTTGAGTGGTCACTCTTCCTGCGCGAGTGCATTCATGAACTCATATTTCAACAGAAAATCTCGTATGCGATTGCTCGGGCTGCCTATCACGAATTCAAGGCGGTCTTTGCTCTCTTGTTTGGACCTTCATTCCTCATTTCCATTCCAGGCCGCGATGTCATCTATTCGACGACTTCATCAGCTTCAGGCAGCCCTATCTCCAATATCTCCAGAGTCCATAGGCCAACTGAAGCTTGGCGATATTACTTATGATGTTCCAGAAAGCCTTCATGCGGCACGGCTTCCCCGAATCTCAGCTAGCGAAGAGCATCAGTCGGTGCCGCTGGATGTCCACGATACCATGACACTGGATAATCTGCATTTTATGCTGCAGAAATATATTTTAGGACAGGACGTATTTCTGATATCTCAGCCCGGAGGGCCATATGCAAGGAGATTGGCCATGACCTTTTGCAGGTTTGGTCTAGTTTGTTTTTCAGTGTCGTTTATGTTGACGTCCTATTCAGGCTCGTCAATTCAGAATACGAATATATCGCCCTGCACAGGGACGTCAGCGAGACGGAGCTCAAGCAAGGAAGAGAAATCCGCCAGGGTGGTAACTTGGTCTATGTTGACAGCGCCGCAGTGAGAGCTGTCAAGACCGGCAGGATATTGATCATCGAAGGCATAGAGAAGGTGGGCCTGGGGTACGCTGATTATTAAGATGATGTAACTCATCTTAACATGTCAGGCTGAACGAGGTATTATGCCTGTAGGTTCATGAACTTGTCTTTGGCTCTGCTCCTCGCTGACGGGAGCTGTGGTGCAGCTACTGAACAATCTTTTAGAGAATAGAGAGATGTGAGTTAACTCGTTTATTCCCTGGTTTTCGCGGCTCATCAGTTCAATTACTGCCTCGTAGGAATTTAGATGACGGTACACATATCCTTCACCCTCACCGATTCGCCCTCCTCGATCAAGATACTGCCCAATCAGGCTCCTCTTCACGCAAGGTCTTCGTTCCGGCACATAAATCATTCCGTGTAATCGCCATTGCGGCACCGGTCCCTCCCTACTCTGGATATCCCTTGGACCCACCATTCCGAAGCCGTTTTCAAGCTAGATTCGTAGATCCCGTCGGCGCACTAATGTCCCTAACACGCTCCAACTCAGAGCTTTCTTCGAAGACCAGAATCGTGGACAGCAACGCCAGTCAGAATCTAATGGACAGGCTTCGCGAGCTTGTACTCTCTACCCAGTATGCCTCAGAGTCACGACATGCCATAGATTCTGTGGCAGGGTCAGCTCTTCCTGCATTCCCTCAGACTGCCTTGGCCAAGTTAGAACGCATCCTTGCATGTTTTCCTGTCCCCGATGGCGCGGCATTGAACCAGGCAGAATTGGGGAGGCTCATGCTCATACTGAATCCTGGGCTCCTTTCCGCACCATGGAGGGCTTGGGCAATGCTCAGCGAGCGATGCGAGGTCATGGGACTTGGTCCTCTGCATCCGGACGCCACACGAGAATCAGCGGGTACAGGTCTCTTAGGATATAAGGTCATTGGTATCGAACGAATAGATACAGATACCGCTCAGATCACATTCGCCGCACCCAGTGGACATTTGTGCCATCATCGCATCCCGTGCGGTCCGAACCCTTTGAAACCTTTCCCCGAAGTATCCTCCAAATCTACCGACTCTGGATCCATTGCTACGCCTCGTGTGGTCGGTCTACTGACTGCCTTCCTCCAAGCCCATGCACTCGGCTACGACATCTCATATGTGCCACCTGCCATGCCAGGCTCAACTGCTTCGTGCTCAACAAGCACACTAGTTCGGCTATTCGGGGAGTGCCTTGGGTATGAAAGAGACGTCGTGAATTTGTGGAAGGAAGTTGGTGGACGGGAGCTTTTAATGAGGCGAATCGTGGAAGATGGTGGCGCGACCCGATGGGAGCCAAGGTATGTTTTATACGTTGCTGATCACTCTCTGGTTTTCCTTAATTTTATGTTCTGGTCCATAGCTCTCTCATTGATGGAGCCTTGAAGGGCAACCTCGTACATCTAGCCGGCCTAGACGTCATTGGGCTGACCGCCGGCTCCCTAGCTCGGTTGATGCAAGACAGAGAATGTGAATTATGGGAAGACAAACGCATTGTAGCCCACGCTTCTGAGGAAGAAGTACGCCTTTTCCCTTCTCATCATGCCCGAGATTCAGCCCATTAATGAAAACTTCTTTGGTAGGTTGCTTCTGGTGAATTGCGCGTGGCACACCCTTCGTTCCGTGTGATCGCCACAGCATCTCAATCAGTGCCTCTCAGGGACTGGCTCACGCACGAGCACTCAAACATGTTCTTCCCAATCCCAGCAATCCCCATGCCTCACACCGAGGAATCTGCCCTCCTCCTCGCAACCGGTTGTCCATCCCATGTCGTCGACACCATGATGCTGTTCGCCGAAAAATACCGTGCGAGCATGCTCGAAGGCGCAAACAAAGAAGGTGGAGGTAGCCGAGGGGACGAAGCGGTGTTAAAGAAGAGAAGGCTGGGAACGAGAGGATTGATTAGGATGGCTAAGTGGGTGGCGTTGCTTGGTCTGGGAAGGGGTGTAGACGTGCGGCCCGTCCCTGTCGACGGCCTACACGAGATGATCTGCAGGTCGTTGCTCGCCGAGTTTCTACCGCCCACGGAACGGATGAACCTCGATATTATGCTGGAGGAGTGTGGCGTTGTGAAGACTGCACCTGTCGTGCGTTCTTCTTTCGTTTCGCCTCCCTTCTCATAGCACTAGATATTCAGTGAATGTGGCTAAAATATCTCTTTCATTTGGCCGAGTCTAGTTCAATCCGTCGCCCATCTCTCAGGAAGAGGGTCTTTTGTTTCCTGCACCCAGCTATTCCGCCAAAGGAGATCGAGGCGCACAAGACATTCTCATTCCACGGTTTGCAAAGCAAGATGATCCCGAGGGCGCGAGGAGCTTTGTGCCACACATGGACCATTTTTACGACAACAGTCTACAGACAGCGTCAATGAAGGACCTCGCAATAGATTTCGAGGTGCTGGGAGAGCACTTGGTCCTGTTGGGGAATCAGGCATGTCTTGTTTCGTCCTACCTAGGGCGATATAGTTCGTGCCATGAGTTAATGATGAGTTTTTTTTTTCCTTCTTTGACAGGGTGTTGGCAAGAATAAAATTATCGACAGGTAAACTAGCATCGCCCGACCTTTTCATTCGTATTATTGATACTATTCCTCCAGGCTCTGCCAAGTAATCTAGCCTTCGGTGTTGTCGGTGGGTGACATCACTGACCAAAATCTCATCTATCTAGCTCCTCAAACGTCCGCGAGAATATATACAACTTCATCGCGACACTACCGTCACCCAGCTCATGTTCCAAACCTCGCTTGAGAACGGATTGATTAAACACACCGACTCGCCGCTTCTGCGCGCCATCACACTTGGCCGCGTCATAGTCATCGATGAGGCGGACAAGGCCCCTGAGCACGTCGTCGCCATTTTCAGAAGTTTGGCTGGGCAAGGAGAGTTGTCGTTGAACGATGGACGAAGGGTGAAGAGGACGAAAGAGAAGGGGGGTGATTTGGTGGTGCATAAGAATTTTAGGATGATTTTGTTGGCGAATAGACCTGGATATCGTGCGTCTTTTGCGGGAATTTGACCCTATCATTTACTTATGGTCATTGCGCTGTTTTTTCAGCTTTCTTAGGCAATCACTTCCTCCAGGTCCTCGGCGATAATTTCAGTTGGTGCATTAAACTATCTACTGCCAGTAGCCAATCTACAAATTAATTTATTCACTCTGAATGTAGCCATTCCGTGTCAAACCCAGACCTTGAATCAGAACGACGGCTACTCTCGCAGCTCGCGCCTGAACTAGACGAGGATCTGATTCGAAGACTTGTCGGCGCCTTCGACGACCTTAGGAAAGGATATGTGGATGGATCTCTCACTTATCCATACTCTCTGCGTGGTACGTCCCTTCTTACTTACTATGCTAGCATACCGAGCATAGGAGAGTCGCTTACGGTCATTCCACACGCTTCAATCAAATCATGGCACCACGCAGAACTGATGGCTATCGTGCGCCACATGCGTGCATATCCGACCGACACCCTCGACCATGCCCTTCGCAATGTCTTTGATTTCGACGTCTACAGGCCTGAGGCTATCGACAAGCTCGCCAAAATCCTCGAACATCATGGGTATGCATATTTGCTCGCACTGCGCTCAAAGATCTGACCGTCAGTGCCACAGCCTGCAAGTTCAACATCTCGGCCTCGAAGCAGCTCGCGAAGCCTCCAAGAAGAAAGTCCTCGACCTCAAATTCGAACCCAAAGGCGACACCTCACTCGACAAACCCAAATTCGGCAAAGAAGACCCGGCAAACAAACCTCACACAGGCGGCAACACCTGGGCTGGCGGGACCGGCGGACGCGATACGGCTGGTCTGGGCGGTCGTGGGGGTTACATGCGTCTGTTCAAGGGGCACGATATAAATCAGGTATCTGACGAGCTGAAGAAGGACGTGTCGAAGGAGGCGCAGAAACAGGCTAGGGAGATGGCGAGAGAAGAGTTGAAGAGGAGGTTGGAGGAGTTGAATTTGACGGCATATGAGGCGAAGGGTTACGCGGCGCTTTTAGGGCCTGTGCAAGCGCATGTGGCACAATTGCATGATTTGTTAGAGAGTCAGTCATATTTCTTCGTTTCTTCGTATGAATATTTGATTGACTTTACTGGCAAATAGATTTGGCAGCGAAGGAGGAAGAAAGAGTGTGGATCAAGCGACAGACTGATGGAGAGCTGGATGATAGTAGGTTGACGGAAGGATTAACCGGGGAGGCTACGGTCTACAAGAGGAGAGGAATGGCTAAACCTGAGCTTGGGAGGCCGCAGATCAAGTAAGACCTGCTCCCTGCATTCATCAGTGACGATACTCAACAACCAACTGCTTGTAGGCCCAAGCGGATCCGTTTCCTATTCGATGTCAGCGGATCTATGTGAGTTTCCAAAAGTTTTATGACCCATCATCTCTTGTACTGACGGTCGGCGTGGCAGGTATCGCTTTCAGTATGATGGCCGGCTCCAGCGCAGTCTCGAGACCGGTAGGACTTATTCGTCGCTTCGTTGGCTCTCATCCTTTGTTTAAAATTTGTTCTCTGTTAGCGGTCATGATTATGGAGAGTTTCGATCGTCTTTCGAGGAAGGACAAGTACGTTTGGGACGTAAGTCATTTTCTATATTTTATCGTCCCTGCTATAGCTAACGTATCTTGTAGATATACGGTCATGTGAGTCCTAGGGGCATACAATTATTTCATCGTGCGCACTCACACTCATACATTTCTCAGTCTGGAGACTCTCCGGATATACCGCTGGTGAAGATGACGGATCCAGTCTCTGAAGTCGCGGACCGATGGAAGGTCGTAGAGAAGATGAATCTGACGACACAATATGCTTTCTCTGGGGACTTCACAGGCAAGCTGCTCATTGACCATCATCTGCTGGCTATCGCTAATACACCCTACCTGTCTGTAGTCGAAGCGCTGGAGAAGGCAGTGACAGAAGTGTCCAAGTTCGATGGAGGTATGTCCTAGCCACTCTGACTTTAGTATTGAGTTTTTCCGCTCATCTGCGCCACCAATCAGACGACCATTTCGTGATCGCTATCACGGACGCGAACTTCGCTCGCTATGGAATCTCAGCTGACGACTTGCAAAGAGTCATGACCCGCCAGCCTAAGGTCCGTATATATCGTTGTACAATAAGGGCCGACCATATCTCATGTAGCCTCTTCTTTAGGTCAAGACCGCTTTGATCTGCATTGGTGAGGGTGCAGAAGTCGCTTGGTATGTGCTCCCTATTGTTGATGACATGAGCAAGAATCTCACGTTCAAGTTCCTGCAGGATACCAAAGCGTCTACCAGGAAAAGGTTTCAGAGTGGATAATACAGCCGATATACCGAACGTGTTGAGGAGTATTCTGTCCACCATGGTAGACGGATAAAGGGTGGCCACCGACTTGGTGGCAACAGCCTGAGTGGGCAATGGGTTGTTGGCAGTGAGTTGTGTGGCTCCGTGGATTTGAAGGATTGTACTATAGGGATCTCATGTATTTATCTATGTAACAAAATTCTGGATAGTACCACATACTTTCAGTCTTACTTCATAATAAACATTGAAGTGAAAGGTCTTGGGGGCCCGCGGAGAGGCGGTGAAGCGTGTGTAGATGAACTTGAAGTGGAACCGATCGGCCGACGCCGAGGCGGGGCGCATCCCCGCCTCGCAGCCAAGCTTGACCGCTTTCTTGAATCATTCGACCTCAACGCAATCCGCGTCGGTCTCTCCCCTCCGGTCATACCTACCGTACCCCTACCTGTAACCCAGATTCATCCTTCTGTAGTCCGAACGGACTGTATATTCAAGACACTTTGTCCCGATTAGCAACATTAAGGCGGCAGACGATTCGCGAACATGGCAACATACTTCTTCGCCTCGCCGGTAGACGTGGACGTCAAGCTGGAGGATGAAGATGCACGGAAGAAGGTCGACATCAAGGGAGAGAAGGAGCGTATAATATCGTGTCCGGTGTACTATGATGGAGAATCTATAGCAGGCCAGGTACGTATACCTCAACTGCAGCATCCCGAGGACATTGCTCACGTTCGGCTTCATGTTCATCCGTTTCTGGACTATCCATCCACGCAGGTGACTGTACGTGTACGAGATGGAAAGCGGATGACCCATGACGGTATCAAAGTCGAGTTTGTGGGGAATATTGGTGCGTGGAGAATATGTTTCAATTGAGGCTGTGGTCCTTACACCATGACGCCCCACATCGCTCAGAGCTCTTCTACGACCGAGGACACCATCATGAATTCCTGTCTTTATCACAAGAACTCGCGGCGCCTGGGGAAATGCGACAGGCACAGACTTTCGACTTTCTGTTTAAGAACGTGGAGAAGCAATACGAGAGCTATCAGGGTATCAACGTTAAGCTGCGGTACGTCGTCTTCGCTGCGGGGGCGAATCGTGAACGAACCCTAAAGATACTCGTATATTGTGTTGTGGCGTTACACCTAGGTATTTCATCCGAGTGACAATATCACGAAGAATGGCAGACGTGAACAAGGAGAAGGACCTCTGGGTGCACTCGTTCCGTATGCCACCAGACAGCAATAACTCGATCAGAATGGAGGTCGGCATCGAGGACTGTCTACACATCGAGTTCGAGTACAATAAGTCCAAGTACGTCTCCTCCCACTTCGGGCTCATGTTGTCGTTGAAGTGGCATGGAAGCTCATTTCTGCACTTCCGGCAGGTACCATCTGAAAGATGTCATCGTGGGCAAGATTTACTTCCTCCTCGTCCGCATAAAGATCAAACATATGGAACTGTCAATCATCCGACGCGAGACGACGGGTTCACCACCAAATCAATATAACGAGAGCGAGACCATCACCAAGTTCGAAATCATGGACGGTGCTCCTGTACGAGGTGCGCCCCAATCACCTCCTTCACTTGCTGCGGCCTGATACTGATGCTATGTTCATGACGATGCGACGACAGGAGAGACGATCCCAATTCGGTTGTTCCTGGGCGGGTTCGACCTAACGCCTACGTTCCGGGACGTGAACAAGAAATTCAGCACGCGCTATTACCTCAACCTCGTCCTCATCGACGAGGAGAACCGGCGGTACTTCAAGCAACAGGAGATCACCGTCTTCAGGATACCAGAGGTGCGCGCTCTCACCCGACCTTCCGTATTCCCCCTACGCTGCTTCGCTGCGCTGTCTGACGATGTGCGTCTCGGTCTCAATAGAATTGATACGATTCACCTTGCTAGCAATGGATTCTCTTGGATACGACGTCTGTGCTTCGGACCGTACTGTACTTCTTCATGCCTATCTTATTCGGTTCATATGCACTCTGAGTGTCCACGATCTCGGCCAGAACTTGAACGGAGCAAGGCGAAGACTAGGTACACCTATATCAGAGCACTACGCGACTACAGGCAGGCTACAATACAGGGTCCGCTGGCCCCGTCGGGGGCCCAGTATAGTATGGTATATATGGCATAGTTGTGGATCAGAGGAGTGGAACAAGGTGAGCACAGCGGATAGTACGGACAGTGGAGCACAGACGGGTCAGAAATTGAACGAATCGCCGTATGGACAAATCAGTACAGTCGAGAAATGTCCGTGGTAAGCGCGGTTCAAATAGCCCTAATGGAAGAACGAAAATATAAAGGGGGCTAACGGTAGCTCGAAGAATAAAGAGAACAAGAATAAGCAGAAAGAAAGAACGAAGGCGAAGTAAAAGAGCACGAATTGGAAACGGATAAAACAAGAACGCGACCCTGGCGCCAATATCACCTCACTTCAGAATCTATGGAATAATCGCGCTCGCCCTCACCGACCTTCCCAACCAACTCCTCCTCACCATCTCCCTATCCTCATCTCCCAACACCTCCGAGTCCTTCCTCTGAAGTCTCGCTGTGCCTGCGCCCGATCCCGTCGTTGCGCTCCTCTTTCTCGAACCCACACCTACACCCGTTCCACCCTCCGCACCTGCATTCAGAGAATACTGGCTGTCGAATGGGAATTCGCCTCTGGCACTCATCGACCCCGTGCTAGTCGGAGATGGCGTCTCCACCTCCGCCGCGATACTCCCTCTCGAGAATATCGTATTTGTCGGCGTAGGAGTTTTCCGTCTAGGTACCTGACCGACACTCACGCCCCTCACCATCGTCACCGTCGGCCTTCCACCGATCCCCGCACTACTCCTCGTACCACGGCTCGCACTGCTTCCTCGGCTACCGCCCTTCTCGACGGCATTAGCGGTGGTTGCCTCCGTCTCGTGGGGCATGCTAGGGTTCGAGAGCCATTCGATGTCGAGGGTGTTGGTGTGAGAGCTCTTGCTGGAGCGGGTCAAGACGCTCTGTTGCGGCGGCGAAACTGAGGATCCCATTGGTGGGACTGAGAGCGGCGAGGAGCCTGGCTTTACGAAGCCTACAGCTGACGAAGGCATGTACACACCTCGAGCAGCTAAGGCTTCTGCACTGAGAGGCGTTCGCGTCGGTGCAGACTTCGACACGCGATATCGGTTGACGTCGATCGGCGTGCGCCCACTTTGACCGCTCGTGACGGACTGCACGTCCGAAGGCGAGAGCGGCACGGCTACGGTGGCCCACTGACCCGACGCCCTAATACTGTCACGGTTGCCTGCAGCTCGCGCACCGTTGGCCACCTGAGACCAATTGACGTGTTCGGAAGACAGAGCGATAGAGCTTCGACGGTTATCCCGAGGATCGAAATCTGCAGCCCCGTCGTTTTGGCGTCCCCATTCTTCTTCATTCGTACTGAAGACGGACGGTGAGTCCGGAGGTGGAGATACCGTCTGCGTCGTCCCGGGGCCGGGTCTGGGTCCAGGCGAGAGCATCGAGTCTCTTAGTGCAGGCGGTGGCTTTCTCCTCGCAGATCCTCCTCTCGAAACTCGACTGGTCCCACTATTAGTCGTACTCCCACTCTTCTGCCTCGCTAACAACTCTTCCGAAGCCTCAGAATCATCCGCCACAGCACCCAACACCATCGACCCACGATATTTCCCAGTAATCCTCGGCGGCAGGCCAGAGAACCTATTCGACAACGACCGCACGATCTCGCCAGAATCGGACGCAAGACTGCTAGCGGAGAAGACTCGTTCGCGTGGTCTCATGGTAGAGGTGATGATAGGTACGTCTCCGGATCCGAAGGAGGTTTGCTGCTTGTAATGCGTATGCCAAATGGCCGTAGAGTCTCGCAGTTTCATTCCCGACGAAGGATCGGGAGAGGAAGTCCCGAGCTTGCTGTCTACGACGGTACCTGTGTAAGTACTGGATAACGGTCCTGTAGACTTCGGGCCTGAAGGTTTTGACGGATTTGCGAAGAAGGGAGATTTGCCGGTATTGATGCTGGTGGATGCGAGGAGCGTCTGAGGAGAGGGGAAGGTGTCTGACATCCGCATAACGAGTGTCGGTGGCCGGTTGACGCCTTGGTAAATGGTGACGCGTTCGCCGTAACGACTTATGGTCAACGGAGATAGGCGCGGTCGAGTCGGTGAAGGTCGCTTGGGACTGTTGCTGAATAGGTACTGGGGGGTAGAAGGGGAGGCCGCTCTTGGGAGATTATTGAGGCGACGTGTTGAGGGGGGTGTTACTGAGAAACGAGAGACGGGACGTTGGTTCGATCCGTTAGCATAGGACATGGGGCGCTGGGGGCGTGGCGAGCCGATGGTCAATTGACGAATGGAACGTCTCTTGTTTCTGTTAGCAGGGAATTCGGCATCCAGGATCAAGAAGTCTTCGAGTGTGTCCGTTCTGAAGTCACATCATGTCAGCGCTCAAATTCGACGCAACTCTCGGTTTGAATGCACATACCCTTTGGCAACTCCAATGACAAGGCATGCTCTCCCGAGCAGCCTAAGTAGTCTCCTCGTAAAGAACAACCCAAAGCTACCATCAGAGACAAAGCCAAGGACGGTCTCCACACCTCCCAACGCCACCCCAGCAGCAATCCAACCCGTCCCTCTAAACAAATATCGTCTGTCCGATCCAGAGACACCTTCAAGTTCCATTGACCGTTGCCCGATGAGAGCCCTGGCAAGGCGTGTCATAGCGAGGAAAAATGTGACGGCTTGATAAACGACGAGGAGGGCGAGCGAAGTGCTGTTGATGAACGTCCGGGCGAAGATGACCTTATCATCGTTCGTCCCGACCGCAGGTGTCGCTGGTGCTCCATTGGCGAATTGGACGAGCTCTAAGTCATGAGTGTCGGTCAGAAAAGAGAAAAGGATGCTTCTGGGTCGGAACACGCACGGTAGGTATTGCCAACAAACGAGCCAACTTCGTTCGTGGCGATGATGATGGGGATGACGACCAGTGCGAATAATTTGGCAAGCATAGTGAACCGCTGGGGCAGTTCGGGAAAGAAATTGACACGTTTATAAAGATAGAGAAACGCGGTGTAGAAGAATAGGGGCAAGAAGGACATGGCCCCTAGATATTTGTGTCACGTCAGCTCATGAACATCTGCAGAGAAGAAGGAACGCACCGATGGCGAGATCGAAAGCCCGGAAAGAATTGAAATTGGATGGGGAAGTGAAGAAAGAGAGATTGTGGGCAAGGACATCGAATAGGGCGAGAAGAAAGTAAGAGAGGCCATCGGCGACAAGAAGGAACCGTTTTCTGCCAAGTACACCAGCATCAGTACAATTTCCCATTCAAAAGCACTGCCAGAATATAATCCACAAGAGATACTATCTTCCTGGCCATGGTAACGATGCCTTGACATAGGTCAACGCTTGTATCATAACACCTTCTTTTCTCCGGCCACCCAAAGTCCTTCCCATCTCCCACACACATAGAAGACCAAAGAGATGTAGGACTTGCCTGCCTTGCCCTCTCCCGGCGAACATCAACCCTGCAGCAAATACCAACTCCAGGGCAGGCGGAATCAAGAGAAGCTTAGTGTCGAGCAGAGAGAGGTCTATACAGCGGAGGATTGAAACCGGAGAGAGACAGACGGCGGACATTTACTGAAGACCAGAAGTTGTACAGCAAGAAATCGAGTTACAGGGCATCGCAAAGACTGGGTCCTGCCAGTGATGGTAGCCTTGGGGTGAAAAGGCGAAGTTTAAGAGGGCAAGTCGATGAAAGAAAGACTAGGAAAGAATGGACGGCAGACTCGCTGCACGACGTCGACGAGCAAAAGACTCAACCCTCAGAAAGAAGAAAGCAGACGAAGACGAAGTCGTGGGCAATTCAGGACCTGGTAACGATGTTGTCACCCGTACGGCCGGTTGCCGTTCTTGACGACCCATAACCTTGGCTCTCTTTTCTCATCATCAGAAGATTCAAACACGAGATATCACTTTTCGAGATAATAAGGCGAAAAGATGGATGATGCAAGTTGAAGGAGAGGCAGTTTGACACTCACAATATTCGGCGCAGCTCCAGGAAATTAAGTCGGCAGGAAGTCGGCAGGATGAATGAACAATTCGCTCGGCTCCGTTACCACGCCAGAGTATCGGCCACGAATGCCCCTGTGGCGGTGGCCCATCGCCATTGCACCAATAGTTTCAACTTCGTTTCACCTTTCACAGACAGACTTGATCCACCAACAATTCGCACATTCCATTTAAAATACTAACACGTTCAGCAACTGCTCAGCCTCAGCCTCAGGCTCTGCCCACAGGTGCAGTCTTCAAGCCCTCCTCGTCCACCATCTCCCATTTCGCAAACGCATCCACATATCTCGCCCAAACGCCCCCATCCGCCTCCAAAATCTCCTTCCACTCCTTCGAATTTTCACCAAGAAGCCTTTTCGCCCACGTCAAGACCGACGCAACCACCACATCCGCAAACGTCAGCTTCTCGCCCATCACGAACGGCCCCTCCTCCCTTCCCGCACTCATGAACCCAGCCATCGCCGTCAGTCCCGCCAACACCTCTCCCCACAACTGCTTGCTCTTCTCCGATCCCTCCGGCGCAATCTCCTCCAATTTCACCCCAAAGGTCGCCTCCCTCGTCCTCCTCCAATGCTCCTGGCTCACCGGATTCAACTGCTTATACGCCCTGATGTTCATATAGAAGTACAACGACCGCACTTTCGAGAAGAACGTGTCCGCGAAGACGGCTTGCAGCGCTGCGGTCCCCACAGGGATGAGCGTGGGCGTGTCGGGGTACTGTTTATCCAGATACTGCACGATCTTGAAGGAGTCGGCGACGGTCGTCGAGGTCGATGAGTCCTCGATGATGGGGACGGAGTAGTAGGGACCGCTGGGGAGCTCCGCGGTGGGCGAGACGCCGAGCTGCTTGCAGGTAGGTGCGATGTCGGGATATTCTGTCCACTTGGTCTTGTACGGAAGTCCCTTGATGTTCAGCGCAAACCTTCGATTGCAATAATGTTGGATGTGAGCATGTGGACACCATGGCTGGTAAGCAGCGCATCGACATACCTGGCCTGATTCCCAAGTTCAGTAAGTCGATGAGTCGACCTACGCATCTCAAGGGCATGGGATGGAACTGACCTTCCAAGTGTTCGCGCTCCATGCATAGTCCTTAGCAGCATTTCCGAAGCAATCATAGAGAGTAATAGTCATGATGATCAGCTCAACTGCTATTCACAGCAGAAAGCACGGGTGGAGTCAAAGGAAGACTTGAAGCTTGCGGCGAAGTAGTGGGACCTTGCTCCTTATAACAAAAAGACCGACCACTGCGGTTGATCCGATTCGCCTAAGATTTGCCATATATAAAACCCCATATCAACGAAGCCTTACATCGACGAGTCGACTGACAGGCCCTGATATACAAGTGTGGGGGTAACTTATACAGTCAGCCCCAACTAAGTTGCTGAGGAAGTCATCTTGGTAAGGACCAGCTGAGAACGAAATGTCCGCTAAATGAGTCAGCGCCAACTGTGTTCTCACGAGTCATGATGACGGCGACTCGCCACACTTCGTAGGGAAGTTAGTTGGGGCAGTGGCACAAGATCAATTGGCGAGGACAATACTTGCGAGGCTGGATTGTTTCGAGTATTTTTGGGGTAGGGGTGGTGGGCATGTTGGGGTTACCCATTCTGATATGATGACCCTTTCACTGGTCCTAGTCCCAGAGTGCACGAAACGAGAAAGACCGCTGCCCAACCGCTGCCGCTCATACGAAGAATACAGAATATTAATTATAATTTAGTCAATGCGCTTGTAGACGTCGTCTGTGGATGGCAGAGAACATAAACAGAGAAATAAAAGTGCGAAAGAAACCGAAACAACGTCAGAATGCATAGGTTCTAGGTTGTGGACGTGCGTCGGGATCGCGGCGAGGTTCAATAACGGAGGCTTGCTTGCTCTTTGCACCACGGGTGGTCTTGTTCCTTCCCTTCGATGCCGCCGCATTCTCTGGTGTCTCTTTTTCTTCAGCTTCCTGCTCAGCTGATAAACCAAAACAAAATAGAGCAAGAATGAGTGTCTTATATAAGGTTAGAAAGTGGGTACCCACCTTCCAATTCCTGAATGTGTGCGTGGTACGTTGGGAGGTATCTCCGGGCATAGTCCTTAACGAGAGTCCACGCCTCGATGTTCGCCTTTTCTTCAGACCAATATCTCGGTCGATGACGCCTGACGAGCTCGGCGGGTTCATACAGCAGCTCCATATGAACGCGCTCGTCACCGTACCAAACATGTGCTGAATTAACAACCTCCATGACTGACTCCTAGACCAAAAAGCACACGGGATAAAAACACACAAAAGAAAGACGCACATGGCATCCAAATCCCCAGCTCCGTGAATACGTTCCACAGCTCGGCGCAGCCATAATCAGGTGCTTCCGGTGCGATCGCGCTTACTTTTGGACATGCGCCCTTGCAGTCGTGCGACGTCGACGAATGCTCAAAGTCGATGATGAAGATTTTGTTGGTGGAATCTTGTAGGACGTTGCGTTCTGAGGGGTCTTTGTGCTGTACACCAGAGTGATGAATAGACCAAAATCCTTGCATGACCTCACCCCTGACATTAAATGCAACCGCATGAGAATGAATGAACGAACGAATGAAGGCGCATTACGCAAAGTAACGAGAACACACACTTGATCTTCCATTCCAGATCCGCAAAGGGCACAGAGAGCGGCTCCCCACAATAATCAAGTACAAGACACTCCATAGGCCCAACCACAAAGTATCCATAACACAGCGGAATTCGTATCCCTTGCAATCTGCTCATCTTGCGATACGCTTCGGCCTCGTTCCGGAGTTTGACGACGGCACCGCCGTACGCGGGCCTTGTAGACGACGTCTGTCTTCCCACCGGGCTGTGGAGGCGTCTCCAGAGTGGCTCGATAGACGTCTGTGCGGTCGCCCTTGTGCAGAAGTGTAGCACCGCTAGAACCGCCGGGATGAGACAGAGCGTTATCGATACTTGTAAGGGGCAGCTAGGGATACGGTGTGGCACTCAATATGAGTGGGCCACATCTATCCCAGGCGCCACTTCCGCGTTGCTGTAACCGGGCGGGTGATCTTATCTTATCACGCGCGCTTGTTTGCTCCTGGCAAACAAGCCAGATCTCGTATATATATTCACGGACTCTCGTATGTACTCGGTATCTTACTTGTAACCTTCGTACCTCTTGGAATACCATCCGCACCCTCGACGGGCAGGCGGGTACCGTTCTCTCAGGCGCTGTCCGGCATGGACATTGTTTTGTATCCAGAACCATCCCTAGTGTTATTTTCTTCAAAGCGAGATGATCGCTGGAATTCCATGCCTAATTCGACGATAAGGTTTTCCAGAGACAGGAGCTGCTAGAGCGTGCAAGAATAAATATGGAGGCTAAGGCGGCGCAGAAACTTCAGACGAATTCAGACATAACCACATCACCATCATGTTCACTCTTTCGAATCTTTCTCGTATTTCCACCATTCAAACTGTAACCGAAGCCGACATAGGGCTCGAGCCAATTCACTCATCCCCGCAATCAGCTCATTCCAATCAGTCACTCATTGCAGGTCGGCCGCCTAACGAGCCATACACCCTTTTGCCTACTCACTATCCTGCATTCGTCATCCCGTTTCGAAGGCGTCAAGAAGAGGAAAGAGAATGGGTGATGATGACAGAGCTGTTTGATGTGATCAGAGTTGGTTCAGAGTTGATTGGGATGTTCCGTGATGAAGGAATGATGGCGACGCCAGAAGTGGCTGGAGAAGTAACGGGGGTAGAGCGATTTGAGAGAAGGCATGTTATCTTTCGAGTTGAAGGAGGAGCCGGATTGAGGTGGAAAGTGGGAGTAAGATATGCGTACGCAAAGGTAGAAAACTGGAGGAGGGCTTGGTTATTTTTTACAGCATTCGCCAGTCGATATCCAGTGAGTCAGGGTGAGAATTGGATGAGTAGGTTAATGGGATATGTTTGTGGGCCACTAGAGAAGAAGAGAGAAGGATGGGGAAAGCAGGGCCTTATGTAGAAATCGATTAGTCGTTTGGAGTCGCCGAGTCGGGATATGTCAGCGAGTTAGCCGAGACAGGAACTAGGAATCACGCTAATGTCGAATGGTTTGTCAGAAAACTCTCGAGTCGACTGTGCATTGTCTTCAGTCAGCATCTCATTATTCAGCAGGCTTATAAACCAGGCTTACGAATCACCTCTCTCAGCGTCGAGAGAAAGAAATGCTCAGAACGGGATAGATTACTAATCACAAAGGAAGAAAGTATCAGAAATGGTATCATGATCAGTCAGCATTCAAATGGAAGAAAGGACACAAGGGAAGAATGGCACATATACGGTAATATGATTAGGTAAAATGTTCCCAGAGGGAAAGGTATATAAGGAGGGGAGGAGCGCAAGCGAGCAATCCCCCAGAAGTTTAACGGGAATCAACAGTCTAAGAAGCAGAAATTGAATATCTTGCTTCCTACCTACCTCACATCAGAAGTAGACTAGGAAATATATTTGTGTCACCTTATTTGCATCTGTACGAAGAAGTACTTGTGCAAATATAATCTTGTCTCAGTCAAACCAGCTTGAACATTGTTGCGCTCAACTAGGAGTGCAATATCTGTGTGAACTTGCGTCTCTAAGAGCAATCCTATATTGTCCCAACCATTAAACTCGGTCTATTCACACCCACACCACAAATAACAGAGAAAAACCACAATATCCTTAACTCAATAGGCAGTCTCTGAAGAGCCGGAAAACCGAGTACTGTCTAGGTTTGAATCATTTCTACCGCATTTCAGCGCGAATACCTCAAGACCAAGACCCCAACCTCTTACAATACTCGATGAGGAATCGGTAATGGTTCAAATCCGTTACAAATATCGCGTAACCACTTACCGCCAATCCAAGCAATTATTGCTCCCGTACATCAGCCGTAAGAACAGCACAAGCAGGGGGCAAGCTGTCAGCAACTTACAAAATATGGGGGCAGGCCAGGGCAAGTCTGCCCAGATGCAAAACTACCCGGGCGGCGCTTCTTCGCCACCCTCGCGACGGTAGACGCCTTCAGCCCGGGCCTTCTTTCGGTTGTTGTTTTTATTTGATGGAGAAATTGCACGCACACCGCACATCAGGAAAACCTGTTTTGCTCCGTAGCCTCCCGCAAGGGCTACGTAGTGTCGTTAGCACACTGTAGCCGCCGTCTAGGGGTACGTAGCCGCTGTAGCACTGTGTAGCCATCGTATCAGGAACTGTAGCCAGTGGCGTGCGACACGGTGCATAAGCGAGTATGATAGCACTATATTGTCGTGCATGTGTATATACTTACTGCTCGGAGTTGTAGAAAGAGCCGAGAATCGAGGTACAATGTTAACACCGGTACTGAAGTAGTGTGTCGTATAGTTATGGCCATTTTACGGCTAGTCAACAACTCGTTGAGGGTGAGTCAAGTTGTCAACAAAAGCACTCGAGGGCTTGAAGGCTCTCATTGACTATGCCTGATACTCAAATCATCAAATACTCGCATTTACATCGGCTTACCGTCCTTCTGCCGCACCACAGACCCTGTATACATACAGGATAGCAACGTGAAGATGACAGTATGATGACCGTACAAAAAAAGGTACCACACAGACGAGTGCTGAGCCTACTGTTACCTCTATCCAGTGCTACATTTCACCATACTAACCCTCATCACTGACAACTAAAGCGAATGTATGCATGGCTTGAGCATTGAAGGGCTGCCGATGGTGCTTTCCCGTTGAGACGTCAATCGGGCGAGAATTTGGGAATGTCACAATGAAAGTTTATGGCTGGGCAAAGACGAGTGAGAAGGGAGGAGGCAAGCTGTGGTGGGCATCGTTAGGGACCCGAAGGAGTAGGAAAGAAGGGTGTGCGTAGGGTGTGCGAGCATTCTGCAGTGTATCGCTCAACGAAACGCGCATCGAACGCGAAGACAAGTCGTCGCAGTGGCGCAGAGCCTGCCCTAAATTACCACGTGACTGGGTTGACCAAAGTTTTCGCGACGCGCGTCGCTTCTGACTTGCCTCCACCTCAATCCAAGTCGTCCCCTGTCACGAACGCTACATTGTCCCGCTCAGTATCTCATCCTCGTTACATACGCCTTTCTAGTATACACTCCCGATGTCTGACTCGAGCATATAAAACTCCATCGCCCGGCTTCAAATAGCCAAACCTGCAACCGAACGTGAGTGCTCTCATCCTCCGCTCGCTTGCCCTCCTCACTCTCACCCGTTGGCATTGACATCTCTGACCAAACTTTCATGTCCACAACTGAAGTGATATAGCATTTCTTATCAAATATCTCGGTGCAAGTGCAGCCTCATCAAGACTGATACACTTCACTGAGATCCTAGCAGCTGATGGTGCGTGCTCTTCTTTTACATCCGCTTGTTTGTTCGTTCTGACATGATCTCAATGGGTTGGATTTTACTTGGTAATGTGATGCACTGACAGAGAATCTGGCGGCTATGTGATGGTGATTACAACTGCCTAGGCCCATGATGGTATGTCCCTCTTCTGTTATCATTTTCGTTCGTTATTCTCTCGAGGCCTCCTTACGAGGTATCATGTTCTTCATCAGAGTCATGTATATCCGCGCACCGTTGAATATCCATTTCTTGGAATTGACGGCGTGTTCTGTCATCATCTAGGTGTTCCGCACTCGTCATAGCTGGCAAGACCTCAGAGTCTCTAGACGGTGATGGCGAGTACCCACTGACACCTCTTCATGCGTGTTTTGTCAGTCTTTGTCGTGCTAGTGCATGGTACTGCCGTGTATTGGTTGTTGAATTGTCCGTAGATGTGATTTCAGAGGAAGGGAGGATATTGTCGATATGCAATATTGAGCTGCTCTCGGACTGCGGCGGCTGCTGGTGTATTGTAGGATCATGTACGTACATACAGCCACCAATGAATACCATGAGCTTCACATCATCTTTTGGGGTGCAACTCGCTACTATAAAGTACTCTGGACTGCTCTGTGTGACTACATGGTTTTAAGTGCTGAGATATGTCTTGCAATAGAGTACTACAGAGCTGTGTGAGAGAAGCTACAGAGTGCTACAGAGCCATGGCTGAGTGCTACAGGGTGCAATGTACAGGGGGGGCGCGCAACGGGGCTATGCCTGCTCTGTAGCCTCCATAGCGCCACATAGCTCCCCCGCTTTTTCCTGATGCAGGGTTCGAACACTCAAGCGGATCAATTCAATATCTATTCAATTCAATATCTATTCAAAACTAACTAATTTACATGCGACGGTACCACTACGATAATGAGCCTTGCTATGTATGTGTGTACTTCGACTATAACCCGTCTTCCCCTGGCGCCACCTCTTCACATTAGTTCACCTCTCGCGGTCAATTGCCTCGAGCAAGCCCACAGCGGTCTCGTGTTTTTTGTAAATAGCACAAGGCCCTACTGCCGTGAGCGAGCACTCTACTCTCTGACTCGCGCGGCGGCAGGCGCTGCTGAAGTGACTGAGGTGGCGCGTGTGGCTATTACCGGCACCGGTTACGCAATATGGCATAGCCCGACAAGGCAACGACAACCCCTTGCCAACCAAATGTGAGCGTCTTGTGACGGTTTAATATCGGATACAATATTGGTGCTGGTTACAAGCCGTTGCAGACGCACGATAAGCCCCCGGCAATTAATTATCGACAATGCAATTCCGTAGTGTAATCTAATGGAATATTGATCCCACAAGAATTCTCCGATGTGACTAGAGTCAAGGACATGGAGTGGAGAACAGGGATAATCGAGGGAGGGAGCGAGCTCCATGCGTTCGGAGGGATCGACGATGGAAGGGATGTTCAAAGACATCGTCGGTTGGGACAAGGTGACGGTAAGGATGGGTTCTCTGTAAAGTTCAGACTTTCGTAATTATTGCGAGCGAAGCGAGCATAAATTGCCTAAGGACCGGACCCCAGCGGACAAACAAGTACAAATTCGCGACCAGCAGATTCCTCCTCGCCCAGAAAACTGTTGTGTTCCCATCTAAACCATTCAATTGAGACTCCTTCTTTTTTTTGACAATTTTAAGTCTTACGCACCTGACCTAGGGCTTCAGTTTGATACCCACAGTATTCCTGAGTTTTGCGTCCAAACCAATCTATGATTTAAAGTTGACTTTTCAGAGCGGTGTCATTGAACCGCGACGCGTCTGCACGTGATTTATTCATGCGAGTGGCACTTCGTGGCGGCATGTACAGTCTTCACTGCTCAGACACAAACACAGAAATCGAGATGGGTTCTGCTCATCCGGTCTTTTTTGCACCTTGACTCCTTTTGCCACTAGTCATTACATGCCTGCACAACCTGACATAAATGCCCCGCAAGTCTTCATTGGCACTACTCTTACTGTATGTTGCATTCGACTGCTGTTCAACTTGTAGGGCTGCCTGGAAATACATTCGCGTGGGAGAACTCGGTCTTCGAAGCGAGCACCATTCTGGGAAACCCAGCCCGATATTATGGCTGGGTCAGTCACGTGGTCCACCACAACATAGGCCCTTTGAACCTCTTTGAACGCGGTTGGTTCGTGGCAGTCAGCGTCCCACTCCACATTATCTACTAACAGTCATAGGCTTCGTCAGGCAATTCCCTTCCATGGTATACTATCTCTCATAGCTATGCCCGCTGCACGAAAGAAATCACGTATAACCACATCTACCACTACCAAGAAGGTGACAAAGAAGACCAAGCCAGGTGGTGCCACTCGATCCAGGACCCAGACAAAGGGGCAAAGGCCGGATGATGATAGCGATGTGCCTCCAACGGATGAAGAGTGGGCGAAGTTGAAAAAGAGCTCAAGATTTTACAGTACGTGTCATCCGTTTAAGTATTTCACATGGTTTTCGTTTATGAGGATGGTGTCAAATGGCGAGTTCAGGCTGACGCTGACGGCAGTGTTTCTGGATTCTCGTCGCGTGCATTCTCGTCTTATGTTTCGGTAGTTATGGATGAGACCAAGAGCAGCATCGGTTTCAACAGGGTGACTTGTAAGTTTCGTCGTGTGCAGGTTTGGTTTTTTGAATGATGCGCTCAGCATAAGGCATTCTACACGACTCAGCCTTGCTGTCTGGTGTGGCGCGGAACCAGACGGAGCTGCCGACCAAGATCGACCACTTTGGCAGCTCTGGATTGGCAAGATGACTGAGATGGCTCAAAGAGCCTCGCCTGACGATGTAAGCTGTCTCACAGTATTATTATGTCTTCGACGTCGATACTAAACGTTCTCGTGTGTTGTCGGTCTTGTAGACTTGGATCAAGATAGAGTGGTTTTACTCTGGCCAAGATGTCAAGCAAGAGTGTAAGCCTTTGTAGGTTCTGCTTTCCTGTTCGTGGATGCGGCATGCGCTCAAAATTATGCTCGCTAGTGACGCCTCGAGTTGCGGCAGGTATGAACGGATTCTCTCAAGCCATTGTGACTATGTTACAGCTCATAGTGTTAGTGGTAGGTCCCCCCCCCTTTCCTTTTACTTACAAAGTCTGAAACCTTATTTCCTCAATAGGTCTTGCTAACATAAAGCCATACGATGAAAGAAGCCTGAACCCACGAACTTTCGACGATGAGACCTTCTACTACCATCGAACCTACGATCATCTCAAGCGTTGCATCACAGTGAGCCAAGACCTGTTGCACTGCTCGTAACATAAGGCCGACGTCCAACTCACGAGGCCGCTTACATAAATAGCATAATATTGAGGCTACATGCATATGCAGGTGTGTCTCACCCTTGGGCTTGTATGTTTATCTCATAAATGTTATACTGAAGCATCGTCACAGAAGCCCATATAATCCAGACGACAACATCCTGATGCATTTCTGTCCGTGAAAGGGCTGTCGTCGCTGGTACCACGCCATCTGCCTCCGCAACAACCTCTATATGGACGATGATCCTGAAGCCGGCTGGGACATATCCCTCCTCCGCTCGAATCCTGACTCCAGGGAGCCCTTCGTAGTTCCGCCATCTGACTCCTAAGGGACCCCGAGCATCGTCATCACTAAACGGACCACGACACGAACTCTGAGCAAGGACAAGGGAAAACATAAAGCACCGGACACGCCTACACGTCCGACGCTCCATGATCTTCCTGCCGCACTTGTCACGTTAGCGAAACAGCAAATCGTCAAGGGGAAAAAACCGTACGGGCTCGCAGGAAACGTGAAAGAGGTGGTGAAGGCGAGGAGGCTCGTTCATCAGTATTTGCAAACAGAATCGGAAGAAGAGATGGTCGATACGCAGGAGGGAGGCGACAAAGTGGGTCATTGAGGCCAAGTTGGAGGGGGAAAATTCCGTACGTACAAAGGGAGGGAAGTCGAGGGCCGGGCTACTGGATCTGAGAGTGAAATATTCTTGTCCAAGCTGCCAGGGCGCTATATGATGCTGTCAGTCGGGTCTCCTTAGGGTAATCGCCACAAAATACATGGTTCAGCGCTAGCGCCTCCGTCACTCCATCTCTGTCATGGTTAAGTACATTTGTGCCACGACAAGTCTCTTTCTCACGACTAAGTTCCTGCGCTAATGATGCCAGTGATTAGTCAGCATTTCCAAGCAGAGTAGGACAGAGAGCCAAAAAGTGCATTATCGAGGCCAGGTTGAATGGGCGAAACTTGGTGGGTAAGAAGGGAGGCAAGTCAAGGGTAAGGATGCCGTCCCTGAGGGTGGGATCTTTTCTAAGCTATAATGCGAGCATCTGAATTCAATCTCGCAGTAAATGGAACTTGTTGAGGGCACATAAACCAAAATTGAAAGTCTGGCTGGGAGTTAAATAACGGCATTCTGGATATTGTTCCAAGATAGATGACTGTGATGTACTTCTAGGACAGAAACTCCACCGTGCGAGTGTATAAACGGTGTGACAAGGCAACTGGTCAATATGAGAACAGGCAGAGTTGATCAAGAAGGTGAGTGGAGCCCGAAAACCATTCCGCCGAATCTGAGTGTAATCCGGCGGCGTTATCCCATCATGGTACAGGAACATGTCTCAATATACAAATGGCCGGTGGTTCTCCGCTGCCAGGTGGTAGATCCTCTGCAGGTTGAAGTTGATGGCAAAGCTTGGGGTAGAGAGGTTCTCTCCATTCATTATAAGTAACATCCCAGCCGCGCGGGAGTCGCTCATGCATGAGCATTTCGGAAATTTGTCCGCTCGTGTCCATCTGACGGTCCTTAAAGGAATTAAAAGGAGACCGTAACCTGGCGAGAAATGATGGTTGGGGAGGAATGTGCTCCGAGAGGGAAAGGGAGACACCAGATTCTTTCTCAGGAAGATCAGTGACATCGACACTGTTAACTGCAGGAGAGGAACAAAAAGTAAGTCCAGGTCTGCGGCTTCTAGTGACACACGATGCATTTCTTGTTTCAGCGAATACTCACCTTTAGGGTCTTCCGGTGTCCTGAGATCGGCGTGCACCTTACCAACAATCAACAGTCGTCGTGGACGCTGGATATCAGCCACATATTGCTTCGCGCCCCGATAAGTAATAATGAGTCTGCATGAGCCAGCATTCTCGACAACCAATATTTCATGCACGGAGGCTCGGAGAGTAGGAAACTCACTGATGTGACGATGACAACACCAACATATGGCACCTTCGGTTGTGAGGTCGAAGAGAACAAATGAAGCTGGTTTCGGAAGATGAATGAGATGCGTGGAAGAGGCTAATAGTTACCAGCACGAAGTTGAGTCAGTATGGTTATTTTAGGGGTTATACAGCCCATTCTCGAGGAATATACTCACTGTAGTTGCCTGTATTGAAAAGCCGAAGGCTACTTTCATAGGATTCTGGGGTCGCGATGCATACGACTCATGACGAGAATACACAATATCACAAGACTCGATCGACCTTGTAGGACATGCGGCCGAGCGTCGGAGGCCATCCTTTTGCTCGACTATCCATTCTTGTATAGGCTGCGTTGTTCATGTTATGCACGTAAACAAAGGGTATTGTGAGCACTTTATCCGATCTTCACATATATAACGGACATACCGAGATATCTGCCCTTAAAATTCCTTGCTGTTCGGCCCGCGAATATAAAATACTGGCCCCAGGGGTTTGACTGGCATTTAGGGACAGGTCTGTATGTTGAGTGTGTTGTATGCTCTGTGTTTGAATCACTTGAGGTAGAGTGTGGCCTCGATGGAGGCTTTCATTATGATGGGTCAGGGTTCACTGTGTACCAAGATCGCGGCTCAGAACATACGAAATAAGACTCACAATTCCGACCAATACAATGAACGTTTGGGGCCCAGAAACACCATGTTTCCGTATGAACGATCAATACGAAGGTACTTGCTGTCTGTCCTGACTGCGAACTCTTGAATAGAGACTTGAGCATGACCTCGAGGCCGTGCTTCCATGAGGTATTGGTAGTCTGTTGAGCCTGGAGTAACACCATTAGGCGGGGTTCCGAACTGTGAAGAAGGTGCACGTCATCAGGGTCTCGTTTTATTACATATGAGCTCAGGACCGCTACTCGCCCTGAAAGATGAATGCACCCGGATGGTGGTTTCGATAGAGGTTTTTGAGACGAGATGAACGTCCAGAGTTAGTTCGTGAGGATCATCTTCTTGTGGCCAAACATTCTTCCACTTGTTACCCTTTCTGCTGGTTCTGTCGCCGCCAATGTCACGGCTACTAGAGTCGTCGCCGTCGCCGTCGCCATCGCCATCACCATCGTCACTCCCTCCACCGCCTCCGCCACCTCCTCCACCGCCACCTCCTCCGCCGCCACCTCCTCCGCCACCTCCTCCACCTCCACCACCTCCACCACCTCCACCACCTCCACCACCACCTCCACCATCACCACCATCGCCATCGCCACCTCCGCCTCCACCATCGCCACCTCCGCCACCACCATCGCCGCCGCCGCCGCCAAAGCCACCATCGTTATCTTTCCGATGACTATTCTGATTTTCTTTGCGATTGTTGTCGTCGTCGTTGTCATCATTATCTTCGCCCTGACGGCGACTATCTTCACGATCACAGCTTCCCCTAATGCCATCGCCAGTGGCATCCCTGTTGTGGTCACCATCGAGTCCCTCAGGCTCTGAACCACTGTTGCCGCTACCATGCGCGCCACGATCTTGTCGACTCGTCAAAATACCCCTATGATGCCCATTTCCCGTAAAGATGGTGTCAGTGTCGTTTTCCATTTCGTTGTCGGAGTAGACTTGCCTTCCATGTCCCCGGTCCCAATCACGCCCATTATCATATGAATTATCACTATCATTTCCGTAATCGCTTCTCTGCCTACCAATGCAACTCACTCAGCTCCGATAAGGCATTCAAGTTCAGTGAATGGTGCGCACTCTTGTGAGACCTTGAAAGTGATGTTCGGATCGTCATCCTTAGGCCTTGTTATGACCGGAAAGCCAGAAAGATCTGCGAGCTTTCTAGCGGCAGAGTCAAGCAGGAGGCCAGCAATCCCAAATAACGCGAATGCCTCTGTTTCAGGAGACAGCATCACCGGTACTGGCCCGCCGATGTCGCCCTCGCGGCATGTCTTGAGCAAAGGAGCTTCGTAATTGGTGACCAACCAGGCAATCGTTTCATGGGGTTGATGAACAGAAACGACACATCCTCCGTCGGACAAGTGCTCCTCCAATGCCGATATGTCTTCCGTAGAGATGTAGTCTCTCTCTCTATTGGAGCTAGGAAACCGAGTAGAATCAGAGGTCCTGTGATTGGCACCTACGTATACAAAGAACAGCACTCACGAGGTAGATGTTGGGTTGGTAGACGGTTCTCCACCGGAGCAGTATATCATGAATGTCTGCCCTGCAGTCTCGATTTGGTCATCTACAGATGGGATATCGTCATGGACCAGATTGTATTCCGAAGCCCTGGCGTCAGGTTCATCTGGCGCTAAGACCGCTATGTTGTTTTCCGATGAACTGGTGCCTTGAGGGACGGATTCGGCGGCGGGATGCTGATCCAAATACAAAGCCAAGTGAGTGAAAATTGAGCTACCAAACATGACCATAGATGAATTCAGAAGACTGACTATATACGAAACAAAAGCGTCCATGCAGAAACCGTCGGAATACTGGGTTCCGGATCGTGTCTGATTTGACAAAGGCGAAGGCAGTACAGCGGAGGGCGAAGGACTAGCTTTCTGTTCTAAAGGCGCAATATGGTCAAATACGTCATCATCGTTTGATCCGTAGTCTGAATGATTGAGAGCGGGCAGGAGCCAAGTTTCAAGGTCAGGGAAGTAGTCTATCAGTTGCGTCGATAGCTGGTCTATAGGTGACTTACGCAGGTGAGCCTGATCCAATGCCTCAGTCGATGTCTCGACTGCCATGGCGTGCTGCTCGGGATAACTTTGTGGTGCCTGCTCCTGACCGTGGGCATATTCTCCGACGTACAGTTGCTGGTGCTGTTGTTGTTCTTCGACCTGAGAATAAATCCCAATCTGATTCTGTATGTGTACGTGCTCTACCACTTGATCTTGGTTTGCATTCTCGGCTTCCTTTTTCAAATTATGGTCGTGGCTACTAGATCTCTGAGCTTCAGTCGCTTGTTGCGGTTGTCGTGGGTGAGGTGTTGAAGATTCCTTCGAATTAGGCGGGTGCGTGCTCGACATCCTGGCCTGCGACCCATGCGCCGACCAGCCTGAAAATGATCCAGGTGTCGGATAGCTTTTCCCAGTGATCCTAAGCCTCGAAGGTTGTTGCATGTTCGTGCCCATATTGGGCGTAGGCACGTCCAAACTCTGACTCATAAACACACTCCACGCCTCCGTCAGACTCAAATTCTCGCTCATCCTCACATGTGAATGTGAAGGTCCGGCGTCGTAAGAAGAAGCGGAGAAGGAAGTAGTCGAAGAATGTGAACGCCCGGCGTCGTAAGAAGAAGTAGAGTAGGAAGTAGTCGAAGACTGTGAACTTTCGGCGTCGTAAGAAGAAGTAGAGTAGGAAGTAGTCGAAGGATACTGGCGTTGAGTGTAGCCCTGTCTGTCTTGAGTGTGAGGATGTTGAGGATGCTGAGGATGGTGGTCATAATGGGCGGAATACGACGACGGGATTCCAGACGGCGCTCCGTGTTCGACACCACTCCCATACGTCGAGTGAACCTGGTGCTGTTGCCGTGGGTCATAGAGTGCATGCGATTGATGTGGGTGTGGCACCAAAGCCTGCGCCTGAGCCGGTACGTGCTGCATGGGTGCCGCATGCGGGTGCGACGGAACCTGACCGTGACCACCGGCCTCGCCCTCCCCAGGATGTTGACGATGCTGATCCACCGACGAAATCATCTCCATCCTACCACCGTCTCCATGTCCACCTCCGCCTCCTCCGCCTCCACCATGACCATGACCATAAATAACAGCCGGCATACCCTGCCACACCCCCGGCTGCGCCACCCCACTACTAATCTGCGCATCCAGCGTCCGATCGAACGTCGCGAGCTGGTCGACGAGCGACGCATGCAGATGCGCCTGGCCCCACGCCACCACTGGCGGCTCGACGACCATGGCGTGTTGTTCGGGATATTCGGGGTACTGGAGGATTTGTTGTTGGTCCTGAGATTCAGATTGGGTACGAGCGTAGTCTCCGTCGTACGGATGCTGATGAGCTTGAGTATGAGCTTGATTCTGTACGTGCGATGGCTCCGCTGCCTGGCCTTGAGCACTATCGGTATCCATACTCGGGCTTTGACTATGACTTGAATGACCTTGGCTCTGAGCCCGAAGCTGATTATGTCCTTGTCCTTGCTGCGATTGTGATTGTGCCTCAGGGTGCTCCATATCAGGCGTATGCATAGTCGTACTCGGCGTCCCAGTCTGCGATCCATGCGCCGAACCTGAACCTCCCGACGTAGATGCAGGTGTCGACGAACTCTTCCCAGTAATCTTGAGCCGCGGAGGCTGCATCTTCGTACGCGTATTGACCGTATGCGTAACCCCAGAGAACATCGAAAATTCGTCCCGGTCGGGATGCGCAAAGATCCCCTCGGGCGTCTTGGACAGCTGCGAACGGGCGGTCTGGAAGGAATTGTACGCTTTCGAGAGGTGTCGCTTGACGACTGGCTGGAAAGGTAAAAGCACGGTCAGTGATGGTTATGAGTTAGAGCCCTCCGCGGAACCGAGCAATCGATACGTACCAACATCTTCCCCGCACGCCCACCGTACGGGGCGGCTTCCTCGAAGAGATCAGAGGCGAGCTTGAGTTCCATAAGTGCCGTATGTGCCAGTTTCGACTGTGGTGCGCGGACGGGGATCAGCGCGAGCATGACCTAACCAACCAAAGAGCTGTCCCGTCAGCATCGTTCCATATATCCAGCAGTATTCAATATATCCTAGACTAGAAGTCCCAAGGAAAATAGATCAACGGCATGAGGTCAAGACTCACCGACGCTGAAAACGCATGCGTCCACAACACCCAGAACCTCGCTATCCTCGCCGGAAACAACGTGAACTGCTCCCTCAACAACAACAATAAATCACAAGAGCTCCTATACCCCGCCAGGATACTCGGCGCATACTGCGACTTCAGTGGGTCGAGCGGTTGGTCGCAGAGCCCTTGGGCAAAGAACGTGCGGTGGGTGTATATGAGCGCTTCACGAATGCAACATTGAACGTCCAAAGTCAGCGGGATGAAAGGAAGGAGGGAAGGAAGGAGGGAAGGAGACATACTGAAGTGGAAATAGTTGATGGGCATGTAATGTTGCATCGTCACACTCAGACCCGCACCCCTCGGCGGTGGATCGACGGCATATTGTGGCAAGTCCAGGTCCCGCACCTGTCTGTCGACCTCGACGATGACGGAGTACTTTGGCGGACGCGCTGTGAAAATGCCTGTGACGACGGCAGAGACGCACTGTTTGCCGAACAAAGCTTTCCAGTACGGAACTGATAAAAGGGAAGTCAATACCCCGAAGGAGAAAGTTGATATAAAGAGAAAGAGGGAAAGCGTACATGAATGTTGTGGCTTCCCATCATTTGATAAGGTCTGTTCAGTATCCTGCGGAAGCTCACAGTCCACAAAGGCTAACGCGAAAGTTGGCAGGCGGCCCGTCGCAAGACTCTAAATATATTTCGGGGTGAGTCAGACACTTATCAAACGAGATGGGGAAAAGTGAAAGATACGTACCTGCCAACAGTCAGTGATGAAGAGCTCCCAGAACAAAGCCCTCCGCTTTTGCACTTCGGCCGGAGACAGCTTCCATCTCGCGCAATCACGGTCTGTGGCAGCCAGCCAACAGTGATAGAACGAGTGCACCAATACGTCAGCCTATCAATTTCACCTCCTATATGACAGACGAAGGGAAGAACGTACGGAGTCCTATCTGTATGGGTATGGTCGGTAAGCATCTCAAAGTCATGGAGGCGCGCCGTTAGTTGGATGATAAACTCACACTCTGACACAACTTCGCGGCGAGCCCCCAATACGCCCACGTGCTCTCGATACTCGTCTCATTCGCCACCAGGCCATTATAGATCGCCATCATGCTCAACGCCTGGACTGTGCTCACTGCCGGCGCCCTGTCCAAAACCGGGTCGAGCGCCAATGCAGCCCTCGTCAATAGGAAATAACGCACCGCCTCTGGATTATTAGGTGCAGCCGGGAGATTTTCGTCTACCAAAGCCCCGAAGCAGAAGATGATAAAGAGAAGCGACAGATCGTGAGGAGTCGGGTCCGGTAGGGAAGAGCTGGAGGTCGATTGAGAGGCACCCCCTGTTGAACCGGGAGTAAACGCCGCAGCGGGGGACTGGGCTGCTGAGCTGGGCTGAGCCGATGTACTGTTAGGAGTCTGCCCTTGGGTGTCAGAATTGTTGCTAGGGCTCTGTGCAGAATACGTAGAACCTGAGGCCGAGGGCGAGGAGTAGGTATCTTCGGCTCTGCAGTCCAGCGGATAGAACATAGGAATAAGTTCCTCGTTCAGTTGCCGCTCCTTGACTGCTCCGAAGAACCAAGGCCCAATCTCGAGATAGAGCGCAATCAGTTCGACTGCCCGTGCGTATGGCGGAAGATAGGCCTCCAGAGTGTACCGGGGCATGCTGACAGATGCATCTGGGAAAGCGGACGAAACTTGGAGGACGTGGGTAGGAAGGCCGGTAGATGTTCCCGCAGTAGCGGCTACCTCCGCCACAGAAGCGACGTTGGCAATGGATGGACTCGACTCGCCGTCTTGAAATCCAGCAGGGCTCCCTTCCGGCGTGTCGCTTTCTCCCTAGACGAGACGATTGAAAAACGTGAGCGGCATTGCGTGTGAATAGCTCGCAACCAATGGAGATACCTACCAGAAGAAGACTCTGCCGATACCAACCATCAGCGTTCGCAAGGAGAGCGTATCAGTGTGTGAGACGATCATACCTCCTGACCTGCAGAACGCCCATAAAATGTCGAGCCGCCGTCATCTCTCAGTGCCAGAGTACCAAAAATATCGAGGGACGGGGTGTCGTCTCCATCTCCCTCGCCCTCGCCATTCGTTTCGCCATCAAGAGGGCCTGCGTTGGGTGCGGCGTGCAAGTCGATGATTGACTTGACTTTGAGGTTTTCACGGCTAAGGAGAGGATGCGGGTCTCGAGAACTGTTGAAGTGGGAGAGCGCGAGAGCATCCTCGAGCTGACGTATCCGTGTGCTCATTTCCGTTATTTTGTTGTGTAATCGGTCGGTGTCGGCCAGAACAAAGCTGCACGGAGAGCGGGAGACTGCACCGTTGATAAAGTCTCGCAGTCCAACAGGGGAGGGGTTCGCTTACCGAGTGCCTTGGCCTGTGACGAGGCTGCCTGGAGAAATTAGAAACACAGAAGCACCAAAGATCAGCAATGTTCACCGCTACGTCCGAAAGAGGGATACAATTGGATATATTGCGTTTTGGGTAAACACATTGACAGGATGATGGTGAGCGAAGCGATGACACAAGATCGTAAGAGACGATGCGTCGATTACACGGGCGACGCATGACGAAGATAGCAACAATGACCAAGTTCTCGCGGTGTATTGCGAGCCAAAGGAGCCTGATTGCTTGCTGCGAAGATTATGCACGTACCGTTGGGACAGATATGAGCACAACCTCGTCGTCTGCAAGAGGAGCATGGTACAATCCTGTCACATTTTAGCTTGAGCCTGCAGGGATAGACCGGTGTTAGCCACGAGTAAGAGAAGATGGGTGGATACGGCTTGCGCCAGCTCTCCGTGTAATCGTCTGGGAGATAGCATTGGACGGTAGGGGTGTGGGGACGGCAATGGGTCGTTGAAGGCCGTGAACAGACCTTCTACACTCTGCACAACTTATAGCACCTCTCGCACGTTTCCATGTCGCCTGCTCTCGCGCCTTTGTCGACGCTGGGTCTTTCTCTTGGGGCATATCGGAGCGAGTACTTGCGTTCGCGGACATGGGCAGAGATCATATAGATCCGGTGGCCAGGGGACTAGGTTACCGTAGTGATGGACAAGGGAGGTGTCAAAGAGGGTGACAACTCGAGTGAAGGTTATAAGGGACATGGGGTCTACGCCTTCGGGCTTGCACGTAGCGCTCAATCCTGAGCCCTCATAGACCTGTATATGCCAAGGATGAGTATTTTTCATTGAGCACAGCCAAAGAGCACAGGTACGGTCGACGACACTAATCAGGTCACCTTTTGGCCTCACCCCGTCAGGCTCGTGAGAGGGATCTGTCAGTTGCCTTCCCTGGATCCGAATAAAGGCGGGTTTAGTCTCATACCAGCCGGCCAGCGACACCCTAAAAGGGAACCCGTCACTGACCGTCTGGGTTAGAGCCAACGGGTTTGAAGGACCCTGGCTCTCAGCTGCGCGGGCCCCAGATCCGGACGTTCGGAGCACTCTCGGATCTGGTCGGAGCAGATAACAACGCGATAGCCACGCGAGACGCGTCAGGGGCAAGTCGCGATCTTTCTTTTCGCGTCGCCTTCGAACGTCTCGTCGACAACGCGTCTTGCTCTTCACGCGCACGCCTGCCATGTTTCTATACTACTGAAGGATATAATCCTATATTATTGTATCTATCTTCTACTGTGTTTACTCGGATGGACACTCCTAACCAGAGCACAACTGTCTGGCCCCCATCTCGCTCTCGCAAAGTCACAAGCACACCCAACTCGACATTATCGTCTCCAGCTACGCCTGTCCCACGCCGCCTGCCTGCCGTCCCGCAAACTCCTTCTCCACCTTACGCTCTTCCACCTCAATCCTCTGTCAAGCGCTACAAAGGAGGCTATGAAGTGAAGAATCAAGCGGTCTCGTACACACCCTACTCCCTCAACAGCCGAGGTCAACTTCGTCGAGAAGCCTTTGCTTTTAACAACGAGCCCCGCCTCTCTCCTCTAGACCCACTATCTACTGCACGCTGGAATGAACTCGCACATCAGAGTGCGATAATCGAGCCTCAGTGGGATCTTCGCGCTATGCAGATGGATGTGGCGAACTGCGTGCTTGAACGCAAGGGAGATGTCGCCGTGATATCCGAGACTGGCTCTGGGAAATCACTGGCTTGGATCTTGCCCCTTCTGGTCCAGTCTCGAGGTATCTCCTTGGTGATAACGCCATATACGTCGCTGGGCACTGAGGGAGATATGAAGTGCGTATTTCTCTCTATGTCATGGGCCACAATCATACTTATGAGGACGGCACAGAACAAGAAAGATGGGACTCTCGTCCGTCTTCGTCACCTCGACAAACAACTCCCCTTCCACTCTTGAGGCTACTGCACGAGGCGATTTCCGTGTCGTCTTCCTCTGTCCCGAAGAACTCGAGTGTCCGACATTCTCACCAGTTGTCCACTGTAAACACTTCCAAAATCGACTGTCAGCTGTCTACGTTGACGAAGCGCACCTCGTTCGCGGTTCGAAATCCTGGCGCGATGCGTACACCCGTCTCTACATGTTTCGCCGTATCATTGGACTCGACATTCCACTCGTCTGTATGTCCGCCACACTTCCCGCCACATATCGACAGGATCTCGAGCTTTATGCCGGCCTTCAGCCTGGGTACCGCTTCTTCAATCTTGGAAATTTTCGTCCCGAATTGGCTACCGCTGTTGTTCCTATGCGATACGATGCATCCACTTTCCACGATCTCGCATTCCTCCTTCCTACACATCGACCCTCTCTGCCCGAGCCAACCCTAATCTACTCCGACAACATCGACCGTCTCACATCCATGTTCTGGTGGTTCAAGTCTCGTCTCGCTGCTCTTGGCCTACCCGAAACCACCGTGGATATCGTCCATGCTGGTCTCAGTGATGCACATGAACGCCTGGTCTTGAAAGACTTTCGGGAGGGCAAAGTTCGTATCTTGCTTGGGACTGCTAAGATAAGCACGGGGATAGACTTCACAGGAGTCCGTCTCGTGGTCCAGTGGATGTCTCGAGATCTCACGATATGCGAGTTCGAGCAACGTAAAGGAAGGTTGTGGCGCCACAAGAGGCTGCCTGGGGTACTAGAAGACAGTGGTCGAGCGGAGGCAGGCAGGGATGTCGGTATAGATGATGAGGGCGAGGGAGGCGGTGAAAGCGAGGGAGACGGTGAAAGTGAGGGAGACGGAGACGGCGAGGGACACGGAGACGGAGACGGAGACGGCGAGGGAGACAGAGACGGTGATGGTGGAGGCGGTGATGGTGGCGGTGATGGTGGCGGTGATGGTGGCGGCGAAGAGAGAAATGGTGACGAAGAGAGCAACAGTGGTGACGGTGATGTTGGTGAAGGCTATGGCAGTGAGGGTCTGGATGGTATGGACATGGAATGCGAAGAGATGATGGATGATAATGGTGTTGAGGGTGAAAGTGTGGATGACGAGGTCGAGATGAACGGGTCTGCATCTCAAGTTCAAGATGACTCGGAAGCGAATCTTCAGTTTGAGTTTGCGAATGAACTTGAGGCTGAGGGGAGCGCACATACTCAGCCAATGGAATATCAACCTACCGAAGGCATCATCATCCTGTTCGTCGAGCATTCCATGACGCCGCAAGCTGGCACAACACCCGAAGACCCTGGAACTCAAGATATAGGTGTATTAGAGATGATCGGCACCGTGGGCACAACTACGTGCATCGAAACCATAATCAACAATCATCTCGAAAACCCTGCACGAACGCAAACACCCGAGCCCTCAGTCCTTCCGCGACGTTGCTGTTCCACCTGCCATCCATCTCTCGTACCATTCCAAGAGTTTCATTTCATCATGCTTGACCCTACTTTACCCACACGAACTCCAAAACCAAGTACCGATACACGCAAAGCCGGGGTCATCTTCAAAGAGCTGGTATCGTGGAGGTTACTCATGTGGGAGACTGAATGGAGGTCGGTGTTTGTGGATATGGGTCCACGGGGTCTCATAAGCGATGCGGATCTCCTTGCCATTGCGAGCAAAGCAAACGCTATTGAAGAGCTCGAAGATCTGGAAAACATTGTGCAGATTTACTATTGGGATGAGGTAGCTCCTCGATTACTCATGGCAGTCCTCCTGAAGCGCACAGAAGCGGATCGTATCATTGCTGATGAGGACGCGTCCACCACCTCCCCCTCTCCCACGACCAGTGGTACCATCACTCCACGACCAAAACGCAGCGGCACTACCCAAGGAGATACATCATCATCAAAGCGACCGCGGTTGGCCGTAGAGCAAGGCAGAGGACGAGGGAATGGAAGAGGCAGAGTAGAAAGGGGCGGACGTGGGGGACGAGGCAGAGGTGGACGTGGGAGTAGAGGTGGACGCGGAAGTAGAGGTGGACGCGGAAGTAGAGGTGGACGCGGAAGCGGTGCTGAGCGTGATGGGAGAGGAGGGCGTGGAAGCAGAGGAACTGGTGCTAGGGGAAGAGGTAGGGAACAAAATGTTAGTGTTTAAGGCTGGAGCACAGACAACTAACGTGAACGGTATGTCCACCTGTTTGCACTCCGCTTCGATGAATATGGGTATTGTTAGTTGATTTGCACCCTTGACTCGGAATGTGCAGAAACACTACATTACAAATCTACATCCTCGCCGTTTCCTCCAGAATCCCCTTCAACAAATTCAATGATCGCTTGCCCAACATCACGGACATCGAAATCTACTTCCGCACGATCTATTCCCTGCTCCAATTCCTGATACAACTGCTGTTCCCTTTCCTTCTCCACCCTGGTGAGTTCATTGAATATGTTCTCCCCGTGCCGTGTTCTAAACCGAAGGATATGACGTTCAAGGTGCTTTGCATGGCCTCCCTCTCGACCGCTCAACTGGCGAAGACCGTGCCGGAAGAGATCGACGACAGCGTGTTCCGAGGGAGTATCAGCATCAAAGCGAAAGACCTGCTTTGTATCCATGTACCTGGTAAGGATTTCGATGTCCTTGTGTTGCTTTACGGATGCATGGTGCTCGTTGATTCGCTGCACACCCATCGCCTTGAATGTTCGCGCAGTGAGCTCCTTGCAGGGACCAATGGCGGGCGTGATCTTTTCGAGGAGTTTGGAGGTTGCGTTGGGGCCGTGAGCGCGGTCCTTGATATCGCCGTTCAGGTGCTCGACATCGAGATCAGCCTCTAGAAACCCGTCTTCTTCGCCCGTCGTATTGACGAGCATACCAGCGAGCTGTAACTGGGCAAAATCCTTTGGCCAGTCATGTTCAAGGTTGTGAAGAAGCTCCATCATTTCGTTTGCATAGTTGGAGCTTCCACCGGCATAAAACACTGGCAACCAGTACTTGAACATACGTTCCATCCTCTGAAGTTGCCCGTGCTTGACTGCATAGCGCATATTTCGAATGCTCATCAGATCGCGGAAGAGTAATTGGGCATGGCCGGAGACGGTATGGCCTGGTGTTTTCTTGATTCCCCTCGCTTCCAGATCATCAGGAGCAGAAAGGATCTTGTCGGAGATGCGCTTTGCTAATGATGTGAGAGTGCTGAGGTCTGTGGGAGGGTGTGTGGGAAGAGAGGCTGACGATGATAGTGACATCTCTGATGCGGCGGCCGTCAGAGTCAGAGAACGCAGAATGACATCCGTGAACCGTAGCCAGGCGTAATGATCGACCTTGGTGAGGTTAATCTCAGCACGGTTGGGAAGCTGATCGCGGAGAGTCGAAAGGCTGACAGCGTCTTTGGCGCCACTACCCCACGCATTCTTGCCGATATTGTGGATCTGGTTATAGATGACGTGAAAGACACCGCTGGATAGCGGTGTACTGGCCAATCGGTCGACACGGTGTTCGGATCGATCAACGAGGAGTTGGTCTTGTGCAGAACGAACACGGGCCGTGGTGAGACGATCACCTAGTGCCGAAACGACGTTGGTCTCGAAGAATGTCTTCGCAATCCTCAGGACCTTGATAAAGTAGTGTGCGAGCACGACCATGTTGCCCCGAACTGAACCCTGCTCCTGGTTGAAGGTCGGTAGAAAGTAGCGCTCAGTCTTGTGTGGTGGTAGCGTGTTCGGGTCCTCAAGTTTGGGAAGAAGTCGGCGAAAATGAGACCATGAGGAAATTTCCTCGGTGAGGATGTATTGAATGTGAAGGGTAATGTCGTCACGAAAGGCTGCCTGTTCTTCGAGGGAGGGAGTGATATCGTGCAGCCCTTTTTGACGTGGGATCCGGTGACGTTCGCCTGCAGCAGCCTCGAGACGTTGTACGTTTGTGGTGTACGAGACCGGAGGGGAACTGGGTGATCGCCATGGACATGCAAGGATGGCGGAGACCTCGTCATGCTGGATGATACCGTGCACGACAGAGGTTTGCCATGCTCGTTCGCGCCAGTTGTAGTTGTCGTAATTCAGTTGTTTTGGTTTCTTGTCATCGTTCGCCGCGGTCCGAGCAATATTCACTGAGTCACCACTGACCGCAGTTACAGTTTCGCCCTCGGATGATGGTGAAACGCAGAGACCAATTTGATTAAACATGATTGATAGTCGCTTTGGGATGCGGTTGAGCCAAAATATGAGACTGTTCATAAGGGGGTGGTAGTTTGTTTCGCGGCTGCGTAGGTGCAACAACTGCGAGGTGATGAAAGTCTGTCCCTGAGCACGGAGTGAACATAAGCATCAAAACTTGAGGTTCGTGTACAAAGGCAAAGACATACTACAAGAGGATGACGGGATAGCGGGTGCTCCCCAGCCTTCTCCTTGCCAATCAATGTCTTCAAAAATCTCTGCAAGCACGGTAAAAGTGCATGGTATGTATCTCCGAGAATGTCGATGTCAAATCCATTGACAAGCGCTACAGTGACTTTTTGCGGTGTTATGCGTAGACGTTTTGCTTCCTCAAAATGAGGTCCGTCACTCGCCCTGTTTGTCAACCTAATATTTATCCGAATCAGCTTCTAGACAAGATGAGATGAAAATGGCAGAACACCCACCAGCTCATCTCTAGGGCACAGAGCTTTGCGACTTTCTCGAGTACCCACTCGGCGAAAGGCCTGGAATACTCCCGCCGACCAGCTCCTGCAAACCAAATCTCTACCAAGTCCAGCGGCCCAATATCATTCTCCATAAACATGGATGTGATATTTTTGATCTCCGGAAGGTTAGACATGAAGAGAGCAACAAGGAATGACCGAAGTGAGAGCTTTCCGGGGAGCCCCTTTATGTACCGTAGGATGAGCAAGACCTTTTCTTCATCTGAGAGCGGTGTGGCACGGGCCACTTGAGGATAAGTCCTATCACTTGGATCATCGTCAAGTAGGAATGTATCAAGCTGTGAGAACGGGATGTTGTGAGGAAGTCCGGTGATGGGTGGAAGGACAGGTGAGGACTGTATGTCGGAGGAGGGGCGAACAGGAGAGCTGGTAGCGTCGAGTTCTTCTAGTTCATCAAACTCGTCAAGTTGTGCACCAAAAGACTGGAGATGAGAGCGTAAAGTGCGCATTATATCACTTCAGAGAGGTAGTAGTGGCTGGAGAGTATGTACAAGCATAGACTAGAAGTGTCGAGTGCAAGAGTTTGAGGACTCGGAGGTGAAAATAATTAGACCGCACGAGTCATCGGCGACTTTGTCTTGCTCTCACCTTACCGCTCGCATACGACTGTCTTGTACTCACTCCAACACTTTAAATGCTTGTCATAATGCACCTGTCTGCCAGTGATATTCACCGACCTGTGACGAGGCTGTCGCAAAGCACGGTGTGTAAAACGCAAAAAGCAATTGTTCGGTCACCATTGCTCCAAAAAACCCGCGTTGAAGACCGTTAGGCCAAGTAGGCCATATATGATGAGGAGAACAATAATATATAACCAACCCCACCAGGCTGGGGAAGCAGGGTCCGGGATGCGGCTCCGACGGCTTATCTCGATCTTTTATCTCATCACGATAAGACGGATTTTGGGGCTCGCGCAGCTGAGAGCCAGGGTCCTTCAAACCCGTTGGCTCTAACCCAGACGGTCAGTGACGGGTTCCCTTTTAGGGTGTCGCTGGCCGGCTGGTATGAGACTAAGGCGGGTTTTCGCGCTATGGGCTGTCCGACCATGTTACCGAACCGAATGAGGAGTATTCAACTCGCTTCTTATGTCTTTGGTGGAGGAAAGTGGCTTCTTCGAGGACACTTCCGCACCGTCTTATCTCGACTCATTGTAAGTAGATAGAAGTGGACTTCGTCCACTTTCTGGTTTATCTTCGAGCTCAGTGGTACGTCGGCCCCGCATCAGTGAAACATTGTGGAAGGACTGAGTAACTAAGCATGCTTTGTATAGCAAAGTATCATACAGTGGCACAGAATGGCTGGTGTCATCGCTTCTTGACCGGAACCGCCATGTACTCCGGAAATTCCCATGGTTCACGCCCCCCCAACCCCGCCCCCCCTCCCCCCGCCCCAGATATACAAGAAAACACCCTACTACCTGAACCGCATATCGCACCCCCAGACCGCATAGTACACACCGACGTCGGAATGGGCAACACCCCAGATGCCCAGGATGACGACGACGAAGATGAAGAGGACGAAGAGGAGGAAACCCCCGTTGGGGAATCCGTCCTTTCATTCGGAGATTCCGAGCCGAGCCGCGCCCTACAGCTGGCTATCGGCTCTCTAGTCACCATCACGGCCTTCCTCAACAAGAACGACCTCGAGACCATGGCCAAAACCCAAGTCGACCTCAACAACCACGCCCTCGAGCCCTTCCACAACACCCTCTCCTCTCTCGTCCACAGCTGGGCTCACTCGTCGGGCAAGGCGACGATCCCCATCACAGCGTAATGCCCAAGAATCTGACCATGGCACATTCACGGCGGATTTCGGAAATGCGACCGGAATGCGACCAGAATTTACCCGCCGAGCACAGCCGAAAATGCTGCATGGCACTTTCTGGGTAACGCGGCCGACCCAACCGCCTTCCTTTCTTGGACGCGCCCAACCGCGCGGCTCCCGTCCGCCACACGCCTTTGCCACGCGAGCGCGGACTCTGCCTTCGTCTCGACGCCGCCGCCTCGAGCACAGACAAAGCACAGAGTAACACCAAGTACTATGTATTAATAAGAGAAGCAAGCAAGTGTAGTATATAAAGACATCTTCTAAGTATCGGCCTGCAACGTCGAATGGTTGTGCGAATCAAGACTCGGAAAAGGTTCGGAATGATCTAAGGGATTATGTAAAAGTTACACAAACGGAAGTTGAACGAACAAAGACCTGAACGGAAGTATTTATTAGGACCCATAACTCTCTTGTCTGTGCTGTTTCTTCTTCTCGGGGGTCAACGCTATTGCTGGTCTTGGAATGTAGCTTGTTCTAGGGCGTTTCCGCACTGGGGGCGGTGTTGAGGGGGACTCGTTAGTTGTCTGTACGGATTTCTCGTGGTGATCTGGCTTCACCACCGCTTTGGGTGCTTCCTTAGACACTGTGAAAAGTCGACGAAGCTGTGTACACAGCGCTTCCAAATCTTCGCAGGCTGCTCGAGCTTTCTCTATGTCCTCGACGACATCTGGGTCGATGTAGGCGTCCTCGAGGGTGCCAGCCAGTGCTCGCAATCTGGGAGTTGTTCGGTCCAGGTCGTGAAACGTACGTGCGAGTAGATGAGCGTTCACGCTCTCCTCCGCCTCGCCGTCTCTGAGAGAGAAGGCGCTTGATCGTCCGGATTCGGAGAAGTTCTCAGGCTCGTCATCAAGCCCAAGGTCCCGAGGATCTATGGCGCCAAACTCGCTCCCATCCGTACGTTCGGATACCCATCCATCGCGGTCGAAGCTTGAGTCTAGTTCCCAGTCCGCATTCGTACTAAAGCCATCCATCGTCCGTTCTCTCTCATCATCATCTTCCTCTTCCTCTCCTTCGTCGCTCTCCCCCTTGTCATCAACCTTGGTGACTCCGACTACTAGCTCATCCGATTCCTCGTATACATCACCCTCCTTGAGAACATCCTCGACAAGTCGAGCGGCATCGTCAATGGGTGACGACGACGATGGCTCCTCTTCTGCGGCTCGAGCTTGAACATTGGTGGAGAACCGCGCGGCTTGAAGAGCACGAGCCCCTTCAACACTTGTGGGGAGTGTGATACTGGGTGTGTTGCGTCCGCTTTCTCGTAAAGCTGTCAGATATAACATGGCCGCTCGGATGTGCTTGCAGGCGCCGCCTCGGTGGAAGAAGTCAGGACACGAGCAGCTCCCTGCCCCATCAAACTCAAGAGTCACCGTGTATGATTCGGAACGGTCATCTCCTTCGAATGCGGCTGAAGAATGACAAGTCAAAGTGAGTTTGTTATTGTTCTCAAGCTTTGGATCTCCGATTTGACGTTGTGCGAAGATGGTGGTGGCGGCGGCATCACGATTCGCATCGGGAATGATGTATGTGATGCTCGGTGGGCTCGTCTTTGCACTCGCGGTCTTTCGCCGAAGGATCAAGCCCGCTCCACCGGCCGCATGGAGAAGATCGTCCCAACCCCGGCGCTGCTTTCCTTGAAGAGTGCGTTGCTTGAAGATGCCGGGAAGAACCCTCGTAATGAGGAGATGGATGAGGACATCCAATCGTAAGCGTCGATTATTTCTCTGCCACCGTTTGAGATGCTTATTCTTCAGAAGGCCGTTGAACCGCTCGAGGTGATTCGTTGTGGGAAGGACGAAATCGAAGGTACATCCGAGCAGCTGGGCTGCAACCTTACATCCATGCTTCGACCAGCTCTTCCATACTGTTTCCTTTTTGACCCAATAGTCCATGAGGTACGTCAGATGCTTCTCGCCTCCCTCAACGGCAGGTGTCGCTGATGAATCCAACACCTTGAAGCGGTGCAGGACCGCGCGTTCATCCTCGATCTTCTGGAGAGCATCGGAATGGACTTCGGTCTCGATGAGGTCATCCTCCAGGCGACGAAGGCGGCCAGCGATTTGCGAATGAGCGGGTGAGTCGCCTTTAAGCTCTCGACGACGATGATTCCTCCAACACTGACGCAGATGGAATCGGCAATTGAGGATCCAAATACCGGGGAAAACCTGTGCGAGGGCATTTTTCTCCTTGTCGTCCGTGTCAGTGATGGCGACTGGAGGATAGAACGGCTCGTCGCTTTGTTTACCAAGCGAGTCTCGCCATTTGGCGAGAAGACGAGCGAGGATGGATGTGTCGTAACCAGCCGCCGTGAATCGGTTTCCTGATGGTGCTGAGAACAGGAGGAATGCGAGAGGTACGCCCTTCCGATCTTCGTCCACAGCCATGAGAATAAACAGCAGAAGCTTGTCGTTGCAGACACCGAAGGTCCCATCAAGGATAAGTTGGGAACCATGCCCGTAAGTCCACGCCACGCTTTTCATTTCCTCCGTCGCAATACAGGCCTCGAAACGCTCCTGTTTCTCGACCCTTGCTTTGTAGTGGAATATTGCGGCGGCGAATGTCTTGTTGTAGTCGGGGGATTTGGGGTCGAGCCAGGCATCTACATTCTGATGTGGCTGGGTGCGAACTTGTACGCCCTCCTTCCGATGATGTTGACGGTATAGTGACCTCGAATCCTTAGGGTTTAGGATCCAGCGGTATCGGGAATGAGCCCAGTCTGTGTCTTGCCCTGGATAAGAGCACCCCTCCACCATCTCTCGATTCCTTTCCAGAATATCATCCCAAGAACCACCCTCACGAAGCTGTCTAAGTGCGAAATCCCAGACGATGGGCTGTGTCATGACTGCCACCTGTACCATACACATATGCACCATTTTTAATCCATTTTCCATGTTTTTCCCTCCCGTACGCCACCCACGATTTACGCCACAGTCTCTAAGAGCCCTCCAGATTTTTCCCAACATTTCTATTGTTTTATTTCGCCCATCGAACCTCGTCAAACTCCCCACAGACCGCATAAGGAAACCGGCTCGGCAAGTCCCGCACTCGCGCGTCGAGTCTCATTCCTTAAGTCTCGACCCTTGTTAAATGTGTCCCGCGACATTTCTCCTATCAACACACAACGGACCGAGTACCTGCATGGACCACAACATGCCAAGGAGCACTCTCCAATTTATCTGGAGTTTCTACGATTTTATTCAAGCCATGCGCAAGGAGCGATCGCAGCTACGGAAGCTCGCACCGAGCTGCCGGTTCCTGTGGAACGTTTCAGACTCCGACGCGCTAGGATTTCCACACCCCTTCGGACGAGGCTACAGGACGCAATACTGGGGGGTTTCTCTTCAAACAAAATTCTAGGGGACTCCCTCAAACTCGAGCTTTCTATTGATCCAACAATCTCGGCAATTGGCCCACTGGGGAATATACTACAGCACGATCTCGGTCTCAACCTCGCTCAGGGCCATCAGATAGTGTTCCTCCTCGTGTAGCTCGACCAGTTTCCACTCAATCGCCGACGTTTTGATATAGAGAGGTTCCTACTGGTTCATACTATTATTCTACGGTGTCCTGCGATTTTATTTCGTGCCTGAATTATCAAGGATAATCATTTAAGTTCGTATCCTTGTACCCATTGTTCTCTAGAACAGTTTCTCCATCCTCTTAGCTTTATCATTCGTTCTCTATGATCGTCTTGTTCTGGGATCCTCTCCGTACACGCTATGAGCTCGTTGCATGAACCTCGAAGTGTTTCTGTAGTGTACATACTTAGTGTCTGAATATTTGTCTTCTCCCTTTGATTCCTCCTTGATTATTCATCTTACTCTTTATTCTACTTACTGTTGGGTGATCTGGGACTCGTATAAATACTCTAGAGTACTTGCATGTATTTCCTCAGTTTGTAGATCGTCTATTCCTGGGCCTTCTAATATACTCATCCCTCCACCACCTTTATCCGCCGCTTTTCCGATTGTTTTTGTTTTGAGCCGTGGGGTATCTCCACTCCCGTATCGCCCGGTTGTGACAGGCTGTACGGGTTGAGTAGGCTCTCGAACGAGTCTTGCGATACGACATTCTTCGTTATGGGCAAAGTATCCACGTACGCGAATGATATTGCCGGTCGACTCCATCCTGGCGACCTCTACATGTCCGAGACACTCGGTGAACGGTAAAGGAACGTGTCTCTCCTTCGTCCCCGCCTCTCCCTCGGCGTAGCCACATTTGCTGGACAACGAGATACCATAGTTAGGTTTCCCTCGGGCTCAATACTATTGAAACAAGCAGGTACGCACCATTGATACAAAACTCTATTGTAGCGCTCATGAGCCTTGGACCCTCTCGATGTCCAGAACCACCGCCTACTCCAACGAGCCTTGAGATCGTTCAAGGATGCCGTGTCAAGACCGTAGCGAGCGAGGAGTGCATTGGCGATCACCTGGTCCTTCGAGTCGGAGGCCTCGAAGCTATGGTCTTCTAGCTGGCCATGCTGGTGAATTGCGGAGATTTGTTTACGCTGTGCTTCGGTTTGGACTAGGTGCTCAACAGGGATGTCTGTCGCGAGCCAGCGTGCGTGCCCTTTTTTGCTCTTGACCCCCTGCGCCTCTGCCGGTGTGTAGTTGACGAAGGTCGCCCCTCGCTTAGATGCTGCTGAAGTCTTGGATGGTGCGGTCATTGTGACTGTATGTAGGGTAGATAAAGATGGGTAGAGTGAGGGGTAGTCCTGGCTGCTGATGCTGAAGAGGACGAGCACGCCTTACCAGATGTCTTGGTTTGTATAGATAAATTTGAAACTTCTCAGTACCGGTGGTCCTGTCTTGCAGTGTTCACTATGCAGGCTGTCTTACTGTCTCAGATTTATGTTTATTACTATGGAAAAACCTTTTTATGTAGTAGTATGGAGTATATACAGATATGCGAGCACATTGTCAGGCATTGAGAGACTCGAGGCGGCGTCGTCGAGACAAAGGCGGAGTCCGCGCTCGCGTGGCAAAGGCGTGTGGCGGACGGGAGCCGCGCGGTTGGGCGCGTCCAAGAAAGGAAGGCGGTTGGGTTGGCCGCGTTACCCACTTTCTGATCGGATTCTGGCTCCTTTCGGTCGTATTCTCTAACTGCTCAGAATGCACCGAAATGCACCAGAATGTACCCACAAGTTCATAATTGTGTTTCCAATAATGTGTCATCGAGCCGCGTGCTTATCTCTGTAGGTCCGTGCGGTGTGCACAGCTGTAGCCGGCTGAGTCTCGAGAGTCAGAACCACGATCGCAACTTATACTTTTCGTCCTGGTCTTTTCCCGTCCATCATCATCAAGTCGACATCTTCCGCTCTGCAGTTGCCTATGGACCTCAACACTCTTAGGGTCTCTTATACTTGCTGCTCGTGGTCTGGTCTTGGTGCTGATTTACTTGTGCTATTGCTCGTACTGTGGCTAGGTTCTCAGTGAGACTTCTACTATGCATGTGTTTGCTGTGGTCTCGCTGGTCTGTGCTCCTGTGTGCTGGGACTTATGCTTGAGGCTTTGGCTCACCAGGAGCCGTAGGGATTTTCTATCTAAGTTATTGGCGACTATTTAGTCGGTATTTTTCTTAGATCCATATGAAGGTTTTTCTCGGACAATAGTCCTTTAGGGTTTTAAAAATGAGATCATACAAATGAGGACGAAAGAGAACCACGTACGGTAAAGTTGTCTGAACTCGTCTGAGGTCAGACGAGGTTGGCCGAGCGCGGACGAGCGCGGACAAATGCGGACAAACGCGGACGAGGTTCGAAGGGGCCGTCTGCGGTTGCCCAAGGTCCGGCTGCCCGGAAAAACGGACGCGGACTGGCGACGCGCTCAGATGCGTTCGGCAGAGCTCAGAAAACTTCGTCGAGTTTGGTCCTCCAGCGTCAGCGTGGACCTCAGTCACGCGACTCTTCCTGAGTTGTACCAGGTCAGAGCAAGTTCTCACTCACCACAATGACTGATTTAATTTCAATCAGGCTTTTATGAGCTCTCATGAGCTCAGACTAGGTACAACGAGCTCTTCTGGACTCTTTCGAGGTTGTCTGGGATCTGAGTGCGATAAGTTGTCTAAGGTCTGACGAAATCTGAACTAGTTTGCCAGAGTTTTCGCCGCTCCAAGCCCGTACGCCGAACGCGGACGAACTCAGCCGGGCTCGGCTGAGGTCCGATATAGTTTGATCTGGTTTGGCACGGTCGAACGAAGTTGTCCCAGACCGTAACTCTGAAGACGTCAGCATATCCAGTCAGACTTCTTCTTCACCCACATTCTCAGCAAATTAACTACCTTCTGTCCAAAGAAAACCATCATAGATCCACCTGACTAATTGTGCTCCCAGATAGTGGAGTCTTCCCTCATTCTGGCTGGTACTGGTGTAACCTCATACTCCGTACAAGATTACCACACACGCCACATGCGCCACACACATACACACTTACGGGTTTCCCCGAAGCTCGGACTTCCGACTTCATCTTCTGTCTTCCGTTCGATCTAGAGACTGGCTCGCTCGCTCGTATATATAGGCTCGCGTCCTCGTCTCACTGCTGGACACCTTACTCCCATCACCTCATGTACTAGCTAGTTTTCTACCGCTTACGCTCATCGTCAACAGAGACGTGCTTTGCCTGTTAGCTTGGCGTGTCTCTGTCTCAGTGTTCCTCACGACTCCGTGTGAGGTCACAATGAGCAGCCGATGAAGATGTAGTCGTCGAGTTTGGAAGGGAAACAGCGGATGGTGAGAGCGATGATGTTGTAGTACAAGGACCAATTATATGCTGCTGTAATGAGGGGAGAGAGGTAGAGAGAGTGGGAGAGGGAGGTATATGCAGTGGAGCCGGCATCATTTGCGCAGATGGGATTGGAGACAACATAGCTGAAGAACTCGAAGAACTAGGAGAGTAAGATAGACTAGAACTTGTCGAAGCAGCAGACATGGAAGGAGATAATGTTGACAAAAATGATGTAGGAGATGAAGCAAAAGATAGACTGTCCGTTGAAACCGATCGTGCTCATTCTCGGAAAGAGGTAAATGCATCGTCCAAAGAGCCCAGACTGATTCCATGACAAGCATAACGTCCAGAACGATGTTTGTCCAGAGCGGAGAAGTGTCCCTTGACAGCACCAAACTGAGTATGTGGAGGACACGGAGTAGAGAGCCATTGCCTGCAGCCTTCACATAGAACCTGCCAGAAACCATTATGGATGCGAGTCTGTACATTCTGTGAATTGTAAAGAAGAGTGGGTCCTGGGAGCGGATCTCTTGGAGCAATGAAGGTGTTGTTATCTGAACTATGGGTATTCAGGGCTAATGGAGACTGAGCAGAGTGAAATTGGAGCTGCGAAGGCTGAGTATGATCTGTGTTACGTAGATCTCCGGCTGAGGTATGAGTTCTATGTTTGGAGAATAGAAACGGTGATGGTGTTGACCATCGAGCACTGTCCCAAGTTTCAAACTGAGAAGGTAGGTACTGCAGATCTACAAGAGGGTCCGGTATACAAGGTTCTGAAGCTGTTCTAGGGTATTCATCAAGAACATCAGGGTGTGAGTCAAGTGCAAGTCCAGGAGTGGCAGAGCAAGCAGTGCCACTGACAGTACTAGAGCGAGAGAAACAGCCTTCAAAACCGCGGGCAGAGCTCATTATCGAGAGGAGTACAGAGCCAGTGTATTATTCATTGAAAATTATAGCGCATATAGCATGGTTTAGAAGGACAGGGAGAGTTTTACAGGGAGAGGCACGAGTGTGGCGAGAAACAAGTGAGGAGTGGCGAGCCGGTACTAAGTATGGAGTGTCCAAACCCCCGGGCTGCTTACGTATCTGGTCCCAAAAGATCTGGCATCACAAATTCCGATCCCGCTTGCCTCTTGATAACGATTGTCGCAGCTTTCGCCCCGGATTGGAAAAGAAATATATAGAGCTTATAAAAGACCGTATTAGGCAAATTCGGTTATCGAGGCCAATAAGTTGCGAAATCAACTACCTCGCTCATTGATATCTTATAGACATCTTACAAGCATCGTCAAGCTTGTTGTTTACGACGATAGTGAACGTAGATTTACTCAGCGGGCACTGGGGTTCCTCGGGCTCTCACTGCTTAGTTCTCTGAAACTGCTTTCCCCCCGAGACAAAAAAGAAAGAAAGAATAATGACATAGACACTGACTATAGATTTACATAGTACATACACACAGTACATACACACATGGCGTCCCTCCAACTCCACCCGAGCTGATACTATCCAGTCGCCATCCTACAAGTCCTACCAAAACCCTAACAGCGATGCTTCATGAGGCACTCCGAGGGACACGGCGGTTGAACGCGTTGACGACGGGAGGGCAAGTCGGAAGGCACAGCTACAGCTACAGACCTGAGCAGAAGACATCTACAGCTAGCCCAAGTAGCACAGAGAACACAATCCAGTTCGGCTCATGAGGTCAGCCAGCAGCGTCCGATGTCAAGTCCGAGCGTGCTTATATTGACTCCGAGATATTGTCGTGTTCGAGCTTCGCGATCAGTGCTTGAGGAAGGCCTACGCAATGATGATAGGTAAACACTGCGATATCAAAGGTAGAATGGACCTGGCGTCGACGAGGGGTATGAGGACAAAGTGAGGCGGAGGTTGTGGTGGTTGGAGAAGACGAAATGGTACGATTTCTAGCCGAGCGATGCGAGTTTTTGGGCGAATGCGTAGCCGAATTCACGTGATCGACCCGGATCCGATCAAAATCCGAGCCCTGTTTGGGGGAGTGGCAGCGGCCAGAGCCACATTGGGCACGGATCCTATTCCTACGAGGTATTGCAACATCCGCAGACGCACTTCTAATTCCTGGCAAGCTCAACTGGGATAAAGAAACTCTCAAGGATTACAAATATACCGTGGCAATCTTCCATGTCTAAATAATCTCCACAATCAACTGTATAGCTGGGCCGGGAAGCGTGATGATAGGGATTCAGAGGAGAAAAAAGAGTTTCATCATCAAGAAGTCATATAACGAGCCGCAGAAACCTAACTAACTAAACTGGAATAGTATTCGAGTAGTCCGATGGGGTGTGTGTATGTACCTATGGATTATCACGCCTACCGTGTCCGAGAATAAAATGCATGCATCACGTCCGCACACGAAGGAACATGCCAAGGACAAAAAAACGACGGCAAGGGTTTGTCAAGGACAGACGAGGAGAAAATCAAAAGAATGACAATCGTTGCTCTAGGGGGTGGAAATGTACAGGACGATCGCAGCCAACAAACAAAAAAGAGTCCATCGCATAACGTTCACTGGCAAAACGAGTCCGAAGTAAAGAGTTCGGCAAACAAACAAATGGCGGGAGAAGTAGATAGAGGGCGGACTGACGGACGGACAAATAGACAGACAAACGAACAACTGGCTGACATGCATCACTGATACTAATCCGAACAAGAACGACAGGAGGGGTGAGGGAGGAAAGTAATAGGAAACGCAAACGCTGATTGTTACAGTCGGTCGTGTACGGACACGGACGGGACTAGAAGACAGGTAGGTAAAGAAAAGAAAAAAAGCGTTCGTCATGGAATAAAGAGGAACAAAATCGTCATTAGAGGTGAACGAGGAGCGGTGGCGTCGGTGACGAGAGGCGGAACAGAAATCAAGACGGAGCACATCACATACAACGGACATCGGATTAACGGGGGTACGGGTGGAGAGGAAGTGAATGGACGGGTGAGGGATAGAGATAGAGAGGTAATTGGGTTGGAAGGATGGTATCTAGCGCGACGTGAGGGAGTAGGTGTTATGATGGGATGGGGGTAAACCGAGACTACTAAAGATGACGAAAGGCGAAACAAGGACGAGAAGAGAGAAAAGAAATATGGCGAGACGATTGTCCAAGAATTACAGGGAGTCACAGATACTGCACGTGAAGTCGAGCTGAGAACGCAGAATGGGAGCTGGAGGAGGAACAACGAACACATGAGCATCACTCTAAGAAGCAAAGAGAGGAGGGACTCACGAGTGGCGACCAAAGCCACAAAGATGGCGATGGCGACGATGTAGAGAGGAATATATTTTATGAGGATCGCACGGCGTTGTTTCCGCACTTTGATATTGTAAATCGGTGCCCGAATCTGCTTCGACGGACGGAGCCAGACTAAAGGGGGGAGGAGGGGGAAAAGACTAGTCAGTTCGTCGTCTCGGAGCACAAAAACAACCAAAACACTCACAAAGCGTAACAGAATGCAAACGATCAATATACGGAATAAGCAACGGCGGCGACATCATGAACATCAAGAAATGCCCCAAAATAAAGTCTGAACTCCAAAGCGACAACTCGATAATCTTAACGATGAACTCGCGCGCGGGTTGCGACAACGCATGGTTCCCAAGGCCGCGACCGTACCATTTACCCGTCCACCACGCACGATTGGTCTCGTCGTGCTTGAACTCACGGGAGAGGAAGACGGAGATGAGGACTTTGTGGACTGCACGTTGGATGGCGATGATAGTAATGAGACCGAGCACGGCGTGGGACGTATCCCAGGCCTCGAGGAACCACTGTGAACCCGCCAATCAGCTCCTCACTCCAAATAAAAGAGAGCGAAAAAAAAAGACATACGAAGAACTCGAAGAACCCGACCATACCAACGACTCCCAACCCATGCGCCAACGCCGCCATAACCGACCCAAACCTCGCACAACACGTCTCCAGCATCGGGCCCAGTAACAACGACACCATAAACAGCACGAGCAACACCGCCGCATTCCACACGATCGGACCGATCGACACAACCGCCATGCGGATGAGGGGGGCGGGGGGCTGCTTGCCGTCGACGGGGAACGATTTGACGAACATGTACGCGATCGTGAAGAGGATGGCCATGCAGATCGGGAAGAGTACTTCGGAGACGATGACGGCGCGCCAGCCCGCACGAGGGACGTCGCCCGATAGTTTCTCTGACGGCTTCCCGAGCTTCTTCTTCTTGTAACCGGTGATCATGGTCCTCGAGAGACGACAGTAGCCGATCCAGGAGTTGTTGTGCGACCGCGAGTTACCGCGCGACATCCAACGCAAGAACTCGCTGCATCGAACAATCAGCAACCCAAACCACCTCCAAAAACCAAAAGGAAAAGAAAACTCACCGATAATCAACAATAAAGTCCGTAAACGAGAACTGATGCGGGTTATACAAGAACGGCGCGATACAAAGCGCCAGAATCGAAATCCAGAAATAAATCAAATACCCCGTCCAGAACGACAGCGTCACATAGAGCAACATCAGCAGCGTCCTCATCCCAAAGTAGATGCTCGGTCCGGCGAAACGCGAATAGAGGATGCTGAACGAGATCCTGGACGTCGCGAATCCACGGCCGGTGGCGATGTACCGCGCCCCGCCGAACGTGAGGTTGTTCAGAATGGAGTGCGTGTAGATCTGGGTGGAGAAGACCTCGAAGACGGGGGAGAAGGACGAGAATTGTTTGCCTAGACGGATGATCGCTCGGCCGGTACCGCGTTCGACGAGTTCTGTGTATCAAAGTGTCAGTCATAGAGCGCCATGAACGCAAAAAGTACGCACCTTGCAGGAACAGAGGCAAGAACGCGATCATGAACACCAAGAAAATCGAGATGATACACCGGTCGATCCACTCGTACACCGGAACGAGGTTGTAACATCCGCCCTGACCACCGACGAGCTGGCCCGAACTCGTATACTTGCAGATCGTAAGCGACGAGTTCAGCGTACCGAGGAACACCACTACAGAAAAACCTCGTCAAAAAACAACGTCAGGTGAAGGGAAAACAAAAGAAAAACTCACTAGTGACGATAAACACCTGCACGCTCAATATAATCAACATATTATTGATATGGAACCCGGGATGTCCATAATAAAACGTCAAGAACCGATCAATCGGCAACTGCGTCCCAAGATAATAATACTCCCTGCTCAACATCTGCTCCCCCATCCCCGTCCCAATCTTCGTCTGGAAATTCAATATCGTCCCAAACCCAAGATCGCGCCCCTTGCCACACTGATAATACTCCGTATGCTTGATACTCCCGCCCCGCCCGAACGCCGTCATGCCCGCATAGATATCCTCGTTCAGATGCAGGCCTTTCTGCGCTTTGGAGATCCCGCCACGGGTGTTCATGAACGTCGCGTTCAGGAAATCCGGATGTCCGTAGTGCAGCTTGCCCCCGATCCAGGCTAGAGACCGCGCCGCGAGCGTACCGAACGTCTGTTCCTTCCCTGCTGCGATATCTCCAAGTATACCGATATTCTCCGAGAAGATGTACTCGCGCGCGCCGACGATGGCCACCGGGGCCTTATTGAACTCCTTCTGGCCCCAGGTCGCATACGGACTCTGGCTCGAAACGGTATACTCCTCGAACTCGCCCAGGACATTCCGGATCTTGAGACACTCCTCGAGATAGTTATCCTGGTTAGCGTCGATGAGCTGCAAGTACTCGCCCCGATAAAAGATGATCGCATGGTTCTGGTTGTCCGATTTTCCATCGCCGAGGATAGGGTTCCCAGGCAGCTCAATCCTAAACTTCGGTTTCCTCGCCCCAGTCTGCGCATTAAACTCCGAATGTCCATCAATGAGCGCCGAAAACAACCTCGGATCGCCGCCTTCCTTCCTCGGCTCTTCCTCGAGGTACGCGATCTGCAACTCTGGATACGCCCTCAACAAAAACTCCGCGTTCTCGTGCTCCTCCTTGTTGAACTTCGAGTACCTCTGCATCGAAACGACGAACTTGAACTTCCGCCTCGCCATCCTCTCCAGCTCACGTTCCAACTTATCCGTATTCCCACCGAACATCTGCACCACTTCCGGATTCTCGACGCGATAGAGCAGCTTGATCGCCTTGGAGTAGTTCATCATGCCCGACACGGTGCGATACAGGGTCTGCGCGCGGAGGGAGGCCCAGATACGGGTCCGGAGGGTGAATTCGGGGGCGGCGCTCTTGAAGCCGATCATGTAGAACGGAAGGTCGTCCGTCTTCTGCGTCTTCTCGTCCGAACCGTTGAACGGGTTGTTGCCGGCGTACATGTCGGATTCCTCGGCGAGGATCTTGGTGTCCTTGACGAAATTCTGCCATTCGACGCCGTGGAGCTGCTTGAGATACTCAAGCAACGTGACGCGACTGTGCATATCCGGCTCTTTGATGATCTCACGGAGGGACAACAAGATCTGCAGAGAAAGTAACAACATCAGTGAAACTGCGCAAAACCCACGGAATGACAGCGGAATGAGAGCAACGAACCTTCTCACTATAATGCGGCGTAAGCACCGTGAACGTAGGCATAGCATCCACAGGAAGCGCCTCGGGTATAGCGGTCGTAAGACTCTGCGCAAAGAACGAGATCCTGCGCTCTGCCTCGCTCCCGGCCGGGAAAAAGTCGCCCTTATACCCCTTGTCCGTCTGTGAGACGAAGAACGGCGGGGCGCGGAGACTGCGCCTGCCATCGGGGGTATCGACCTGGTGGTAGAGTAGCTTCTGAACGTGTTCGATGGAGAGGAGATGTTCGCGGTACATTGAGATGATGATGGCGTTCCAGATCTGGGAGACTAGGACCTAAGACGAATACGTCGTGTGAGCTCAAGCGTAGCGAATAAAGGGAAAGATGGACGAACCTTTGGCTTATACTTCACCTCCATCTCCGACGTAGCCAAGATCTTCGAATAAATCCTCTTCGGCAACCTCGCGTAGATATCCCTCCACGGTGTCCAAATCGAGAGACCAAGCGCGAACGACCGAGCGATGGAGAAGACCGTGTTCCAAATGATGTACCAGAGGAAAGTGTCGAGGAAGAACAGTACGAGGTCCATAACGTACATAATCGCGAGGGTGAACTTGGCCTGGTTCTGACAGAGCGCCTGCCCGAACAACTTCTCGTCGCAGTTCTGTACCACCATATGGACCATGGCGCTGATCGGGTCACGGAAGGAGAGCGTCAAGAAGAAGTAGGACTCGGTGAATTTACAGCCAAAGACGAGGAACCAGAGGAGGAGCGAAGAGGCACGAGCGGCGCGCGACATGCTCGGGTAGCTGGCGGTGAAAGTCTGACTGGCCAGATATTTTCGTGACTTGCCCGCTACGCGATCACCGAACATACGACCGGAGGGCATGGTACCGAACAGAATCGTGGCGACGGCAGAGATGAAGAATTGGACGATACCGAGGATGAGCGCGAGTGAACCTCCCTTGGACGAAGAGTTTTCCGCGATGGCGACGTAGACGGTAGGACCGGCGGTGAGACCGAGAGTGACGAAAAGGAAGATTAATCGCCGAGTGAGATGCGAGGTGTTGTTCCATGTCGTAGGGATGTAGGAGAATTCAGCGAGGGTAGCGGCGATCATGATCAGAGTCGCGACCGCACCACCGAGCGCGGTGCACGACCATGCCAAAGCCGTCGAGTTGCCGCTCGCGGGTTGGTAGACCTTCGGGGAGTTGTAAGCCGTGTAGAACCAGTAGAGGGATACGTGCAGGACCCAGATACGGTTGAAGTTGACGAGCAGGTGACCGAACGAGCGCTTCTCGTAGTACGTCTTGAAAAAGGCGCGGTTCCAGTCGATGCGATCGAACCGCATAAACCGCTGCGCAGGAGGAACGTCCACAAGACGAGTCTGACATGGAGCAAATGCGTAGTCAGGCATGAGAAAGAAAAAATAAATTGGTTTAGACATACCTTGTCCGTGCAAACGATACGAGCGATACCCTCCGGATACCAGAAGAGCTGGTTGATATCGTCGTAACCGATGATCTGGTCGTGGTCTCGCTCCCTCCGAACGAACTTGCCCTCTGAAACCTCATAACCCTGATCACGAATGAAACGATAAAGCGGCTTGATGACGGCGCGGAGATAGAGGCCTTCGGGCACAGGGTCGACACGGCTCTGGCACTCGGCTGAGCGGTAGTAGTCGTCTGCGCACTTGAAGATGAAGCAGAGACATTCGGGCGTGAAGCGAACTTGGGCAGCTTCGCCCCAACACATGAGGTATAGGGCGATCTGGCGCATGCGGTCGTACTGGCTCATATTGTTCATCGCCTGACGCCAGCGGTCGAGCGCGCTGCCAAGTGATTTCTCGTGCGCGTTACGACCGCGACGCTTAGTCGACTTGAGCCGGTTGATGCCTGGGTTCTGCGTCTGGCCCACGGCGTCGTCGAGGTCGAGTTGGGCGGCGAAGTACCATTTACGATAGTTAGAGTGTTGGCCGCCGATGTAGTCTGCATGAAGGGTGAGAAGAGCCTGGTTGGGAGACATTCTTGAAGCGCGACTGTCGAGCAATTGCATGGTAAAGTCAAACTGAAAATGGAGTGAGCCAAAAATAGGATGACGAGAAGAGGGATATGGGAACCGACCATGTTCCGCATGGAGTCGCGCTGGAAGCCAAACTTCTGCTGGAGGTCGAGGAAAATGTCCTCGATTTCTTCCTTGGAGAGAGGGATCTGACGCTCTGAGCTCCAGGCGGGATAGGGTTCGCGGTCGCCGTACTGTGCGCCGCCACCGAAGTCCCAGGTAGGAGTTGTGGAGTCGGACATTCCCATGCGGTTCGTACCGAGGGATTCAGCGGACGGCTGGTCACCGCGTGCGTAGATGTCATGTTCTGAGTCTGTGTCGGGTTGACCTGGCGAGGAGGGCGAGGGTGAGGAAAGTGGAGAGATAAGCGCTAAGCGGTTGAATAGAAAAACGAACCGTAGGTCTCTGGGTGGTCGTAGTACCTGTCGCCGTCGTTGAGGCCAGCGGCGGAGCTGTCTGAGCCGTAGGTGTCTCTCCTCCTGTAGGGATACTCTGCGCTGTTTTCGTCGTAGTATCTTGGCTGCGCAAAGGGATCCTGGGCATCTGCGGGTGGAGAGGGAGAGGTGTATGCGCCCTCGTGGCTGGGTTGCTGAGGGCGGGCAGCCATTGTGCTGCTGGGGAAGAGAGAAGGGGCGAAACCGATGCAAGTATTCAGGCCAAGGCTATAAAGGGATGGAGGATTGTCGTGGATGAGGAGCAAGACGTCGAAGATGATGGTGGCTGCCTGCAAGCCTCTTCGCGCACTGCCGGCCTCTGCGTCACCGCCCTCGTTCCTTCCCCGTCGCTCTCCTTATTAGGCAACTCCCCGGTCCGCCACGCGCAGCAGCGAAAACGGAGAGAGCGCCATTCCTGCCCATTCCTTCTCCCGACCGACCGAAAAATAGTCTTGGCCCCCGAATCGACCACTTCCTTTCCCATCGAAAACGGGGTGTGCGGTCTGCAACCAGGGCAGAGACGCTCTCATGCTCATGCCTGGTCGCTCTCATCATCGTCTCCACCCGGTGCCCATATGCCAAGGTGCCTTTCAGGTCCCTCTGCGGTCGCCACAGCCCGCTCTTCAGGCCACATGGGACGATCAACAAGCAAACCTCCTCCCAAAATATGCTTCCGTGTCGTGGCACGTCGTCCGTGGCTTGGAAGCCGCTGGATGAGCTTCATCCCTGGCGAACGCTCGAACTACAGCCACCACCCAGGTCGCGCAACAACCCTTCCTCCTCCTGCTCCAAATCTCATTCAATCGGGAACTCTTGCTGTCCGTCAATTTACTTTGACCTTTTTTTTTTCTCTTCCGTTCGATCGCGCAGTTTCGGAGGTGCGGATATAGACAAGAGCACTTTCGACTCTATCAACAGTCTTGAAGCTCGAAATCGGGCCCGCGTGGCGATAACCTGCCTGGCAATAATTATCGCCTATGCGACTAGCTCCTCGAAGTTTCGACTCTAGGGTCTTTGTTTTATCTACGCACTCGGGTACTATGTTATCCGCTCCTTCTGGCTTCAAAGCTTCGAGCTTTCAACGCGACGCAGTCGTACTCTTGTACTTATCGCGCGATTACCTCGCTCGCGCCATCTCCGTTGCTGCCGACTCCCGAAGGATCCGTTCTTGTCCTCCGAGGCTCTGTTGAACACCAGTGGTTATTTCCTCCTGCTCCACCTCGCAGCCAACCTTCTCCTCCATTCCGTACAGCTGTGATGCACTGCATTCCAAAATGAACCCGGAGAATACACGCAATGCTGTACGAGTAGCATCATGGGCCACATCCATCATAATGATTTTTCTTTCGTTTATACGACGTGCACTGGCTGAGCTTGGACTTGGACTTCGATCTGACCTTCGCTGGCATAGGTATCCTCCTCATTGCCTCCTATGTGTCTGTCTTTTCTTGGCCCCCCTTCCCTCTATAGGTTTTCCCAGAACGTTCAATCATCTTTCATCGTGAATGAATCGTTTCTTTTGTCGTACTTTGTTCAATATTGACCGTTGGGCGAGCTTGGGTCGAGCTATCGCTTCGGCTCGGTCGGGGCAATGAATCAGTGCCCGGAGAATGAGTCTGGGGCTCCTATACCACAGTGGTCACAAACGCCTCAACGTGGTACGTCTACCACGAATATCCACGGCCATGTAGTATCCAGGCGGGCGAAACACGGCGTGGGCGGGCGGAAACTTTTCGAACGCCGTCGCACCTATTTAAAACTCCTTGTTGGTTCAGAGAGCCCGACTGCCCATGAGGGACCAGGGCCTACGGGGTGTTCATAAGTAGCTAGCTGCGACTGATTGGGACGTGGGGCATCAAGAGGCATGTCGGTGCTAGGGCTCTCGCGAGGAACACGATACGGACATATCACGCGCAGACCTCTAGTACTACATATGTAGAGGAGCAGGAGGAATAAAGCATCAAACGAAAATTGTCGGAGGGAATGGCGATCCTAAAGGTGCGCCAAGCGTACATCCATCCCTACATACCCCGTCTCGCCAGTACTCCTGATGAACATCCTGCCAGCACAACCTTTGAAAAGCGTATCTATCTATGTCCAACTGGAGCGCTCACAATCCCGACGACTGCCCGTGATACCCATATTTACTTGGATGATGTTGCGGTTGGACTACTTATCCCATGGTGCTGTAGCATTCGGCGCGGTATGCTGAACGGATCGTAAATCATTATATCCATCATAACTCCTGCTTTTCGTACCCTTATCCTCGAATGGGGGATCTTCAAAAAGCAACTCGTCGACTGCCCGTGATACCCATATTTACTTTGGATTACCATGGGGCTTTTGGTAAACTGTGGACTCTTCTGATTCTGAACGTATCGTAAATTGTTGTGTGTCAATGTATCCATCATCATAACTTTCGCTTTTCGTACGGATGTCCGACCCTTGTCCTCGAATGGGGAATCTTCAACAAGCAACTTGTCCGCGTCGCCGCCGCCACACTTCACTCACTGCGCTGGTCGTGGCAACTCCGACGCAACACTCCCGAAAACTCCCGCCGTAAAAGAACGCCGCCAAAAAATCGCCGAAGAAATTCCCGAACAAAAACAACAACAACAAAAAATCGACACCCACACCCACACCCATAAGTATTACACGTACACGTATACACACACGCCCTAAATGTACAGTGTACAGCCCTCAAGCCAACTAAGATTCACTCCTCCGAGTTCAAATCCAACCTCCAGGACCGAAGGAACCTCAAACCCAAACATGGGCATGCCGCACTTACCAGTGATGTGATCTGCCCGGCGAGTAAAATGCTCATGATCACACCAGGCTTCGCGGCAGATGGGTAGGCGGACAAGAACATGAGGCATGAGTTCGGAGGCCCGAGGGAATTCTTTTGAATGATTGCACAGGAAACCTCAACGTAATGGAGACAGACTGCGTACATAGAATTCTGGAAACTGTGCGAGGATCTCAGGTGAGATGGCTCGGAGACGTAGCTTTCAGTTTCTCCAGCGTGTAGACGGTGTCGATGAATCGAGTACAGGGATACTAGCTCTGTGACATCGATAGTCAGGCTTCTCGATACTGACTCTATCGACAATGACCAAGTATTACTCGTCCGAAGCAAGCCCTCAGGGCCAGTGCCAGTGGAGCCTCACTGTACTCAAGTCGACATCACGAAGCTCCCCACGCATCTTGATCCTTCGCACGTCTCGCTTAAGTATGCAGCAGAAAGCCTCAGTCCTCGAAGCTCTATCTGCTGCCTCGTTGACTCGAAGCCCGAGCTTGCCCTGCCAGAGTGCCAGAGTGCCAGAGTCACGGTACCATAATCCGCTCAGTGTTCACGTCCCAGCAAATGGGGGCGCTCGGAAGTTGGAACTTTCGAAGTGTGCATGGGATCGGTATCCGGGGATGCGTACCCGCCGATAATCGCAGCGTGTCCGTAATTTCCGAGTGCGTGGAACTCGAGTAGTATGGCATTCATGCAAGCCGGGGGGAAATGATGTCGGGGTCTGTGGGGTTCGTTGCGGTCAGTTATATGTACTAGTATTAGAGTTGCAGTGTGAGTACTTATGGGTATCGACTCTGCTTCAACGCGGTTGCTGTAAGTAGTGTTCTCTTCCATCTCTATGCACGCCAAGTCTAGAAACCGCATAATGAAATGAGTTTGAAGGACGAATTCGGAAGACACCAGTATTCCGACTCAGGACCGTGGAGCTGGGATTGTGTGTCAGATGGGGACGCGGCCCGGGCGAAGTGTGGAACAGACGCTGCCTCTGCCTGGTCGGATGGTCGCTGGACGTCGATCCGAGTTGTGGATCATTGGCCTACTGTATTATATGCACGTTCCACAAAGAGTCATCTCAGTGGTCAGTCAGATCGCGATAGACGTTATTTCACACTTACGTGCTAGTACGTTCGGTGACGAAAAATCACCGGGATGCCTTGCCGTCAGAGTCCGATATTTCTCTCGAGTAAAAGGCGGTGCGTAGCGGGAGAAGTGCTGAAACGATTCCCGTCATCGTCAGCTGCACTGAATCGGTCGAAAGTCACCACCGGTCGTCCTACATTTTGAGTTCGGCCCTCATGAACTGGACTATAGAAATGGCAAGTCGGATTTGACACTGGCAATCGGACAGTAAGTAGTCGATCCTTCTGGCGCTCAAAGGGGATGAGTCGGTGTTTGGCGTTTGCCCCCCGGACAACCACTGGTCCATGGCGTACAAATTATGATCATATATTCGGCCGTACCAGTTTGGCTATTCGTGGTGTACGGGTGAAAAGTTGGATCGTACTGATAGAACACAAGGACGTCAGTGATCTGGAAAGTGGCACTCAGTCGAAAAATGTGAATTGCAGTGGCGGGCTCTCTTCTAGAGTCACTAGTCAGGCCCCGCCACAGAAACTACCCAGAGTGTGGCACGACCCTATCGAACGCGAAGTCTCCTCCATCTCCGATGTTTCGCCCTCCAAATAGGCGTGCCCACGGCTATCACCTATCAGGTCTAACTTGAACATGGAGCCTCGCCCGGGGAAAGGTGGCCACCCTCCAAACGAAGAGAACACCGATCGCGACCCGGAGCCAACCGCCAAACCGCCGCAAATAACAAATGCGCGAAGGGAACATAGTCTAAGCATATGTACCGCGTACCTAGCGAGTCGCCTTCATTCTACAACCAAAGCGCCAGACCGGCGAAACTCGAGCTGGAGAGAGACCGGGGAATCGTTCGAGCTTGGATCGTGCGGCGAGGCACATGGGTCCAGCCTGAGTGTGGCCGTGCGGCCATGAGGTTGTCGAGCGTGGAGGCCACCGGGAGGGATAGAGACCTGATGGGAAGGAGGAGCGGGAACGAGGCGAAGGGAAGGATGGCCGCGCCGGGTTTAGGTACGTCGAACCAGGCAAGTCGGGTGGGAGAAGATCGGGCTCGCCTCCTGATTCCTATCAAGGTTGGGTGGCGCATAATTATGACCGAGCTGACCGTCATCTCGTCACGGCTTTCAGTATTGGGATAGCGACATGAAATGATGACCGGAGTCTTGTTGACGATTAAAGTGCTGCGAAATCCTTCTTGTAAGTACACAGTAGATGGATCGTTGTTGGGTGAGGAGGAGATGACTTGAAGTAAACGCTCACCGGACTAGCAGCACGCACCGATCATCATGGCGCAACGCCACACTAACTCCAAGCACTCATGTAAGACCCGGCAGACCATTCCACAAGTATGCAAGCCCATGCTCGCCACACCATTCAAGTTTCGTGCAGTGTACTTATCAGGCTGCCAGTGTCCAAGTTAGCTCAGGCGCAATGTCATTCATCACTCAACAAACGATGATTGTATATAGACTCCGCCGCGGTCAACTCTAGGAGTCATACAAGTCAGTGTCAGTGTCAGTGTCACCGAACGGCGACCCTTCAAAAAAACGCACCATGCAACCCAACGTGGCATCTCCGCGTCTCGTTGAGGGATGTTCGCGTGTTAGCCGACCGCCACCAGCACGCTAAATTGTCTACGTTCCCGGACCAGGACCAAGCTGCGACGGAAGTAAATGTATTCATAGATTCGGAGTCGACGCCTCCGACGCCGGATGCCTGGAGCTCGAGTTGGAGATGTTGGAGTCCGATGTGCTCGTAAGAGTGGGGCATGTCTATGACTTTGAGGACGGTCTGTTGCGTACTGTCCGGAGGATATCATGCGATGGTCAGTTTGACCTTGAACAATGGCCGTCTCGACGCGCTGCGAGCTTGAAGCCAGCCCAAAGCTTAAGCCAGCCTTACGAGAAGAGAAATCGCCCTTTGCATATAAGAGTCACGATGACTTGCAGTAGTGATTCCACTCCAATGACAACGGCATCTTCGCATACAGTCCGACTGTGCGCCGAGGGAGAGAATAAGCTAGCACCGTGGACATGTTGGCGCGAGACAACTTGGAAGCAGTGGCAAGAGCCGGTATTCTCTCGACCGTCATCCCGTTCCATCCCGCAGCCGCATCCCGCATTCCCGAGAACTCGCCTCGATCTCCGGCAAAAAAACAAGCATCTTCAACAATGTCGAACTTGGACCCACAAGGCCGCCGCACCACGTTCTTACCCTCATTCGGCTGACACGCACTCGTGCAAAGCAAAATAAAACAACAGACATCGCTCACTCAGTCCGATTGCCTGCGATGCATAGCGAATTGATGCCCAGACGGCCGACTGTACAACCATGGGAGCATTCGGCGACGAAAGGGTATGGTGTAAGTAGTAGCATATACTGAGACCGTAACACAACAGCATGACTCGAAACATATACAAGCATTACACACGGTGGGATAGCAGAGACGTAAGAAACACAGGGAAGGCGACTGGCGATATCGATAGCGTTCAGGAAGGATAGAAAGGGGCTTGAGAACACGATCCTGCATCATGATTCTGATGAGCGTCTCGGATTTTGTCGAGTCGACCGCGAGGAACGACAAGTTTAGTTTCAAGTGAGACAACGGAGCAGGCGAATATCATGGATGAGAGAACGATTATTAAGAAGAAGAGAAGAGAAATGAATAAGCTAGGAAAAATCAAAAGCACAAAATGTACAAAAGACAAAGAAAAGAGAGCGGATCCAGTCTCGCCTGCAGTCTGAACGAGGGAAACAAGCACAGGCGATGAGAGCGCCAGCCAAGTCTACGACACGTTAATCGTCGTACGACTGCTCCTCTTGTGGCTCCTCCTGCCTGCGCTTACCCTTCTGTCTACTCGCAGTCGCCATAGCCATCAGCGGATCGTCCACCTTCTTTCGGCGCTTGCGCTCTGTCTCACGCAGGTTCAGCCGTACACCAAAGTAGGACAAGTGCTATCAAACGAGGTTAAGTCCGCGTGTTTGAGACTGTGACGTACAAGAAAGGGGGAAATGTGATGGATGAGCGCTAGAATGGAGGAACGCACTTTGGTCAGGTCAGTCGATGCACGCAAGCCCGGGAATTCCTTTGTGGAATACACGCGGAACTGGCCCCCATAGCATTCCGCCCATACAGGTGTTTCGGGATCTGTACCCGATACTTTCGAGAAGAGGTCAAAGCACCGGTATCGCAGGATGAAGTTGCCCTCCATCTTGACGGCTAGATCCTGTGGCGGCAAACGTTGGTAAACGTAAGTACAATCGATGGGGAGCGTAGAAAAGGGATGCAGAGATTATAGAATGGAATTGACACGAACTGAGAAAACGAACATCAACACTTTGTTTCCCTTGTAATCGAGATTTGACGCTTGGACGAAAGTCGTCCCAGCGAGAGCCTCAGTCACTTTGGACCCTTCCGCAACGCCGAAGTTGTTGTGCCAATGTACAACTTCTTCCTCTGAAGGATCGTACGAAGAGGCAGCGGGCTGCTGGTAAGGTTGTGGAGGAGGAACTTGCATGGGAGGCAGCTGCATACCCATCGGTGCAGAACTAGAAGCCCCATGCGGGCCATGATACGGCGGTTGAGGGGCTGGAAAGGTGTATGGATATTGACCGGGTCCAGGTGGAGAGTAGGAGGCAGGCGACATTGAGGCGGAGGGTGGAGATGAAGTGCTTTCTTGTCTTGGGGCCTTGCCACTTTCGGAAGACGTTTCGGCTGAAGTTTCGCCGGGGACGGGGAATAAGTCGACATGACATATGAGGCCCATGTTGCTGATCTCGCTGTATGGGATGAGACACAGTTCCGAGGAGGGTAAGGTGAGCGTTACGCGTTCAGATGCCACGGAAGACTGGTGTCACGCACTCATAATTTTCGACCTCCGTCTCTGTCTGCTGCTCTGTCCCTGCATTCTCTACCCTGAACAAGCGAAGCTGGACCACGGGAGGAGGGTCGAGAGGTCGCCGGTCCTTGCGTGCGTATCTGAGAAAAGATCGTGTTCAGGAATGTGGCCACGAGCCGAGCGGGAAGCAGACGCACTTGCGTCCTAAATCGGCTTTCTGGAGCTCTGTAAGCTGCGCACGAATGAGTTGGCCCGAGAATTGACCATCCGCAAAGCTAAGTGGATCGCCAATGGTGCGCGAAGAAGAGTGTTGGTGGCTGTCTCGTTCGTCGCGCTCTCTTGTCGAGTGTGGTTGGACGGGTGGTTGGGGGTGGTGCGAATACTCCGCGTTCTGGTATGGCGGGGGCGGCTGGGAGGGATACGGATGATGATACATATGTGTGGCACTGGGAACGGGAAGAGGGAAGGGCGGGTGGTTGGCGATCAAACAGGGGGAAGTTGGCTGTTTATATATGCTCACGACGACCCCGCCAGCCTTTATTTCCGCAATGCCTCCGGGGAACCGGCGCTGCCCTCTCCTTCGGTCTTCGCCCCGATTGCCCTATCCGGCACGCTGGTCACCCGGCACGCGCTTGCCCCCGGCACAGAGGCGCAATGCCGCATTCCTCTCTTGTCCCTTCCTCCTCTCCGGCCATCTTCCATCTCCTCCCACAGCTCCCTCTTCTCCTTCTTTTCTTCGCCTCTGATGGTCTTACAGGCTGTCTCCAGCTCAGTGCGGCCTGTTCCGACGTAGTGCACAGCACACTTTCCTCCATACAGAAGGAGGTAAGTCCCTCGGTCTCAATTTCCGGTCATCAGTCCACTGCCGACGCGGGTCGCGCTGCGCACAAGCGAGGGATATGACGAGAACCAGGACAGCCAGGTGTCTTCCTCGTATCTTGGGTCCCGTATACCAATCAGGAATAACCACTTTTATCCCAGGAGTCGTGCGCCTGGTGTCATCTGTCCGCTTCTTGGGCTCACCTCGCTTGTGCTTACCCCCCATGCTTCGATATCTGGCATTCCATTCTTGCTCCATGATCTAAGCTTGCTATTCAGGTCATGCAATGTCTCCTAGTAGCTTGCATACCCCTTTACACACTTCAAAAGCAAATTTGGTCCCGCACAAGTTTCAGCATGCGTATAGGCGCACCCCTCTCTACCATAATTGCAGGGGTTTCTTTCGCAGGCTAGAATTCAACGCTCTGAACCCGCCTGCACGATATAGGCTGTCTGAAATCTCTGCGAATTTTTTTCTCCCTGAATCGCTCTGGAATAAGCGACGATGCCAATGCGCCTTCCGCACCAACAGCTGTCGGACGGCTCTGATCGATGAATCATCAGCGCCAGCGGCAGCTCCGAACTTCACTACTGTACGTCCATCTGAATCACTACATGTGCAGTTCTTGTCATTCGGTGTACCGAACGTGTATCCCGCCAACGTGCCTCGGGGCGCGGTCTTGTGATGCATTATTGGCCCATCTTTCGCACGTATGGAGCGCATGGGCACACTTCCCGAAGCCGTCGTCACTGTTATAAAAGCATGCTCTCCGATGCTGAGCACCGCAGATCTGTCAGTGTTATCCCCTCGCGAACGTCAATAGGAGAACCTGTGCAGCTGTTGCAGGACCGATGCCCGCGAAGCCTTGTTCCTGGTTGTGGTCGACCCTGCTCCTTTACACCATGGTTGCGACCCTCGTAACTGCTCAGAATGTGACTCAGCCCACCAATATCCGCTTGGGGACATGGAACTTACGTTTCGATTCCATGCCCGATAACATTACCGTCCAAGAATCCCTCGGTGCACTTCCCGATCCTTTAGTGCAACCCGCGTTCCTCAATCTTACGGGCGAACAGCCATGGAGCACCAGACGGATCAAGGTCGCCCAGAGGTTGATTGGCGAAGGTGTCGTATTGCAAGGTGTGTTTCAACCTTCGCTTGGTGTCCATACGTGTCCATAGCGGTCCCTACATGTTCGTGTTCGCCGAACTCCGGTTCGTGTTTAGCGTGCCCTGCACTCGGAAGTCCGTGATATTGGAGCGTGATCGGATAGAGGTACTGTCGTTGGTACCTGGAAGGCGGTTGTGGTGTTAGGCGACATATCTAGCCTATACTGTGTTGAGACATGCATGATGTTGTATGCACCGCATAAATTGAACTACACTGATTGACGTCGCATGCAAATACACAGGTTTTCAGGAAGCGCTGGTCAGGCAGGTGGATGATATGGCGACCTTGCTCGGCGACGAATGGAACTGGGTATGCACTACCGTTTCTATCGTTTCATCGCCACGCCGGCCCTATTCATGTTCCGCTCGATTTATTTTCCAGGTGGGTGTCGGCCGTGATGATGGAGTGGCCGCTGGTGAATTCAGTCCCATCTTTTGGAAAACGTCAGGACCCCTTGTCTTTGTTATCTGTTTGGCCAACTCAAACATATCTTCTTACATCTCACCTCCCTCAGATCCGTCTTCGAGCTCCTTTCCAACGATTCTTTCTGGCTCTCGTACGTATCACGACTCTCTCCACCCACTACGCCTCCATCACCCTCCTGCTTGATTCCGACCCCACACGGAGTCGAGATTGACTCGGAGTGTCGAACACTCAAACAATGGGCTGATGATCATCACGACTCTGTTCTCCAGGAACCAACCTTTTGATGCAGGTGATTGAATACATAGAGCTCTCCTGGCTAGTCAAGTTCCTGGCGCAGCTGTCCCCTTGGAGTTCACGGCGCTGAGCGCTCACATTTCCTGTGTGTGACTATGAAACAGGATCCAAATTTCCCGGAGCTGGGTCCGTGCGGATCTGTACCGCGACGTGAGTACGACTTACTGCTTGTATCCTATGCCCGGTCTCGCTACTATTCTTCTTCCTTCTGAGTCTATCCAAGATAAACAAGTTATAACCGCGGTGCTAGATTCTCATTCCTTCGTATTTTGTTTTATTTCCATGTACAGGCATATGCAAGTGAAAGCTACGGGGAAGGAGTTTGTCTACCTCAATACGCATCTGGACGATCAGTCCGATGACGAGCGCATTCTCGGAGCGTCTCTCATCCTATGGCGAGCCCGGTTCGAGGCATCGCAGAACCGCACAGTCCTCGTGACTGGCGACTTCAACAGGTAAACACCGACAGACCTACCATTTTCCAACCTCGGTGAAAGATCAACGCTTACTTATCCCCATGCTCCTATACCTATCGAACCTCACCGTCCACACCCTTCTCAAACCCTTCCTCCCACTCTATCGTCATGTCCACCCACGACCCATCGGCGATCTACTAGCCCCGCAAACGACACAGCAGGCCAAACCGACACCGGGGCCTACGAGACCATCACAGGTGCCATCCCTCCCGTCGCCATCAACAGCACCTTCATGGCCCGTTTCCCCATCGACAACTCGACCCTCCCGGACTTCAAGATGCTCGACCTTCGCACCCAGGTCCCTCGGTTCAACGTGTCCGGGAATTACGCGACGTTCACGGGCTTTAACGCTCCGGAAGACGCGAGCGAGTATAGTCATATTGATTTTGTATTTGGAGGGAGTAATGGAGGGTGGTGAGTATCGTGTTTTTTTGGTTTCTGGTTTTTGATAAGGGTACGAGTGCATTTGGACGCTAATATTAATGGTGTTTGGTTGGTGGTGCTTGGTTTTTTTTGTAGGACTGGATTGGCTCAGAAGGTGGAGACGTCACTCACGGACGATGGAATCATAGCTAGTGATCACCGTCCCGTCATCGGAGACATCATCCTCTGAACTCGAGTTCCAAATTGTGCTCTCAACCTATCGTGATATCCTCATCTCCCTATTTTCGTCTGAAATCATTGTGTGCCGTTCTGTTCTGTCTTATCTTCTCCAGCAGTGAACAACAGATATTTACATCAACGCACAAATGGTCCAGCTTTCCATCACACCTTTCCGATGCCGAGGCTGACTCACGGCAGACGGGCTGCCTGCGGCGCTGTGGGACCGCAAGCCCTCCAGGGTGGTAAGTATAGATATGCTCTCGGATCGCGGCTGGCATTGCTCCCAGTCTCCGGGATTACATTGAATGAGCATTGATAAGTTACAAAGCAAGTCATAAATATTCGTCCAACTAGGGACACCATACAAGTACAGATACACCACTTCGTGGACCGCGCTCCGGGTACTCATCATTGCAAAAGTTTGACAACGACAGGGTATATGCCGAGTCAGTCCTGGTCTGTCTACCCGACCGCAGACCAGTGGAGAAGACACATTACGCTCCCCACGAGCCAAGCGATACAACCACGGCGCAAAAAAACCAAGCCTTCGTTTGGTACCAAGACGCAAGATTTAGGTTACCTGGCCCCGCTCTGGAAGCACTCCCGGAAGGTAGCGGCGGGAAACCTGCAATGCCGAGGCCAAACGCGAGGCCATCCCGCGAGCCAAGTTATAGTTAGCTCTCATTCTCATGCGTCGGCCGTCCCCACAATAAAGATTCTCCAGAGGAAGCAACGTACCCGTCCATGTCGTATCCGGCACGACCGTCGCCGAGCTGGTAGATAGGATACAGAAGGCGGGGCGAGTCAGCCGATTAGAGGAAACAAAGATTGTGTCCGGCGGGGTGGTAGATTCATTGTCGCAGAATTAGAAGTGCCGCGGATGCCGTCCGGGGAATGGAAAGAAACATTCGAGAAAGAAGTTTGCGTGAGAGGAAAACATGGATTCGGGGACAAAGCTGCAATACGTGGAACAAGGCACGTACGGACAGAAGGTCACTTGATAGTCGGCATTGAGGCTGGAATTGCACGTCCAGAGAGCGGTGCCGCTGCTCTCGTCGTAGGCATAAACGTAGGTCCTCGGACAATTCTCCTCTGGATGCACAAAGAACATAATCGTATGATCTTTTGAGCGACGGAAGGCAACCTAAAATTTAAAGGCCACGTACTGAAGTAGCTATAGTCATCAACGTCGTTGGGTGGACAGGTTGCAGCGGTGGAGTGGCTGCCAGAGCAGCAGTTGGCCGAGTCACCTACACGGCGGACGTCATTGACGTAAAAGAATATCACTACGAAGGGAATGGTCTGGACAGACATACTGGAATCGCCGTCCAAATTGGCTAAACATGCACTCTTGCATCCCACCACCGCTCCTGAGGAGTTGGTCGGCCCTGCCAACTCAGAAGGGCCTAAACGTCACATACCACATTATGTAAGGGTCTGCCGTATCAAGATGGATCTCTTGAGTACAATACGCACAGTTTGGACCAAGGTCAACGGCACAACCCGCCACCTCACAATTGACGTTAGTCGTTATAGCGATAGGAAGGTTGTAGCCATCCACCAGGGATACTAAAGGTTCGTTTAAGCTCAAATAGAACAGAAAGGCATACGGGAGGTCAACAGACCATCGTAGAAATCGAGATTGCTCGAGGCTTGCAGAGTCCATTCTGCCAGAGTTGCCGGAGGCACACCCTGCGAAAACCACGTTTACGGTTTCAATGCCCATCCGCACGCGTCCGTATAGCACGCACAAAAAACTTACAGTCCCAGCTGTCGTAGAGCATTCAAGGCCTCCATTGCATCCACCATCTAGGCAAGAATCGGCACCAGGATTTGTCGAGAAATCGCAGCCTCGGCGACCCTGCGCAAAGCTTGAGAATGAAGGGGCGAAAACGTGGCTACGATGAACAACGCATACCCAAATCCGACCCGATTTCCAGTCATCTGGAACGAAGAACGTCACAGAGTTGGTGGGAGGAGCCTCCCAACTTTCCGGCATTACGCCACAAGGCACATAGATTTCAGCAGCTACTTCCTGTGAGAAAGGATGCGATGTCATCGTACCCAGTTGGGAATGAAGGGACATCGCTTGCAACGTTAAGGTCTGTGTATATCTAAACGTAAAAGCATTGTTATCAGATCTCAAGAATGAATAGAATGGTCCACATAGCTTACAGCAGGCCTATCCAAGACGAACGTATTCCCCGGTGAAACGACATTAGTCGCGGCGACAAAACAGCAAAGTTGAAGACGACTTGCCATATCGTATATCTGCATTCGTTTGTTACTGTGAATGTGCGGGATTGAACAACGTGGATTAGGCACGAAGAGAGAAGAATGGAAGTGGAAGATAGAGATCTCGTCATGGTCACAGTTGTGGTCGTAATGAGCAGGTGGTGCAGTCGTTTGAGCTCTACACACAGATGAACTCTGTTCAGGATGACGCTATCTACTTATCCTCTCCAATCTAGGACGCTTGATGGAACTTGTTAAGGAGGGAATGATGGAAGCTCCAAAAGCAATCTCTGGAAGTGAGACCTGCAGGAGGCCATGAAGTTTCGTCATGCATCATGGTGCGGTAGCCTCGTGTTGCTCCAAAAGAATTCCAATCTCCGGTAGAATAAAGACAAAGGATATATGTAGTAGACACCTGACCGGAAACATACCTCAGTGCTATGAGCACAGGTGGTAGAATATGAGTTGTTCCTCAACGTAAACAAGGACCGATCGATTAGAAGGCGAAATAAATGTGGCGATGAATCAGTTACTTATCGTTCAAATACGGTGAAAATGAGAAAGAGACCGGCCGCGGGATCGGCACAGCACGATGAGAGCATAAGAGTAGCCGGCCGCGGCACGAACTCAACCGCAACAGAGGCCGAGCAAAGCGCTGGCGCTGAGCCACGAAGACCCACTCGCAGCATCATATAGCGCCCTGGCAGCTTGGACAAGAATATTTCACTCTCAGATCCGGTAGCCCAGCCCTCGACTTCCCTCCCTTCGTACCCACGGAGTTTCCCCCATCCAACTTAGCCTCAATGACCCACTTCGTCGCCTCCTCCTGCGTATCAACCATCTCTTCTTCCGATTCCGCTTGCAAATACTGATAGACGAGCCTCCTCGCCTTCACCACCTCTTTCACGTTTCCTGCGAGTCCGTACGGTTTTTTTCCCTTGACGATTTGCTGTTTCGCTAACGTGACGAGTGCGGCAGGAAGATCGTTGAGCGTCGGACGTGTGGGCGTATCCGGTGCTTTACGTTTTCCCTTTTCCTTACTCAGAGTTTGAGTCGTGTTTCGTTTGGTGATGACGATGCCCGGGGTCCCTTCAGAGTCAGATGGCGGTACAACGAAGGGCTCCCTAGAGTCGGGATTTGAGCGGAGTAGGGATACGTCCCAGCCAGGTTCAGGATCATCGTCCATATAGAGATTGTTGCGGAGGCAGATGGCATGGTACCAGCGACGACAGCCCTTTCGCGGACAGAAATGCATCAACATGTTGTCGTCTGGGTTATATGGGCTTCTGTGGCAATGCTTCAGTATAACGTTAATGAGATAGGCATGTATGCCCAAGGGCGAGACACACCTGCATATGCATGTAGCCTCAATATTATGCTATTTGAAGCGACCTCGTGAGTTGGACGTCGGCTTTATGTTACGAGCAGTGAAACGAATTTGGGCTCACTGTGATGCGACGCTTGAGATGATCATAGGTTCGACGGTAGTAAAAGGTCTCATCGTCGAAAGTCCGTGGGTTCAGGCTTCTTTCGTCGTATGGCTTTATGTCAGCAATACCTACGGAAGGAATAAGATTCGAGGATTGTAAGTAGAAGAAAACATGACCCACCACTAACACTATGAGCTGTAACATAGTCGCAGTGGCTTGAGAGAATCCGTTCATACCTGCCGCAACTAGAGGCGTCACTGGCGAGGCCGAGTATAATTTTGAGCACATGCCGCGTCCACGAACAGGTTCACAGGAAGCAGAACCTACAAAGACTTGCATTCTTGCTTGACATCTTGGCCAGAGTAGAACCACTCTACCTTGATCCAAGTCTACAAGACCGACAAAGGGGAATACACCGAGTACGTTCAGTATCGACGTTGAAGACATACAGTAAGGCAGCTTACATCGTCAGGCGAGGCTCTTTGGGCCATCTCAATCATCTTGCCAATCCAGAGCTGCCAAAGTGGTCGATCTTGGTCGGCAGCTCCGTCTGGTTCCGCGCCACACCAGACTGCAAGGCTGAGTCGCGTAGAATACATTGTGGTGAGCGCGCCATTCAAAAAATCAAACCAGCCCACGACAAAGCTTACAAGTCACCCTGCTGAAACCGATGTTGCTCTTGGTCCTCGTCCATAACTATCGAAACATAAGACGAGAAGGCAGACGACGAGAGTCCAGAAACACTGCTGTCAGCGTCAGCCTGAACTCGCCATCGACACCATCCTCACAAATGACAACCGAGTGAAAAACTTGATTGATCATACATACTGTAAAACCTTGAGTTCTTTTTCAATTTCGCCCACTCTTCATCCGTTGGAGGCACATCACTATCACCATGCCCCTTTGTCTGCGCCCTGGATCGAGTGGTACCACCTGGCTTGGTCTTCTTCGTCACCTTCTTGGTGGTGGTAGGTGTGGTTGTACGCAATTTCTTTCGTGCAGCGGACATAGCTATGAGCGGTAGTATAGCATGGAAGGAAGTGCTTGACGGAGCCTATGACCGTTAGTAGATAATGTGGAGAGAGGGATGTTGACTGCCACGAACAGCGCGTCTAACCGCGTTCAACAACAACTCTAGCTGTGCGGAGAATGCCGGTGATCGCGTGGCGGCAGTGGCGCGGCGGTGAACTTGAAGTTCACCGAGCTTCACCGCGATTCTACTCTCTCTCTCGCTCGCTCTCTCACCATATTCTGTCCTCTGTTAAAACACTCATACATCGTCACTCGCAGAAATCTCCTATACACTATTATTGCACAATGGGCAAGAGACGTAATCATTTCACAGTCCCCAAAAAACAATCTTCAAATCCGACTCGTCCAAGGCCTACTCCCGCACTCCGGATTGGACAGAAGTGGATGAAACTTCAGCGTTTTGATGAGTACCCAGGTGTGTGTGTATACTCAACTACTTTCTAAACAAATTATTGAATATCTGTGACATTGGAAGTTGATTATGATGAGGATGACTCGCGCCCTAGATGGATCACCAGACTGAAGGCAGATGATACGTATGCACTTCATCTCATAAATTTCTTCGTTTTGATGACTTTGCTGAACTATCTATTCTTGTGATACAACAGTGTCTTGGTTCGTGGCACCAACCTCAAGAAATATGGTGAGAAGGACTACCCAGACTGCGACTTCTGGGTTCTCCACATACGTGATTTCGCACTCTCTGATGTGCCAAATCAGGGAGAGGTAAGCCATAGCCATGAAATTATCTTCAGCCTTACTGATAATTTCTTTAACTTCTCCTACTACCCATAGATATGGATTAGGGGTGCGTGGTTTTATTCCGCACAACATGCTAAAGAGCTCGATAAATCTTTGTAGGTCTTTCTTCATTCCCTCAACACAAGAATAAAGTCTGTAAATGAGCTGAATTTCTTTTGCAGCAATACTTCAAACTTTGCTCAATATGAATTGTTCCGGTCGAAGCATGAAGACTGGATTAAACCAGATAATCTCCATGGTAAGCATTTTGATTAGTTCATTATGATTTTTAGTTCATATATGATGTTATAGGCCCGACTATTGTCTACGATTACGCCGAAGACGCAGTCGACCAGGGGCCAATCAATCCTGGAGAATTCTTCACAAGGAGAGTGTATGACCACATCAAGAATAAACTCTATGTAAGCGCTTCTATACATGACTATCTTTCTGCCCACATTTCCCTTGATATCCTCTGTCTAACACCTCTGGCATCACAGTCCGAGGAAGGCAACTCTGGATGCCAAGCAAGTCACTGCCATGGTGCCTACAATCCAGACGATACCGACACTGTATATCATTTCTGCCCACGACCATCCTGCCGTGTGTGGTACCACGAGCATTGCCTCGGATTCCAACAATCATGGTCCCGGGATCAAACTTTTGATGGCCACGCAACGGAGTTGCTTTGCTCCAATCCTGATGAAGATGATTCATTTGTACTCCCTAGCACCACTTCAGCAACCTCTTCGACCTCGCGCTTGGACAACATCCGCAAGTCCAAACAGCCAAGACTTGTAATGCTGGGTCCTCGGGTTGGTGGTATGGGAGTGGCTCTTGATTCTCTCCCTGTGCCGCTGGTCAAGCTTGCACAGTGTCAGATTGTCAAGGGCCCGAGCGTGCACGGCATTTCAGGGAATGTTGGAGATGTTGTTGATGCGAGAAGGATCATTTACAGGTGCTTAACCATGAACGATGATAGAGCAAAGGAGGACTTGGAGGAATGGATGAGAGGGCATGGAGTTAAGGACGAGCCTGGAGTATCTGGCAGTGGACGTGTCTCGAAGAAGGCGAAGGTGTTGGGTCAGAAGGGGATCTCACGTCCTTACATCTGTCCAAGGTGTGGTGGCGCAATCTGATATTTCGAGGATATTTGCATATCTTGCCTCTGTACTTTTCAACTTCCTATCCGCTAATTCTTTTTCTTGACTGTACTCACTGTTCATGTCGATTGGTTATCAGTAGTACACTTCTTGTTATTATCTTACCCAACAGTATCAGCAGTGCATGGGTCCTAGCTGAATCAGATGGCTATGGAAGACTCTGGATTCTGATCACCTTAATATTTCGTCCAAATCTGACTTTATGTATAGCAAGAATCTCAGTGGCATAGTGATCCAGTCTCCCGAGACGATACCCACTGTACTTCCGATGAATCAGGAATGCAAGAAACCTATTTTGTATTGCCGAAAGAATCATCGAATACCCGAATGGAACAGGGACGACAATCCGGAGGTTCCAACAACACGTGAACAATTACGAGACCACCGAAACCCCAAGCTGCACCAGACTTACACACAACAAGATCTTTGGGGAGGCTGAGGACTAGAGGCAGATTTCGCCAGGGGGGCAGATAAAGGGGTTGTCGCACATCCCGCTGACACCTTCGATATTGCAAGTACCGGGCTATAGCACAACCGTCAGCACGAGAAGTCCACGTTCACATGCGAGAGCGAGGCAAAGATCACACGTACCTGGCCTTCTACGCTACCAAGGCAGCAGTATGAGCCAACGCAGAATCCGGATGTGTAGTTAGTGTCCTAATGAATGGTCACGACAATAGATTGAGGATCCTGCCAAAAAATGAGAAGGTAAGAAGACGTACAGAGAGAAGACAGCAGTTGTCTCCGGCCGTGGGGCAGTCAGAGTCCACCTTGCAGGCGACGTCGTTGTCGTTGAGCAAGCAGGCGGGAATGGCCACGGCGAGGGTCGCACCGAGCACGAAAGCAGCAAGAATCTTGGAGGCGACGAGCATTGTGGAAGAACCTATGAAGAATTCACTCAGTTACGTCGCTATAAGAGAGAGGTAGAGCCCACGCACGATCTGAAAACAATTCACTGCGGCGGATTGTTGAAAGACAAGATCTGAGGTTGAGCCACCTTTATACGGATGCGAGATACGTAGCCGTCTAACGGAAATCAGAGTCTAGGCAGCTGCACAATTATTCGGAGAGACGGAAGAATAACCGTAATGATGGATGCATAGTAAATGCCCTGGAATGCAGTGCTATCCCCAAGGAAAAGGCCAAACTAGAAGCTCGTCCGCATCTGCCTAGGTGGGCGAATACCTGTTACGTTTCCGAGCTGCAGGACCGAGATCACGGGCAAAGCGGTTGATTTGAAGTTGACGAGACCGACGCCGCTTCTATCGAGTCCTAGCCAAAAGACACCGCCGCAAGACAATGGTAGAGTTCATGGCAAGCACTTCTGGCGTACGCCCAAAAGGATTATAGACAAAGGAATGAAAGAGCATTACTGGCATCAGCTATTCGAAAGCTAGAGCCAACTCAGAGCAGCGTTATTCTGGTTAAGTGACCCTGTGAAGTGTCAGAGGACTCATTCGATCGGCCAGACGACCATTCGCTGAATCGGATGACCTAAAGTCCCGAGATAATGATCACAAATGAAGGAGAAAACACTGCGCCGTCAGTAATACTAGCATGCTCTCCGAGCTCAGCAGCGTCGGAGATGATCCGAAGAAAACAACCCATGTACTTTCGAACGAACGTTTCTGTCCGCGCGCGCGCACGCCTGACCGCCACAAGAACGAAACGTGCATGTGAGCGGGTGAAGGCTGTCGAGCCTTTACTTATGGACGATGTGTCGGCGGCAGATTGATGGGTTTGGCAGTGAACAGGGTTTAAACGTACAAATGGGCCGTTAAAGAGGACGCCTTCATGATCAGTCGACCACGGAGATGAACCTGCGGCGACGACAGCCCTTCTTGATCAACGGCGACTTGAGTGCTGACAGTACTCTCGTTGATGGCGGCGTCTCCTGTAGCGCTAGTACAACAAAAAATGCTGTTGGTTCCTAAGAAGGTGTCCCATGCTTCGTGAGGGATTAGACTCAGGAAAACTTTATTGTCCGTCAGCGGTGTTCCTGGCAGTGATTGAGGGACAAAGATGAGGCTAATGCAGGGCTCTGTAAATAGAATGGCCGCATCGAGAAAGTTGCCTCGAGAGAGGGCCAGACGAGTACTTCGAAACACTTCAGCCTGGGCGAGACATAGATGGGCGGTTATGAGATCTGGATACGTGCACAAGCCGCGTACTAGCCCGGTCTACCGTCGGAAAGCCTGATGGGGATGACCCTTGCTGTCGATAGCATTGGTTCAACAAGAGTACTAGGAGAGCCCTGTTCAGTGTACAGCAGCCTTACAGTGGCGAACATCCGACAAGCATGTGGTGGTGAACGAAGAGCTTTGCAAAACACGAGCCGCGGCTCGACTCAAAAAAACAACAGGCGCTTCGAACTCCGACGGCGCGAACTTGAACGGTGCCACCCAAACCCCCGACGCCACATTTTGTTGTCATTCTGGACACTCGACGTCAATGCATCTTCGCGCACACGGTAAATGTCGTTCTACTTTCACGTGTTGCATTTTCTGCCGGTGGGGATAAGTCACCGATGATTGACAGGGGTTAAAGACCGTAGTACTAAGTACGAGCTGGAGCGAGCCTTCAACCTCAAGTCCCTACGCTACTGCTAGACCCCAACATCACTGGTACATCAATGGCACACAGTCCTCGGAGGGCATACAAATGGGTTGTCGCACGATCCCTGCGCCCCATCGACGTAGCAAGTACCAGGCTGTAACATAATTAAATACAGGACCGTCAGCTTCTGACATCAGCATACAGTTAAACACCATCTCGGTATACCTAACCCTCTCGGGCATAGGTACTCAAGGAGGTGTGAGATATGAAGGCACGCACCGAGGTTCTATTGGATGCAGTGCAGCAGAAGTCGCCGACACATTGGCCAACACTTTTTGACTATAATCACACCATCAGAATTCATATGGATAATGGAGGCAGACAAAATGGAAGGTAGCGTACCGGTAGGAAGCAGCACCTATCCCCTGAACTAGGACAGTCAGAGTCTGCCTTGCAGGACACACTGATGTCTGGAGAATGGCAGGCCTGACCGGCGACAAGGCTGGCGGTGAGAGCGAAGACGGCGACGACGTTAAATGTGGGCCCGGGGAACATCATCGTGTCTACAAGAAATCATGAGCCATTTCGTCAGAGACAGCATGTAGAGCGACTGACATGGGCCAAAACTTACAGAGAAGTCGAATCGAGGGAACTTTGAAAGAGACGCAAGGCTGCTAAGGTATTCATCTCCAGCGACCGCCAGACTCGCTTTATACTTTAGTGGCAGCAGTCCTAACCTAACGCCGCTCTTCGAGCGGCAGAGACGCGTCCCTGAATGTCAGAAAGATTGGAATGCAGACAATATCTCCATCAGCACCACCTATGGACTGTTTGAGTAGCCGGCCTCTGACACAGACGCGGCCTCCTACATACAAACGTTCCTGACTTCGTTGAATCGTGTGCTGTGCCATAACCCCAGGGGACACTCGCAAATTCGACCAAGCCGGTAAGAGGCATCACTTGACTCTGATTAAACTGCAGGCCAGTGAGACGATTAAAACAGCGATCAACATTCCATGTTACAATCAACAAGATAGAGGTAAGATATACCGCCACCGTGACTTTAAATTTCGGTGGCGCCACAATGAACCAAACGGACAACTACACACAACCCTTTACGAGTTGACTGGCAAGCCCACGGAGAGAATCGAATCAAACGCAGATAGTACCCTCAGGACAAACGAAGGGCCTGTCGCAAGATCCTGTGACTCCCCCAACATGGCAAGTTCCAGGCTATGCGACGAGCCAAAGGATTCATGATGAGTTCCTATCCTGAGATATATAACGCGAAAATGGACTTACGCCACTCTCAGAAGGGCCCGTGCAGCAGAACGGTCCGACACAGAAGCCAGACGTGTATCCCGTGGACTAGATATTTTCAAAAAGCAGACATATCAGAGTCGCAAGCATCAGGCATGTGGATGTATCGATTTAGGAGGGGTGAGTGATAACATACGGGGAGCAAGCAGCAGGTCGCCTCCGCGCCGGGGCAGTCAGCATCGACACTACACGATACGTTGGGGTTGTCTGTGTGGCACACTTGACCAGCAGCAAGGCTGGCGCTCAGGACAAAGACGGCAATGAGCTTGGAAGCGGAGAACATGGCTGATTGACGACCCATGGTGATCATCAAAGTGTAGAGGTTAAGTAAGTAAACATATCCAGCACAAACGCCGCTCGGATTGAAGATAGGACGTACAAAGAAGATTTCTCGTGAGGGCTCTGAAGCAAAGCTGGGTTGCTGAAGGAGAGACTACTTATCTCGAAGCGAGCCGTTTTATATCGTTTACACAATACAGCCATACCCCTCATCGGCCTTCCACCGTCGGCGGGGTTATATCACCGCATCCAGGTCTGTGACAGCTCGGAATGCAGACGAAACCAAAGTAGACCGCCCTCATCAAATTCTGCTATTGAATACTGAGTAGGCCCATCGACAAAGTTGTCGATGGCGCTCGCGTCGCACTTTGCAGTGCCGTATCCCCGACCTACGAGCTTCATAATAACGTTCGTACCGTGACCGGCAGTCATCGATCATCCGAGGACCGATTCTGCGAGCTGAGGACAACATCTCCAAGGGTCCAACGTCCAACGTTAAGCTACATTTATCTGACAGCGACCTCGTATGGAACCTTAAATAAACCCCCAGTCGAGACGGTAGACCGTGACCGTGCCTTTTACGCACCAAGAAGGGTCCATGAAATGAATCAGGACGTAACTCGAGTCTCGACGAATCATTCGGAGCACGTTGCCCGGCTCGCCCGAAAGCTCAGATACGACACACAATTTAAACAAACACAGAGCCCCTGGACATGATCCGACCCTCTGAATGAATACGGCGCACATATAGCTGTAACGAGCTCTGACTGGTAATGTGACCTGCTTTTGAATTTTGACGAGCGTCTGGTCTGACAAAGATGAATCAGGTGTTGACGAGTCGGTGAGATGCACGTACCCAGCAGTGAGCACGAGGATGTTGCATCGAAAAAAAGGTCCTGGAGCAGCAATGGATCGAAATGTTAGTGCTTCAGCGTAGGCGGTGCGGTGAAGTACCAGGGCCGAGACAGAGCTTTATGTACGCACCGATCGTGTTTCAAAGTGGTCGGCTCGGGACACAAAAATCATGTCCACGATTGTGTACGTTTGATACGGTACTTATTCCGGCCATAAATAGTGATTCAGGAGCTGGCCTTTCCAGGTAAGCTGAAGTGAACAGGCTGGATGCTCGGAAAGAAGGCAAGCGAGCTTTCAGACCTCAGGCTCTGCTTGCCAATGGACTCGAAAAGCTAAGGTGAGAAGATTTAAGATTTAGAGAAAGCATGTACATAACAGAGACTCGGTGCGGAAAGAAAGGTTTTGGTAGTGGCAGAGATCGAGGACAACATCGAGAACGCGTCGCGTCGATTCTCGAAGACATCGACGCGACGCCGATTCTGCGGGTTACGGAAAGATCCGAGGCGTGTGTCACTGTGTGGCGCCGCGATGCCACATTGTTCGCTGCGGGTTCGCAACCATTTTTCGCTAGAACACCGCACCGTAGCGTACGATGAATTGAAGGCGTCGGTGTCTACGGAAATTTCTGAGAGGACTTTTACTGAAGTTTGAACGTAGAGCGTCCTCGGATGAAATGAGGATGTCGGATAAGGTCGGATAGCGTTACTTACAAGGAGTGCGCAGACGGTCCACCACTGAGGTGAGAGAGAACAAGGCGACGAGGCCATGTATGTATTACCATGATAACTGGAGAGGTAATTAATGAGTCCGCTCATAGGAGCATATAACAATCAACAGCAATGGAGTCCATCATGGGAGAAAAAGGATAAAAGTACACTATAACGAAAGCAAAGGTAGGTATCTCGTCACACAACTCATCATCCAGGAATATAGCGTAAAAGCGGGGACAATGACGCGGTGGGTCGTAAAGGCATGGAGGGATGGAGGGATCTTGAAAGCTCAGTTCCTGTAGAGGAAGACCCGTTCAGCTCCTGTTTCCAGGATTCAGCTTGCAATGGAACAATGGGAAGGTAGCGAGCACGTACAAGAGTGAGAGCGTGACGTCACCATGGACTTTGGCTTTGAGTTCCACCCAGACATCACTGTAAGTGATTCAGAGTCAGTCAACGCGAACGCTTGACGAAGAGGACATGGACGACTTACAGGTTCAGATCTAGTCGCAGCTTGAGAGTATCTTTCTTTTCGCCACTTTCCTCTTCTTCTTCTCCGCCGCCGCCGCCAGTAAGACCGCCGAGGCCTTTGGTGAGGCCGCCAACGGTCTTACCAACGGAATCCGTTGCTCCTCCCACTGTGTTGCCTGTGATAACATGAGAGGAATGTCAGTCGATTGATTAAATATACTGGAAGAAGGGTAGATACGCACCGAGATCGTCGACCTCACCCACGGCAGGGAGACCGCCACCCTGTTGCTGTCCGCCTTGGCCACCACGGCGCCTTCGACGAGCCTGAGGAGGGGGTGCCTCCTCCATGCTGGCTTCGGAACCGATAGATTGACTACGGGGAGTGCGGCTGCGTCCACGGCGCTGACGCGACTGAGAGCGTGCAGGCTGAGGAGCGAATGCTGGGGATTGCGGGCGGGATTTTTGTTGTTCGTTGTCGCTCATGGTGTTGTTTTTAGCTGAGATAATTCGGAATAAATTTGGCGAGTAGTGAGGGGACTATGGGGGAGGTTGGGGATGTATGATGGTGGGATAAAGATGAGAAGAAACAAGACCTGTGTGCCCTTTAAAACTATGAGCGTCTGGAGGCGCGCCATGATGTCAACGGTGGCGAGAGAGTGTGCCTGCGGTTCATTGTGGAGAGGACGCCACTTAATATGGCTCTCACAAGGAAAGCGCTTTGCCTCGCTACGCCAGTCTGGACGAGAACAGATCAGAGAGCTCGTCTGAGCCGAACGACGCAGTAGATGACGTCGCCGCTGTTAAGGTTACCCGACGTCATCCTGGCGCTTGCGCTTGGAGTCCCTAAAGAAGACACAACAAAGAGTAAAACAGACACATGCACGATTGTGTCCTCCAATACTTGTTTCCGACGCTGCTTCGTTCAAACGGCGAATTGGGTTCAAATTGGGTTGGTAGGAAAGAATCTGGTCCTGAAAAGAATCCCGGCGGCGACGGGGCAAGGCGGAACCATGAGATGACGTGAAAGGCACATCCAGCGCACGTGGAAATAAGCGCTGAGGCACTTGTGGCGTCGCTGATAATCATCCCTTCCTTCAACACAAACTCATCATGCTCGTTTCATTGACGCTGGACCAAGCCCAGATATCTCTTACAGGGACTACAACTTTTCATCACAAGAAACTATCATTTACCAACCTCACCAACTATGGCACGATAGTCTGTTAGGCTCAAGTCCTAGAGACTCTAGAGTCTTAGGAACGCCACAAATCTTCTCAGGTTTTCTCCCCCAGAAAAAAAACATATCTCTGTTCGATAATACACCCCAGCAACACTTCTTGGTCTGTCTTGCTCTTGCTCTCGTTCTTGTGCACGGGTCTGTCCCCGTCGATACCGTAGCGGTCCGGGATGGTCACAACGCTCATCATGCGCCATTTTCATGCATTCGTGCTCATCGTACCGCTCTTGGCACTCAAATATCTATGTTCAAGTCCCGTTGGAATATGTTCAGACCCTCTTCCTTGTGCTTGCTCTACGAACCGTGATGTACAAGTTGACCTGGGCCGTCGTGCTTCTGACTCTCTACTACACCACAACGATTCGGACAACACTCGCGCGTTCTACGCGTTACATCGTCCCCGGAGCCACCTGGAGAGACACTGATGGTGAGATATTGAGTGCACACGCTGGAGGGGTCGTTCAGAGCAATGGGACATGGTACTGGTTCGGCCAGAACGAACGCGCGAACATCACGGATACTTTCTCGGGTAAGCCTCTCGCACACTTCTCTGCCCTGCATAGCTAGGCTGATTATCAACTTTATTTCATATCGTATGCAAGGAATAAACGTCTACTCCTCCGATGATCTCACGAATTGGAGGTACGAAGGCCAGGCTCTCTCACCTCTTAACGGAACAGCCATCGCTCCCGATCTGGTCGTCGAGCGTCCCAAAGTCGTGTATAACGAGCCCGCAGATACCTGGGTGGCGAGTCATACCCTTCCATTTCTCTCCTTTCTGACCCTCATGCTAATACCACAATTACGACCTCTCGTACAAAAAAGCTGTGGTTCCACTCTGACAACAGCTCGTACGGTCTCCTAAAGCAAGGATTCGCAACGAGCCCGAACGTCACAGGTCCTTACACTTTCCAAGGCGCCATCACTCCTCTCGGAGGGACATCTCAGGATTTCGGGCTGTTCAAAGATGTGGATGGAGTGGCGTATGCGATGTATAGTAATGGGGACGCGGCGGACGCGCATGATGATCTTATCGTGCGATTGGACGCTAATTTTACGGGGCCGGAGGAATTGGTGTATACTTTCTTCGGTGAGTATCTTTGAATTGAAGAGTCTTGTGGAACTGAATGCGAGCTGATGGGTTCAATGGGTGTGTGGATGCCAAGATTGGGACTTGGAAGCACCGGTCATGCTCCGTACGGAGGGACGCTACTATATCGTCATGTCGCACAAGACGGGCTATCGATACAATAACGTCGAGGTATACTCTGCAGAGACAATAGGAGGACCGTGGAGTTCTGGGTCTTATATCGCTCCGTAAGGCCTCTTTATCTCATTATCCTTGTACGAGCGTGGGAGTTGCTCATGCTGAAGACGTTGACAGCGCCGGGACGAGAACATTCAATTCGCAAAGCACGATCTTCTTCACTATTAAAGGAAGCGAACGGACGAGTTATATCTACGGTGGTGATCTTTGGAATAGCGAGGATCTCTGGGACAGTCGGTCCGTGCACCTCCTTCCTACCCGCCATCCCCCGCTTCAACTCCTCCATCCTTTTCCGATCAAGACCTAACTGAATCCTGGGCTCCTACTTACTGACTTCATTTACTGGGCAGATACATCTGGCTCCCCGCCTTCCCAAACGACACAACCGGCGGTCTGACAATCGAATGGCATGACCTCTACACGATCGATGTGACCAGTGGAGAGTTCGGATATCCGGAGGGCACGAGATACGAGGCTGAGCATGGGGTGGTTAGTGGTGATGCTGCGGTGGTTGTGCAGGTTCGTCTGTGTTGAGCTGCTCCCTCCCTATTTGAGATGTGTATTTCATGAACCAATTGACGATGCATTCAGCCTAATGCCTCGGGTTTTAAGCTCGCCACTGGTCGTATGTATTTTCGAGTACAGAGTCTATATAATCTAAATGCTGATGAGAGGTCTGGGCGTGGACGTTTCTATTGCCATAGTCGGGAATGGATCGGTTAGTATCACTGGTATTACCGGTACGGGCAACCCGCAGTGGGTTTCTCTCCATTACCACAACCACGACGCACTCTGTAAGTCCTCTCCCACTTCTCCTACTCTGGATCAATCACCTTACAACCTACTTCCGCTGTTCACCGCTTTATCATACTATCACACATTACTTCCCTCTCACGCTACACGAACACGACAGGGGGAGACAACCGCGGCGGCAACAACATCACCCTCGCCCGCTACGCAACCCTCTCCGTCAACGGCCTCGTCCACACCGAAAAACTGCGCCAGCCGTCCGGAAGCACGGGGTTCGTGTTGACGCAGACGGTGAACGTGACGTTTGAGAGGGGAGGGGGGAATGAGATTAGGTTGGAGGGGTGGAATGGGAGTGAGTTCTTTTGTTTCGAGCTGTCAGATTTGATGGAGACGAGGAGGAGTTTGATTGCTGATGCTTCGATTTGTTGACATAGCTCTGGCGGCGGATTTGGACGCTATCGTGGTCTATGGGGATATTTACGAGGACGAGAACTGAACTAGTGTGGATTTGCCATCCCAGAGAGACTCGACGGGTCCGCCGTATGCCCGTGTAAGCAGCCCACACACCTAGTACTAAATATACGTGAACAATGAAGAAGTTAATAATAAAGAAAAGACTTGTGAGAGTACACCCATGCCATTCATATCGAAGCCCAAATTGGACGTGGGATCCAGAAGCAGGTCGATCCTTCAGCGCAGGAAGTGCAATTTCTTTATTTTTGTGAAGAAAGAGGAACGCTTCCAATAACATCCAGCCGAGGAAAATCGAGCTCATACATACTTAAGTAGCACAAGATCATACAGGACAACTAAACAGCAAGAAAAAAATAGAACCTGAGAAAAGTCATCATGATAGAGCCACCAGTCATCCCCTGCCATATCCGCCTCGCCGCCTCTCCGCCTCTCACACAAATTTTAACACTCCCCACCACCGAAACCGTTCACTCAAATAGGCGCCCGAAAGCCGTGATGAGACACTGGACCGCACTACCGTGACCGGTTCTTCGCGGCCAAGATCGCCTCCTTTTCCTGCTGACTCGCGAGCAGCATCGTGAGATCTCCGAAGGGGACGGTGAACGGCATTTTCACGGCGGACATGAGGAGTCCGAAGGCGAGGTACCAGGCTACCGCAGCTGTGCTCTGCATGGTGCGTGTATAGAATCCAGGGTCGGAGTCAGCAAAGGGGGGGCATAGAGGCGCAATGGACATGAGACGTACGAGTCCGAAGGCGCCGGCGACTTTGACTGTGGTGAGAAACGAGTGGTAAGTGATGTTTGTTTAGTATTACTATGCGCCGAAAAGAGGGGATGAGACGATGCCTACGGTAGGTGTTGCCCATGTCCGTGTTCCCATGTCCGAGCTTATCGTACGCAGCGGCCACTAGGAGTGCCAATCGAAGTCAGTCATGATCAGCTATGGCTAGCCGACATCAGAGAGCTGGGAGAGAGAAAGGAACGAGGCTCACGGAATGCGAAGTTGAAGAACAGGTTGGCGAAGATCCACTATCGCACGACATAACAATCAGTATAAGCCTCGCTCGATCGTATGGGTAGACACTCACAGCGAAGCACGCATTCGTCCTCAACGAGCCTACGAAGAAAAAAGACACCAAGACCGACTGTTCGTACAATTCGTGTCGTTAGCATCACTAACCAAAGGTCGCAGCGAGCTGCCGCGAGTGGAACGCGAACTGACCCAGAATATCCAGTAGAACGTGAGTCCCTCGTTGAAGTCGGCGGAGTTGCCACCGTTGGCGAAAGCACCGAGGATCATGTGGGCCGGGTCGTTAAGTACGCCGAAGTTGAACCTGACGGAACGGTCAGAGCCTGCTGAGTGTGTGGCGATGTTATAGAAACGACACGGGGACCTACCAGAAACCGCCAAAACAGCAGAACACGACTAGAGGCCAAGAAGGAATCAAGGCGTCAGCACAGCGCTCCCTCGTCCATAGTATCTTGGACGGGCATACCGAAAGGGAATGTGTTCCCGAGGATCTGGTACAACAAAAACAACGTCAATGGTCGTAATGTCGAGATGATCCTGAACCACGCAGTCAAACATACCCATTCCAAAATCCCACTGATAAACAACCCCAACCCGCCAAACAGATAATACACCCCGATCAGCGCCACCGGCGACGTCCCCGTCGTCAAATCGAAACCCAGGAGGAAGCACGACGTCGGCGAGATGCACATCAAGAAGCTGATCACCGCCAACGGCGTCGGATTGCCAAACTGCGCGCTTAGGTCGTGCTTGCGGTTGGGCCCGCCGGGCTGGAAGAACATGCGCTCATATTGTTCGTTCGTGAGCTGGATGGTCGGTGGCGAGACGAGCTGATGGCCGAAGGGAGCGTTGTTGTTTGGGTTGGGCGAGTTGTGGGTGTAGGAGGCTTTGTCGTCAGTAGAGTTGTTGTTGCTGATATTGTTGGCCATGGTGCAGATCAGCGTTCAACGACGCGAAAAAACGGAGAGGGGCGGGAGAAGGAAGAGGGAAGGTAAGGGTGGGACGTGGGGAGAACGTCTAAGCGCGAGAGCAATGACTTTATACTCGTAACTCGGTGGGATAGGAGAAGAGACCATTCACATCCATTGCCTCCTCAGAAGATAGGTTCCGTCACTCGAACCATAGTGTTCAGGGAGGAAAGGATCGTAGGTGGAAGGAAGGTGCGAAGTGAGGTGTGCTATTGATGGGAAACATGTTTGTATTGTTAGATCACGAGTGAGGTGGGACCCCACGAAGATCCTTTCGCTGGACTGTTCATCCCACGAGCTCGGGTTCCACATTCCCAAACTTAGAGGGGCTGTCAGGTATACAAATGGTGAGGGCTGAGCTTGCACGAACTTTTATGCTGAGACGCACCTTGGCAGAAGCTGCGCAGATGTCTTGAGGCCAATTGAGTGAAGTCAGCGGGCTTCACAGGCTCCTCGGACGTCACTGGAAAGTCAGGTTGATGCACATTTGACTAGAAATGGCCATGTATGGTCGAAATATAAAGTCGCAAAAGTCGCAGAGGATGTTACGAGAAGATGCTGCGAAATGGAGGGCTAAAATTGGCGGAGGAGTCTCACCTGACTGGCCTCCAGTCTGTCATACCGTTCAAGAGGAAACCAACCGGACATGATTTGATAACCAACTCCTGAAATCGCGGCTTGACGGCTTGTCATATCGCCATACGGACTTAGTGTGGGCTCGAGGAAGGAACTGCCCATGCCCTCATCTGGCGGGGCCGACATTATGGAGTGTGACCCAATGGGCCTTGTCTCGAGGGAGAACTAGCACTTTTGGCTGGATAGCTGCACACTATGGCTGGCTATTCTCGTATATGGGTGCTAAATGAAGCTCAAGAGCGAGATAGGTTGATAACATATGCAGAATGCTTCAGCGAGGTCTCCGCTACTGTCCATTGTCCTGGATCTCCGTGTGGCGGAGACCGCTCGGGTCCTCTCCTGTCCTCTCAGATCTCGGCAACCTGTTTCGGAGAATGCAGAGGTCGCAACGACCAACGCATCCCGTGGCAAAATATAAAGAGGGGGAAAAAGGCCGACTTTCGTGCCTCAAAGGTTATGCTGTATTTGTTACCTGCTGATGCTTTCCAGGACCAGGGGTATGAGAAAACCTCGAGCGAACTCGTTGCTTGCTCAGTGTAATGAGAGCCACGAACACGTTGACTTCTGATTCAAACAGTCCATCAATCAAGACCTAGTATATTCTAGACACGGTTTGCAAAGTTGCATGAGCAGTTCTCGAGAGATATATTTCGAATATGGGCGCTGGTTCGAGTGAGTAAATCCTCAAAATAACTGCACGACGTGGTTCGTACGCTCAAAGACAAAATAGAATAAATCGAACACGTACCTTTACCGTGCGATTAAAAGGCTCTGTAAGAGTCAGATCGATACAGGAGGATCCAGGACGGTTCGTACGTGGTCCTCAGGATGTGGAATGCCGCCGTGTGGCGCTCCGAGTCGAAGAGCGCAGCAACGTGGTCTCGACACGTCCGACGTCAGGTGCTGCAGACCAACAGCTGCAATGCTCAAGCTTGCCACCCGCACACGACATCAATGGGCCGAAAAGACGTGTTCCGTAGCAAAGCGGTGGGAGAGAATCAGACAAGGGCGGTGAGACGCTCGAAAAGGCCGAAGCGGCGTACGTACTGTAGGGCTTACGTAGGCGCGGTGTGGCACAGGCCTTTTACTTATCCCTATCCTCCATCCATCGCGCTCTCCTCTCTCTAGCCACGACCAAGTATTTAACTGATCAGCTTTGTCAGTGCCCCTTGCCCACACCCAACTTCTTTCGTATCTGGTGATATCAAGACATCGATTACGACGCCTGTCTTGCATATAAAGCTTGTGTCTTAGAGCACGCACTCGACTCGAACCTGCCCCCCTGTCTGTCTCTGCTTTGCGTTTTCACGATACATTCACGACGCACGACAATCTGATCGTCAACAATGCTTCTTTACTTCACTTCGAGGATCATCAGGTGAGCTCACCATCACCGACATCGAACACGGCACATGTTGTGGCTAATTTCAACATCTCGCACTCACAGCTCAGCCGTAGCTTTCCTCTATCCTGGATATGCCTCGTTTAAGACACTCTCACAACGGCCTGCTTCTGAAGAAGAGCTTGAGCGATGGCTCATGTACTGGTCCGTACTAGGATGTATCATCGGCGTTGAGTACGTCGCCGAGTGGCTCGTGTCATGGTGCGTAGACCTCCCTTTCTCGTCATACATTCTACATTCTATTCTGCTATGTCCGCTCCGAGAATTTTTCGGATCTTAGAAGACAATAAACGTTCTCTTTTTTGTGCTATTGCTCCGTGCTGCGATCCATGAATTCTAATCCGAGCCTTTACCCTATCCCATTCCCATCATTCCCTTACCCTCTTCGTCCAACATGATCTAATCCGTAATTCTAAACCACCAGGATCCCCTTCTACTACCCTATAAAAACGATTTTCCTCCTCTACCTCGCCCTCCCCCAAACCCACGGCTCCACCTACATCTACCAATCGCACCTCCGCCCCCTCCTCACAACGCACGAATCCCAAATCGACGCCGCCCTCGCCCAACTCAAAACGCGCGTTTTCACCTTCCTCACAGAACGTCTCCGCGCCCTCTGGGAAATCCTCGCTGCCTCTCTCTACGGTGGGAACGCTGGCGCTCCTGGTTCATCTGCGGCTGGTGCTGGTGCTGGTGCGGGAGGGTTCTTTGGTGGTGCTGGTGGTGAGGCGGCGGGTGGCCCGCCTCCGAGTATGGGAGATCCGGTGTCGGGACCTGCGCAGATGTTGGGGAGTTTATGGAGGACTTACGGGCCTGTCATCGTCGCCGGTGGGGCTGCGTTGCTTAAACAAGCTCCTGCTGGAACTGCTGCTGCCCCGCAAGGAAGTGGCGAAGGTGACAGAGCGTTCATGTCTCCGCCCTCTGGGCCTTCGAGACTCGGATCGACGCAGTCGGTGTTGGAGAGGAAGAAACAGCTCGAGGCTGAGCTTGCGGCGCTGCAGAATGCGAATGTGGAGGGTTATGATGTTAGTGATGGGGGACTGGAAGAGAGCGGGGCGACGTTGATGCCGCGAGCGGGAGAGGGGGCGATTAGGACGAGGACGAGCAGTTCGGCGAGCGATATGAGGGAGAGGGCGGGAGCGAGGTTCGAGGAAGTTGAGGTGCCGAGCGATGAGGAGAGGGAACAGCCGGGACGGATGGGGGAGAGGTCGGGGCAGAGTCAGGGGCAGCAGCCGGCGCGGAGGACGAGTTGGTTTGGATGGGGAGCGGCGGCGGAGGACGATAGAGCGAAGAGGGATTAGAATAAGTATGAGGTGCGGGACTCGTCTGTTCACTGTGCTCGTCGACTTTCATCCTTCAGCTGCACTCCGTCATTCGCGCCTCTCGCAATCACTACAGTCACTCTCGGGCTTACTATTTACGTTGCATTCGCTTTCCCTGGCATTCAGACCGGACCACTGGCAATCATATTCTCTGTACTATATATTATGTATTTGTTCTTCACGCAATTCAGTCTGTACATAAAGCGATGCCAGATTCAGTGTAGCGTTGGAGACATTGACGACAGGTATTTATTCGAACATTTTCCTCCAGTTTGATCACCATGGTCTCGTCTCAGTTCACCACATCTGCCCCGTTCTCAAGCAACAACTGCACAATGGCTTGGTGACTGTTTGCCAATGCAGCCTGGATGGCACTCCCATAATCCCCGCCTTGTGTATTCACATCAGCCCCATGCTTAAGCAGCAACTCCACAATGGCTTTGGAACCTCGATGTGATGCAGCCTGGATGGCAGTCCCATAATACCCGCCTTGCGCATTCACATTGGCCCCATTCTCAAGCAGCAATTGCACAATGGCTTGGTGATCCTCCGCAGATGCAGCCTGAATGGCACTCCCAAAATATCCACCTTGTGCATTGACATTGGCCCCATGCTCAAGCAGCAATTGCACAATGGCTTGGTGACCTTTCTCAGATGCCGCATTGATGGCACTCTCAGAATCCCAGTCTTGTGCATTTACATCAGCCCCCTTCTCAAGCAGCAACTGCACAACAGCTTTGTGGCCCTCACGTGATGCAATCTGGAGGAGAGTCTGTACATCCGCATTGACCCCTTTCTCAAGCAGCAACTGCACAATGGCTTGGCGGCCTTCAGCCGATGCAGCATAGATGGCACTTCCATCAACTCCTCCTTGTACATTTACATTGGCCCCATGCTCAAGCAGTAGGAACACAATGGCTTGATGCTTCCTAGCTAATGCAGCCTGGATGGCAGTCCCATACTGCCCGCCTGGTAAATTTACATCAGCCTCATTCTCAAGCAGCAACTGCACAATGGTTTGGTGACCATTTGCTGATGCAGCCTGGATAGCACTCCCATACTGCCCGCCTTGTAAATTTACATCAGCCCCATTCTCAAGCAGCAACTGCACAATGGTTTGGTGACCATTTGCTGATGCAGCCTGGATGACAGTCTCATACTGCCCGCCTTGTACATTTACATCAGCCCCATTCCCAAGCAGCAACTGCACAATGGCTTGGTGACCATTTGCTGATGCAGCATGGATGGCACTCCCATACTCTCCACCTTGTACAGTTACATCAGCCCCATTTTCAAGCAGTAGGCACACAATGGCTTGATGCCCTTTCGCTGATGCAGCCTGAATGGCAGTCCCATACTGCCCACCTTGTAAATTTACATCAGCCCCATTCTCAAGCAGCAATTGTACAATGGTCTGGTGACTGTTTGCTGATGCAGCCTGGATGGCATATCCATGAATCCCACTTTGTACATTCACATCTGCATGATTATCAAGCAGCAACTGCACAATGGTTTGGTGACCATTTAACGATGCAACCTGGATGGCAGACCCATAGATTCCACTTTGTACATTCACATCTGCATGATTATCAAGCAACAGCTGCACAATGGCTTTGTGACCTTTTTCTGATGCATCCTGAATGGCAGACCCATGAACTCCAACTTGTGCATTCACATCAGCCCCATGCTCAAGCAGCAGCTGCACAATGTCTTTCCGACCCTTATATGATGCAGCCTGGATGGCAGTCCCAAAATTCCTAGCTGCATCCAGTGTCAGGGCGGTAGTCCAATGATTTTCAACTTGTGCATTCACATCAGCCCCATACTCAAGTAGCAACTGTACAATGGCTTTGTGACCTTTTTCCGATGCAACCTGGATGGCAGACCCATAAAGTCTACTTTGTACATTCACATTGGCCCCATTCTCAAGCAGCAGCTGCACAATGGCTTGGTGACCCATCACTGATGCAACATAAATGGCACTCCCATAAACCCCGCTTTGTGCATCTACATCAGCCCCATTCTCAAGCAGCAACTGCACAATGGCTTGGTGACCATTCGCTGATGCAGTGTGGATGGCACTCCCACCAGCCTCGTCTTGTGCATTCACATTGGCCCCATTTTCAAGCAGCAGCTGCACAATGGCTTGGTGACCCATCACTGATGCAGTGTGGATGGCACTCATACCAGCCTTATCTTGTGCATTTGCGACAGCCCCATTCTCAAGCAGTAACTGCACAATGGCTTGGTGACCGTTCGCTGATGCAGTGTGATGGCACTCCCACCAGCCTTATCTTGTGCATTTGCGTCAGCCCCATTCTCAAGCAG